CCCCCCCCCCCCCCCGTGGGACCTGCGCCTCATCTACTTTGACAGGCCGCCCTTCTGCAGGGTTTTCTTATTCCGACTGCTTTGCAAGGATCGGTCACCCATTTTCTCATTTCGCCCTCTTATCGACGCTTGGCATCCTTCTGGGCTTATCCAAGCTCTTGCCATCCAGGTCAAGGGTTGATCCCATATGGGTAGATCCAAGAGCTGCACAGGGAGTAAGTGGTGTTCTGCACCTGTTCTGGCATCGGTTGATCATCAGGACGATGCCGAACGCAAGGGTCTTTCTGAAACAGATTTATCGAAGATACAACAATAAAATCTTATAAAAAAATTGGCGTAGCGCAATGACGCCGCTCTGCAGGGCCTGACCGCAGATGTCCGTCCACTTTACACGACCGACCGCGCGCTGCCAAGCAATTGAGGCTTGGCCAGATCTCGCTCTGCAGCGTCGCTAGTCTTGGAAAAGCTGCTTGGCGTCTCTTATTGTCCAAGGGACTCCCCATTGTGGCATGCTCTCCATGATCACCAGTTTCATAGACCCTGCATTAGTGGGCTTGTGGGGGTGATATTCGCATTCGTGTGGACAGCATCGAGAGCCAAGGCGAAGGCAACTTCGGGAATCCTGCGACCAGGTCCGATAATGCTACAGGCCAAGCTTTCGCCAGACTCATACTGAACACCTGCCTCGCGCGCTTTCGGAAGTACGCCGACGATCAATCCTTCAAGCGTGTGAATTGCTCAGCCTATGGGCTTGGCCCTTCGAGGCTGCATTTGACGTCGATCACGCCAAGCTGAACTCACATGCACATCCTGTCGTTGATGAGTATGCATTAGAAACCGTGACATTGCTTCCACCGATGCGGATTTGCGGGTGAGATGGCGCTGAGCGACCACGTCTGCTTGCCAAAAGACTCAATGAGCCAACACCTCAACAGGTGCGCTCTCGATCCTTCGCAGCAGCTTGCTCCTATTGGACGTATCGGCAAACAGCGCCTTGATGAGACCCGTCAGCTCCTTGCGGCTGTAGTCGACCAAAGCACCCGCTTCAAAGGCGAGGAACTCGATGTCCACCAATGAGCCCGTAAGGATCTCGATGAGGTACGACGTCTTGAACCAACTTGGCACCCACAGTGGCGCCGCGCTCTGCTGCTCCGACCCGTTGACCGAGAAGAGGACCTCCAAGCTGCCAAGCGTCTTGACCAGTGAGGCGATCTTCTCCGACTCGCTCTCGCCAATGTCCTCCAAGTCGAGCACGTCGTGCAGCACCTTTTGAAAGACGAGGTCGACCAGCCGACCAATGGCAGCGTGGAAACGCGATGCCACCAGCACGGGTCGCCACGCCTTGGCGAGCTGCTGCAGCGTCTGCACCACCTGCTTGATGCATCGCTCGCAGCGTGCGAAGCGCTGGTCGTCAAAGGTACGCGCAAATCCATCGGCTTCCATCAGCGTATCGAGAAGAATCTTGCTTTGAGCCGTCATTTGCGCTTCAAACCATCGCTGTCCTAGCCCTCTCGTCGATGCTGCTTCCTGCTCTAGCTTAGCCAGCTCCTTTGTGCTCCATCGCTTGGCCCCTTCGGCCTCGTAGGAAGTCCATGCCGTTGCGATACGATCCCCTTTGTCAGCAACAAGGCGAGACAACTCGCGAGCAAGGTACTCGCAATCGTTGAAGAACTGCATCGCTAGCGAGGGTACATCTCGAAGCGCCTCGCCGTGAGCTACTGGCATCAACGCGCGGTGCATTTCGAAGATCTTGAAGATGGTACCCGCCAGCGCCTCGACATCGTCATTGTCAGCTTCAACGCCGGAAGAACGACCAGCCTGCAGCTTCGAGAGCACAGAATCCAGTGTGCCTTCCGCCAGCTCGACGAGGTCGAGTGATCGTCGGCTGATGGTACATTCTTCCTTTGCCACAGCTGCGGGTATCGGATCGGGAAGTTTTGCTGGGCGCCGTGCGGGGGATCCCCTTGCCGGTGATCCTATCGGTGCTCGGGAGCTCGCAGAGATCGATCGTGTCGAGGACCCGTTGCCCCGTTGTTGGCGTTGACTGCCGGCAGGAGTGCTCGGTGAATCGTCATCCGAGAAATTGTCGGCCCAGCCGGTCGGCGATGGTGGGCTACCGCTTGGCTTCGATTGACGAGCTTTCGAGGTGACAACCTTCTTCGGTGTTGCTTCGGCTGAACGGCTCGAGGGGGAAGCCTGAACTGCTCCTGTCCGTGCTGACGCACGTTGCGGGGTGGACTCTAGTGTCGATACTGCAGCCGGCCTGACTGGTGCCTCTGGCTCCTGCAGAGGCGCCATTGGCGTAAATTCGGCTCGATCGCCTTCCGATGCACTCGAGCTCTCTTCGAAGCCCCATGCATCGCCTTCTGCCTCCTCTTCGACATCTTCGTCGACCAGCGCGGGCGCCGGCGCTTCTCGGGCTTCCGCAGACTCTGGAGCGGATACCTCCTCTTTGCCAATGCTCGCAGGTTCAGTTGCCATCTCGACCGACTTTGGCGGCGATGCCACCTTCTTAGCGAAAGTGTCTGGCTCGACTTGTTGAGGCGTTGAAGGAGTTGGCGTCGAGGTCGATGCGGCCGCCACGATCGCTCGTGAGTGGGCGGGACGGATGCTGATCTCACCTCGGGAGGCGTCGCGGTGCACTGCTGTGGCTTCTTCGTGTGCCTTCGCTGCCGCCGCAGGAGTGCCATCATGCGGTCCGCGTGATGTCGATGGCACGAAGACGGCTTCCGTAATCGAAATGTCTTGCTGGTGTGGTGCCTGCGTCCCCCATGGATCTTCGTCTTCTTCGGCATCTTCCTCTTCTCGCAAGCCCCAGGCGTCGGTGGAGGACTCATGACGTGCATGGCCCTTCGGGGCGAATTTCGAAGCGACCGCGGGCTCCTTCTTCGATGACGATGGCATTTCGTCCTTCGCATCGCCTTCGTCCAGGTCCCATGCATCAGCTTGGACGTCGTTGTCTTCTTCGCCTAGGGCCCACGCGTCCACTTCGTCGCTCTTCGAGGTTGTTCCGTGAAGTGTTTCGTCCTGAACGGCAAATGCGCTTCGCTGCGACGAGCTGGAGCTGATGCTCCTCTGCATCGTGCCAGAGCTGCTGGGAGAATGAGAGCGTTCATCATGGACCAGAGCGGACACACTCCTATGCGTCGCTGGAGATGCATGTGGAGTAGCCTGAGACGGTGCGGCTGCCGCACCACTTCCCATTACTGGCGAAAGATCTGCAATCTCTTCGTCATCTTCGTCGAGACCCCATCCGTCCGCATCGAGCGGTGTGTCTTGGGCGTTGAAGGGCCCGCTGCCCAGCTGATCTTGTGGACGAATGACGCGTGCTCCTAGTTTGGGCTTGTGCCTGCTCCGCGCGTTCGCTGCTGATGAAGAGGAGGACGAGTTGCGCGACAAGGACACAGATGCAGGTATCAGCTGGTCGCGGAGGAAATGCTCCGGATGTGTGTCGAGGGATGTCCTGCTTGAGTCGACGTTGCCTGCTTTTGGTGGAGGAATCGGAGCAGAGATGGCGGGAGGTGGCGGGGCGGGAGCGTCAAGCTCGATGCGAACTTCTTTCCAGCCTTCTTCCGGCCCGCGCGACACGATGATTGCACGAGCCGTCTCGAGCACTTTCGAGGCCAGTGAAAGCGTTTGCGTCTCAGAAGAGTTTGTGGCTCCCTCTGGCTCCTTCGTGCTACCCTCTGAGATGGCTTGCGCTTGGCTTGTCGGGGCGCTTTGTGTCGCTTCGGCGGTCCGAGCTTTTGATGTAGTCTGTGTGGGCTGGTGGTGAAGGCGATCAAAGCGAGCTCGGAGCTCAGCGACTGCCGGCAGGTTTTGTAGCTCAGCGGACGAGCTGAATGCTTGCAAGCTTTTGACAGCCTCTGGCAGCTGTGCTGTCAAGGTAGACCAGCCGGACTGTTGCTGCAGCTTTTCGAGCGCTTCGAGCTGGCGTGTTGCAGTGAGCAAATCCGACAAGACCGAAATGAGGAGGCCCTGCTTGGAAGTCTGCGCAAGTGCACTGTGATACTCGGACGCCAGTGGAGCCAGCTGCGGGCCGACAGTCACAATGCGGGAGCTGGTCTGATTGATGGATCGCCAGAGCTGGTTGAGGTCGTGATCCACGGTGCGGTTTGACGCTGCACGTTCACGCAGCTTGTCTGCATTTGCGGAGACGGATTGCTCTATGCGGACTTCGAGGGAGTCGATCTGTGCGTCAATGAGCGAGACTTTGGCGGAAATGGGAAGTGAGGGTGCCGAGTTTGCGGCAGACGTCGATGCATCGGACCCGAACGCGGTGCTCGACTCGGCGCCGATGGACGCAAGGAAGCTGGCTGCAGAGAGCGCAGCGTCTTGACCAAATGCAGGCGCACTCATGGTGAGAGCGTCTCAAGAGGGTTTGAACGGCGAAATGAACGATACGATAGCCGGTCTCGAGATCATCACAGCCGACAGAGCCGAGCAAGAGCAGCAAATGAGCCTTGCCAGTATCAGGGCGCAGCTGCCGGTGTGGTCGGTGCGTGGCAGAGAAGGATCTTTCGCCTAGAAGCTCGGCCCGTGGACGAAAGCAGCAAGATGTGACGAGGTGGTGGGAAGCAAGATGAAGTGGAGCAAGGTTGTGTGATTTGTTCGAAGGTGGACAGGCTGGCAGATCGGCTGGCTTGAGCGCTTCTTCCTCTCAAAAGTCACACTTTTTTTTGGGCTGAAATTGTTAAAGTTCAAGTTAAGCGCAGGGTCTCGTCGACATGCAACAAATCCTCAAGTGAGCTTACGACTCAGCCTTCCCTCATCCACTCCTCTCGTCCAGCTGTTCTCTCCGACTGATACGAGACGGACACCATGATCAATATGTTTCCTCCAGTTTTCGTGTTCATGACCCCGGGTTCTCACGGTCGAACAACTTTTGCTCCTTCATCTCCTTGCTGCCGATAGTAGCCGGACCTTAATCGAGCGCTTTATTGTCATCTCAGCCCAGATGCACAGTGTAGCACTGCAGTCTCGGATCCTGAAAGCACGCCATCCGTCTACGGTTGACTTCTCAGGACGCCTCTCACGATAGATCGCCGGTCTGTCTGTCAGGAATCCTTTCTGAAAAAGCAAATCGAGCCCCATGCAGTCCATCAAGCTCACACGCATCCGCGCTTCATCTGCCGCAGGCTCATCACGGAGCTCGATTCTGCAAGGCCGCATCATCGACGAAGCTGCAGTCCTGCGAGATGCCGATCGAGGGCCGAATGTCGTCGGACCCACACTCTGGCATGAATCGATGCTATCAGATGGAATCAACCGGATACCCGACTGGCCACATTCATCGCATGAGCCGGAGAACAAGGACAGGAGTGCGGGGCCAGATGGGGCGTACGCAAGGCCACTCGTCGTTATGCATCTGCATCAGATGCGTTCGAATGTTGCCGACAGCTCTGTGGCGGAAGAACGTTTTACGTCACTCAAATCGTCGTTGAAAGGACGTGTCTTCGGCTTGATTCGGCCTTGCATTAAGCTCAAGGCAGGCCTTGCCAAGACGCACTCCACGCATTCCGCTCTCAGGTGCCGTTCACCGTCGGCAGACATGTCAAAAGGCTGATCACCCGCTCGAGCAGGCTTGAGATGCGTGGCCCTCCTGACAAACTCAGCGGCCACCTTCCTTCTCTCCGCTGTGGGACTCTTCTGCTCCAATCGCGCATCTCCAGACCATAAGGATAAGGGGCCTACCTTCGTAAAGTGTTGCAGCCCGTTCTTTCAGTGGGGCGGCGGTTGAACCTGACTTGCCTCACGAATACAGGCGAGACCTACTTATAGCAGTCGAGCAGATTGCTGGTCGCTCCGCTTCACTCCGGCTTCTACTCTCGGTCATCGCAAGGCTAGCGAGGTTTCGAGGAAAGATGGTTAGATCCGACCCTTTCTCTCTGCTCGGCATGGATGGCTCTCAAATGCAGACAGCGACACATCAGGAAGACTTTCAGATCATGTCGCATCAAAGAGTCGATCCTTCTGAATCTTTCCAGCAGCCCAAGGAAGAGCCCGTCGAGCTAGACTTGCCATCTTCCTCCTTCACGACAGGCTCGCTTGCGTACTCATCGACTTCTCACCAGCCGGTGCACAGAGCATCGAACGTCGCAAATCCAGACGATGGAATCGATCACACTCAGGCGAGCAGCCGGTCTCAGAGTCAGACGTATCCCTCGGATCTCTTTAATTCGTGTTCATCGACCGACTGGAGCTCTCAGGGGACATACTCCAGCTTGCTCTTACCCCCGCACTGCGACACTGGCAGCGGCCACTTTGTACCTTCTCAGCGCAGTCCTTCAAGCTACCGACCAACCGGCAGCGCAAGACCCTCGAGCTCCGACCTGGCTCCGCCCAGCGCTGTGAACGGGCATGGAGCCTACGCCTCGACCTCGAGCAGGGGAGGCCACTTTCGAAGAGGCTTCGAAATTCGAGACAGCAGCGAGCTGGCGAAGCTCAAGTCCATCGAGGAGAGCATCCAGTGCTTTTGGCTGGTGTCGGAGGGCAAGACATCTCAGCTTCAGCGAGACCTCAGCGCAGTCGCATCCAGCGTCAACAGCTCAGCACTGCGACAGGAGCAGATGAGCTCGCAAGTGAACCAGATCCTCCCGTTGCAGGTGCAGATCACTCAGAAATGCGTTCGCGCCGCAGAAGACAGGAAGGTCATCTTTGGCCGCATCAAAGCGCTCGAAGAGTCAACTGCCGCGTGGCAGGAAGAGGTCAACGGCAAGCTCGAGACCATGCACGCGGAACTGCGCACTGGCATGGAGACGATGCTCAGTCTCGCATCCAAAACTCAGAAACCCTCCCCGGCAAAGGCCAAGAACGAGCCCGCAGCGACGTCGAGTGCCAGCAAAGGGCAGAAGAGAGCCAGTCCTGCGAGGAAGAAGGCGAGTCCAGCGAATGCAAAAAAGGCGAAGCTTGCTCCGGCGCCTGAAGAGGCCTGCGAAGACGCCCCAGCGTCTGTCACTCCTGCCCCCGACTCACCGCCTGCCAAGGGCCATCAAGATCTCACTCAGGAATGGGCTCAGAAGCAGCAGACACGTTATCTGCAGCAGCGGCAACAGCTGCCGCAGCAGACGGAAAGAGCCCAGCACCAGCAGCAGGAGCAACAGATTCGTCAGGCTTGCCCACAATTCGATGGTGCCTACCAGCAGCAGAATCACTTCCAGTCGCTCTCTCAACCCTCGGGCTCTATCAGCTATCCGTCGACGTTCGAGGAGGTTCCGCTTCAAGCCAGACCTCGGACTGCAACGTCATACACTCATGCGCCTCATCAAAGCTTGACCGTCTTCGAGATGCCTCTCGGTCACTAGACTACGCACCCCAAGCCAACGCCGATCACACTCCAATCCGCAGAGGCAACCCACTCATCCGCAGCATGCGCATCCGACGCCATCAGCTCGCTGTTCAATCAAATGTACACTTCACCGCATGAACGAACATGACACTACGACTTACTCGCACCGGACGAGCCGAGAGGTCGGGATCGACCTTTCCAGGGTGCGACGCGAAGACCGTCTCGATGGGTGGTGGCTGAATTGCGCTAACGAGCGTCGAGGCTCAAATCAGAAACGCAGCGAGCTTGAGCGTCTGAGCTTGGCGCTGGCCAGAAGTCGGCGAGTTTTGTAGGGTGCCGCTGGGCCGGCTCGCGCCCTTTTCGTCTGTTCCGAAAAAACGCTCCGAGAGAGAGAGAGGATCTGCAGACAGATGGAAAAAGGCTCCGAGTCAGTCGAGTTCGCGCTCGGCGCCTTCTCTGCAACGACCCACCGCTTGAGCCTCTTAGAAGGTGAACATGGAAGAGGCGCAACCCTTCAAGACCCACATCACCTCGACGACTTACCATCTGTCCCTTCGTCTGCCACCTTCAACCGACTCGAGACCAACCCGCCTTGTCCGCCGAGCTCAGCATCGCTTCATCTCACCTCGGCTCCTTTTGCTCCATCTTCTCTCTGGACTCTTGAGAGCAACGGCATCTTTAGTCAACTCCCGCATCTCACTCAACCTGCAACTGCCATCTGCAAATAGGCCGCACTCCAAGCATAATCCTCTATAAAGATTCCGAGCCGCTCATCAAACTCGACCCAACCCAAACGTCCTGTCCAGCAATCCAACCAGCTCCGCAGGCTCACCGTCTTGAAAGATGACTTCGCACGGAGGCCATTCAAGCATGTCAGGCATGTCTGGCATGTCAGGCATGGGGGACTCGACCTCGAGCGCCTGCTCGATGAACATGCTCGGCAACTGGCAGACGATCAACACCTGTGTTCTCACCTCGTCGTGGCACATCCGCACAGAAGCACAGTTCGCCGGCACCTGCATCGGCGTCTTCTTGATGGTGTTCCTGATCGAGACAGTTCGCAGATGGAGTCGCGAGTTTGATCGATGGATCCTCGAGCGAGCGATGGTGCAGCGCAAGGAGAGCCGACGTCGCACGCAGCACCTCAAGGCCGAGATGGCGGCCCGTCTGGCCGAGGCAGAGCCATCGCAGGACAGATCGACATTGAGTCAGAAGCTGGAACACCTCGACACGATCTTCTTTGGCATCCCTGCTGGCCGATCTGGCTGCCGTCAAGCCGCTTTGGACTCGATGCGCTTCCGCCCTAAGATGTGGCAGCAATTGCTGCGTTCGCTCTTGTACGGGGTGCAATTCACCGGCGCTGTAAGTGTGAAACCTCGTCTGATTACCCTTGCCTCGCAAAGGTGCAACGCTGACTCGCCTTTCTTTGCCCAACCGCCTCGCCCCAACAGTACCTCATCATGCTGATCGCAATGACGTTCAACGGCTACATCATCATCGCCATTGTCCTCGGCGGTGTCTTTGGACACTTCTTCTCGACATGGGACACGCTCGGGTCTTCGCATCTCCTCGATGTGGACCAGCTGGGTCATGGATACGCTGCAGAGCCTGAAGTCATGGCGGGCGGTCAGACAGGTGCGACGGCCTCGCCCTGTTGCCAGCCTGATGGCGGCAAAGACGCGTCGAGCCTGTCGAGCGGGTCGGACGACGGCAACCATCTAAAGCGCCACGTCGTGACGCTGCCTGAACATGGCTACGGGTCTGGAGCTTGTTGTGTGTAGACGCATGGCCTCTTGTCGACACTACAGCCTCCTTTTACGAGATCAATCAAGTCTATTGTACGCATTGTGTGGTCAAGCTTGCGGCGATTCGCATGAACACGTGAGAGGGAGGTCATGGTCGATCTAGCTGGAGTGAAACCTACGTGACATTGTGCCCAGTGCGACATCATCGCGCTCCGAAGTTGTCGTCGTTGAGCACGAGCCCTCGCTTTGAATGGTCGACGAGAGGCAAGCGCATGGCGTTCGGCAAGCACGTATGGTATGGTCGCCCTGCAGACTGCAGCCGTGAACCGCATCTTTTACGCGGCCTGGACACGCAGGGGACGTGCGGTGATTTTTTTTGGACACACGCACGCACCAGGCGCGAGCTCGAAACCAACACTTCCGTATTTCCATGTTTCATCGATCTGTCCTTCGCTACGACCCTCAACACGCAAGCATCCTGACTCCGTTGCTGGAGAGCACGAAGTAACACCATGTCTTTGTCAAGAGAGGATGTCACTTCGTCCATCTCCGACAAAGCGGCCGACAGCACGTCAGATCGGATCGCATCGGCGGTCGCTTCCGACCATGTTGATAAGCCGTCAGTAGGAGACGAAGCAGCAACTGACGAGAGAGCAAGCTCAGCAGCATCAGCACAGTCGAAATCAGAAGCAGCTCTCGCCGATGAGGTGGACAAGCTCGACCTCGGCCCTACCGAAACTGAGGGCGGAAAGACCGACATCACCAGCTCGGACACGGTCACAGAACCGGTGACAAAGCCAAAAGCGGAAACGACCGGCGAGCACGAAGACAGGGACGCGGAGGAGGCTGAAGCTGGAAAGGTGGAGACCAGCACAGATGTGACAGCTCAGCAAGACGACGCTGAGAAAGCGATCGGGACCACCGACGAGACTGAGCCACCAAAACTGGGCTCGACATCGGAAGCTCCGACATCTGCCTTGCTGGGCGATGCAAAGCAAGAGGAGAGCACAGCATTGACACAAGCACACCACGCCACAATAGCAAGCCACGATCAGGTCACGGATCAGCCGACGAATGTTGCACCCCAGTCCAGCGAGCAGCCCACACCGCTCAAGTCTCCGCCCCAGCCGGAAGAGAGCGCCTCGTCACCACCACCGATCCTGCCCAGCAAAGACGATCCGCCACGAACGCCTGACAAAGCGCCAGAAACTCGACCTGCACTGTTCGCGCGGAACATTGCTTCGCCTGACAGACCGTCGACGCCAGCTTCGCAATCGCAGACGCGACGGAGTCGAGAAGTGCTTGCCGGCCCGCAGGACGTAGCAGCCGTTGCGCACGCCTTTGGTCGAGACTCGCCAGCGCTGCGCACCTCCTCCGACACACCTCAGCGAGTCTCGACTCCATCCAAGAATCCAGATACTGCTGTGACGAAGGGCGAGGTCGGAAGCAGCTCTGACGATGTCGAGAAGCAAGCCATAAGGGACGAGGCAAAGACGCAAGACGCGGCAGGATCGTCGACGGAGACCAGAGACAACGCTGCAGCCATCAACGAGAAGGGCGCAGTTGACGAGCAAAGCAAAGCGACGCCCCGCGGTGGCATTAGCATCGGCAATGGTCCCCCGCCCACCACACAGGCGAGCGAAGAGCGTCCCTTCGATTTCAACCGCTTCCTTGAGCAGATGAAGCACAGAAGCGCCCAGCCCGTTGGCGAGTATGTCCGCAGCTTCATCAAGGGCTTCTCCAAAAAGCCCTACCGAACTCAGGACCAGGTCAAACTCATCTTTGACTTTCTCGACTTCATCGCCGCACGCATGCAGGAATGCGACATCTGGAAGAACCTCGGCGACACCGACTTCGAGAACGCCAAGGAGGCCATGGAGAAGCTTGTCATGAACCGTCTCTACCCGTATACGTTCACGCCTGCTGTGCAAAAGGAAGGACGATGGGCGGTTCAGACGGACGATCTGGAACGCGACAGGGTCTTGAGGCAGCGCATCGGCCTCTTTGGCTGGTTGAGCGAAGAGCACCTCGACGTACCGGTGGGAGACCATTCCCGTGGCTTCATCGAATTTTCTATCCAGGAACTCCTCAAGATCAACCACTATAAGGCACCTCGCGACAAGCTCATCTGCATTCTCAATGCCTGCAAAGTCATCTTTGGCATGATCCGACACCTGTCCACGCAGGAGAGCGCCGACAACTTCATTCCTGTGCTCATCTTTGTCGTGCTCAAAGCCAACCCGGAACATCTCATCTCGAACGTCGAGTACATCAGCCGCTTCCGCAACCCTGATCGTCTCTCGAGCGAGTCGGGCTACTACCTGTCGAGTCTGCAGGGTGCCATCGCCTTCATCGAGACCATGGACTACACCTCGCTCAGCAGCATCACGCAGGAAGAGTTCGAGAAGAAGGTGGAGGAAGCTATGGCTTCGCTGCCCGAACCTGAGCCATCAGCCGCCGCCGCGGCAGCATCAGGATCGGCAGCATCGGAAGCAAGCTTTCTTGCGCGACCCACTACACCACCGCCCAAGGAAGCACAACCATCCTTCGGCTACCCTAAATATCAACGCAGTGTCAGTGGTGCAAGCGTTTCGGCGCCATCTGGGCCGGGTGAGGAGGCTGCTAAGCCACTTCCCTTTACACCCGTCGCCGCTTCGCTTGCCGATGATACGCGTGCCTTCTTCCTTCGGACAGGCGAGGCTGCACGAACCGGTCTCAGCCGTCCCATGGGTGCGCTCGGCAGGCTGATCAATGAAGGCATTGAAGGCATCCGTACGCCGAGCAACAATGACAGTGGCGCATCCACCGAGAGACAGAATTCGCCGGCACCGCCCGCCTCACCTGGATCCAGTACCATCACAGCATCGACGTCCAGGCCGAAGCTGTTCGGCGGTCTCTTTGGCTCGCTCGACGCCCCCAAGAATGCGACTCAAGGAAGAGCTGCGGGGTACCCTGGGCAGCAAGGCGGACGCAGATCGATGCCTTTCCTCGGCGATGATCCCCAGACACCGCCGACAGATGATCGAATGCAAGACGGCTTTCACCCCTACGCGAGTGGTCCTGCAGGAGGAGCGCCGGACGTACCTTCTCGCCTCTCACGACCCAAACCGCGGCCGACAGACTACTCCATCGACGATGTCGCGTACGACGACGAGGCGGCAGGCAGACGCCATCTGATGGCAACTTCTAGGGGCAGCGACCAAAGCCAGCGCGACGCAGACTACTACAACGACGAAGCCGACGACGACGATGATGACGACGTTGATCGTTCGCGAATGTTTTCCAACTCAGCAACAGCAGAACAGCACCGCCAGCGCCGTCAGATGCAGCAGGACATTGGCCATGGCTTCGACGACAACTTTGCAGGCACGCCGTCGCGTCGAGCGGGAGACGAACAGGGCCGACTGCAAGCCGGTCGCCGCGAAGAGATCGCCTACGAGCACGCCCAGACCGAGCAAGCGATTCACCGCTCCCTGATGGACCAAGAGGCTCAGAATGCGGTGCAGGTGGATGAAGCAGCACAGAACTCGGCGAGTGTCGAGACGCTCAAGTCGATCTTCCCGACAGTGGATGACAGCGTGATCCAGATGGTGCTGCAGGGATGCGAAGGCAATGTCGAGACTGCCATCGATCGATTGTTGGAGATGCACTAGGCTACGATGATTCGGGCCGCGTCGACGAGGCCGGGACGATGAGCCGATTCCGCGGAAACGACGAGGCGTCGATCGAAGACGGAGAAAGCGCGTGCTCGCCCTTCCCACAACAATGGATGCCTTTGCGCGAAGTGGCTTTTTCGCCGAACTCTTGTTCACTCTTGTGCATTGTCCTGGTCGCTCCGGATGCTTTCGTTGTTCGGACCAGTGAGAGCCAGACTGCAGACCGCAGCCAATGGCTGAAGGCGTCGCACCGACGAGATTCAGCCGCCCGGGCTGGAGTCGGAAAAGAGGGTGAAAGAGCCTGCAGCCAGCCTTTGTCGAACCTCTCTGGTTCTGTCTGGCGCGACCGAAACAGTGGAAAAGGCGCCAATTTCTCGGGAGACGTGTGCGTGGATTGTGGGTCACCCGCGCTCGGCAAAAGCAAAAAGAGGCGCGTTGAATCGGATGCCTCTAGCCGCCATTCTTTTCACTGCAAGCGAGCTGGCTGTCGCAACCTCGGATGCGCTATTCTTCGGAACGATGACCTCGACGTCAGCAGCTCTGAGACGCACAGAAAGGCTGAGAACAAGGAGACCACAGCGTTGTGGCGTCCGCCATGAACTTGGAACTGGATTCGGCTGCAGCGCTTTCTGGCATTCTCTATCGACCGGGATCGGATGAGCAAGGAACGAATGAGAACGCGCCAAGAGGGGAAGAAAGGGCGTTCCCAGGCGGCTGGCTGACTTGGCTTGGCTCCATTTGGGCTCCGACTCAACTCTGATTCACAGATTCCTCTTCGTGGTTTCTGCCTGTCTGCCCCCACGCTGGAACGGGGCGCAAATTGGACCCCAGCCGGCAGGCAGAGTGATCCACTCATGCGCAATCATGAGTGAGGCAGCGGCCACTCCGACTGCAGCCTTGCCTTCTGCCGCAAGAGAGATGGACGCATCGACGAGCGCGTCTTCCTTTCCACGCTTTGGCCCCTTTGTGCAACCGTTGCCTTGGGACGCAGTCTTCCGCCTGTCACAAATTCGATCTCGGCAAAATTGCGCACATGGATCAATCATGTGCCTACCCGTTTGCTTTGTCCTTCCCACCTCGGAGCTGCTCGTCGCGGCAAGCTCAGTAAAGCTCGTAGCAGCTGAGGGGCGTGAGAGTGAGCTTCGATGAGCTGGGGTCGGATACGAGAGTCTCTGGCTCTGGCTGAGTTCAGTTGAGACTGTGGCTGCAGGCGTGGACGGACCTCGGGAACCCAAGATGCACCACAATCAGCTGCACAGCTGCATGCGCATGCTTGCTTGCAGCTTTGTGCATGCGAACAGGCTGCGACTTTGACCCTGCTGATCCTTTGGCTACCCTCTCCTTCCCTTTCCACAAGCTCGTGCTATTCTCGCCACCGGCTCTGTGGAACTCGCCACTCCGTCATCCCTCCTCCTTCCGTTCTCAACCCCACCACCCTGTCTCTGCGCGCGATGGAGATCTCAAGTACGGGCGCAAGCACTTCACGGCTTGCGTGACCTGGTCACACGGATCTCTCTTTCTTGCCTCGTTCTCATCTTATCGGAAGCACTTCAGCGATCTTATGCATCCCATCAAACAAGGAATATAGCCCTCGCAACACCACGACACGATTGTACTAGCCCACCTTATCCAGTCTCCCAAGATCGGCAATCGCGCGCTCCCACGCTCAGCAGACCATGGACCAGCAATATGGGCAGCAGCACAGCAGCAAAGGCTCCCAACCAACGCCACAGCCGGGACCATGGGACGGCGATCAGATGCTCCACATCTACCTCCGCGATTACCTGCACAAACGAGGTTACTCGCAAGCGGCACAGGCTCTGAGCGGCGAAGCAGGTCTCGAACCGAGCCGCCAAGTGCCCATCGATGCGCCGCAGAGTCTGCTCTTCGAGTGGTGGGTGGTGTTCTGGGACATCTTTGCATCGAGGGCGGACGAGGCGGGTGTGGATGTGAATGGCGGCTTGGCGGAGGATGCACGAGTTTACGTTGTTAGTCGAGCTTCTGTGATGCCAGAGGCGAGGATGGCAGCCAGCGAGTGTGCAAGAGCGCAGATGGTCGTCCCCAACGCTGGGCCTACGAGTGTCTTTGCAAATGGGCATCAGATGCAGCAACATCACTCAATAGCTCAGCAGCACCCAGCACACGGAAGACGACCGTCAGCCCCACACCAGGACACACTCGGCACAGCCCCCTTCTCTTTAGCGTCCCCTTCGTCCGCATCCTCGAGCTCATCTTTCCTACCCCTAGCCCCACCTCAACAGCGACAGCGACGACGGTCCTCCATCTCGACCCTCCCACAGCTCGACCTGGACGTGAGCCGCACGCTCGGCCTCATTCGCCCCGCGAGCCTGGTGGTCATCCAGCAGTGCATGGATATGATGGGTTTCGGTGGCAAGCGTGTTGATCAGCTCGACGCAAAGCAGCAGCAGGCGCTCGCAAAGCGCCTGAATCGGCTGCAGACAGCTCATACAGATGCACAGGTCAAGCTGGCGCAGCTGCATGGGATCCAGCCGCCAAAAGCGCTGCTTGTCAATTCGTCCGCGAGGACGCAGCCCAGACCAACGGCCGTGGACGGGTATGCCAATGGCGCAGGTCAGAAGAGAAAGTTCTCACCGACCGCCTCGCATGATCCGAATCCAAACAGACAAGTCGGCGGCGTCGGTCAAGATAGCCGGTCAATACCTTTGCATGCGACGCAAGCACCAGCACAATCGATACGAAGGCTATCGTACCCATCCGTGCCCTCGGTGCCGAGTGTGCCTTCGCCACTGACACTAGCGAGCGTTGGTGGGATGCCATTAACGCACGTCTCCCCGCATCCAGTCATACAGCAGCCCAGTCCGGCATCGAGCGCGCCCACGCCCTCTGAAGCCTATGCAATGGGCGCGCCAGCGACACTCCGGCTGTCCTCTTCGGGCGTTGATAGTAGTCCGCACAGGATACCGCACGCGTCGGGCCTCGCTGCTGCTCCACCGTCGATGAGCCCAATCGCAGAGTGGCCCGCCGTCGAGCGACATAGTAACATACCGCCGCCACAGCAGTCGCAGCAAGCCATAGCGCTGTCGACCGCTCACGACTCATACACGCGGCGGCAGATGTACGCGCAAGAGCCACGCCAGTTGCAGTCTTTGCCATACGCGACCCCGCTGAGCGACACACACCTGAATACACGACCGCTCGAAAACACGGTGGGTCTCAAGCCGATTCATCCCGCGTCCCAAGCCAAGTTCTTTGCGCCCAACGCCGTTGCAGGCGCACCAGCGATGCCATTCGACGAGTACGACTTCAACGTTCTGCTGAGCCAACCATTGTTGGCGCACGACGAGGCTTCGGCGTTGGCGAGGCAATTGGGCGACGTGGGGAGCTTCTAGAATCCTTTCCCTCATCGACTGGATGCGCAACGGATATGACACTCTTCGAAATCCCAATCTCTTTCAGATTCGTCCGTGTCCGCGCTGAGTGTCGTGTGAAACTTTGTTGGATTGGCAAAGGCTATTGAGTATGCGAGGTGATTGCAGAGGCTTAAGTCTTGTTAGCGGTCTCCTTCTGGAGCTGTTCGGGCGACTTGCCGTGCTTCTCGCCGTGCACTGCGTCCTCCGAGTGAGTCGGGCGATCCTTTGCGCCGCTAGACGAAGAGCCCTGGTTGGCCGACTCGGCAGTCTCCTTCTGCAGCGTCTTGGGGTCTTTCGAGTGCTTGTCCGCCTTGACGGATGCACCGGAGTGGGTGTCCTTGTTGAGCACACGGGGATCGTCCGTGCGTCGAACCTGCCAATCCAACAATGAAGAGAGACAAGGGTTGAATCAGTACGCAGTGGAATGGAGAGGAGGCATGGTGTGATAAGGACTTACAGCAGTAGTGAGGAGGGTGCGACGGCCAGCGATCGAAGCGGACGAGGCGGCGACGCGCAGCGAAGCAAATTGAGTTCGGAGGAGAGACATGTTTGCGATGCTTGATGGAGGTGATGGTGGCCAAGCAAGAAGGGATGATGGTTTGGCTCACAAGCACTTGAAGGGATTGCTGTCATAAGGTGTCAAACCCTCTCGCTTCCGGCTCAACACGGCTGTACACGGTTCGCTCATCAATAGGTGAGGACAATGCCGGCTCTGAGACGCATTAGTAATGCCAGCTCGCCGGCGTGCACGCTCTCGTCTGCCAAGCTGCCGCTGAGCGAGCTCAGGGTCCCGGTCCCAACGTATCAATAAAGCCACGAGCAAGCCCCATCGAGCTGAGCATTTCGGTGATGTCACATTGCGCTCTCATGCCTCCACAAATTGCGATCTCGACACGAGGCATCGAGACCAATTTTCAGGTTGGTAAGAAAACGAGGTCTAACATGGTGACTGTTTTGGCGAAAGCCTCCGAGGTCGCCCCACGTGGCTGACGAGTCTATTCCATGCCGCAGACAGCAACTAGCCGGTACCTATCACCCAGAGAAGACCTCGAACTGCCCTCAATCTGCTCGACAAGATGCATCTCCGGTGCCATAGAAACCTCTTTGCCAGGTTAGGATAGCATGGCTTTGAGTTTGGGCGCTGCACACGCTAGAAGCGCCGACAAAGAGGCGTGGATGCCGAAGAGGGGCGAGCTCGGAGCCTTTTTTTCCTTCTCCTTCTCACCGCGTCTGAAACACGAGCGGGGTTGCAGGACGGCGTTCGGCCCGCCAGCTCGAATAAAGCTTTCTCTCATTTGCATGGGCCGGATTGCTGTTAAAGGACCCTACGGCTCGGAGCGTTTTCAGGCTCGTCCATCGTTCACCGGCGGTGGGAGCGGCAGGGGTTGAGTGAACGTGCGTTGTCGCTCCTCAGTCCGCCTCGTGTGACTCTGAAAGGAAAGCAGGGCTTCGTCTAGGTTCTGGGCAGCGTGGGTGACTCTCCATAAAAGACACCAACCCTGATCAGCGGCGCAGCTTCGATCTTTTCCCTGTCCAACCAACTCATCCCTTCAGACATCTGTTCCTCACTCTCGGAACTCCCTCAAAATGAAGTTCCTGACGACGACCACCCTCGCCGTTCTGGCACTCGCCTCTTCAACTTTGGCCCATTTCACGCTGGACTACCCCCTCACGCGCGGCTTCGACGAAGATCTCGAGAACAACAACTTCTGCGGTGGCTTCTCAAACCCTCTCCTCCCTCGTCAGCCGTGGTATTACCGCAACGGCCCCGTCTCGATCGATAGCCACCACGACGCGGCCACCGTAAACATCTATATCTCCTACTCGCTTCCCAACTCGTCGCAGTCTTTCCTAGCAGCTCCTCCTCTGAGGCAAGACCTGGCGATCAAGGGAGAGGGCGAGTTTTGCTTCCACGCCAACGCTACGGCGGCCGGAACGGGGGCTGGAACCAACGCGACGCTCATGGTCGAATTCATCAGCAACGTCCATGGACATCTGTACCAGTGCTCGGATGTGGTCTTCACGGATGACGCTAGTGTGGGAAGCAATGTGACGTGTACGGACTCACTAACCGCTGCAGCTTCCAGTGGAGGTGGCGAGGAGAACACGACGACGACGACATCAAGCACGAGCCCGGCAGCACAGACAAGCGCCCCGGCGAGATCGAACAGCAATGGCGCGGAGGGGACGGTCAGGTCGATGGGCTGGTTTGCGGCGGTGGTGCCCGTTTTTGTTGCTGGCGCTCTGTCCCTCGCTTGAAAAGCTGATGACGCTCAATGCATATGTCCCCCTCATTGCGCTTCCCTGTGTGGGCGTGTGTGGTGGATCAGATCACCAGTCCTGATGGACCTAGTATGAGCGAGATGCGCAGGCTGAGGGATCGGTATCGGCTGATCAGATCTCCCCGATGAGCCGAGGAAGAACTCGAGCACCGGAGGCTGGCTCGTGCGCGCGGTCTAGCCTGCTTTTTCGAGATTCAGATTTTGGAGCCTTTGTTTTTTCTCCTTTTTCTTGCTGGTCGTGCGAGCTCTAACTTTGACAGATCCGTGCGCTTGGCCCGTTCTGCAGGGACCAGGTGACACCATGCTGACAGCGCTCCGAGAAAGGTGCATCATCCAACAAGGAGCTGGAAGACGAGTTCAATGTCTCTCAGTGATAGAAGGTCCAGCCATTAGCAAATGGGCTGTCGTGTGCCGGTCGACCCGACTCGTGTGGCTTGAACCATAGCGTGGTTGACTGATTGACAGCCCAGAATGGAAAGCGGTATGCTGGCCTTGGCTCCGCTCGGAAAAAACTCTGCATTTTCTTTTTCTCATTTCTCGATGCAACTGCACAAGGCGACATCGAATTGATGAAAAATGTCGAAAAAGGGCGGCTGCAGGAGTCAACAGCTTCTAAGCACGAGCCCGTTCGCGGAGAAAGAGAGAGTCAGAGGCTGTGGCTCATTCCGATCAGGCGAAAAAAGCGGCAGCCAATCAATTAATCGTCCTCCACCAATCCAACAATCATCACCATCGTCTTGACCATCTTCAACCACGACAGCGCTGACCACAAGCGACACAGCACCTTCGGCAACCGAACCGCGAAGCATCGCTGCCTGGACGACTGAGCACCTGCACACAGGCTGCACGACGACACCAATCCAAATCGGCTCGCATTAGAAACCGGAATCGCGTCCTACGTGCTATCGTGCGAGGCAAGCAACGTCTACGTATCAGCTAGTACGATCGCAAGCTCGGTCCACTCTACAGCATCGCCGTTGAGCTTGAGAGCTATTACAGGTTTCAGTACAGTGTCGCCCTGCTGCACAGCATATCCGTAGCTCATCTCTGTCACCCAAAGCGGTCGCGTACAACGATTGGTCGCCTCCAAAGCATTCGTCTTCCGACTCTTAGACTGACCCGCCCTCGACCTCAGCAATACATCAGCTCACTACTTCCACCCGCAACTCTCACCACACCTCCCGTCCGACCCGTGACTTGACCAACACCATCAAGCGTCGGACTTTTCATCTCAGCTCCATTCCGCATCTCTCCGGACATTGGCTCTTCCGACCCTGATACACAACCTCATCGCATACGACCCTCGACATAATGGAGAAGGAGGGAGACCCATCTGGAGGCTGGCGCTTCGCCCAGTGCTTCGGAGACAAGGGCGAAGTCGAGGAGATCACCGAAGGTAAGTCTTCCAGATCATCGAGGCAATCGCGCACGACCGCTACTGCTGATGCTTTCGCGAGACATGCAAGGGCATACTTCGGCAGCATGCAAAGGCTAGCGTAGACGCTCTGCCCGTCTGGCGTAGCGCTCGTCGCACGCTAGCTCTTCGGCGCCCCGAAGCGTGCCTCCGCCCTGACCAGCCTACTGACAATCGATCCTGACTTCCCTTTCCGTCCTCACCGTCTCGCTGCTCGCTTCCTTCCATCCGACAGCCGATATCATCTCGACCGTCGAGTTCGATCACACTGGAGACTACCTTGCCACAGGTGACAAAGGTGGCCGCGTCGTCCTTTTCGAGCGCAATGACTCCGTAAGTACTCCATCAGGCCGTCGCATCTCCTCCCCAATGCTCCGGAATCGCCAGCTGACCTCGTCACCGTATTAAATCTTGCTTATCGCGTCTCTATCGCCTCCCACAGAAAAAGGGCTGCGAATACAAGTTCCACACAGAGTTCCAATCACACGAGCCAGAGTTCGACTATCTCAAGTCGCTCGAAATCGAGGAAAAGATCAACAAGATCAAGTGGTGCAGAAGACAGAACGCCGCTCACTTCTTGCTCAGTACAAACGACAAGACCATCAAGCTATGGAAGGTCTTCGAAAAGACGCTCAAGCTCGTGGCCGAGAACAATCACAACGACATGAACTACGGTCAAACGCGCGATCCAGATGTCCACCCATCCTTGCTCCCCGTCCCAACGCCAGCACCCGGAAGCGGAGTCGGGCTTCGTCTCCCCCGTCTCACACCCGTCGATACCATCATTGCAGCTGTTCCTCGCAAGATCTACGCCAACGCCCACGCCTACCACATCAACTCGATTTCGGTCAACTCGGATGGCGAGACCTACATCAGTGCCGACGATCTCCGCATCAACCTCTGGAATCTCAACATCAGCGATCAAAGCTTCAACATTGTCGACATCAAGCCTGTCAACATGGAGGAGCTGACAGAAGTCATTACGGCCGCCGAGTTCCATCCCATCCACTGCAACCAGTTCGTCTACTCGAGTTCCAAGGGCACGATCAAGCTGGCGGATATGCGAGACTCGGCGCTCTGCGATGCGCATGCCAAGCAGTTCGAGGAGGAAGAGGACCCATCCACCAAATCCTTCTTCAGCGAGATCATCAGCAGCATATCTGACGTCAAGTTCTCGCGCGACGGGCGATACATCCTCTCGCGCGACTACCTCACGCTCAAGATCTGGGACGTCAACATGGAGAACAAGCCGGTCAAAACGATCCCCATCCACGACCACCTCCGCTCCAAGCTGTGCGACCTCTACGAGAACGACTGCATCTTTGACAAGTTCGAAGCGCTCTGGGGGCCGGACGGCAAGAAGGTGCTGACGGGTAGCTACAACAACTACTTCCACATCTTTGACAAGGACGACAGCTCGGACGTGGTGCTGCAGGCGGACAAGTCGGCGTTCAAGGCGAAACGCATGGCGGGCGCGGGCAAGAAGGGCAACAAGGGCGGCAACAGCACCCTCGGTGCGCCAGGGCAGATCAACCTCGACAACCCAGACTTTAACAAGAAAATCCTCCACGCCAGCTACCACCCCAGGGAGAACACGATTGCCATCGCTGCGACCAACAACTTGTTCATCTTCAGCGCGAACAACCCGGCAGGCATCCCCATGGCATAGGTTGCACGGCCCAGAGAGGATCAATTGTAACTTTGGAACATTCCTTCCTTGCACACATCAGCCTCGCGCATACGGCCACAGAGGTCAGCGTGCAGGCAACCCGCCCAGATTCCCCCTTTGTATAACCTATCTCCCTTTCGTTCTGCTCGCTCTCTTCGAATCGAACCCTCTTGTTCAACATTCATCTGCATGAGTTGCGCAAATGACCATTCGCGATTGAGCAACTCTCCCGCAGTCGAGGCTCACACTGACGTTTTGACGCGCAGGCCTCAGAGACTCACAGAGAAGACCACAGGAACGGCAGCGGCGATACACCGTTCGCATTGTAAGCGCCCTACAAAAGTGAAACTCACATCTCACGAGCGATGGTCGCCCAGGTGCGGAGCACCTTACACCTCCCCCTCCTCGGGCTCCGACTCCTCGTCGTCCCTTCTGACTCTCTTCACCTTGGTCTCGATCTCCTTACCAGCCGACTCCTGCCTCTCCTTGCGCTTCCTGCCCTCCTCCATCTCGCGCTCCTTCTCCTTCTGCCTTCTTACAAACTTATCCCATGCCCACCTGGGCACCCTCTCGTCCTCCTTCTCGGCATCCTTGAACTCGGCCAGCCCCTCCACTCGCCCCTTGACGTCCTCCCACGATGCATCGAGGTCCAGTGGCGGCTCGACCTTCTTGAACGCATACCGCAGATCTTCGATGCTGTGTCGATGCTTGCGTTCGAGCTTCCTGCGTTCGTCGGTGGCTTTGCGCTCCTGTTCCTCGGCAAGATAGGATACCAGCTCGTGGTAGATCTGCTTGAGTGTGTCTGCGGGGACATCCACCCCAGTAGTCCAGGTAAGAAAGTCCTCCTCGGTGGTGGTGGGTGTCACAGAGTGGCCCGAGGCAGAGATATGCTGCAGCGCATCGGCGGTCTGTCGTTCCAACTCTTGATCGAGCTCGTCGACGAGGTCGAAGAACAGATCGAGCGGCGTGCTCCCCGGCTGACCCACCACGCGGAGGAAGTCAGGATCATCCTTGATGAGTGGCAACACCTCACCCCACGTCGAACGCGGTTTGATCTTCCCCTGTCCCTGCAGCGTGCGGAGCAGCGTCTTGAACGCATCCCTGTTGTGTCGCTCTTTGCGTCGTTTCGCATCCAGTTGACGACGCTTGGCAGCATCAGAGTCCGCCTCGATCGTCTTCATGAGCTCTTCGAAGACCTGTAGCATGTCGCCCAGATCCATGGACGAGAGGTGCGGATCCTCCGTGTACTCCTGCGACTCGAGAATGGTTCGATGTGCGTCGCGCCAGCGGGTGAATACGTCGGCTTCAAATGTTTTGAGGAGCGCCAGGAGCATGTCCATGTTTCTCTTCCTGATTCTCTCCTCCTCCACCTTGTTCGCCTCTCGCACCTCCGCCATGACCGTCTCCCACACCTCCCTTGCTTCCTCATCCCCCCTCGCCTGTCTCCACACCGCCGTACCCCCCAGAAACTTCTTGGCACTATCAAAGCTCGAATACGCCTTCAACCTGCTCTCCCCCAGAATCAGCTGCTTGAAACCCGGCTTGAGCTGTTCCACCCTCCTTCTCGACTCCTCTGCCCGCTCGCGTCGCAGCTCGTCGACGTACTTGTGAAACGCAGCTTTGCGCTCCGCGATGCTCTTGAGCGCCTTGTACAGTGGGTTGGTGATGATGCTCCGCATAGTGGTTTCCCAGGTCCAGTCGACGTCGACGCCCGTTTCGCGGAGGAGGTTGGTGAACGCTGCCTCGGCGCCGGCGTGGTCGTTTTTGAAGTTGAGCTCGGGGGTGCCTGTCATGGTCGTGTGCGCTGTTGTGCGAGGTGCAGCTGCTCGAGTGGGGTTTGGAGACGAGGTCGATGCTGCATGTGGCGATGTGGGGTACGGGCTCTGCGCCGGCGCGGGGGATTGAACATTGCTTGTGACGCGTGGAGAGGCTGCTGCGGAGACGGCACCGTCGATGGGGTACGTGTCGAGAATCTGCTTGAGCTCAGCAGGGAGTGTCCAAGTGGACTGCTTCGTGACAGAGTGCACGTAGTACGATCGCTCGCCCGACTTGTATTCTTTCCAAGGCGTCGACTCGAGCGCCCGCTCCCGTGGGGTTTTGAGCTCGGACGGCTTCTCCCAGACCGAACGCCGCTCCGTGGTGTGGTACCAGTACGGCCGGCCTTCCGGCGTGCGGTGCTCCGTCCAGGGTGCTGGGGCTGACATCTTGGATCCCAGCGAGAAGGGTGGGAAGCGAATGAGGAGGAGAGGATACGGAGCGGAGAAAGAGCGCTTTGAGAAATCTTCCTCAAGACCCTTTCTGGAGAGAGTGCGGGACTCGGACAGAAGCCCTGCAGCTGACGAGCCTGAATTTGTGTGGCTTTTCATAAACATTCTTCGCACCATCCGCTTTGACAATCTTACTTCCTCACGCTCAGCACTTCCACATCAGCTGCTGCCATCAACATTTACTATGTCGGACTCGGCGGATGCCTTCCTCGCCGGCATCGAGGACGAAGTTCGAAGCAAGGCCAACAAGGACCGCACCAACAGCTCGTCCGGTCGAGACCGCGAGCAAGACTACAGCCGCCATCGAGACAGGGACAGCCATCGCGACCGAGACCGCAGGGACCGTAGAGCAGGCAGAGATGGATACGAGGACGACCGTGATGCTTCCTCGAGCTCCCGCAAACGAAGGGACGCGGACGATCGCGACGACCATGACCGATATCCACGCAAGTCACAGCGTGACGATCGGGACAGGCGCGACAGCTATGATGACGAGAACCGCCGTCGTCGACGCAGAGAGGACGACTACTACGGTACTGGAAGCGGGAGCAGAGGCAGCCGTGACGGAAGGGATGGCTACTCGTATCGACGAGATCACCGCGATCGGGGAGACGACCGATACCCAGGCCGCAGGGACCGCTCGAGGTATGACGACGATGATTACTACCACGATCGCGGCAGCAGGAGCCGCGGTGGTGACTGGAGAAGCGCCGAGGGGCGTGACAGCAGCCCTTCGGTGCGTCGCAGTCCCACACCGGAAGGCACTCTCCCCATCAGCGAGCGACCTAGGCCGGACTCGAAATGGGACATCCCCGCCCCTGGGTTCGAGGGCACCAGCGCTCTCGCTGCCAAGGCAACCGGCCTGTTTGGCATCCCTGGTCAGACTCGGCTGGTAGGCATGCCGCCCGTGAACCTCGGTGTCAACGGTCCAGGCGTGCCGCCCGGTGTGGGATTGCCGCTGCCGCCCATCCACATGGGCGGGCAACCGATCCATCCTCATCGCGGTGGACCTCCTCATTTCCGCCCATACCCGCCTCAGCACGACCATGGCTATCAGTCTCACCCCTCTATGCATCAGCAACAGCCGTACGGTCGATCGCAGCCCTACCCTCCCCACGCTGGCCACGGCCCCGACAACGGCGCTCACCCTTCCTCGCAAGGTCCCTCGCCCGCCGAGCTCGCAACCCAAAACGCCAACCGCCAAGCACGTCGTCTCTACGTCGGCAACATCACGCACCAAACCACCGAACCCAACATCATCGCATTCTTCAACGAACAGATGCACAAACTCCAACTCGGCACCGAACCGGGCGATCCGGCCGTCTCTGCGCAGGTCAACGTCGACAAGGGTTACGCATTCGTTGAGTTCCGTCACCCTGAGGAGGCGACCAACGCCATGTCTTTTGACGGCATCGTCTTTCAATCCCAATCGCTCAAGATTCGACGACCGAAAGATTACACGGGACCGGACGTTCGACCTCCCCTCTCGATCCATGTGCCAGGTGTGATCAGTACGAATGTGCCCGATTCGCCGCATAAGATCTTTGTCGGTGGACTGCCGACGTATCTGACGGACGACCAGGTGGTAGAGCTGCTGCAGGCGTTTGGCGAACTGCGCGCGTTCAACTTGGTCAAAGATGCAGGGACGGGTGCGTCGAAAGGGTTTGCGTTTTGCGAATATGTGGACACCGCATTGACGGATCTAGCGTGTCAAGGGTTGAACGGGATGGAGTTGGGGGAGAGGAATTTGGTGGTGCAACGGGCGAGTGTGGGGAGTGAGAAGAAGGCTGCTGCCATCGCCACCCCGGTGGGGGTGCCGAGCTTTGCAGGTGAGGGAGGGGATGCAGGCGAGCCAACACAATGCATGGTGTTGTTGAATATGGTCACCCCCGAAGAGCTGCAGGACGACGAGGAGTATGCGGATATCGTAGAGGACATCCGGGAGGAGTGTGCGAAGTATGGAGTGGTCGAGGATGTGAGGATTCCAAGGCCGGCGAAGGAGAGCAAAGGGGCGGCCGCACAGGCGTGGAAGCGCACCCAGGCAGAGACGAGCGCAGATAGCAAGGAGAGGGAAGGGGTAGGAAGGGTGTATGTGAGGTACAGAGAGACAGAAGGGTGTGCAGCCGCGCTCAAGGCTATTGCGGGGAGGTCGTTTGGGGGCAGGACGGTCATCTGTGCCTTTTTGAAGGAGGACGACTGGCCGGGTGATGAGGATGGAGGTAGGGATGCTGATGATACTGCTACCCAGGCGAGGGGTGGGGCTGCTGCTTAGAACGGCGATCGCACATGAAGACTCTCATTCACCTCGTTCCGATATGAATGACAATGCTATGGACTCAGCCAAGCTCGTTTGGTCGTTGTCCGTCTTCGTCGTGAGCAGAGGAGCCTGATGGTGCGCCGATCGCCGATCTAGCTTTCGAAGGTTGTCGCGGTGAGATCCGCTCTGCGGGGCAAGTCGGGCGAACAGACGAGCGAAAATCGACCCACTTTTCCTGCTGTGGCTCAAATCGATTTCGAGCTGGCTGTGCTGTGCAGCCAAAGAAGAAGCCCCGATTTGTTTGTTGTTGGGCTGGCCTTTTCAGCAGCGGAGAAACCTTGTTGGCTTGGAGACCAGCCGAAATGGCACGATTTCTTGAGAAAAGGGTGTCTCGCGTGTTCTTCCTGCGTGTCAGGCGACTCTGGTCCAGATTTCGAGTCTTCTTCATTCCTTCTGATCTGCGAGCAGCAGCAGCAGGCAAACGCGCTTGGACCCGCCACCCGACCGCGGTCCAATTTTTAAGAACGGCAATTCATGCTGGCTTCAACGGCTCCAGTGCCTCTTCTCAACGCGTTGCCACGCAAAAACTCTGGCTTTCTTTTTTGATTTCTTCTTGCAGCACTGGCCACGCTTGATTGGCCTAGCTCTCTTGCTCGCACTGCCTCTTCGTGATGAACTTCGCTGCGTGCGTGTAGTGGGCGAAAGAGGGTGAATGCAAGCGTGCGCTTCCGAGGGTGCATGCGTGTGTCGCGTTGGAGCGAGCGAGCGAGAGTGAATGAGGCGAGCGTAGTGTTGCTCTTTGGCCAGTTGTCCGTTTTTCCCTCGAGCTGCAGAGTGGATTTGACCGATTTGAGCTTGATCGACAACTGACCGGTGAAAGGTGTTGGCTCACCGACCCACTGCATCACTCATTCGTCCGCTACCTCGCACAGGCTTCATTCCCTCTTCCACCATCCACATCCCAACATACTCTGCAAACATGTCGACCCGCCCCCAGAACGTCGGAATCAAGGCCATCGAGATCTACTTTCCCCGTAGGGTACGTACTCTCGTCCAACGAGCTCCAGCTCGCTCGCTTCGCTTTGCTGCAACGATGCCACGAAGGGGCTGATAGCGACGAGGAGGTCGACCGCAAAGAGCTAGAGCGCATCGCTACCATTCTACGCAAAGAGCTTCTGAAGCTGACCCTTTCACCCTCTTTCTCCCCCTTCAAACAGTGCATCTCGGAAGATGAGCTCGAGGACTTTGACGGTGTAGCCAAGGGCAAGTACACCATCGGCTTCGGTCAGAAGTACATGGCTTGCACCGACGACCGAGAGGACATCAACTCGTTTGCTCTTTCGGTTGTCTCTGGTCTTCTCGAGAAGAACAACATCGACCCCCGCAGCATCGGCCGTCTCGATGTTGGTACCGAGACCATCATCGACAAGTCCAAGTCGGTCAAGACCGTGCTCATGGACCTCTTTGGTCCCTCTGGAAACAACAACATCGAGGGCATTGACAGCAAGAACGCCTGCTACGGTGGCACTGCTGCGCTCTTCAACGCCATCAACTGGGTGGAGAGCAGCTCGTGGGACGGCCGTGACGCCATTGTCGTCGCTGGTGACATTGCCATCTACGCCGAGGGTTCAGCACGTCCCGTCGGTGGCGCTGGTGCCGTTGCGATGCTCATCGGCCCTGACGCTCCTCTCGTCTTTGAGCCCGCTCACGGCACGCACATGAGCAACTACTGGGACTTCTACAAGCCCAACCTCTCGTCAGAATACCCCGAGGTTGACGGCCCCGAGACGCTCCAGACCTACCTCGGATGCCTCGACAAGACCTACGACGCTTACCGTCAACGTGCTGCCAAGCTCAGAGACGGTGCCGCCAACGGTGCTAACGGTCACGCCGATGCTGCCGCTCTTGCCTCGATCAAGGTGGACGACTTTGACTACACTCTGTTCCACAGCCCTTACTCGAAGCTCGTCCAGAAGGGATTCGGCCGCCTGCTCTTCAACGACTTCCTCGCGGATCCCAAGAACGAGAAGTACGCCTCCATCCCCGCCAACTTTGCCGAGCTCGACCGCAAGTCGACCATCACGAACAAGGACGTCGAGAAGGCTTTCGCTGCTTTCGGCAAGGAGCTCCAGCAGACCAAGCTCGAGCCCGGTATGGACACGGTGCGACGATGCGGTAACATGTACACCGCCTCGCTCTACGGTGGTCTGGTCTCGTTGCTCTCTAACATCTCGTCGCAAGAGATCCAGGGCAAGCGAATCCTCATGTACTCGTTCGGTTCGGGAGCCGCCGCTTCCATGTTCGTCATCCGCGTCAACGGCTCGACCGAGCAGCTGGTCAAGGCTGCGGACCTCAAGAACCGCCTCGCCAGCATGAAGGTGGTTCCCTGCCAGACCTACGTCGAGGCTCTGCAGACGCGTGAGGCTACGCACAACGCCGTTAACCACAAGCCCGTCGGCCAGCTCGAGAACCTGTGGCCCGGCGCATACTACCTCGAGAACGTCGACCACATGTACCGCAGGACATACGGCCGCATCCCCGCCAACGCCAACTAAGCGTTATTTCACATGTCAGGCTCTTGGTCACCAAAACTTTTCCATCATGCTCCGTTTCAGGCAGTCTTTTGCACTCTGTACCGCGGCCGTCTTTGAATCCTGTCTCGCCTTTGACACAATAATATGAATGCATAGAACGCAACCGGGAGATCCTCGAATCTCCCTCGCATGTGCTACTGTCTGAAGCACCAGCTCGTCTCGGTCTTGTCCGAACCGCATTGACTTAGTCAAGACGGTGTTTGCGGCCTCGTCCGTGCACCTACACTGCCGCGGATCTCTCAGACGAACAAACGCAGACTCGGAAGCGTTCCGACGGTCGGATCTACAAGAATCGATGGTTCACAATTCGGTCAATCCTCGGATCGTCGCTTCGAACGAGCGTGGGAACTCGTTCGGATCATCCGACTCTGCAGTCCCTCGCAATAGTCTCAATGACCGCTGCCGCACGCCTCAGAACCGTAACCCATTCTGCCTCCATCCAGTCACACCCACTGCTCGGCACAGCCGCTTGCTGATTCCGACGCAAGATAGCATTCCGAGTGGGGATCCCTCTGCTGCGGTCACCGTCCTGTTCCCGTGACGACTCAGCGCCGTCGGATGGTCCGTCTTGCTTTCTCAGGCTCTTCTGGGCGCAGCAAGACAGGCTCTGCGTTAACCCCGGAGGGGGCAAAACGCAGGCTGGCTGCAGATTGCCACCACCCTGCTGAGCCACTCAACGTTCACCGCAAAGTATAAGAGCACGCCGTCCAGAGCACTCGGGTGCCTTCCCCTCTCCCACACTCATGTCCTCTTCGACTAGAGCTATCTGGAAGCTCATACTAGCAAGTCGTCTCGGGCTCCCATTCTCTTCTCGACCTTGCTTCTATCCGTGCTGGTAGACACCCGGCCTCCTTCAGCGCGATGCGGATCACACACGCTTCCCCGGCACGCCTAGAAAGATCAGGTCCCTTCCCGACTTTGCTTGCACTCTCACTCGCACTCCTCGTTTTCGCTGCTCGAGTCGCGTCTCTGCCCGCCGCCAGACCGGTCTTTCAGCCCGCACCGCCCAGGAGCAAAGCAACGGATCGACTCGAGCCTCGTTTCGATGGCAGGGACATCGATCATCGCGAGCTGCTCCGCAAGCGACACGAGCAGATCTCCTCGGGTTCAGTCGCAACCGGCTTCGTACATCCTACGCATCTCTACCGTCGCGATGCCGATGCCCTCCCGCCTCCGGACAAAGCCTACAACATGACCGTCACCCAGGATATGATCAGTCCCGACGGTTTCGACCGGCTCGGCTTCCTAATGAATGGCAACTTCCCGGCGGACCCTTTCGTCTGGGACGAGAACGACGATGTCGAGATTACCGTTATCAACGAAAGTCCGGTGCCCTTCGCAATCCACTGGCACGGTATTCATCAGATTGGAACGCCCGAGATGGACGGCGTGCCAGGTCTGTCGCAGTGGAACATCTACACAGGCGAGTCGTATACCTACCGCTTCAAGCTGATCAATCAACACGGCGGCTACTGGTACCACAGTCACGAGCGAGGATATTATGCCGACGGCCTGCGAGGTACCATCTACATCCGACCCAAGCCGGATCGTTTGAAGCCGTGGAGCCTCATCAGCCAAGACCAGGAGGATATCGATCAGATGGAGGCGGCCGAGCAAGACTTCCAGGTCATGTCGCTGTCCGACCATTGGCACATCAATCACACTGACATGCTGCTGGTCGTGCACGAGACAGGCGTTCCCCCTGCGTGCTTCGACTCGCTACAGATCAACGGTCGAGGTCGACAGTACTGCGTCAACGACTGGACAAAGGTGTGGTCGCCAATCCAGGCTTCGCTTCTCACCAACTTTTCGTCGACCAATCCCGACGGCATCACCTCCAAGGGTTGCATCTCGCTCGTACCGCCCAAGCCAGGCTACAGCGTGAAGGGAACGCTCGACACGAGATACGGCGGTGTCTGCCAGAATACTTCGGCCCCTCTGACCGTCTTCAGCGCTGCAAAGGCCATCAAAGAGGGGCGACGATGGCTCAACCTGCAGGTGATAGACACGGCTACGAATTGGTACTACGGAGTGAGCATCGACTCTCACAAGATGTGGATCGTCGCCGTCGACGGTCACTATATCCATCCCATGCAGGTCGACTGGGCGCAGATCACGATTGGAAGCCGTCTTAGCGTCATGATCGAGCTGGATCCTGATTTCAACGGCAATGTCTTCCCCATCCGTCTCACGGGCGCGCGAGCCCTGCAGCCCATCGAAGGGCATGCTTTCCTGTCTTACATCGACGAGATCGATGGCACGTGGAACCCAGAGCTCGAAGAGGACTTTGGCTATGCGATGCGGACCTTGAGCAAGGCCCATGTGCCTATGAGCGGCTTCATCACGGACACCTCGGTCGTCAAATGGAAGCAGAATCTCAGCGCGCCGTTCGATCCCATCAGCCAGGTGCCTCAGACGTCCAACATGACGCTGCATGCCGTGGCATCCCAGAACAGCCTCAACGTGTGGCAGCTGGCAACGCAACCGCTCGACACGGCTCATCTGGCAGACGAGAGACCGATGCTCTTCAACGCGACGGATGGCAACATCACCTCGAACCAGATGAATCCCTACGCTGCTACCCCCTTCGGTACCGTCGTCGACATCATCATGGAGAACAATATCTACTCGATCGTCGGAGGTCCCAACAGCCCGCATCCTTTCCACATGCATTCGCGACGCTTCTGGATCATCGGCAGCGGTGCTGGCCCTTTCCCTGCTGACACTGTCGCCGAAGCACAGGAGCAGGGCGTTGCTTTCAACCTCGACAATCCGCCTCTACGGGACGGCTTCGACATCGACTCCAATTCTTGGGTCGTCATCCGCTACGTCGTGGACCATGCAGCGGCCAACATCCTCCACTGTCACATCGACGACCACGCCATCGAGGGCATGGCAGCAGTGCTGCTGGAGGGTCTCGAAACCATACCCGCAGGTGGAAACTTTAGCGAGTCGATCAAGGCGCGACCCGCCAATTTTATGGAGACGCAGAACGACGAGCTGGGTCAGGTGCTGGAGGCGAGCTGGGCGACCGGCGCTGTCAACTCCAAGTACGTTGCTCCCGCACCGACGGAGACGATGACGCCCTGGGGAGATCCGAGACCGCTCGCCAAGAGCATCGAGCTGTTTGCTAGCTCGAACAGCGTGCAGAGGTCGATTGCGAGCTCGTTGCAGAAGCAGCTGAGTGCAATGCAGGCCACAGCGACGTACGATGTGACGGCCATCACGGCGACCGTATCGGACTATCTGACGACGTTCACGGGTGTCGCTCCGAGCACGACTGGAGCTCTATCGGCGACGACAATGGCCATGACAAGCTTGGCGGAGGCGACTGAAACAGCCGATGCTCCTCTCGATACTGCCCAGTCGACTTTGGTTGCTGCTGCCTCCACGCCCACCATCTCGGCGACTGCGGCTGCTGGGGAAGCCGAAAGTGCGGACTCCCCGGTCGCCACACAGGCAAGTGCTCCGTCGACTGTCACTGTCACTGTGATCGCTTCCGCGCAGGAGACCGAGGCCGCATCTTTGGTCGCCTCTGCGGCTTTCACAGCCACGGCTACCGCGCCGGCACTGGGTGCGGGCCAACAGACTGACACTGCCGCGAGCGGTGCCTTGGCAAGTGGCAGCATCGTCCCTTATTCGACCTTGTACCGCACTCTTTCGGCCACTGCTGCCATTCAGTCAGCTGCTACGGTGGGAGTGGTCTTCTCGGATGGAACGGTGCCTGCTGCGTCCACTCAGACCGCCCTTGCGTCTTCGTTTGGTACGCCAGCTGCAACCAGCTCCGGCTTCGACACCGCTGTCCGAGACGGAACAGCGAGCGCCTCAAACAGTGTGCTCGGCACCATCCCTTCGAGTCGAACGAGCGTTGCAGCCTCGGCTATTCTCACAAGCACCACTCACGTCTACTCGGTCATTGCGACCCAGCAGGTCGTCTCGAGCGCCGTCGTGTCTCTCGACAGAGCGGCCTCGACGAGCTTGCCCGCAACGACTTCAGCTGGTCTTGCCACTGCGGGCGGAACCAGCCTCAATCCTGCCAACTATGGGACCAATTCTGCCACTGTTACGTTCACAGTCGGGCCGACGTCCACCGAAGCGCCCGGCGAAGCCACGCCGACGTCCGCGGAAGCGCCAGTTGGAGCCACCCCGACTCCGGATCCGACCACCGGTGCTACTGATGACGAGACTCCGGACGCCACTGATGGTGCAATGGACGACGAACCTGCCTACAGTGATCCAGTCTTCCCTTCGGACAGCGGTGATGCCACACAGACAGCGGATGGCGGGCTCGATGCTGCTGCCAGCGCGACCGACGAGGCTGCTCCTGCTGCGACTGACGTTGCTGGCGGTGACGACGGTGGAGATGGCAATGATGTTGGGGACGGCAACGATGTTGGGGACGGCAGTGATCTCGATGCCGGCCTAGACGATGGGGCCGTAGACACTGTGCCCGAGGCCGACCCCTCCGAGACCTCCGTACCCGAGTAGATCCCATGTTTGATCCTTGCTCCTCGCTTTGCAGAGCTGCGTTTCCTCTTCACGTACAATGTCTACCTGTGTTCGCATTCTTGTCGTGCAAGACTGTTTGTTTCCTTTACAAACATCTCGAAGGGCGCAAAGCCTGTCGCGATCGGGTGTCGACGTTGTTGAGAGAGAGTGAGAGGTTCCCAGGGCAAAAAGCATAGCCGCTCCCAACCGTCGGTTGAGGCCACGCTGGCCCGGCTATGAATTTGTGACTTCTAGAAAGTGGAGATCCGTGCGCCTTACACAGCCGTCCAGAGCCTCCTCGACAAGGTTTCCTCACCTTATCCACCTGACTGTCTAGCTCAGCACTGTCTTCAACTGTCGTCCAGTCTACATCACACCAAAAAAGATACTCAAACAGCGTATTTGCAAGCATGCCATCGTGGCAAGAGGTCGCCGAAGCCAAGCGGGCGCAGCGGGAGGCGCTCATCCCGGACGCATACAAGGTGGCAGCCGATTCGTTGCCGGCTGCGAGCACCGACTCCGTGGTCGACTTTCCTCGCACCACTGGGATCCTCTCGGAACGCGAGATCGAGATCACGGAGACTGACGATGTCTCTGTCTTGCTAAAGAAGCTAGCGAGTGGTCACTACACCGCTGTCGAAGTGTTGGAAGCCTTCATCAAGAGGACGTGCATCGCGCATCAGCTCGTCAACCCTCTCACCGAGATCCACTTTGACGATGCAAGAAAGCTCGCGGCTGAGCTTGACGCAGAGCTCAAGTCGACCGGAAAGGTGCGCGGCCCGCTGCACGGTCTGCCGATGAGTGTCAAGGACCAATTCCAGATCAAGGGCTCAGATGCGACGATCGGCTACATCAGCTATGCGAACAAGCCTTCGACGGCCGACTCGGTACTGGTTGAGGTGATCAAGAAGGCGGGAGCGGTGCCATTCGTCAAGACGAATCTGCCTCAGACGATCATGTATTCCGAGTCGTCGAACCACCTGTGGGGCACAACATTGAACCCGCACAACCGAACGCTGCACCCCGGTGGCTCTTCGGGTGGTGAGGGTGCACTGGTAGCCATGAAGGGATCGCCGCTGGGTGTAGGTACGGATGTGGGTGGGTCCGTACGAATCCCTGCGGCGCTTTGTGGACTGTTCGGACTTCGACCGTGCTCGCACCGATTCCCTTATGAAGGGGCCGTCAACTCTCTGGTCGGACAGATCACGATTCCTTCCGTACTGGGTCCGCTTAGTCGATCGCTGACAGGTCTGACCGAATTCTCTAAGGCGGTGCTGGCTCAAGAGCCGTGGCTGCTGGATCCACAGACGCCATCGATGCCCTGGAACGAGGACCGCTTCCAGCAGGCTCGCACACAGAAGAAGCTCAACATCGGCGTGATGTGGCACGATGGCGCCATCAAGCCCTCGCCACCGTACGAGCGTGCCATCAAGGAAGTGCTTTCCGCGCTATCAGATCACGACATTGTCGACTTTGAGGCGTACAAGACGAACGAGGCGATGGAGATCCTAGTCGAGGCGTTCATTGCAGATGGAGGCAAGGACATCTCTGCTGCCATTGCGCCCCTCGATGAACCTCTGGGGCCCTGTCTGTCCGGTATCGGCAAGCCGGAATACACGGGTCATCAAGTCTGGCTGGCCAACAAGCGCAAGCTCGAGTTCCAGAAGGCCTACCTGGACCACTGGAATGCGACTGCCAAGCAGACCAAAGACGGCCGTCCCATCGACATCCTCATCGTGCCGGGCATGGCCTATACTGCCATTCCGCCTGGCAACGACATCTACGTGGCGTACACGGGCATCTTCAACCTGGTCGACTATCCAGCTGTCGTACTGCCCATCACCAAGGTCGACCCGGCCGTGGACGGACTGGCCAAGAGAAGTGGGGACTTCCTGTCGGAGGACGACGAGAAGTGGTACAAGAAGTGGGACGCCGAAAAGCTTGTCAATGCCCCTGTCAGCGTTCAGATCGTCGGTCGAAGGTACGAGGAGGAAGCGGTGCTGGGTTATGCCGAGCAAGTTTGGAACGCCTTTGCTGCTTCCAAGACGAAGTGAAGCGGCCGCATAACCTGTTGCTATTTCTACATCCTTGCAAACGTTCGATCTTACAAAGACGAATTTTTCGAAAAGCAATGAAATGAGCTACTCACGTGACATTTTGACACGCGGTTTGACTTGAGACTCGATTTTGACTCGAGCGCGTGTGTTGATTTCATTCATGCAGCTTGGCCGCTGGAGGAAGGCCGAAGCAGAGACAAGCCAGCAGCTCAGTCTCGGGCGCATGCACGAGTCAGGTGGCTTCCTCGACGCAGAGCGCAGAAGCGGATGACCCGGTATGAAGTCAAGAGCAAAGTGTGGGTCACGGCAATCATCGACCAGAGCCATGGAGAAGAGAGCGCAATGGAATGGGAAGGCGATTTGAGAATATTTGGCGGTGAGGCAGAGTATGCGAGCTTAGGACAGATTCCACTTTGCACCTTTCGCCCCGCTTGCCCATCGCTCTCGCTGCAATCACTGTCAAGTCACCAGTTAGCAGACCTCGAACTGTCCTTCTCGTTACTGATCGCTACCGGCAGCCCCAGGCGGTCTTCATCATCTTCACCTTCCTCTTCGACGCCTGCTCGACATCTTCCTCACCTATAGAGCGTGTCGGGACAGCGACCCATCCATCAGTGTCCGCCATCTATCTTGGCAAAGGCGTCTCGCACAGCAAGGGACAAAGACCGACGAAGAAGCATGCATCCGTTTCGGTCGATCTAGGAATACATCTGCTAGTGCTAATCAGCTCGTCAATTACCCATCCACTTCCTTCTCAACCACCAACATCGCCGCACATCCTTTCAGTGACGTGCTGAAAGGCTGTCACTGCGACTCACAATGACCGCAGTCTCGAGATACGCCGACTTTCCGCCATCCACACCCATCCTCCGACGGTCAATGAGGCATGGCGGTATGGTCCCAGACCAGACTCCCACCGACAATGCCAATGCCACAATCGGCGACAGTCCGCTTCCGGCTCCTCCCGTCAGTCACTTTTTCGGGGATGCCGAGTCAGAAACGGATGTGCCGCCACCGGTAGTCAGCACAACATCTCACGCTCACACTTCGGCCGCACCTCGAGTCAGGTCATATCGCACTTCAGCCGAAGCGCAACGAGAGACAAAATCGGACCCATACGATGACTCGCCAGGTACAGGGCGTAGGGCTGTTCCTGTCGCGTCACAGCGAGACGAGCTGCAACACCTCCGAGCATCAAGCATCTTCCGTGAGGCTCAATCACACGAGCCGCTCAGCAAATCTCCACCCTTTGCAGCAGGGTCAGCAATGAAACATGACGACTTGCGGTCCAGGAGTTCGCCACCGCTTCGTTCCGCGAGAACGGTTCCCCAAAGCACCGCTTCACCTCTCTTTGACGGGGATCTGCGAAGCAACGCAGCTATGCCCACATATCGTCGACGCAGCAACGAGAAGCCAGAGGAGGAAGAGGAGAAAAAGGTCAGATATGCTCCCATCGAGGAGCGTGCTTCCGTCAAGCGAGACTCTCCCGACGATGTCGTGCCCCGAGCTGCTGCCTCTTCCAGCGTCCAGCCATCCGCTGGCTACCGCACACCGGCTATGGCAGGTCGTGCCCTTCGGTCGAGCGCTACTGCAAATGCTGCTCCAACCACCGCACAACGCAGCGCAGGGAGAAGTCTCCGCACGCTCACCCGATCTTCCAATCGTCACCCACCGGCAAGGAGGGTAGTCAGGCGATATTCGGACGATGAGGATGACGATCTGGAGGGAGAGGGAGCCGTGGATGGAAACGGATCCAACAAGAGCGGAGAGGCGCTTCACAGCGCCAGTCCAGACAACGGCCAGGAGCGACCGTCCCAACACAATCAGGACGGCAGCTCCAACTCTGGGTCCGGTTCCGGCTACGGATCGGGTGCGGGGGCGAATGGCTCGGCAGAAGCCATCGAGAGACCTGATCGACGATTCTTGCCCTACGGCTACGATGCAGAGAAGGAAAAGATCAGGGCTGAGATGATGGAGAGGGCGTCTCTCGTCCGCTCGCCCGGGCCGGAACCGAAACCGTCTGGCAACGAGGCACACGGCGAGGATCAGGACTACGACATGCAGGAACCGCCGCCGCCTCGCAAGAATGAGGCTCATCCGCTCGCACGCAGACCGGTGATCGAGCAAGCGAATGGATCGATCCACCCGACCAAAGGTCAAGCCGAGGCCATCCACAACTTCCTCGCTTCTAACATTGCTGCTCCTGTCGATCCCATGGCGCATCGTCGTATGGTCGCGCCATCTTCAAACGACCTTCGAGTTGGTCAGCGAGCCGCATCGAGCTATGACGGCCCACTCAAGTCATCCATGGCCTTGTCGTCCACCTCCGCAGCATCAGCACCAACCACACAGCAGGATGACGACGAGCCAGCAGACGAGGAGGAGGGTCGGCTGTACTCCGAAATTCGCCCCGAAGCCATTTGGGCCGAAACAACACGCCAGATGCAGAAGCCGCTCAGCCAACACGACCGATTCGCTAAAGAGATCTCGGGCTCCACGCGCTGCGTCAAGCTGCCCGGCTTCAAGTTCCGCAGAAAGCAGCTGACCAAAGGTGGATTCTCCACGGTCCACGTCCTGCGGGGTCCTGCGAGCGAGAAAGTGCTCAACCCGGACACGCAAGCGATCGTCGAGATGGCGGTTCCCGAGGAGCAGCAGGCCTTCTTTGCGCTCAAGCAAGTCGATCTCAGGCAGATCGAGAGCGAGCAAGATAAGCTGGATCTGATCGCCGAAGCCAACCTCTTGCGCACGCTGTCCGATCTCGATGGCAGCGACATGTATCTCTTGCGCTACTTCGGCCATCACGTCAATGTCGGTAAGGACGGCAACCCGGACAAGCTGCGCATCCTCATCGAGCTGGGTGAAGGCGACTTTGGCACACTCCTCGCGCAACAGGCTCCCCTGCCACGCGAAGCGGTCGCCCACTACTTCCGCGAGATGCTCGAGGCGGTGCACTTCATCCACGAAGCCAACCTCGTGCACGCCGATCTGAAGCCGGCCAACTTCCTCATGGTCGACAACCGCATCAAGCTTATTGACTTTGGCATTTCGAAAAAGATCCCCAAGGGCACGGTGCACATTTCTCGCGATAACATCATTGGAACGCCCAACTATATGGCGCCGGAAGCGATCAAGATTGCGCGCGCCAAGGGGAGGAGGGTGTACAAAGCGGGTAAGCCCAGTGACGTTTGGTCGCTAGGGTGCATTTTGTATCAGATGATCTGGGGCAGGCCGCCGTTCGACCGCGTGCCGGCCAACAGGAAGTTGGAGGCGATCGTCGATCCAGATCACGAGATCGTGTGGAACCGATTCAGGGATCCAAGGTACCCGGAAAGGATGGAGGTGGACGACGAGCTGCTGGACTGCGTTCAATCGGCATTGCGGTATGGGTCGGAGGAGAGGGCGACGATTCCGCAGCTCTTGCGGCATCCGTTCCTGAGGAAGTACGGGGGTGAGGCGGAGGGGATGGAGGAGGAGCAGGGCGAGGTGGTGGACCTCAACGAGGAAGTCACCGTCTCGAGAAGGACGCTGAGGAACCTCGTTGCGAGGATCCGGTCGCTGGCACTGCAGCAGGAGCTGACCGAGGAGAACGTCGTCGAGAGAGCCGATCTGCTCTTCTCGAATCTTCAACAGGCCCAGCAGCAACAACTTCAGCCGCAGCAATGACGGACCGATATACACGCTCAACATTCATACCCACTGCCGTCGACGCCCGTTCACATGGCGGCTCCTCGGCAGCAAACAAAACAACGCAAGCACATACACACCTGGTTCCGGCCTCTTTTCGTCTTCATTCTGGTTCGTCCAGTCATTCATTCATACTTTGGCTCCTCCTCTACATACGTTTAAGCTGCTTCGTTCATCATGGAATGGTACACATACTTCTGTCGACAACATCTGCCCTGTGTTCGTGACTCTCCGATCCTACTCTTCGAGGGAGGATGTCGGGTTTTCGCCTTGCCGGTTCTGCAGGTGGCGGGCTAACATCATGAAAAAAATTGGGTCCGGCTTCGAGACTGAGCTGGAAGGCGAAAGACCGCGAACGAAGGAAATTCAGGCATGAGCTGCTGAGTGAGTCCAGACTCGAAAGGCTGAGGCCACGTCTTCGCATCGACTCGTGAACCAACACACGGAAAAAGAAAGTCATGCAGGGCGCAAGGCTTTGTGGCCCAAGAAGCGCACTTGCCACCCTTCTTTCCTTGGTCTCGGTCGAGTCCAACACCTTCTTATATCGTTCACTACGATCATCTGCTTTCCCCTTCCCTTGCGAACGTTCATCCACACATCTTCTCCATCCGATCGAATTTGCTCCAGCTCGCTTCGTCTCAAGTGTAGGTCTTGCCTTTTGCCCCGTGCTCCTTGCCATTCTCTTCTTCCGGCCCGACCTTCATCCAACAACGGACTCGGAGTCGGCACCCGCCACGCGGCTGCGGCACTGCCGCTCGTATGATGACCACAACCTTTCACTTTCGAGATATACATGTTAGACTGCTTAGTCGAAAGCATGCAGACACGAAGCATTCTGACTCGTCTCGCGGTTCCAAGAGAAGAAGAGACAGCACCGCATGGCTCTCTGCTACAGCAGAACACAGACTGACGACTTGGGCTCCTCTCCTCATCTCTGCTACTGCAATAGAACAGGCCTCAATCTCACACAGCGCACATCCGCCATGACGTCGCAGCAGACACCATTGGCATACGCCGTCGCACAATGGCTTCAGCAGTCGTCGTCCTCTGTTCCCGCTGATCAGAAGGCCAAGCTGCAGCAAGCGGCCGAGAGCGTCTCCGAAGCTTTCGGCGTCGACACATCTTCATCGGAGCAGCAAGCCAAGTACGGCTCCGGACCCGGTCTGCAGGCCATCTTTGACATTTTCCTTAAGACACAGGCCAAGATGGGTGGTGGTGCTGCGCCCGCCCCCGCCGCCGCTTCTTCTTCGACCTCATCCGCACCCGCATCGTCGGCTGCGACTCCCTCGGCCGACGACCTCGCCAAGGCGGAGCAGCTCAAGTCAGAAGGCAACAAGGCCATGTCCGCCAAGGACTACGGTGCGGCCATCGAGGCGTACGGCAAAGCCATCGAGCTCAACCCTAACTCGCCCGTCTACTTCTCCAACCGCGCTGCTGCGTTCAGCCAGATCGGGCAACACGACCAGGCCATCGATGATGCCCGCCAGGCGAGCAAGATCGACCCCAAGTTCGGCAAGGCATACAGCCGATTGGGCCATGCGCTCTTCAGCTCCGGTCGATACCAGGAGGCTGTCGAGGCGTACCAGCAGGGTGTGGAGGTGGATCCCACCAACGAGGTGCTCAAGAAGGGTCTTGCTGCGTCCAAGGAGCAGGTCTCTTCGTCTTCCTCTAGCAGTGCCAACGCCAACCCTTCCGCTTCGCGCGATGCAGTCTCGTCGCCAACGGCTGGCGCAGATGCAGGCGCGGGCGCAGGCGGGTTTCCCAACTTCGGCGGCGGTGCAGGTGGCATGCCCGATCTCGCAGCCATGATGAACAACCCCATGATCGCCCAGATGGCCCAAAACCTCATGTCGAACCCGGACAGCCTCGCGTCGCTGATGAACAACCCCATGCTGCGACAGGCCGCCGAGCGCTTCGGCGGCGGAGGCGGTATGCCCGACATGAGCGCCATGATGAACGACCCGGCGTTGCGCGATATGGCGAGAAACTTTATGGGTGGTGCGGGCGGTGCCGGTGGTGCCGGTGGGAGGGGAAGCGGGGGTAACGGCAACAACATGTATGGTTAAAGGGAGGGATTGCGCTTGGATTCGGACTCGAAATATATCCTTTTGATGACTATGTACGATGCTGATCAGCTGTGTCTATGGTTTTGGATTGAGTGCGATTGAGTGTGGCATGGCGAGATGTGCAGAAAGTGATGCGGATGGTGGTCGGAGATGGCCTCGCGGTGTGGAGGAATTGCGCCAAAAAAAAAGTGCACAAGCCTTATCACTTTCTTCTGAACCGGGCTCCCTCTTCATCTTTCACCACCAGCGCAACGCACAATGTCCAGTGAGCATCACGATCCCAACTCATCCTACCTCTTCGCTCTCTGTCGCCCGCTGACCTCTTCCACTCTTTATCGCAGCAGCCCCCTCTGTGCGGGTGCTGTACTTCGCCTCGGCACGAACGACCATCGGTCTGTCCCAGGAGACCCTCGCCCTTCCTACCTCGCCCTTCCCGCTCAGCTCGCTCGTCGAACTCATCGCAAACAAGCACGAAGGCGTCGAGCAGGTGCTCAAAACGTGCCGCTGGTCCGTGGACAACACGCTCATCGAGCTCGACGAGATCGGCGAGTGGTCGTTGAAGGGTGGAGAGGAGGTTGCGGTGATTCCGCCTGTTAGCGGTGGGTGAGGCTGCCCGACGGAGGAGCTGCAAGGAGTCTTACGACACGTCGAGCAGAGCTACCACAGGAGCCATAACGACTGGTCTCAAGGTACCATCGATACGCTCACTACGACAAGCCTCGTCCGATAGCACAACGACCCTCCACCCGTCCGCCTCACAATGTCGACCTCAACACCGGAGATCTCAGTGGACGCATCGTCGATCGAGCCCGACCGCAAACCCCTCCTCCCCTCGCCTACACTCACCTTCTTCTCCGCTCACCACTTCAGCCCCTCCCCCTCGGGCATCGATAGCAACCTCCTCCTCCTCCTGCACGGGCTCGGTGACTCGGACAGCTCCTTCTTCACCCTCGGTCAAACTCTCCAGCGCACACTCCCACAAACAGCAATTCTGACGCTGCAAGCGCCACACCTGGTGCCCTTCCTACACGGACCACACTGGATGTGGTACCCCTCGTTCGACGGTCTTGGCGAGCTGCTCACCAAACCGAATCCGAGTCAGACGGTGGATGGGATGGTGAAGGTGCTGGAGCATTTGGTGCGATGTGGATGGGCGGCTAGACAGATACACTTATTTGGATTTGGACAGGGGGCGACGGTGGCGCTCGAAACGCTGGTGAGTTGGTCGCGGACGCACAACGAGGCGCTGGGAAGTGTGGTGAGCGTTTCGGGCGAGATGCTCTCCCACCCCACCTCAGTGGCGTCCCCCACGCCAGTACTGCACGTCTACCGCTCCGCCTCCCCAATACCCGACAATTCGACCCGCTGGGCGTCGCATCGGAAAGCCAGCAGCGCATTTCAGCTACACCGTCTACCCCCACACCCACAGCAGGGAGAAGAGGCCATGCTGAGGAACAACGAGTGGGACCCGGTGATGCGTTTCTGGAGTCGCTTCCTCCGCAACCGAACGACGTGGGAGCGAGAGGGCAAGGTCGTGCAAGTGGGCTAGAAGTGGTATAGCGTGCGACCTTGCAGTTTGAGCGCGTAGATGACGTCCATGGTGAAGATGGTTTTGCGGTTACAGTGCTCTACCGCGCCGAGGCGATGCGGAGCGATGCGTTGCCATGCGGAGCGACACGAGGGAAGATCACAGTGTCAGTTGAGGTCTCGGGAGTCGAACAAGGAGGGGCAGGAGGAACGAGGGAAAGGGGAAAGGGGAAACACCTACGAGCGTAGACCACAGCATCTCGGATCGCCTGCGTCAGAAAGTCGCGCAGGATGAAGCGCGATTCTTCGTACACCGTGCCGGCGATCCCTGTTTCACCCACCGCAATCAAACAAGTCAGCGCCACTTTGAACCACGGGAGAATCTGGAAAGGAAGTAACGACGCACGCTGCACACCGCCCCGACGGGCAAGTCGACGAAGGGAGCCCTTCGTGATGCGCTCGAGGGCGGTTCGTTGGGCGCGGTAGCGTCGGGTAGCGCGGGCCGCTCGACCGCTGGTTTGCCCCGGAAGACATTTGACGCTTTGCTGTGGGCGTGGAGGCATCGTTGCTGGCTATGGTGGTGAGGAAAGCGATGACGGAAGCACAAGGAGAGGGGCACAGCCAAAGATGGCGGGGACAGGGTTTATATGCTTCCATTGCGAATGCGAGTCCAGTGACGTTTCCGAGAGAAGATGAGGAGTGCGGGGCAGAAGGGTTGTGTATGCTTTGTGCGGAAGAACATGGGAATGCTTCCCGCACGCTTTGACGAGGGGCCCAGCAGGTGATGCGGTGCGGATCACCCGTGCAACTGTACAGAACAAAGCGTTGAAGGGTCAGCATCAGTGCGGGTTCAAACACAAGCTTTGCAAGCCTTCTCGCTCTGCATCGACGGGGAGAAGGGGGCAAGTTGAGACGTACCAGCGGCGCCACGACGGAATACCACTCGCCAATGGTCCTAAAAAACGTATCGTCACCCTTGTCTATCGGCCCATCTGGCCCCCAAATGGTCAGCTGGTCCGACGCGACCTGTGCGATGGGTTCGATGTGTATTGTTGGTCCTTCGCTCGCCTTTTGTTCGGTCAACTCGACTGCTGCTGGAGCTCGTTCGGCTTCCTCTTGAGGCGGTGCGGGCTCGTACTCGTCTTCTGCAGGAGACTGTCCCTCGTCCTCGTCCTCCTCGTCGCTGTCCATCGAGAACTTCTGCTGCTGTGCCGGTGCCTGGTGGGCTATTCTTCGTCGCTTACGCTCCCTCTCCCTGTCCTCTTCCGCCCGATGTTGCGCCGCCTCGCTGTCCGCCGCTGCACCACGCGAGCTACCCGAGGAAGATCCGGCCACCTGCGAAACCTCTACGACCTTCGCCACGAACCCGTGGGGCAGAGGCAACGGCGTAGACTGTACCGCCCTTCCTCGAAACGCAGAGATGAAGCTCTCCTCCTCGTCAGAAGCACTACGTCGCACGAGAAACGAGTCCACCGGCGCCGGCCCATCGTAGTCGATGTGGAAGGGCATCAGGTTTGCGCTGCATTGTGGGAGGTCGGCGGTGCCGAAGGTGATTGATATGGGTGGCGGGAGGATGTGGACCGCTTCGGAAGTCATGGCGAGACCTCTCGTGCTGAGCGGCTGAGAGAGAAGGTGATACGAAGGAGGCTGGGATGAGGGTGCCGCGAAGAACCGGTTTCGAGACCAACACTTGGCACTGCGCGTAGCTGGGCGCGTAGAGAGAGATGTCGTGTAAATTGAGCCCATCTATATCGTGCGAGAAGTGCTGTGGACGAAAAAGATCTCCCGATCCGAAAATGGAAGAACGGCGAGAAGAAAGTTTTTGAGCCTGTTGGTGCTGAAGCCACACAAGCATTCCAGGCCACGTTGGGAAGAACCACACGCCTTCCATATGTGCGACGCTTCTTTCCACACCATCATACCCTACGAAACGATCGCAATCATGACCGAATCAGCAGGTGCCGTCATCGGCATCAACTTTGGCCACTCCTACTCGTCCATCGCCTGCATCAACCAGCAGTAAGTTTACGGCTCTATGCTACAATTCTCGTGTTTCGTGTCACTGACGCTCTTCCTTTCCTCTTGATCCATCTAGCGGCCGCGCCGACGTCATCGCCAACGAGGATGGCGAGCGTCAACTCGCCACGCGCATCGCGTTCAACGGCGACCAGGTCTACCTCGCCAACCAGGCCACCCCGCAACTCGTCCGCAACGCCCCCAACGTCATTGACAACTTTGTCAACCTCCTCGGTCGACCCTTCTCGTCGCTCTCGGAGAGCGAGAAGGCGCGCGCTTCTTCGCCCGTCATCGACGTAAACGGCGCTGCCGGGTTCAAGGTCGAGATCGATGGCAAGGAGACCGTGCTCAGTGTGCACGATGTGTCGGTTCGTTTCTTGCGCAGCCTTTTCACCACGGCCAAGGACTTCCTTTCCGGTGTGCCTATCGCGGGTGCTGTGCTGAGCGTTCCGCAGTGGTTCCCCGAGACGCAGATCGCTGCGTTGAAGAAGGCTGCGGAGGAAGCAGGTCTCATTGTGCTGCAAGTGATCCCCGCTTCGGCCGCTGCGCTTGCCGCATACGGCCTCACCTCCCCCGCTGGACCCGGTCAGCTCCCCGCTCACCCCGACGGCGTCGACTCCGCTCCCTACCCGACCGAAAAGGCGCTCGACCGAACCGTCGTCGTCGTCGACATGGGCGGTTCTTCCACCGACCTCACCCTCCTCTCTGCCCGCGCCGGTCTCTACACCTCCCTCGCCTACATCCACGACCCCACCATCGGCGGCACCGCACTCGACACCGCCCTCGTCCACTTCTTCGCCAAAGAGTTCACCAAGAAGACCAAGCTCACCATCGCCGACACCGACAAACGTGCCTGGGCCAAACTGCGAAACGAGGCCGAGTTCACCAAGCGTGCGCTCTCCGCGTCCAACTCGGCCCAGTGCAGCGTGGAGAGTTTGGCGGAAGGAATGGATTTCACTGGAAGCGTCAACCGGATGAGGTTCGACATGTTGGCCGGTGCGACGTTTGGTAAAGTTGTTGCGGGTGTCGAGGCGGTGTTGAAAGAGGGAGGGGTGGAGGCGTGTCAGGTGGACGAGGTGGTGTTGGCGGGTGGAAGTGCGAGGTTGAGTGGGTTGGCGGATCGATTGGCTGGATTGTTTGGTGAGGAGGTGGTCATGACGGACAGCATTGATTCGGATCAAGTCATCGCAAGAGGATGTGCGGTGCAGGCGCAGCTGATTGCGGCCGCACCCGAAGGGAGCAAGGAGGCCGAATACATGCATGGCATCCCCGCCATCCCGGTGAGCTCGGTGGCCGAGTTGAAGGTCGAGACCACCAGCGCACCGTTGGGTCTCGTTCTGGGTGGCAAGGAGTTTGTGACGCTCGTGCCGGCGTTTACGCCTTATCCGGTTCGCAGGTCGTTCCGCCTCCCCGTGGCTAAGGGCGCCGCCTCGGTCGCGTTGACCCTCGACGAGGGCGTGGAGAGCATCCTGATCGAACACGTCGCTCCCGAGGAAGATGAGGACGACGACGAACCGATGGAGCCCGAGGAGATCAAGACTGCCGTCACCAAGCCTGCGGGTAAGGACATCGCCAAGTTCGAGGTCACCACCCCCGCCAAGGGCGCCAAGAAGGTCGAGTTGACCCTGACGCTGAGCAAGGTCGGCAGCCTGACGATCGAGGCCAAGGAGGAGGGCGCTAGTGAGGGTGTCAAGCTTGTTCTCTAAGTGGTCTAGCTAATGTATAGAGTTTTCGCGAAAGAGTGAGTGCAACACTGTCTGCGTCGAGTGTGCGTGTGCAGAGCAAGTCGAGGGTGTGCATCTTGCGAGTTGGGTCTGCGAAGCGTGTGGGGCGATCGGGTGTCACGCAACGACCACAGGAAGCTGTTCAGAGTGATGGCGAACGCAAGTGAAGAACAAAGCGGTGTGCAATTAGAGAAGCGGATCAAGTGATAGGTACCTGCGGACTAAAGGCACAGATAACGGGAGCGAAGTAACGTATACAACAGAGACAGAGCGGCATCAAAGGAACACCTCACCCCTGCAAAACCTGCCTCCACCACCTCCCACTCCCTTTTGCAAACCCACTCACTTCACTGCCCCTCCTCACATGTCCTGTCGCACCTTCACCGGCGTTAGTGGCAGCCTTTTTCTTCAACTTGCGAATCTGGCCACTGCTCAAACTGGCCACGGTGGCCGGGTCGAGGTTGTCCTCCGGATCCGAGTGGAGGTGGATGGATGCACAGGGGATGTCGATGCCGTCGTAGACGTGGGCGCCGGTGCGGAGGCCGGTTCCTCGCAAGGCCTTCTTCGGTTGCTCGTTCTGGCTAGCTTCCGGGCTGACGGAGGGGTCGGAGAGGATGGAAAGGTTCGAGAGCGGTTCGCGCGTGTTGACCAACGGAGTGGAGCGGGAGAGAAGGGAGAGAGGATCGCGCATGGGTCCGACGTCGACCGAGACCGAGGCGACAGAGGGAGTGAGATCCAGATCCAGGAATCGCGTTGGGTCGAAACGCTTAGCCCCCAAGCGTGGGGCCAGGGCGGTAAAGCACTCCGCACCGGACCCATCGCTTTCGCTTGACCCTTTGCGACGGCGATCCTGGGCAGCGGCGGCGCTCGAACGGGCGCTGGCAAACGGATTCCCCGCATCGCTACGGAGCGATGCGACGGAACGTGTTCCCCGCAGTGGAGGGTGAGACTCGTCTGCAGAATGCCAGCGTTGACGCTGACCCCAACTGTCGGAAGGGGTGCGCGGGCTGTCGAACGACGATGCGTGTCGAAGGGTCCGACCCGACGTAGCGGTGGGTGCGGGGGAGACGAGGTACTCCATCCCCGCCGAGGAGAGGCTCGCGCTGGTCGGAATGGGGAAGGAGAGGATGTGGTCTGGCGAGTGGGATGCGCGCTGCATGGGGTGCGAGAGCGGGCCGAAGGTGCCCCGACGCGAGCCGTCGTATGTGGGCGAAATCGGGCTGCGCGGTGGCGTAGAGGTGGTTGGGCTAAGAGGGTCGGTCAGACCGCCAATGTGGCTCGATGGAATCTGGAGTGTGGCCGGCTTGTGTGCACGAGACGTGAGATGAATGGGGTTGGGTGAGAGGTCGAAGAGCGGATTCGACTCAACACCGAAGGCCTGGTCGAGCGTGTGTTTGTCGAGCTTACGGCGGCCGAGTGGGAGGCGCGAGATGCGAATTCTGCCCTCCTTGGGCTCCATTCCCTCCTCGTTGGCGATGCTGTTGCGGGGGCTGAAGTCGCTCTGACGACGCTTGAATGCGGGCGAGCTCACCCAGTCGTGTTCACCACCACCGCTGAGCGGCTTCTCATCGTCCACCCTGTCCTTCCGCGGTGCGAGGGCGCTGTTGCTCCTCTTCCTTCCTCTTCGCTCGTTTGTTCCGTCTCCATCAATAAGCACGTTCCCAAATCGACTCACAAGCGGCGTGACGCAACCAGTGGCACTCTCGCTCGCCGAACTCTCCCTCCGCGGGCTCGCAGGACGCAAAGGCGAATTGAGCGTCAGACACGTCACGGCGCTGCTCCTCCTCCTACCCTTCCTATCCTCCGACGAGCCAGAAGCAAGCAAATGAGCCCACTCATCCTTCTCGATAACGTCGTAGTACACTTGGCCGTCGGATTCGCGTACGCGCAGACGCTGCTCGCGTCGCTGGGTGGAAGTCGAACCGAAGAACCGGTCGAGCTCTTCTTTGGTCTGATAGCGAAGCGGGCGGAAGTTGTTGTATCGCGGAGTGGTGGTGGAGAACGTGGAGGAGGTGGGGCTGGGGAGTGGGTCGGAGGTGAGCGCGCGAGGACGTGTGGCGACGGCCATGGTGGAGTGCGATGAGGCTGGTAGGAGGGTCTAGCCAAAGTCAGCGAGAGCGGTGGTTGTAGGAAGACAGCGGTCACGGGTGGAGAGGTCGAGGTGAGCGACCTTTATAAAGGATCCCAATGTGATATCGTGGGGAGAAGGATCCGGCGCACAGAATCCCTTTGAGCAAAGGAGAGAACCCTTTGACAGCTGTCCAGGAAATCAATCTGACGATCAGATGCTCGCTGCGCCGCCGAAAGTAGTCCTTTTGACTTGACCTCGTCTCTATCTGCCCTTTGACTGTATGCCCCAGCCATCTCATCGCAGAGAAATGAGATCTGCGGACACCTTGCATTTTGGCCCGCATGAGTGCGTGCGAATTCGCGTCAGACGCCAGCTTTGTTCGCTTGCGAGCCCTTTGATGGGATCGCCGAATGAGATCATGCTCGCAGGGCCGTACAGGCGCGAAGTGTTCATGTTTGATCTGGACAAAGGGAACGAGACAATATGTGTTGAAGAAAGGGCTTGGTCCCTTTCATCGTCTTTGCGCGGTGGGCGCCTGTCGACGCTCGGGATTGCCCACTCATCTTGCTCGGCAGACAAAGGGGAGGCGTGGCGAACAATAGGCTGCCGCTGCAGGGTCCCGCATATTGATGCAGAGACAATATCCTACGGACAAAGGATGTTCTGCTGCCGCCGACTCAGAGCCTACCGAGCCTGCCGCATCCGACACACACAATCTCCAGCTGCACAGCATTTCAAACCACAGCCAAGCAGATTCTTGTTTCCACTGAGGGGTGATGCGATTCCAATAGGCGTGCGCTATCAATACACAAGATACCCAATATTGAGCAAAGGGAACCCAGCCATGAGTCCGATCCAGAAGATCATATTGCCCAGCGTCTCGTTTCGCTTGATGAACGGCACCTGGCTCAAAAAGATCATGGGCAATTGCACCATCTGGGCTGCGAACAGGTAGAACCTGATCTTGCCACTAACAATGGCCATGACCAGCTCGTGCACCAACGAGCTCAGCAAGAACGTCAGAAACATGGCCATGCTCTTGTTGAGTCCCCAAGCTGCGATGGTGCTAGCATAGACGTGACGCAGCAAGAACGAGTGGACTGGCTTGTTCCATTTGCGACTGAAGACGTCCATCGAGGTCGCATTCCACCAATCCAAGTAGAATTCGCGGTCCGCAAACCGCGTGATCTCGGCAAAGGCGTTGCAGATGCACTCGAACATGATGTAGAAGATGAGCAGGTAGTTGATCATCATGGGCACGGCGAGTTGGAGGAAGGTGCGCAGGAACGGCGTGTCGGCCGTAGGCGTAAAGGGCATGATCCAGTGCTCGGTGATGACGTAGATCACGAGGAACGTGCCGAAGGTGGCGAGCGTCTTTTCGAGCACGTAGAGCGGTCGGATGGTCTTGAGACGCGGATAGGAGAGTTCGTAGACGAGCGTGGGGACCAGCAGGTAGTCCCAGAAGTTGGAGTAGGTGACGTTGGCAGGCCACATGATGGGTTCTTGGTGGACGAGGTCCGCGGAAACGTCCGAGGAGGGGCGGGCGGAGAGAAGGTCCTCGCGCAAGACCTCGATCTCGCGTGCCAGGTCGGAGATGACGGTGTCTGGGTGAGAAGAGAGCGGATGTGGGTCGCGGATCGTGTGGTGCGGATGCGACTCGGCGGCAGCGGCGCCAGGGCGTGATGTCGAAGTTTCCTTGCCATTGATCTTGATCTTGTCCTCCTTGTCGTCCTTGTTGTCGGACTGAGCGGCGGCGGAGCGCTCGGCTTTTTCTTCTTCAGCCACCTTTTTGTGCAGCTGGATGTGCTCTTCTCTGCTGAGCTTCGAGTGACCCGTCGCTGGCTCGTCGCTTTTTGTAGCGTTTTGATCTTCGACCGTGAGCTTGGGCTCGTCGTCATCATTCTCGTGAACAGCGTTGAGTGCCTGCCCTGCTTTGCAGCGAGTCGAGCTGCTGCCTCTCTGCGTCTCGAGCGACGACCAGTCAGCAAGTTTGTTCGCGTTGCTTTTGCTTGTATCCTGATCGCCAAAGCCTGCGTTCTGTCTCGCCTGCTTGACCGCCTTGCCCCACGCCGCTCGCAGCTGCTCGTCGCCTCTGCCCGCTTCCGATCCTTCTACCTCGGCGACTCGTTCCTCGAGCATACTCTCTACGCGTCGCATGCGATGGTACGTGTCCGCCATATTGCCGTTGACGTTCATGTACGAGTGGATCTTCATCATCATGGACAGCGTATGCAGCACAAAGAAGCCGCTCTGCACCCACGGCCATTCGCGATACCTGGCCCATTTAATGACAATCCCTAGCAGCGTCGTCTGCCACAGGTGCTGGAAGACGACCGCCGTGGGCCAATACCGCACCCAACCGCGGCGGCACACATTGGCAAAGGGTACGCAGATGAACAGCGAGCCGATGAGCACGCCGTCCGAGAGCGCGAGCATCCACGCATCCCTGCTGAAGAGGGTGGCGAACGTCATGCTAAGCACCTGGCCCGTGCTGGCAAAGCTGGTGTATGAGGTGTTGAGCACGAACAGCGCCAGACACACCCAGAAGAGGGTGAAGAAGCCGCGGAACTGATCGCGGGAGGAAGTCTCGTTGAAGCGGTCGAAATGGCTGGTGCGGGGCTTGAAGGAGACGACGGCGCGCATCTTCTTGCGACCCTTGGAGGAGGTGGCGGCGACGGGTTTGAGGTAGACGGCGCCATCTTTGCCGACTCGGTGGGAGAGACCCTTGGCGCCGATGTGTTGGAATTCGACGGTGGACGAGCCGCTGCCTCGTGTGGTGGAGATGGTGGTGGTGACAGTGGATGTGGCGACGGGCGTGTCGCCTTCCGAGTCTGGCGTGCTTCGACCGTTGAGTGGGGTGGAGGGGACGTCGGACGAGAGCATCATCTCGGAATTGGGGGTGTTGAGCGCCGAGGTGTTGGCGGTGTCTGGGGTCTCTGCGGCGAGTCGAGAGGCTTTGCTGTGATGTTTTTTTGAGAAGAAATCCTCGTCTGCGGGAAGAGCTTTGCTCTTTGCTGTTGGTGTTCTGTCGGCCATGATTGCGAGTATATATCGAGCAGTTGTATCCAGAGGTGTGAGGAAGAACGGAGATGGATTCCGAGTGGATGTCTGATGACGAGCAAGCCGGCGACTTGCCGTTGACCTTGCAGATCACGGGATCTAGGCGGTGCGCTAGCAGAGGTCCGAGCGTCGAGGTGGGCGTGAGAGTGTATATGAAAGCTGCGTGCGAGGCGATGACAAAGATGGTAGTGGGCAGTTCGGGAATGTGCAGCCGATCAATGGCGAACCTGGCAGGATCGGTTCGGGAAGCTGATTCCGAGCAAACAAATGCTGCGGGAGTCGAGTGGTCTAGGACTGCTGGCTCGCTGGTTCGTCGATGGTATCTCGATTGACGAGGTCGAAGTGACAGAGCAAGCCTTGGTTGCCCAATAAGCTCAGGTGAATCCTTGTTCGGAAGCTTTTTTCCAGCCTAAGACAGCGGTATCTAATTTTGAGTTTTGAGTTTGGAGCGCGTGTGTGTGTCATTCGGCAGCCGTGCGCGCTTTTCCTTTTGGCTCTCTTTTCTCCACTTGACACCCCTTTCTTGTGGCAAGAGCTCCTCAACCACGCTCGCCTGCCAACCAGACCGAGGTGCTCGCCAAGGCTGGCTTGGTCCAAAACGTGGCAGCATCGTCATCGGTCCTCACTTGCTCACAAGGCAAGGCTTTCCACACAGCCTTGCTTGCGTTCTTCACCCACGATCGTGTGCTTCAAGATGAACTTTGGTGGCGGCTCGTCCTGTCGAAGCATCTGCTTTCTCGCATCGCCTTTCCGTAGCGAATGACGAAAGGCCGGAAGGGATAAAAAAAGAGGAGCCTCTAAAAGACGACCGAAAAAGAGGATGCCTCCAAAAAAAGTTCCCGGCCAGGGAATCGAACCCTGATCTGAGCAGTACTATATGCTAACCGCATGAGAGTGCCCTATACTGACCATTGTACTAACTGGGACTTGATATGCGGTATCGATAGCTGAAAATATATGTAGCAACAGCGGAGTCTGAAAAGCGAAAGGTGAGACGGAAAAAAAAACGAATTTTTGTGCCAAAAAAGCGGCTCCGAGGCGATTTTCTGGCAAACAAATTGGCTTTTCCTAATATTGGAAAATGAGACACCCTCTCGGCGCTTAAAGCTCTCACCTCGTAGAATTTCTCAGCTCACAGAATCCCCCAACTCTTCCTGCCTTGAACTCAGCTTCGACACTTCTTTCGTCCTCGATCAGTGAATAGAGATTGCGAGCAATCGCACTCACTGTGACGCTACGTACTTGATCGAGGCTAGGTGTGTGTACTGACAAGCGGAGTCGTAAAAAATGAAACGAGAAATGTGTTTTTTCTTTGGCCAAAAAGGCGGCTCTGGGGAGCGAGTTATCTGCCAAAACTTTCGGCCATTTTTCAACAACAGGTTTAACATCGTCAAGCTTTCCACCTTTTTAAGCGCAGGGAGCCGAAGCAAACCCTTGGGTAGACCCTTGAAATGCGGGGTAAGAACTTGCACGGTTTCCTTTTCCATCCCTATCACCACCAACAATGTCGTCGACAACACCCAACTACTCGGTGGGGAACGATCGGTTCGATGCGGAGGCGGCGACGTGGGATAGCAAGCCGGAAGTGGTCGAGTCTTCCCGGCTTTGTCTCAGGACGTTGCTCCACCATTCGCCCAAGTACGTCCCTTCTCTTGGCAGCGCGTCGGTGTTGGAGATTGGATGTGGGACGGGGTTGCTCACTGTTCCTCTCGCAGAGCATGTCGGGTCTGTGCTCGCGCTCGACACCGCCAAGGGGATGATCGGGATGCTCAACGCCAAAGTGGCTACGCAGGGGCTGGGGGAGAAGGTGACTGCCAAGGTGAAACTGCTCGAGAACGCAGAAGATGATGTGCTGGAGAGGAAGAAGTTCGATCTGGTCGTGAGCCATTTGGTCTTTCATCACGTACCGGATATGCGGCAGCTCGTGGCGGTGATGTTGGATACGCTGAAGCAGGGTGGTAGGGTGTGGATCAGCGACTTTGAGGACGACGGGCCCCAAGCAGAGGCTTTTCATCCGAAAGACAAGGTGAGTACGCGACCGTCCGCAGTGATGGCAGATATGACGAGAGAGATGGCTGACAATGTTTCGAGTTGCGGTGGCAGCACGCGGGAGTGGAGAGGCACGGTCTCAAGGCGCAAGAGATGGAAGGTATCATGATTCAAGCCGGCTTCAAGGACGTCGAGGTGTTTGAGAGCTTCAGGATGGACAAGGAAGTCGAGTCGGGGGGCACCCAGGCTTTCCCCTTCCTTGCTATCACCGGTGTTCGGCCGTAGACTTGTCAAAAAGACAAGCGACATCGCAACGAAGAACGGAATGATCGAATGCTTAAGCGTCATCGATATCACGTTTGACGCAGCTTAGTCCTTTTTGAAACGAGATCCTCGAATGACCTCAGTCAACCAGCGCAAGCCCTGGTCCACGCTACCACTATGACTCGCCCGCACCGGAACACGTCACAACATCCCTTGCGATCTCCAGAAGTGTAGCATTGCAAATGCGTCCTGATAGTCTATGCACTTCCCTCGCCCCCAGCAGCAGACCTCTCCAACGACCACACCTCCCTCATCGCCTCCAGGGTTCGTCCCCTGTTGCCCTTGAGCACCTCTTCCGCAGCCCACACTCTCCTCTTATCCCCTTCATCTCTTGCCTCCATCACCATTTGCCACCTTTGCAGTAGATCTTGCCAGAACTCTCCCTCGTCCTCGTCGTTCAGCGTCTCCCTGGGCACGTTGCTGTCCAGGCCCGAAGTGCGGGCGAGCAGATCGTCCCTCACGCCGCTCGCCTGCTGCGTCATACTCCCACCGTCAGCAGCGGGTACGCGAACCAGGGCGTGAATGAGCGCGGTATACGTTCCCAGCGTTGCCGCCGGGAAACCCGGTTGTGACGCCGTCACTCGCTCTGAAATGCCCTCTGACTCCACTCTACCATTCTTTCCCGAGCGGGGCGCCGTCTTCCTTTCTTCGGAATGGGAGTGGATGAGCGGGGCAGTATTGATCCCCACCGCCTGCGCAAGCGTCGCCGTGGTACTCTTCCATCGATCTCGACCCTCACGCGCCAGACACTCGAGCGCAATGGTCCAGCTGCTGATGCCTGGTCGGACGCCAAAGTGCGTCATGTCGCGCAGCACGGAGAGGACCACTTGGCTCGAGCCGAACGCGCGCCAGTCCGCTGCAGAGGTGGAATCTGACGAGCTCGGCGTGTGGAGGCGCGCAAAGGCGCGGAGGAATGGATCGAACGTGTGGCTTGACGGTCGTTGCGAAGGGGGCCAGTGGTCGAACGTCAACGCGCTCGTTTCTGCCTCCTGCAAGGGGGCTGACGGGGGAGTGATCGACGGTGGATCGGATGATGACGGACTGTGTGACGGAGGCTTGCCTGACGAAGCACTGCCTGATGAAGCGCCGTCCCCGCTTTCTGACGAAGTCCCGTCTAACGACGTCCCATCTGACGAGCTCCTTGGCAAGCAAGCCCCCTTCCACATCCCATACACCCTTTGCAAACGCCCAAAATCGCCCTCTTCCACGCACACATTCGTGAGCGCCTTAAGCAACAAATTCACCGCATGCGTGCTGGGCCAGTGCCGACCTCTCCATCTCTGTGCGTGAACCAGCGCCTCCTTTTTCTCGATCGCAGCGTGTCCGTCGAGCGCAACGCTTACGAGCTCGGTCGATATTCCGCCTGAAGGGAGCTTGAAGCCCGCTTTGCCTGTGTAGAACTGGGCCGCGTCGCGCCACTTGCCTTTCCTCACGAAGCCGTAGAGCCGAGCGGTCTCCCATAGGCCTTTGCCGCCGCGAGTCGAAAGCAAACGGGTGCGGATGGGACGCAGAAAGTCTTCCGCCGTCAACGTCTCTGATGAAAGGGAGGAGTCGGAGGGTTGATGCATGTCCGTTTCGGTGAGCGAGGAGGTGACTGCGATGGTGCCGAGCTTGTGAGTCATGTCCTGCAGGTCGGAGAGGACGCGTGCTGAGGGAAGGTGGTCGAAGGTGGGTTGGATAGATTCGTTGGGTTCGAATGGTGTGTCGTCTTCGCCCTTTCGTACGCGTGTCACTGATCGGAGAACGGAGAGAAGGTACTCGCGGGCTGCAACTACGTCGCCTTGCTCGAGGTGCGTCTGGAGAGAGCTGTCGAGCGCAGTCATTGGTCTGTCTGCGTACTCCGTGTCGTCCGCACTGAGCGTTGCTTCGCGTTCAACTCGCGCGATTATAGCGTCGATGCTGATGGGCCGATGCTTTGCCAACCTCACTGGTGACCTTGCCAGCCCGTCCGCCAGCTTCCTTGCTCGTTCCAGGTACGTCGACCCGGCCTTGACGAGCTCTTCCATGAGCATGTTTTCCGTGAACGGCTCGATGACCAGAATCTGCGCCAGCGCACGTTGCGAGCTCTCCACAGGCAGCGACCTATTCGCCCAGTGTATGGCATCATCTAACCTTCCCGCCAATGCTAGCGTCCTAATCCCCAGATTGTACAGCGCCCTCAACTCCACCGTCGCACTCATGATCTCCTGCCGCCTCCCTTCCTCCCTCAGCCCCCTCTGACTCTGATTCGCCAGCAGCAATCGATGGAAGTACTCCCAGGCCACCTCCGGATTGGACGCATCCAGACCTGCCCCTCTGCTGACGCCAAAACGCAGGATTTGAGCGAGCGTCGACTGCAGCAATCCCCAATACCCCTTTTGCACCGCTACCATGCTCGCCTGCTGCAACAGCCGCAGATCGTCCCCGTACGAGTCGAGCATCACCATGAAGCACTTGCGAAAGGTGTTCGATGTCGCACGCACCTGCGTGATGTAGTTCGCCGAGGAAGCTGTGCTGAGGTACTTGGAGCCGCCGACGTACCCGGGGCAAAGGCGCATCCACGAGAGCATATCCTTCTTCTTGCCGTTGCGGATGGCCCAGAGCGCGGCGCTGGCGAAGATAGGGTGCGGCTCGTCGAGAGGCGAATTGAGAGTCCGGAGCTCGTTGAGCACTGTGGTGGCTGCTTCGAATTCCTGTGATTTGAGGAGACGGACGAGCAGCTGGGTAGGTGCTGAGAGGGGCGTGTCGGAGGGTGACGGGGCGGCGGTGAAGAAGCCATCTTGCTCTGCCACCGTTGTGGGCTGCGTAACGGTAGATGTTGAGGCTTGAGGACTATATGTGTCGTCTTCCGCTTCAAATAGGGAGTAGTCGACGCCGCGAGGGTCGATCTCGTTGTTGGAGCCAGGCAGTGGGTATGCGGGGTTGGATGTGGAGTAAGAGAAGGCGAAGATGGAGCGGCTGCGTCTTGAAGCTTTCGTTTTTGGTGAAGATGAGCTACCCGCCGAGAATGTGAAAGTGAAAGGCGCTTGAAAGGAGGTGCTGGAAGTCGAGGCCGAGCTGGAAGAAGGCCAGGCGTAGCCAGGATAGATTGCAGCTGAGGTCAAGGCACGCCGCTGCGAGCTGGCTTGCGACCAAGCGCGACAAGCATCTCTGACGGGCAGAGAGCTGTTCGACCGCCTCATGAACGCTGTGATGGGCCTGTCATACGACTGCCATGCCTCTAGCGGGGGATGTAGGACGCAGAGTAGGTTTTGGAAGGAAGGGTCTCAGCAAGAAGAAATGCGAGCTTTCAAGCGCACGCTTGACGAGCCGAAATCCGAGGTTCGCATTTTGGGATCGCTGTTAGGCCTCCTGGCTGGACGAGCTCTAATTTCGCCGAAAGCAGAGCTGAGACTTCCACGTCAAATACCCGCCGCTTTCGGGGTTGCGCCTCACCTTGCGGGGAAGCCAGAAAGAGACCAACACCGAGACCTTTCCCACCGTTCCCTCTTGCCAACCATTACCCTCCCCCTCGACATTCGCCAGTCATGCTACCATCACCGCTTCGATGGGCGTGCAGCCTGGTGCTGCTCTCCGCGGCACTGCTCACCACCACCGCCGAGGCGGCGCTCTTCGCCAAAAACTCCAAAGTGACCATCCTCGATGCGTCCAACTTTAAGCGCGAGGTGCTCGACATTGAGAAACCCACCATGGTGGCTTTCACCGCGCCCTGGTGCGGCCACTGCAAGAACCTCGTCCCAGACTACACGCGCGTCGCCGCTCAGCTCGACGGCGTCGTCAAGCTCGCCTCGATCGACTGTGACGACGAGAAGAACAAGCCCACTTGCGGCAAGTACGGCATCCAGGGCTTCCCCACCCTCAAGCTCTTCCCATCGACAAAGAAGAGGTTACCTAAAGACTACCAGGGCCCGAGATCGGCCAAGGACATTGCTGCGTACATGGTCGATGCGCTCCCGATGGGCGCGAAGAAGCTGAAGCCGGAAGAGCTGCAGGAGTACGCGGAGGGCGAGGCTGCGACGCCCAAGGTGATTCTGTTTTCCAAAAAGGCGACCAGCTCGCCGCTGTACAAGAGTCTCGCGCTGGACTTCCGCAAGAGCTTGTCGTTCGCGTTCCTGCGTGGCGACCAAAGACCGGTCCAGGCTGCAGCGCGGATTCATCTCGGCGTGGATGTGAGCGAGGACAAGCTGCCCTTGCTCATCGTCGTACCCGCGCGAAGCGACGATGGAGAGTTCGACAAGGCATCGATCAAGAAATACACCGGCGCGCTCAAGTATCATGAGCTCAACGCTTGGATCAAGGAGACTGTCCCGGAGGCCAAATCGGGCAAGGTCAGGAAGCCATCCAAAAAGCCGCAACTCAAGAAGCCGACAGTCAAGATCGACGAGGAGATCCAGGAGGTTCCTGAGGGGGCAAACCGGGAGTGGCGCGCCGAGGAGGACATGACGGAGGAAGAGAAGAAGAAGAAGATGGAAGAGCTCGCCGAGATGCTCAACACGGCCATCAAGCAGGGCAAAGATCTTCGCGAGGCTAAAGCTGCTGCTGCTGAGCCGGAGTCCGTCCAGAAGAAGAACGAGGAGGCTGCAGCCAGCACTGAGACGGATACACCCTCCACCGGACCCAACAGCGATGAGAGCTCCTCCTACTCTTCCTCCTCCTCGACCGACGCAGACGACACGACTTCGATCGACCACAGCGCCTCCTACGCTTCTTCCGGCGACAACCCAGACTCGCTCAAGGAGAACCTGCAACGCTGGCTCGAAGGCGAGCAAGTCGACTGGTCGTCCGAGTACAGCACCCAGTTTTCCGACGCTCACAAAGCAGCGGAGAAGCTCATGGCCGAAGACCCGGACAAGGCCGAACAGATGGCGCTCGAGAGCGAACGCTGGCTCGCCCAGTACCTCGTTTCCGATCTCGACATGATGAAGATCGCCAGGGAAAAGGGCAATCAGGATCCCTCCTTGAACGACGACAAGATCGAAAGGGTCGAAAAGATGTACAATGAGATCCTCAAGAGGATCGAGGTGCGCGAGCAGAAGTTGAAGGACAAGCCCAGCGCGGGGGCGAGCCAGGAGGATGTGCCTGAAGAGCAAGCCAAGGCGCCCCATGACGAGCTTTGATCGCTCTCTGCCATTGCTACCGTTGCACTCAACTCACAGCAATCACACACACATCGCACACACATCGAATCACACACAACGCTGTCTGAGTGCGAAAGGCTGAATTCTTCCCAAGGGGCTGTGACAACAAAGCGCGCGCCTCAAATCGGACTGCTGCCCTTCTTGCCGTTCCTGTGTCCACCCGGGTTGTGCTCAACGTACGGGCCATTCCCAACCGCGCTCGCCTTCCTGTACGAATGGCACGCGTGCGCATGCTTGAAGAAGGCGGCAAAGTTTCTCCTCCTCTTGGCCGTGCAGATGAGCACCCACTCCTTGCACTGGTGACACTTGCCCTCCACCGTCCCCGCCGCGTCGGCGTACACCTTGAGGTGCGTCGGCGCCGTAAATCGCAGGCCGGAAACGGACGAGATGCCGTGCTTGTGCACCTGATCGTACCAGTACTGCGAGTTCTTGAGCTGCAACCAGTTGCCGCTTTCGCAGCGGTCGCACCAGGCTTCGCGCGCGTTACCGGAGCCTCGCACCCATCGCGGCGTGTACAGGTCGCCAGGGAAACGAAGCTTGTCCGTCTGACGGCGTGGACGGTCCTCCTCGTTCTCGACCTCAAAGTCGGATGTCGGCGGGTCGGCGAGGCCTGTACGCAGCTCGCAGTGCTGGTCGTAGTAGACGTCGTCCATCTTGCTACCCGCGGGCGCTCGCAGCACAATGTCGGAGGTGATGTGGAAGGGCGTGTTGGCCACAGCATTGGCCTGCTGCACCGCCGAAGCCGAGGAGGAAGAGCGGTCGCGTTGTTGACGCTTGTCACCGCCAGGCATGCCGCTCGGAGATGGGTAGCCGGCTTCGATGCCGTATCGCATCGCACCACTGTCGCGCCAGCCGGGGAGGTTGGGGGACGAGCCCGGAGCGCTGCCCATCGAGCCGGGCATGCCGGAGTGCGACGCGTGCTGACTCCATGGACTCCACTGCGGAGCGTTGGGATAGCCGGCGCGCTGGACTGCCGACGCCGACTGCTGCGTTCCGTACGGATCCGAGGGGAGGGAGGGTCGACGAGGATCGCTGTGAGTAGGACGGTAGCTGTTCATCATGCCGCTGATGGGAGCCGATGGCCTCGAGAAGGATGCGTTGCCTGCCAGAGAGTAGCGTCGTGCAGCGCCGTCGCCAGCGTCGCCGAATCCGCCTTGTGTTGCCATGGCCTCGTCGTCGTACTGTCGCTTGCCCAGAGAAGATGGAGGGAACTCGTAGCCGCCGATCTCAAAGCCTCCGCCAGGGTTGGTCCACGCAGGGCGATTTGTTGATCGCGTCTCGGGCAGCGGAGGCGGCTGAAGACGTCGGGCTCCGTAGTGACCCGTGGCTGCAGCATCGTCCGAGCCAGGGTGAGAATCGGCCAATCCCCACCACTGACTGTTGTGCGCAGCAGCAGCATCGGCTGTGCCATCGGCGGGACGAGCGTGCTGATAGCTAGGTCGGCGTGCGTAATGACGGTCGCCGGCTGCTCCGACGTCGGATGGTGCGCGTGCTCTTGTGCCGTCCACGGTAGCTCCTGCGAGTCCCGATGGGGCAGGCATGCTCGAGTAGGACGGAGCGTGGCCGATGTGTGGCTGCTGCTGCTGCTGCTCAGCCGAATACGACGACGTAGACTGCTGTGCTTGCTGTTGCGGTTGCTGCCAAGCTTGCTGCGACTGATAGGGCTGCTGTTCGTAGTTGCCATGGAAGCCCATGGTCATGGCGACGGTGTCCCTAGGCGCGTCCCAGATGGAGGTGGCAGCCTCGACTTCGGAAGCGCGGACAGGTTCGCCGTGTTCGCCCTTGGTGGAGGCACTGACGTGAGGAGAGCGAGGCTTGCCGTGCGGAGCTCCGGTGAGGCTGTTCCAAATGCCCTTCATGCCGTCACCCCAAAGATGCGAGCCGTCCTCGACCGCTCGAGAGTTGTGCGATGATGTGCCACTGTAATGATGGTTGTGGCTGTGAAGGCTCGAAGATGAGTAAGGTAGGGAGTGAGCCATGCTGGCTGGACTGTGACGGCGCGAAGGGGAATGTGTGACTGGCGCCATGCTGGTGGTTGTCGCAGGGAAAAGAGGTTGGCCGTCCAAGGGGCTGCGCGGTTCGTTGCGAGAGGCGGAGCGAGAGGAGAAGGCACGAGAGGAAGACGGACTGGAGAGCGAAGCTGATGGAGGCGTTGCTGTTGAAGTGCGACTCGGACTAGCGCGGCCTGTCAACGAGCTGATGGAGGGAAGGGTGGTGACTCGAGAGGAAGATGGGGACGGACGAGACGGCCAGCTGATCGAGGGAGGAGAAGGTGAAGCTTCGTGATAGTGTGGGTGGTCGCGCCGAGATTCGCGTTGCATAACTGAGCGACGATGAAAGGGATGGCGCAGTCGAGAAGAGAATGCAGGTGACTGTTCGTTACCAGTAGCGAGACGAGCTCGGATGCAATGCCGATGGATGCTGGTCGTCGGTGACGCCGAGGACGGTGACAAGGCTAAAGAGCGGAGAGCTGAGACAGAATGTCCCTGACGAACCTGGTTGGAAAGAGACGCAAGGTCGCGAGCGAGGATGGTGTGATGAGTGAGAAGGAAGGGCTGAGTCAAGCTCGAGCGGGATAGAGATGGAGAGAAAGGAACATGTGACGGAGGCGAACGAGGATGAAGCCTTTTGTCGGGTGACTTTAAAAGAGTTCCACGCAGGACGAGGAAGCGGGAGGCATGATCGGCGGCCGGCAAGAAGCACCCAGAGAGAGTCAAGGAATGAGGGTGACAAGGGAGAGAACGCAAGAGACGAGAATGGCGCCGACGCCGGACTTCGTTTCGGAAAGGTGCGCAGATGGACAATGGGCAAGCCCGCCTGCTAGGCTTTGATGAGACGAATTCTCGGTGTTATGCATCCAAGTGGGTTTCAGATGCTCATCACACCCAGACGGACTCCTCCACGGACGGAGGGACGGGCGGAAGCAAGCGCCAGGAGGTGAGAGGCGGAGTTGAGCAAAAGTGGATCTCCAGAGAGAGTAGAGCGACAATCAAGACATTGGACCCACTTTTCCTCTCTTCTGACAGCTTGAGCGAAACAACACGGCAATTGAGGCACCGCCCGAAGAGAGGAATCGGAAGGTCAAGGTGGGGCGAAGGAGCGTGCTCAGGGCTGAGACCGGAGAAAAGCTGCCATTCGGATAAGCTAGCTTGCTAGCTGCAGTAGCCAAACCGAGGTGAGCTGAGCTGAGCTGAGCTAGCGAGCCCAGAGTCAGGGCGCGAAGCTGCTGATGTGACGGTTGCATATGCAGGCCGCCCATGCATGTGGGTGGCAGGCGGCTTCTTTTTCTTTTTCTTTTTTTCCTGGTCCGCGAATGTGCAGCTCAAGCTTTGAGGAGACAGAAAAGGGGAAGCAATGGGAAAACGGATGACAGGCGTGTTAGCCACCGGCGACGACAAGGACAAGGACGATACCTGCATAAGCGAGACCGATTGAACAAATGGGCGGCAAGGTCAGGGCAGAGGGACATGGGCGGCAAAGCAGCAATGAGCAGCATCAGCACGATCGAGTGATTGCATGAGGCGTGTGTGAATGGCTGTCAAGCGAGAGCATCCATATTTCCACCAGCCTGCTCCGATGAGGCTTGCTGGTCGGCCAAAGCGAAGCGAGCATGGAAAAGGATGCTCCGAACGACGTATGCTCGACGTGGGAAAAACAAAAAGAAGCAGGGCCAGAGCGAACCGAGAGAGAGAGCGTGAGAGCGAGATGCAGAGCGTGTTCCATCGTGCCTGGGCTAACGGTTTAGGCGAGAAAAGCGCAAGCAGAATCGCTCCATGATGATAGCAGGCGAGACCAGGCAGGAAAAACGAGCTCTATCGTCGAGCTCTTTCTCTATCTCGCCCTGTTCAAGCACACACGCTCGTTTTAAGTAGCTACTTTTTATTTCTTGCAAATTCATTTCTCATCCACTTGATATATTATTTTAACGAGAAAAAGGCATCTCTCTGGATGGCTTGCCTTGTTCCTCGAATTCCGGGACCTCGCTGAGGTCAACACATCCAAGAGCTGGATTCGTGAGCATCAAGCTTCAATGCCATGTCTCCTTCTGTGTATTGATTGCGATCCGAACAGTCCCGGAACAAGTTTTTGCCGCATGGACGTTGAGGATGGCAGCTCAGCTTTGATGGGAATGAGCCGATCCTGTCGCTGTTGAATCACGCGAAGAACAGGACGGGGACGGAGAGACGGACGGCGAGTTGCGACAGGCTCCGTTTGCACCCACACGGCGAACCGATTTCACCGATAACCTCTTCGAAATGCGTGGGCACCTGCCTCGGAAGCTGAGCTGATCTCATTTTCATGCGATGCTATCTTTGCTAGAACCAATCAAAAGAGTCTTGCCGTGGACATGCCGTGGAATCGCATCACAGGTTGCTGTTTGCACGATCACATCCGCATGATTGTCGGACCCTCCAGCATCTGTCCGGAGCCTGATCAGTCGATTGTTGATGCTGTCCTCGTCATGCGACCTTCTCACCTCTTTGCTACGAGCCCGTTCAAGAAGTTCAAGGTAACTGAAAGCGCCTCAAAACGTTCAGCTGAACGGAAAAAGAATCCGTCCACAATCCTGGAACCCGGGAATTCCGCGGCCTCGCACCGGATAATCCTACTAAGCGACAGGCGTCTCACACCGGCGCGGGTTTTCTGGTTCGAAGGGGAAAAAAAAGAGCAACAGCGGGGCTTCTTCGGCTGATCATCCAAAATAAAAGGAGAATATTAATATTAAAAACAGGAGCTAATTGGGTGTGAGAGATCGTGTGTGCATGTGTTTGCGTGATGAGGATCCTTCTCGTCCGCCTTTCGTCTTTAGCCTTGACACATGCTGACCTCTTCTCTCCACTCTCAATCGAGATACTTGCATCGGTAGAACCATTACTTGTTGTGAATGATCGGATGAGCGTCTCTCATGTCATAAAGAACGGCAGCAGCGCCGCAACCACGGAAGAAGCAGCAAACGCTTCTGCTCTTGGTCGCAACGCCAGCTCATGAGGACGTACCGATAGTGGCTGCCTGTTAGCGTACCCAGAGGCTCGGCTTCATGCCAGGTCCGCGTCCTTTCTCGTCAAGATGACGACGTGCGTCGTTGTGGTAGCATCATGAGGGTCCAGACACTTCCTCCTTGACGGACAAGTTCTCCCGGAGGACAGCGGGATTTCGACACTGCTGCAAACACCGCATCGACGCGCTACAGCTTAGACAAAGGCAAAGTAAAGCAGGCTGCTGTGTGCTACATCATGCAAAGACGAGGAGGGGGTCTTGTTTGTTTCCAACGGAGACGAGATCCGGGTCCAGTCGGGCATGAGAGGATTGCATGTCAGTTACGCGGGCCCCGGCTAGTCGATGCGAGACAAATGCCAGGAAACCGCATTGATCTTTCAATGAACAGCTCTGCAGCAGCAGGAACAGCAGGAACGAGAGCAGCAGCTCCTTACAGAGGATCGTCCTTCGGAACGCGTCCGCCCGCTCATCCCGAGTCTCGTCTGAAGCAATCCCTTGCGGTGCTAACCTCCATTCCGCGGATCTGCTTTGTTCTCCTCTTGGTGTCCTCCCTCCCTCGGCTGTCGCGTGCGTGCACTCCTGCCTGTCTTCGTCGTTCGCGGGTCTCTCTGCGCTCCGTCAAAGGGCGTCGCAAAGGGGATCCATGTCAGCACGATGGTGGGCTGGATGGCCATCCGTGCAAGTCCAGAGATGGTGAGCTCAATCAGGACGTGTCATATTGGCTCGGCTCGCTCAGGCACTGAACGAGAAGCCCTTCCCAGGACCGGACTCGGCATCATCTGTGCAGTCGTCCGCAACATGCTCCTCGAGCGCAGTCGTCCAGGTCGGCTCAATCTGCGCATTGACACCGCGCATTCGATTGGACGTGTTTGGACCCTATTAACCTGCCCGCTGTCGATTCCGATTCAAAGCGCTGCCGCAAACAACATGCAGAATCGTGAATTCATCGTGAATCCAGCTTGGCGGTGTGCGAAAATCGTCTGGTCGCTTCGGCATCCTTTCCCCGGACGAGTTTCCAATGAAAGACGGCCCGCGCTTGCATGACGATTCCTGATTCATCCTCCCTGCTTTGCTTGCTCGCTTTTGATCAAGCAGCAGCATTGGTTGCGAGAACAAGGAGGGAGACCATGAGGAAAGCCTCTCGTTGATTCGAACAATGAAAAAGCGATGACGAAAACCATGGCAGGAAATCGTTTAGGCGAGGCGAGCTTAACCTGAAAGAAGCGCATACGGGTCCACGGCCTGTCTGGCAAGCAAAGTTTGAAACTGCGCCAAGTCGTACTTCAATAGCATGGATCCGTCGGATGCAATTGCTATTCTCCGACTCCTCGATGGATGATGTCTGGGAGGAACCGACCCTCATTTACAGTGGGGCAAACGCACCGCATTGCTCGCTAGCTCTCCAGACAAAGCAGAACCTTGATCTGATCGACGTTCTGGATCTCAACAGAGTCGCCGTGTTCCATGCAGAAAGGCTGCTGCATCGAATGTCTCATGCCGATGACCACGATTGGCAGACGAGTCTATGTCCTCCTTTGCCTTTGGGCCAAGGTGCTTGAGCCGATCGGACGACGCTGCAAGAACCCGTCCGCTCATGTCGATGGCAGGAGGAAAAGATGCTGGCGCATCCTGACTCTCGTCCCAGGACGCCTCGAAAGCAGGAACACAGAAAAGACCGAGATTGCCGTTGCCGGCGAAATCTTTCCTTCCTTGTTCAGAAGCTCTGAGATCCTTGTCAGAGGGTACTTCGACGTGCCAAGTCTTATCCCGACTGCAAGCCACTAAGGATGTCAGTTCCCCCACGCTGGGATCGTATCGACCCAACTCGTTCCGTTGGAAACCCGCGCCAAGATCGACGGGGGATCATCAGATTAACAAAGTAATTCGGAACACGGACCTTGGCGTTTCGTCTTACCTGCGCCACTGCGAGATTGCCGATGTGGGTCGAAACCTGGTGGTTGCATGACAGGCGCGTCCTGCTCATGCCGCTAACATTGTCCTTGTTGGCGGCATGATCCGCTCGGCTCGCTCTGCGTTCCTGGTCCAGAGACGCTGAAGCCCGAAGCGAGGCGAAGTCGTCAGGTGTAACGAGATTGAATGCAAGTGCTCGGCAAACATACAGTAGAGCGCTGCCAATGTTCTTGTCTGCTCTTTATCCTGATGACCAGCATCCCTACGCGCCTGCCTTCGATTGGTCGAAACGACATGATAGGGGGAGTTTGGTGATCATCGCAATCGATGGCGTCGACCTGGCTGAATGGTGTCGTCTAGGGCCCAAGTGCCAATTGCGTGCGAACGAGAGAAGCTCCGCCCAGCCCATCTGTGGAAGGAAAAGCTTATGCTTTGAGTTCACCGTCTCTGCGATGAGCATGCTTGCCAATTGACAGTGCTGCGAGCTCCGCTTTGGGCCAGCCCGTGATGCAATGTGCTCGGTCCTTGCCTCTCACTCTTTGAAGCGAATTCCCGACTCCGAACAATGGGAAAGGCTGGTGCCGTTGGTAAGTGCAAAACGCAAGAGAGCGGCAAGGGTCCCTTCCTCTGTCGTCGGAGTTTGGATTCGAGCGTCGTGTCCTGTGTCGGGCTTCGAATCCAGCTTTGTGGTTGACTGTTTGCTTCCGACGGGATCAGCTGCTGGCCTTCCACAGCAGATGTCGCCCCGGTTCGTTGAGGTTTCGGTCGTAGTCCATTGGCGCGTCGGGGCAGTCAAAGCCCGCAGAGACCATGCCACGATGCTTGCATATTTTCCGGCAGAACTCTCGCATTCCCGCTGTCGTTGTTGATGGTCGTCTCCCCGTCCTCGAGCCTCCTCGCATGCCGCTACTGTCTCCCTCGTTCCCACGATATCGTTTGGGTCATGCAGATCTGTTCCTCGGGTGCCCTGACTATGACATTTGTTGCTGCGGATCTCTCTCGTTCCTGCGACTGGTGTTCCTGCGCTTCAATCTAAGTCGATCGTCCTCGCCGCTGCGGGCTTGTGACCGCCCTCTTTCACGCTCCGACCAATTGGCAGGATCGAGACCTTTGCGTGTTCCGGGTGGCCGACAAGCGAGAAGCTCGTGACGCTTGCTGCCTGGCCGAATGTCACCAGAGTCGAGGGAGAAGCGGGCAAGCTTCTCGTGTCATGCGCACTGAGGGCATGACTTTCATGCTCGCTGACGGAGGTCTCGCCTCGGCCTGTACACAATGGCGGACGACGCAATCTCCTTCGCCTCGCATCAAACATGGTGACCATCTACTGTAAGCCATCAGTGAGGGTCAACTTACAGTACGATCCGTGCATGCGCTTGTCGACAGGGCATTGAGTGCTCCTGCGAAGGGACGGAGAGTGCAACACGCCGAGCTATCAAACAGAACGAAAGAACGATGGCGTTGCTCGCGAGCATTTCCTGTCAAGTTCCATCCTCGTCTTACCCCTTCGTGCTGCGCCAAGCATTCGAATCGCGAAGCGTGCTGAACAAGCTGAAACCATGCGCGGCCTCGCTTGACCTTATTTTCGGGCATCAACACCATCGAGACACTTCGGAGCTCTTTTGAGTCCTCTTCGCCTCGAGTCAGTCGCCCGTAAGCGGCCTACGTGGAAGCCATGAATGGACTGGGTGCCATGCCTTGAAAATGTGCTTGCAACGCCTGTAGATGCAGATCCCCGTTTCGATGAAACGGCGCCCCGTCTGAGTTTTAAGCGACGAGAGACCACGAGATTCCCGTGTCAGCTTTGATTACGCGACCGCCCCATCCGCCTCGTCGTCTCTTTCTGCGAGAGAGACCTGCGACCGGTAAACTCGCTTCCATAACAGCTGAGGAACGTCCGTATACAAAAGGTCGAAGACGATGCGGCCAAGCCGAGAGCATCGTGACAGCAAGGATCAGGTCCACATCTCAATTGTCTCTCCATGTCTCGGCGAGGCTAAGAGGATCGAGTCGAAGTGCGGAGATCCGCATAGAATCGAATGTCAGGGTGCCGGTGGGCAACAATTTGCCTGGTACCCCGACGTCGGCCAAGTCGAGACGGCCAACCCCAGCGGGGTCCATTCCGCCGCTCAGTCTTGAATGACGAGATAAGAGGACGCGAGCGCGGGAACAGACAAGTTGAAGCGGAGGTGGAAAAGGCGTGCAACCATGACCGCGCGGTCAAGTCTCGTCGTTTTCGCCGATAGCCTCGGCACGCGTCATGCCCACTCGAGACCGCTGTTTGGGCCTCCTTGTCCACGTCTTGACCAGACTGCTGCTGGTATCGAGACGCCTTGTCTGCTGCGCCTTGTCTGCTGCGCCTTGCCCCATCGCTGCTGTTGCTGTTGGACTGAAAAACGCCAGCGGGGCCAGGGTTCGGGCGAGAAGCTCGGCTGGAGAGGTATGGTCCAGGCCACGACGTGAACGCTACAGCGGCTAACCTTGTGCTACTGTAGTCCGCTTGAAGCGAAGTCACCAGATAGCGAGCAAAACCGAGCATGTTGCGTGGCATATTTCGGACCCGAGCCTCGATAGCGACGAGTAACCGGCGGAGCAAACATGACCGCGACAGGTCATCGCAGACCACCATCTCGCTTACAACGCCATCCGTGGGAACGAGATGACAACGTCTCTGCTTTTCGCTCTCGCTTAAGCGCGGAGCTGCAAATTGTGGGATACTTTTTTTTTTCTTTCTTTTTTTTTTTCATCGTGGCCTCGTGTCCGTTCAAGGACTTGGGTGTCTGCTTGCCTGCACTCGCGTCTACTGTCGGAGTCAGGATGGTGGGTTGGTAGGTCTCGCGATTCCGTTCCGTTTTTGCCAGCTTCTATTTATTCCTGGTCATGCTTCGGACTTGTCCTGCACGTTGCCAAGGCGTTCGCATCCAGCTGCATTCGGGTAGATCGACCATTGAGCATGGGTCGGCGGGCATGCGACACTCTACAGAGACCGCTGACTATAGTGGCTTGAGACAGTCTGCCAGGGTGGACGATGCAAAACAGATGCACCGTCATGCGGAGTCGAGTCTAGCATGATTTCCAACGGAGGCATCTTTCCAATGAGGCTTCTTTCATGCCACTCTGTAGCTCGTGCCTGGTCCTGCATCTATAGTGCAGCAGTCGCTTGCCGATCGAGAAGAATGGTCCCCAATGCGAAGCGGCAGCGGAAGAGGCAGGCTCGCCCATCAGCCGCGACACTCCCACCGCTATCGTCACGGACGGCGTGCAGCTTCCAAAATACGATAGGCGGCCGTCATGTCCGGACGGCATCGTGGACCAATCGGCAGTCGGGCGAGAGCGTGCTAGCACGTAACCCAGCCAGCCACAATTTCGTGCTTTCGTCGGGCCCCTCGCCTATGCAAGTGCCAGTTTGTCAATTTGCCGGCCGTACTCTGTTTTCCCGACGGTGCACGAGCGCCTTTTTGCGCCGCATCAAGATGATCAGCACCGGTGTCCTGAGGCATGTTTGACGCTGGAGGCCATAGCGGCAAGAGCTCGAGCCGGGTCTTGTTGCCGAAGGCCCGAACAGCCGGGGATGCGGTGGCGCTGCACGTTCCGAGCAGTACGCTGTGGGAGCAAATGCCGCTGATAGCCCGATTTAAGCGGTGAGCTCTCATAGAGTGCTGAATGTACTGCGGCGTACAGTACCTGTACGACAACGAGACTCCCAAATCGCAGACGGAGACGAGCGGGATGATGCTGTCGATTCGCTCTAACGCCGAAGTCTTGGCGCACACAGGCTTTGTCCAGCGACCCACTTGATGTGAGCGTTTTCTCCGTTGAAGCTATCGTCTCTCTACGCTCTCGCACGAGTCTGGGTATGGACAAGGGGTGGCGAGCAGCCTCCAAGGCCCAACAGCCACGCGACACCGTTCGCGATGATATGATCAACCTCTTCGTCCCCTCTCGTTCTCGATTCACGGTGGAAGTGTACATGATCATGCCTCGGTAGACCGTCTCGCTGTGTTTTCGAGCGTTCGACATGGCTCTGTCGTGGGCGTCGAGCCAGTCACAAGCTAACTCTCATCGTGCGCCGGCTGCCGCATCTGCGTCATTTCCCATTGACGAAAGTCCAGAAGTGGTTCGTCATGCGTGGACCGTGGTCTGTCTGTCGTCTATATAGATTGCTTATTGTACAGTGCAGTGAAGGTAGGGTCCTGAAGCGGATCGATGGGATGCGGCGGCAATGGACAGTCCTTGTGCCGTGTTCGTCTACGGTTTCTGTTGACAGGGATGGAGGCCGACAAGTGTGCAGGAGCTGTCGAGGACTTCCGTCTGTTTTGTGCGCTTCGCCAAGCTTCAAGGTTAGAGGCGGAAGGTCTTGCCAAAGGGCACAGCGAGGAGGCGCTCTGGGCTGTCCGAAGCTTGTTGAATCCCTTTGTGTAGTTGCCAGTAGGGGTCGTCCCAGGTCTCGTCTGACATGGCCCACGTGCCCCAGTGCATGGCGAAGGCGCGCTTGCTGCCGATATCGCGAGTCACTTGCAATGACTCCTCGACGTGCATGTGCATGATCTGCATGTGCCAGCGGGGCGCGTACGAGCCTATAGGCAGGCACGCAACATCGAACGGCCCAAGAGCACGGCCGATGGCGGTGAAAAGGGAAGGCGAGTATCCCGTGTCACCGCAAAAGAATAGAGACTTCGCCTCAGGCGCAGGAGGCGGTGAGCCTGACCGCGAGCCTGCGGCGGCATCGGCCTCAGAGTAGACGCGGACAGCGTACGAGTTCCACAGGGTGAGATTGGTATCTAGGCCCGTCCTAGCGCTCCAGTGACTGGCAGGAACGGCGGTGATGTCAAAGCATCGTCGTTGCTCCGTGACGCTCGAGCTTGTGCCCTTGTCCTTGGCCGCAACTCGGATGGTGACGGGAAGTTTGGTCTGCTGCCACCAATCGAGTTCCACAATTCGCTTTGGATCTACGCCGTATTGCTTGAGCAGGGGAGTGAGACCGAGCGGAACGAAAAAGGCGACGTGTTTTGGTATGAGCGGAAGGACGTCAATGTCGAGGTGATCAAAGTGATTGTGGGTGAGCAGGACGACATCGATAGCTGTGTTGGCAAGGAGCTCGTGTATGCTGCAAGGCATGGGTCGCATCCTTGTAGGACTGAAGAGGGTCTTGACGGGCTGCTCGCCAAAGACGGGATCGGTAAGAATGGTGACACCGTCGAGTTGTATCAAGCAGCTGGACTGGCCGATCCAAGTAAACGAAGACTGCTTGGAATCGCGAATCGCAGGCACCGACGGTCCCTTTGAATTGGCCGAGTCCGGCGAGGGTGGTGTAAAGAGCTCGTTCCACTTGATCTTCTCGACGGGAAGCAGCATATCGATCTTTTGTCGTCCCTCTTGCGTTCTTTGATCGGCTTTGTAGCCACCGTCCCACCAGATGCGTGGCTTGTAGAAGACGCTGTAGAAGAGTTTCCAAGCGACCCATTCCCACGCGCCTTGCTCGCGCCATTCTGGCACGACATTGGCGTAACGTCCTAGCACCTTGAGCGAAGAGAAGCGTCTGTGGATTCTGCTGACTTCGGTGTCCGTCGCGCCGCCGTACCATGTGGAGCCTTGTGTTGGCGTCGGTGGCGGTGAGACCACATCGACATGACCATTGCTATCGAGGCCTCGTTCCTTGAGGATCTCTTGCGCTCGTATCCTGTCCTGGTCTTCTTTGGTCGAGGTGCCTTTGGAGTTCGAGTGAGCAAGGACACCCACTCGTTCTGCGACGCGAACACCGGATGAGATGGCGTGAGGTGGTAAGAGGGGCGCTCGCAAGGGGTACTTGCGTTTGCGAGAAGCCAATTCTCGTCTGCGGATCGTCTCTTGCGCGAGGTAATAGATGCCCCAGCCTGCGACGTAGAGCGATGAGATGGAGACCAGCGCCGTCTTGATCTGCTGAGGCTTGGTGGGAAGCATGGCGGAACAGCCGATGCCCGTGGCAGTGCAAGCCTTATCGATGACTCGCCAGTGATGCTCCCGCCTAGATCGATGGCTTTGCTACGCCAATCCGACCGATCCGTCCTCGGAGGGCACCCGCTCCCAAAGAGTAGCGCTGGGGCTTGAGTCACAGGACGCGGGCCTCGTCACTCGGTCGGAAGGGCCGATGCAAGCGTACTGCCGCTGAGCCGTGATATGTGATGGTGTAAAGTGAGATGCGTGCTACCGTGATCTCATGAAGTGTCACTTGTCCTCGGTGGAGGCGACTCGTGCATTTTTTGTTTCTTCGCTGCAGGCTCTATCAAAAAATTCGCCTTTTCGTGTCTTCGGTGCGGCCGTCGGGGTCTTGCCGGCGCGGATCTGTGAAACGAGGCCGGCTGGACTCGGTACCAGGGAAACGTGGACGCTGTCGGGGTCAGCCACAAATCGGGCCAGACGCGATCTCACCACAACTCGCTTTTCTGCTCCACTTCCCTTTGTCGGAAGGTCGGCGAGCCAAGACCAACACAAGCAACAAAGGGACCCTGAAATTCTTCCCACGCTCTTCCCTTTTGCACCATCACTTCCCTTTGTTCCGATGACGGGTCCAATTGGGCGACGGCACGGTTCGCGGCGCAGAAGCTGAGCTGGCTAGTCAGCAGGCTTCAGCCGAGAACAGACGGAGCAGACCCTCAGGCATCTTGCACGCAAGGGGGCGCGAGGACTGAAGACCTTTCAACTCACCCGAATCCTTCTCGCTTCCTCTTTGCACCATCACGTTTCTTCGATCTCATCCCGACAAGTGACTACGCCTTGCGCCCAATCCACTGTCACGGATCACTCAGCGACATCAAGATGCCAGCAATCAAAGCAGCAGCATGGCCGATGCCACTCGACGATGTCTCGACTCAGACTTCTGACGATCAGCTCGAGACGGAAGAAGCGATCAACGAGCTCTTCTCCCAACTCCGTCCCCCGCGATACGACTTTTCCGACACCGCAAGCAAGAAGGAAGCTCTGGTCAATCCGTGGCTCTCTCCAACCGAACAGGAGCAGCAACGCGCTGAAGCATCTCCACCCAAGCCCACCTTGCTGCTCGAAAGGAAAGCGCACATCAGCTTCCTCACCAAATTGCTCGAGCCGCTTCCGAGTGGCTTCACCGCCTTCGACACGAATCGGTCCTGGCTTCTGTACTGGATCCTGCACTCCTACGATCTGCTTTCGGTGTCGCTGGATCCGAAAGGCCGTGCAAGAGCCATTGCGACGCTCCTCTCGTTCCAAAACAAGGCCACTGGTGGATTTGGCGGCGGACCGGATCAGATCGCACACTTGATGGCGACCTACGCAGCAGTATCAGCGCTAGCTATCATCGGTGGTCCAGGTCCCGCGCCTACCGCAGAGGATGTCGCGGACGCAAAGTCGATCGAAGTGGGTCACGGCGGATGGGATGCCATCGACAGAACGAGGATGTACGAATGGATCATGAGCCTCAAGCAACCGGACGGCAGCTTCTTGGTGCACGTCAACGGCGAGGTGGACGTCCGGGCGGGATACTGCGTCGTCTGCATCGCCACGCTTCTGGGCATCTCGACGCCAAAGATATTTGAGGGCATGGCTCCCTTCATTGCCAGCTGTCAGACGTATGAGGGCGGAATCGCTGCGGCAAGCCAGCCCACCTACCAGCAAGCAAGCTCGGCCGATGGTGGCATCTCGCTCGTATCGCAAGATGTTTCGCGACCTCCGCTCGGAGAGGCCCATGGCGGTTACACTTACTGTGCAGCAGCAAGTCACCTGACACTCTCGCTGCTGGACTCGACGCTGGGCGGATCAACGGGATCCTCGTCTGCGTCGGCGAACTCGTCAGCTGCAGAGCTGAACCGCGAAGCTATGATCCGCTGGGCCACGGCGCAGCAAGGCATCCCCTTCGAAGGGGCCGGCTTTCGTGGTCGCACCAACAAGCTCGTCGACGGCTGCTACGGCTGGTTCTCTGGAGGTGGACTCTTCACTGTCCTCTCTGCCATGATCGAGTCAGAACTCATCGAGGATGCGCACAAGTCTGCTGGATCGGCAAGCAAGCCAGCCGACGTCCAGGACTGGAATGGCATGCTCACTGTCCCACCCGCACCTGTCGTCGTTGCTCCTTCCACGTTTGGCAGCAACAGCAGTGATTCGTGGAAGACCGAGTCCAGCCGCGACTCCCCCACCGCCGCCACCGCCACAGAAGAGTCCGACGACGACACCGCAGACGATCTCTCTTCGCTCACGCTGTTCGACCGCGTCGGGCTGCAGGAATACATCCTCGTCGCAGCCCAGCGCACCGCCGCCGAGGGCGGAGGTCTGCGCGACAAACCCGACAAGCGGCCCGACGCCTACCACACGTGTTACAACCTCTCCGGGCTCAGCCTGTCGCAGCATTCCGTCAGGCTCAGCACCGAGACGTCGACCTTCTTGCATCAGCACTACAAGGGGGACGAGTGGAATCGCAAGGTGTACGCCACCATGCTGGCATGGACGCTGTCGGCGAGGGACGAGATCGTCGTAGAGGCCAGAGCGGGGACCGAGGGCGCAACGAGCAACAAGATCAACCCCACGCATCCGATCTTCAACATCACCTTCCCCAAGGCAAAGCTGTTTATGGACTGGGCGTATGGTCAGGCGTAGGCGAACGCATGGTAAGATAGATAGGCTAATTTCATTGTTATTGTTTCGAGCATTTCAGGATTTGCAATGTGTGCTTGTGCATGAGACAAGATGCTGTGATCTCCATGTGGTCCTCTACAACGCCGGCTCGCGCATCATTATGAGAAAGGCATCCTCTACACCTCAACAACCTCCGTCCCACGTCTGGAATGCACCGCAAGAACCTTGGCGCCATACTCGAACGGATCGCCATCATACACAACAAACTCCTCCTCCGCTTCCTCGCTCTTGAGTCCCAGCACGTCATCGATGCCGCCACTGACCAATTGCACGATCTGCTCCCTGTCCAGCAGGCCGTCGGTTTCGAGCGCGGCGCGCGTTGCGTCCCAAAGAAGATTACCTGCCATCCAGGCTTCTTCGATCTTGAGTGCCACGCGTACGCCGGCGCGCAGGAGGCTGCTCAGCGTCGTCTCTCTGGTCAGCGGGGGTCCTGACAGTCCGCGGATCTCGTCGAATGTTCGGGGCCAGGTTTGGGGGATGAGTAGCACTCCCACGTTGCGCTTTGCGATCTCGTCTGCGACCAAGTGGCCTTCTGCCGCACCAGAGATGACGAGGTTCACTTTCGGGAAGGAATCCTTCAGCCGCAGGAGGGAGGCGATGTGGTCTGCCCTCAACGCAGTCACTACCAACGCCATCTCTCCCTTGGTGACTCGCTCCCATACGCCCGACGGTTTGGTCAGGAGCTGACGGAGCAATCCGAGCTGCTCTCCAATTGAGGGTCCTCCTTTGTCATGCGTGAGCGTCACATGCACCGCTACTTCCTCCTGCACCACCGCTCCCGGCGTCAAAACGTTCTCTGCCCCGGTGTCGAATTTGACACTCACGCCCGAGAAGAACGTGTCGCTCTGGGGAAAGACGATGCCGCGAGTGACACCCGATGCTCGCGCGTGGATGAGGTCGTGACCCCCAAACTGGAGGCCGTCTACCGCCCGCGCGACCGGCCAGTTCGCAAGGTACGAAGCGAGCTGGGTTGCCGGAGTGGACGAGGAGAGAGGATCGAGCGAAAAGCCGTCCGACGCTTCGGGTTCGGATACGATATCCGTCAGACCGAGGTTCGAACCGTACGATATGAGGCCGGGCAGAACCACCCCGCCGTGAGCATCGATGGTGGTGACAGAGGAGGTGGAGGGGCAGGTAGTGGAAGAGCACGCTTCGCCGCTGCACAGCACTCGACCGCCCGCCACGACGAGTGTACCAGATCCAGAGGCGTAAGTGCTCGATCTGATCCGAGGCGAGTTGGCGCGGCGGTGGAAACGCTCGCTGACGTTGATGAACACCGTGCAATTCTGCGTCGGCTCTTTGGCGGATGGGAAGGCGAGCGCGTCGAACGTGATGATCTGATCATACGACTCTTTCACCTTGCGAATGTCTGCGCTGAAGTTGCCCGACTTCGGCGCTGGTTGAGCGGCTACTTCTTCCTTGCGCTCCCTAATTTCCTTGCCCTTTGGCAGGCTGGGTCTGGGCACGGGCGCATGCGGCCCGAGCTGAGGCACACCGTCGCTGATGACCTCGACCGGCGTCGCCCCCAATCGCAACGGATGGGTGTTCCACACCACCACATCCGCATCCCATCCCTCCCTCACGTACCCCAGTCGGTGGTCCAGACCCAGCCTCTCTGCGGGCGCACTGATGACGCTCCTCATCGCCAACCGCTCCTCCAAGCCAAAGTGGTGCGCCTGAGCTGCCTGGTTCAGAATCCTTCGCGAGTCCGTCACGGGATGATCGGACTTGTAGACCGGCGTGATGTTCTGACTGGCCAAAATGGCCCCTGCGAACGGCGATCCGAAGTAGGATTCAAGCTTGTAGTTCGCATTCGTGCTGAAGATGGCGATCGCTGGCGTAACGTTTCCATACGTCTGGCGCAGCAGGTCGGGTACGAGATACGATTCGTGCGCATGATGGAACGCCGCCACTTCAAACTCGAACTCGTTTGAATGACGGACGAACGCTTCAAAGTCCACCTGCGTATAGCAGTGCGTGTTGAGCTTGACCTTTCCCCTGAGTAGCGCTACGAGAGCTTCGTGCTCCAGATCGTCCGGGAACGTAGCATCGTCCAGCGTTGTTGGCGCAAAACGGGGGGAGCGGGCCGAGTCGCAGAAGGCATCTTGACGAAGCTTGAGCGAGCGAGCGGCGGCAAAAGTGCGGCGGAAGTCCCACGCCTCGTCCATGCGCGTCATCTTGTACACTCGACGGGCGTTTTCGCCGCAGGCCATCTTCATGTATCGCCAGCTGGAGGAGCTATCGTTGCGAAGCAGCCCGGTTTCAAGATCGTACTTTTCGACATCGCCTTTGCCCTGGCCAAGACGAGCGAGCGACGTGGGCGGTTCGATCACGCGATCCAGCGGCAGGTGCGAGGATGTTTGGCGATACTTGATCGGGAAAGCCTGGCCACCCATCGAGTTGGCCGAACCAGGAAGGACAAGACCGGTGGTGATCCCGCCAGCGATGGACTTGCGGAACGAGACGTCGTGCTGGTTCATTGCGTCGATGGTGCGGAGGTACGGGTTGGTGTTCTTGCCGATGCTGTTGACGTCGTCGTCACCTGACATGGCGGGAAGCGCTCCCACGGACAAGTGAACATGCATGTCGACGAGACCGGGTGTCACCCATCGGCCCGCTGCATCGACCACTTTGACTTTCGAGTCGGGGCGGAAAGCGTTGTCTTTGGTGTGCGAGATGCGCTTGATCAGACCTTGAGATAGGAGAACATCGCGCTCGTGAAGAACTTCCCGACCGCCGTCATTGCCAGTCCAGAGCGTGGCGTTGCGAATAAGGACATCGGGGAGGTCTTTCTCGGCCCTGTCTGAGCGAGTGCGCTTGTGGAAGTCGGCGGGCGGGCCAACAGGGGCAGCGATCGCATCGCATTTATCCAGCGAAGCGGCGAACACGCTCTGGATGTGTGGGTGAGGCGAGGGCTGGTAGACGTGGTGCTGGCTGCCGCTGTACGTCGTCAGCACGCCGACGTAGTAGACGAGGGTGACGAAGCCCAACAGCGATAGGAAGGCGGATCGCAGAGATAGCGGGAGACGCTGCTTACGGACGGGCGCAGGGGATGCGTAGCTGGGCAACATGGCATCAGCCCGCGACTTGTCTTTGCTATCTGACATGTTGCAGCGAGCGCAGAAAGAGCTCCAGATCAGACTTGAAGACGAGCCTGGCAAGAGGTAATGGTGATAGAGGAGGCGGAAAGGAAGGGTCGAGTCAAGACTTTGGCACGGCCCTTTGTAGCGCGCGCTTTCGCTCTCTCTCTCTCTCTTCGGATTCTTCGTTACTGGCATAGCCAGGCTCGACTCAGACTGGCTTGCAAAGGTGTCTCCCTCCCTTTCCTTCCCCAACTCTGCTCACGCAACAAGATCATCGAAGCGAATGTGAACACCGGCAATGCAATTGACTGTATGCATGGACCATTTTTGCGAAGAACGGAGCTTCAGCTTCCGACGCCGGTCGATGTCAGTCAGACCCTTTTCGGAATTTCGCATGGTCGGCTCGACAACCGGATCAGGAGTCGATCGATCGGCGATCCTTGAGGCAGATCCCTCCTTCGGCCATCAATACAATGACTTGGTTTCGCACAGGCATGTCGATGCATCACAACAAAGGCTTCTGTTTTTGCTCTTGCGAGTCTACAAAGCATTGCAGCGCATAGTGGCCGAGTCTGGCCCATCTACCAAAAGCGTGAAGATGCTTAGCCCTGGAGGATCTCCTTGGAGACGACCTTTCCGTCCTGGTCGAGCTTGTACAGAATGGGGACGCCGGTAGCGAGCTCGAGGCCGACAATGTCATCATCGCTGATGCCCTCGATGTCCTTGATCATGGCGCGGAGCGAGTTGCCGTGCGCGGCAACAATCACGTTCTTGCCCTCCTTGACGAGGGGCAGGATCTCCTTGTGGTAGTAGGGCCAAACGCGTTCGGCGGTGAGCTTAAGACTCTCGCCTCCGGGAGGGGGGATATCGTAGGATCGACGCCAGATGTGCACCTGGTCCTCGCCCCACTTCTTGCGCGCATCGTCCTTGTTGAGGCCGCTAAGCTCGCCATAGTCGCGCTCGTTGAGCGCCTGGTCCTTGTGGATGGTGATGTCCTCCTGACCGATCTCCTTGAGCTGAATGCCAAGGGTCGTCTGCGCACGCTGCAGGGCGGACGTGAAGGCAACGTCGAACTTGATGCCAGTGGCTGCGACACGCTTGGCGCCGGTGAGAGCTTCCTCGCGACCAAGCTCGGTAAGAGCAGGGTCCTTCCAGCCAGTGAAGAGGTTGAGCTTGTTCCACTCGGATTGACCGTGACGTGTGAGGACGAGAGTGCCGACCATTTTGATGAGAGGTTTGATGGTGTGTATTGGAGGTGTTGGTGTTGGAAGGGAAGGATGTTCGCTCGCATGGAAAAGTGGATTTTTGAGGGTCCGTCCGCCTGCAGATTGACCGATCGATAAAGTCTGTGCGTTCAAAAAAATCAACCAAGATCCACACTTTCTTTCGCCTTCTCAAGATCCCAAAAAGCGGTCCACGCACGTATGAGCACGACACTATTGTGCACCGTGAACGACGTTCCAGTAGTGACGCCGCGGCGGACAGCGGAGAGAACATGGGGCTCATGTCAACACCACGGTGGGCTTGGACCGTGGGGCCGGAAGGATCCGAGACCTCGGAAGTAGACGGCTTTCACAGTATGATGCGAAAATTGGGTCCTATGTCAGACCATCACCTGACACAAGTTTGAGAAATTCGGGCCGGCTGGTGCTCCGTGCGTAGGCGGTGTTGGCTCACAGCCACGCTGCGCTGACCGGCTTCTTTACTCCACAAGCGCACACACACCTTCCACTTTGCTGCGGAGCGGATGTATCACGCCGAACGTAGCAGAACCTTTCTTCTCTCCCCACAACGACGCTCTGGTCAGCAGTAACAATGTCGCTCAACGTCAATCTCTCCTCGGCGGCCATCCGCGACGCTTACGAAAAGGTGCTCGACGGCGCCAAGGACTACCTCGTGCTCACCTACGAAAAGGCCTCGAACGATCTTCGCGTCCAAGTGGTCGAGAATGGCGACCTTGACGATCTCAACGAAGAGTTCTCGGATGGCCGAATCCAGTACGCCTTCACTCGAGTCAATGATGCCAACACGCAGCTGCCCAAGTTTGCGCTCATCAACTGGTGCGGTGAAGGTGTGCCCGAAAACCGCAAGGGTCTGTTTGCGACCCACTCGTCGGCCGTGGCTCAGTACCTGAAAGCGTACCACGTCAGCATCAATGCGAGATCGGAAGGCGATGTGGATCCCAAGCTGATCATGCGCAGGATCGCAGAGTCGTCCGGCGCCAACTACTCGGCGGCTGGCAAGGCGGCTAACACGCACTCGGGTGGTCCCATCGGATCCGTCGGTACGAGCTACAAGCCGATTGGGACGCCTGACATTCGAGGCATGCAGAAGACGGCGCCGAAGGACACCATTGCTCCAGTTGGATCCAACTATGCTCCCAAGAAAGACGAGCTGCAGCAGATTCGTTCGGGTTCCGCACCAGCACCGCAGATGCCTAGCGCCCCTCGTGTCAGCGCCCCGGCCTTCGACTCTGCACCGAAGCCCGCGGCTCCTGCTGCGCCTGCTGCTCCATCGACACCAGCCGCACCGACTCCCAAGCCCGCCCCTAAGCCTGCATCGATCCCGCCCGCTCCTCGTCCAGAAGCGTCGTCGGCCCCACCGAAGCCAGCCGAAGACGACCGTATCCAGCCCGTCGGCACTGCCTATCAGCCGGTCAGCTTGGGCAAGCCAGGCAAGCTCAACATGGCCAACCGCTTTCCCTTCGGCGGTCAGCAGGAGGACGCTTCTTCGACTTCGACGCCTGCTCCTCGTGTCGCCTCGGGTGGTACACCAGGGAAGCTCACATGGAGCCAGCGACAGGCAGCTGCGCAGAAAGAGCGCGAAGATGAGGAGGCACGTGTCAAGCAGCTTTCTTCTGGAATGCGCACGACTAGCTTTGGCACTGGTGGAGCGGGTGCAGGCGCTGCTGCCGCCCCTAAGGCTCCTAGTGCTCCTGCTGCTCCGGTCGCCCCGGCTGCTCCAGCTGCTCCGCCCGCACCACCTGCGCCACCTGCACCTCCAGCAGCACCTGTGCAAGAAGAGGAAGACGAAGTGCCGGCCCCTCCGCCTGCGCCTCCAGCGCCTCCCGCTCCCCCCGTCGAAGAAGCTACTCAGCAGCTCGAGTCGACCCACATCTCCGATGCCGGTGCTGCGAAAGAAGCTGGCGGCAGCGGTGGCCTTCGAGGACGCGTCGAATGGGCCTACGAGGCTGCCGAAGACAACGAGCTTACACTTGTCGAAGGCGCTGTCATCTCAAACATCGAACAGATTGACGAGGGTTGGTGGTCTGGTGAGGACGAACATGGTCATGTAGGGCTCTTCCCATCAGCCTATGTGGCCATCATCGAGGAGGATGGCGAGCAGGAAGCAGCAGCGCCTCCTCCAGCACCTCCAGCACCACCCGCACCACCCGCCGCTGTCGAGCCAGAGGAAGAAAACGAGATCCCACCTCCTCCACCTTCCCCTCCTGCTCCGCCTGCAGCGGTCGCCGAGGAGCAAGAAGCACCTGCACCGCCCCCTCCTCCTCCCGCTCCACCAGCTCCTGCCACTTCAAGCGACCGCGGTCTTGTCTGCATAGCCCTGTATGACTTCGAGGCCTCGGAGGACAACGAGCTGTCGTTTGTCGAGGGTGACACCATCATCAACGTCGATGACCAGATCAGCGACGACTGGTGGAGCGGAACCAACGAGCGTACAGGCGCTACCGGGTTATGGCCTTCGAACTATTGTGAGCGAGCTTGATCAGATACGTTGTAAGCCGACCAGCGAATCACAAAGATGTCTTTCATACGATGATGTGTGGTGTGAGAATGTCGAAGGTAGCCCGATCTGCAGCTGATTGAATCGGGCCTCGCCAGCGGTGAATGGAGGCTGGAGATCTAAAATTGGCCTTGCGTCTGCACCTAGCCGAGATCTGGGAGACCCGTGTGCCTAAGCGGACGGGCAAGCGATTGAATGTGGGGAAGCGATCGGCCAAGTGTGCCGTGTCACGCCTGGCATTCATCGTTGACTCAGTCTTAGCAGAAAGAGGTGTCGGTGTCTTACACCAGCCAGATGGAACTGCGATTCGGTCATGTTGATTGAGGCTCCCGAACGCATTCAATTTAGGCAGGACGGCGTCGGCCGCCCGACCGCCGCCGCAAGGACTGGAAATTGGATGAGGCGAAGCGGCGGCTCGGGCTGGACGAAGTGTTTGCGCTGACTTGGTCACCCATCCCCGAGCCCTGAAAGGTATTCCAGCATTGAAGCATGGACGCACCTGCGGCAGTGAGGAATGCAATTCGCCGCTGCATACACCGCACAACCCGCAACCGAGGTGCGTGTTCCCATAAGTGGCCATGGTGAGACAAGCATAAGGTTGCTGCTGCAGATCTCGCGACCGAGCCCAAAAGCGAAAAGAGCTGTCTGCTTGAAGAGAAATCTTTCAAGGTGCAGCTCAAGCAAGCAAGTTAGACTTTGCATTCAACTTGAATCCGCAGTGGTTTTGTATTGATTGCTTCAAAGTCAAAATAAGGTCAAAGCAGGGATCGTCGCTCTTGCATGCCTAGCGTTACCCCGGAGTGAGAGCAACATGATCTGCGAGTCGTCTGCCATCGACATTGCTATACAAGCGCGTTGACACGAATGCTGAAGAATCGACTGGCATGAACATAAGTTAGGGGCGCCGACCAAGCGCGCAGCATTGCTGGCTGCTCCTGTCAAGACTCGGTTGTGTATGCCTATGCTCGAGATTCTGCGCATCGGCTGCAGGGCAATTCTGAAATTAATTTTGAGGCAGACTTCCCAGGCAGGTAGCCTGGCTGGCCTAAGCTCCTTTTTCCTGAGAGATGCAGGCTGGCAAGTTAACAGAGTGCTGCGCTGCGCTGCGCGCTGTGGCTCGGTCTCTTTTTTTTTTGCCTTCTTTTTCTCGAGCTTCTCCGCGCCGACTGAGCCAGACGCGGTTCCGCCTGGATTGCTGTGCTTTAGTGCGCTTTGGCACTGTGCGGTGGTGTGTGTGCTGTGTGCTTGTGCGTTGACCTTGACTTTGGCTCACTTGCCATCGTCGTCGATCTCACTTTCGACCCCACACCAACATCATCCCCTCCTTTCGCTGTTCCGTCCACACACACATCCATCGGCTCTGCACGTGATACGCTCTCCCACAGCTTCGCTCACTCGGAACATCGCACAGCAAACGTGTGGAGCGCGCATTCTGCATTTCTAAGTTCCTACCTGCAGATCGTACGACACCCTTTCGCGCTACTCATCGCATGCCTCCTCGTCCCAACGCGTACATACATCGCCTCATCTCTGCCCGCTCAGTCTGCTTGTCATGCTTCACATCAGCTAGTGTCCCTTCGCCCTCCAGCTAGCACGCTCACAACTTCATTCGTCGCAACACCTAATCGACCAGCCAGCTCCCATCACACGGCGCTGAGCTCTTGTACGCTGCGCTCGCATCCATCCGACGTCTCCCTTCTGCGTCTCCTGCATCTGCTTAACCTCGACATTGCTTCGGCGGACACGATCATCTCAGCATTCATCCTTTGCTGTCGCATGACCTACATTCGCACCAACACCTTGCGCGCAGACCGAGAATCTCCGTCGCATCCCGGCGTCCTCTTTCACGCTAGCTACTAGACGCGACACAGAGATCAATTGCAAGTCCACCTCGTCGACGCTGCATCTTTGTCGCGCTTCCTGCTGCCTCCGTCTTCACCTTTGACCGGACGCTACCAGCATGTCGGATCCACGCTACACCAACGGCGCCGATGCTGATGCGTCTGGCTCAGCAGCCTGGCAACAGCAGCAACAGCCTTCCGGCTCTTATCACGCTCATCGCTCTAATGCCGCTCACTCCGAAGGCAACACCTCCTCCTACCACTCCAATCCTGCCGACAACATGGACGACCTCAACCGTGCTGCTGCAGACATGAGTGTTGCTGAATCTTCCCGTTCGGTCGCCGCTGCTGGCGACTCCCAAGTACGCTTTCAACAACCCTCAGGCTCCACTATCCTAGCCAGCGCTTCCATGACACCCTCGCGTTCACAAAACCCCAGCACAGGCTCACAGGTCAGCGCGCCGCGCAATTCGGATGAATACGCACAGCAATCAGCGTTACAGCCATCTACATCTTCCAATGGCGTGGCACCCGATGCCAACAGCTCGCGAAATCGTGCGGACATGGACAGAATCAAGAGCCGCGCCGTCGATCCTGGCTGGAGCTGGGAAAGAGAACGCGAAAAGTACGAGGCCGGCGGATCGCTTCGTTCCAACAGCATCGAGTCGAGGCCCAGCCTGCCTTCGCGTGGCTCTTCTCGACCCACACCTCGTCTCGACACAAGCGGCGCAGTAGCAAGAGTCAAAGATGGCTCAGACCCTGGCTCTGCCGGTCGCTCGGGCATCTCATCCAACGTCGCCTCGCCGCAGACCCTTCAAGCGCCTCCCAACGCTATCACTGGTACAGCGCAGCAGCGTGCAGCTCCGCCAGTTGCCTCGCAGAATGCAGCCCCCACCGCCGCAACCAGCAGTCAAACGAGCGCCGTCGCTCCCAGCCAAGACCAGCCAAAACCGAACCAGACAGCATCCAACACTGGCAGCTCGAGGCGGCGCGATCAGACGTGCCAAGCATGCGGCAAAGTTATGACCGGCCAATTCGTCCGAGCGCTCGGCAGCGTCTACCATCTCGACTGCTTCCGCTGCAATGACTGTAACAAGGTCGTCGCTGCCAAGTTCTTCCCCGCCACCGACGACATGGTCGACTCGTCCGGCACAGGCCGTCTTTTCCCTCTTTGCGAGACCGACTACTTCCGCCGCCTCGATCTCATCTGCGCCAAATGCAGCGGCGCGTTGAGAGGAAGCTACATCACTGCACTCGGCAAAAAGTTCCACGTCGAACACTTTACCTGCTCCGTCTGCCCCACCGTCTTCGGCCCGCAGGACAGCTACTACGAGCATGACGGCAACGTCTTTTGCCACTTCCACTACAGCACGCGCTTTGCCATCAAGTGTACAGGATGCAAGACCGCCATTCTCAAGCAATTTGTCGAGATCAACCGCAACAACACCGACGAGCACTGGCATCCCGAGTGCTACATGATCCACAAGTTCTGGAACATCAAGCTGTGCCCGACCGGGTCCACACCCAAGGATGGAGCTGCAGCTCTCGCAGAGGTGGCCGCGGACGGCCAGACAGAAAGTCCTGTCGTCCAACAAGCCAGCGGTCAGGTGGAAGCGGTCGGATCGGCGCCAGGCCAGACCGCTCCTTCGCGTGCTGAGCCGTCACCAGACGCGACCGAGATCGAGGCTACGGAAACGCCGTCCAGTCTCAAGCAAAAGCAGAAGCAGATGGAGGAACGCGTCTACCGCATTTGGACGGTGCTGTCCGCTTTCGAAGAGAGCTCGGCGGCCTGCATCTCCGAGATGCTTCGTCACGTCAGCAGCGGCCGCTATCTCGGCGGCGTGCGGATGGCGGAGAAGTTCATCTTGCATGTCGAGATCCTCTTCTCTGCCATCGACGACCTGGAAGCCAACTTCCGCAAAGAGGAGGCAAAGGGCATATCGCACATCCGTGAAGCAAGGATGCTCTGCAAGAAGATCGTCAACTTCTTTTCGCTGCTTTCTCACACGCAAGAAACTGGCGCAAGAAGGATGGGCATCACGCAGGAGCTTCTCTCGCTCGTTACGGGTCTCGCGCACTATCTTAAGATTCTCATCCGCATTGCACTCACAGGCGCGCTCAAGCTCGACCGCGAGTTCTTCAACGAAGAGGCCTTGCATTGGTTCCTCAGTCAGCTCGCCTTCTCCGCCAAGCTCGGCAGCATCACCGCCGACGACAAGCAGGGCACCCAGGCCCCCAATACCAATACGGTCGGTCCCGATGGAAAGTGGTACGGCTACCGCTCCCTGCCCCGATCTACTAGTTCTGGGTCCAACGACAACGGCGAAGCGGCCACCGATCTCTGCGTGGCATGTGGCTCCACCGTCGAGGAAGAATGTATGCGCATGGGCGTCAATCTGCGATGGCACTCCAACTGTCTCAAATGCACGTCCTGTCAACGGCCTGCTCTGCGCGAAGGCGCATCCACGCGCAAGCAACCAGACCCCGTGCCCGGTGCACCAGACGCATTGCCTGCTTCGCAGTTCGGCCTCGACACGAAGCGCAAGCAGCAAGTCGGAGGTGCTGAGACGCAGAATGGCTCTCGATCGTTGTCTGCAGGCTCGTGGTCGCATGCCTGCTTCTGCCCTGGATGCACTGGCGGTATGCAGCTGCGTACAGGCTTCGAATCGGTCACCAGGCTGGAACAGTACGCCTTCCTCTTGCGAGTGGCGCTCAACCGTCTCTTTGCGCTGCTCCGCAAGCGCGGCGTGGTTCCGCCATCGCCTCCCGTGGCAGCATCACGTCAGATCGGGGAAGGCGAAGCATCCACTTCCGGCGCAGTGGCACCAGGTGAAGGAGAAGAGGAGCTGTCGATGCACGAAGCTTACCGCGACTCGCAGGACATCAAGCGCATGAAGTCGGTCAACCTCAATCGCAAGTTGTCGACAAAAGCAAAGGTGCCACGCATCTCTACTGTGGTGGGCAGTCCGTCAGGTCGACAGACACAGACGTCGGACATGCAGCGATCGTCGCCCTCCGACACCGGCCTGCAGGGTGACAGCAGGCACTCGCCACGCCAGACCAGTGCTAACTCCTCGCCGCAGGATGCTAGCTCGCCCTTCCAGCGCGCCTCGTCTCGCACTCCTTCGCCGGCCAGTCAGGCACGACAAGCACAGCAGCCGCAAGGATACCAGCAGCAGCCACAGCAGCCACAGCAGGTCTTCCAACCCGTTCAGCAGCATCTTCCGTTTGCGCTGCCTCCTCACCAGCAACCGCCTCAGTTCGGCGTCGGATCCTCAGGTCGTGCCGGATCGCCTCCGAACTTGGAGCCAGGCTCCATCGTGCCCATTCGACCTGCCTTTGCACGCCACAACACGGATGTCAAGATTCGCGAGGATGGACCGATGCGACAGCCATCGGGTGATGACACGCAGCGCGACACCAGAAGCGAGGACGGCATCACGCTCGCTGACATTCCGCACATCTTGGAGGCCGAGCAGGCACGAGAGCAACACCGACCCCTGCCGAGCGAAGGCGCGCGTTGCATCTCGGAGCTGTCGGCGCTCGAGCTGTTCATCGTCAAGCACATGGCCGTGATGTACCTTCAGCAGTCGGCCTTGCGAGACCACGTCAACATGGACGACCTGATCGAGTTCATCGAGACGCGCAAGAACACGTTCTGGGGCAAGTTCTTCAAAGGCGGCAAGGACAAGAAGGAGATCAAGAAGAAAGGTGTGTTTGGCATCCCTCTCGAGATCCTCGTCGAGCGCAACGGTGCCGATTCGACCCTGGGTGCAAGCGCCGCGCATCTGCGTGTACCATCGTTCATCGACGACGTCATCTCGGCCATGAAGCAGATGGATCTCTCTGTCGAAGGCATCTTCCGCAAGAACGGCAACATTCGTCGCCTCAAGGAGTTGTCGGAAGCGCTCGATCGCGACAGCTCGTCCGTCAACCTGCTGGACGACAACCCCGTGCAGCTCGCCGCGCTGCTCAAGAAGTTCCTCCGCGAGCTGCCGGACCCGCTCATGACGTTCAAGTTGCACAAGCTCTTTGTCATGTCGCAGAAGCTCGAGTCTGAAGCCGAGCGACACCGCATCCTACACATGGTGACCATCCTCTTGCCCAAGGGCCATCGCGATACGATGGAGGTGCTGTTCGCGTTCCTCAAGTGGGTGGCGTCTTTCTCGCACATCGACGAGGAGACGGGCTCCAAGATGGACCTGCCCAACCTGGCCACGGTGGTCTGCCCGAACATCCTCTACAGCAAAGGCACCGATCCTACGAAGGACGAGACGTTCCTGGCCAACCGCGCCGTGTCATACATGCTCGAGCATCAGGACGAGATCTGGAAGGTGCCGGAGGAGCTCGAAGCCGTGTTGCAGGACAAGGACCTGATGAACGCCTCCGCGGACCTGACGTCGCGGGACATCCTCAAGAAGTGCGAGCGCCTCGTGCGACAACGGCAGCAGCGCGGAGGTGTTGGAATGGGTCGCAATGGCAGTGGGACCGGTGGACCATTGCACTCGGGCGAGATGCAGAACCGCCACCGACCCGACGTACACCCGCCGACGACGATGCGCCAGGTCCAACAGCAACGCGAGCAGATGATGCAGCATCGTCAATTCTCTAACGGCGCTATCCCGGCTCCGGTGGGCATCGACTATTCGCGCAGCCCCGACACCCAAGGCCCTCCTTGGTCGGCCGGCGCTGTACCAGGCGCTGGATTCGGCGCGAGCCCCACCGACCGCGCCCCGCTCAGCACGACGCCGCAGAAACAGGGCTATGCAGTCGCGAATGGCCACGGCAACCAGGGCTACTATCCGCCACAAGGACAGCAGCAGATGATGCGCGGCCAGAACTCTGGCCAAGGATACCCGCAGCCGCAGCAGAGCAGCTCCCAGGATCACCCATACAACCGCTTCTACAGGGGCAATGGGGGTGGGGGCATTGAGCAGAACATCAGTTAGACGTGTTAACCTGCAATGGCATGATTGACGGCTACAGAGCAAGATGATGTGTGGGTGAGATTGTGTGTGGGTGAAGAATGCTCGAGAGCGGGATGATGTGTGATGTGTCGAGTGAGGAGGGGGTCCGAGCGTGAACTTGACGTGCATGAGGCGCACTCGCGAACCACGTTTGTCCTCAGGCCTTCGATTCTCGCATCGTACTATGCTCCTATCAGGTCGGATGCACGCTAAGCATGCGCGCTAGACGGGCTCGCAGATGGGATGGGCCTGGAATGAGGTGAGGACCTGAGGTCGGGGGGAGCAGCGCCTCCTGACGGAGTGGCCCATGCGGCGCTTAGTGGCAGACCTTCTTTGCCGAGTCAGCTTCTGAATCTTCCACCTTTCTCTCTACGACATTTGAAAGAGCGCCCACGACCTTCCGCACATAGCGATGCCCATGTCTCGCCCGTCCAGCCCGCCAATACGTCCTCCCGCCAACGGCATCGGTCTGACTCTGGCAGGCGACGAAGCGAGAGACGGCTCCGTGCCCCAACTGATGACAGTCGTCGATGACGGAAAGAAGATCCCCTACGGCCCTGGGTTCTACGTGCCACCGCCTGGGCTTCCGGCTTCCGCGTTCACAGACCAGGACAACATGAGGATGAGGAGCCGAGACGACGCAGTGAGCATCGAGATGCCGGATCGACGCGCAGCTAGTTCGACTACCACTTTAACCGGTTTGTCCGAAGACAGACAAGATCAAGCACAACCAAGCTCCCAGTCAGCTACGACCTCCCGGTCAAATCCGAGTGCAACAACCAGACGAAGCCAGCTACAACAGAGGCCGAGACACAGATGCTACTACGACCTACAGCGAGCAAGGAGCGATCCGTCGCCGAGCGGTACATTGATGATCTGGGCAGGCTTGGCAGTTCTGCTGGCTGCTTCACAATCCATCTTGTTGGACAGCTACGATCACAATCCCGCATCTCAAGCTTTGGCACTGGCATCACTCGTTCTCGCGCTGTTCTCAGCTCTCGTTTCAGGCGTCGGGCTGCTCATAGCGACGAACACAGCATCCACCCAAGCAAGGTCGAGATCACGGAAGAACAGCTTCGCAACGAGTCTCTCGATCAGCATGAGCAATGCCTGCGGAATGTGCGTTTGTCTCGCTGCAGCGCTGCAGCTGGGATCGTTGGTGACATACGCCATGCGATCACTCGATAAGGCGGCCAGATACAGCGTCTGCGTCGCTTTCGCAGCCGCTCTTCTTGTTGCATCGGCCAGTATCGGATGTCAACTCTATCTCGACGGCCAACTTTGTTTCCATCGTCAAACCCAGTCTCCTCGCAAGCAGAAAGGAGCAAATGGCCGCCATTCGTCCGTGACCGGCGCTCGCACGCCTTCAACATGTCCCTCCTCGGTCTCTTCGCACGGCGGCAGATACGTTCCCGACTACGGTCTCGATTCGGACACTGAGAGCGACTACATGAAGCGCGGCATCAAGCACCCGCACGCCGACTGGACAGATCGGGTGTTGGATGGTCTGATCCACAGCCCCCTGCTCGACGAGCCGAAATTGCATCGTTGATTGTCACTCGCCCTATCACACAAGCGCAGAGCTTACAGAACTTAATGAACTCACGAAATCTCACAGGACAGTCAGATAGGCACGACGGAGCATTGATTGGCACTTTGACAGATGAGCGAGCTGACACATCCGCAGCGCTGCGCAGATAAGCGCAGTGGCACGTCTCTTGCGTTGTGACACTGCGCGGAGCAGAGATGGAAGCATTCAAAAGTCTAAGCTGAAATTGACTGACAGCCAGGCGGAAGATTCCGAACCAAGTCACCTTGTTTGTCATCACGCGACGCCTTTGTTGTTCTGCTGCCTCAACGCTTTGTATGCGCATGAAAATAAGCTCAGTCACAACAGCTGCGCTCAAATGAAGCGCGGTTGTGACTCTCTCTTGGTCCGCTCCCGCTTCACGCCTGCTGCGCGTCGTGGTTGCGGCGCGGATTGAGGCGGAAGCGCATGCCTTTCGCGATTGTGCTCATCTACACAGTCACAATGCGACAGACAAAGACAAGCGGACGCGCCGCGACCAGCTCGACTGCGCCATATAAAAGGAGCATCTTGTAAGAGCTTAGCGCTGCTCTTCTCCCATCCACAACCCACCATCCTACCAGCGAGACAGCACTCTGCGTGACTCTTGCATCTGGCTTGACATCTGAAAGATGGAGCCGTCCACCTCCGCCGCAGAGGAGACCAAGCCCGTCGTGCTCATCCTCGACGATGACGAGGATCATCTCAAGTTGCTGCTGGCGGCTCATCCACCTGGCCGCCTGGGCATTCCACCTGCTCTGAATGGTGGAGTCAGCCCACCTTCCATCTGGGGGCTAGGCGTGCCTTCCATCAACGAAATAGCCGAGCTCGCGCCCAACTTCGCCACCGACCCGGCCTACATCAAGGCTAACGATCTAGCTCGGGAAGCCACCGCCAAGGTAGCTGAGATTCAGTACAACGACGCCATTCCCACCAACGTCAACCACCGAAGCCACGTCAAGAGCAAGAAGCAGTGCCGTACCGAGGTGCAGAACGACTTTCACGACCAGATCATCGCCTTGGCAGAGGATCATGCGCTGTGGAGCCAGGGTCGATGGACCATGCTCGTCAGCACGCAGTCGATCGACAATGTCTTTGCTCGTCTCGCCAAGAGTCTCGCCTCGGGTGAGCTTCGCAAACACGGCATCATTGCTATTCGTGCTCGAGTACTCACATCCGAAGAGAGCACCATGGCCAAGGCCTTCGACAACTTCAAGCGACCCAAGACGTCGCACGGTCGTAAAAGCAGTGGCCCTGGCGATTCGCCGATCCGCTCGGGTCAGCCTCCTCTCAGCATCGACGTCTATTTCCGTCCCGTGTGGAACTCGACCGCTGCTCGTGAGGCTCTGAAGGTCATCACCGAGGTCAGCGGTCGCGTGCCGACGTTCTGCAAGTCGAGCATTTACTCGCGCCTCGGCATTCGGAGTGGTCATTCGCTCAGCAGTCACACGACCCTGTACAATTCCAAGGCGCTGGCCTCTCCCGCCGATACGAAGCGCTGGCTGGAGGCGTCCAAGCCTGAGGCCATCACCATCGATGATGACGAGTCGCCCCCGGCAGGACCGTCGAACAATGGCAAAGATTTCACTGCTAGCCCTGAAGCCGCCGATAGGACCGTCGTCGATAGCAGCAAACGAGAGCTGGAGCAGGACGGCAAGGAGGATGCGGCATCCAAAGCAGATGAGCCGGCCTCAAAGAAAGCACGCAACGGCGAGGATCACACTGGTGAGCAGCCTTCTGACAAGACGACGGTTTCAGGCCCCGCTGCACACCTCGAATCAACCCAGTCGCAGATCGAAGAGTCGCAAGATGAACCGATGCTGCCCTTCCGAGCCACCATCAAGCCATCGGAGCAGTCCGCTACCAAGCAGCACCTGCGTTTCCTAGCCGAAGAGAAGATCGAGGAGCCCATCGCTATTGACTTTGCACCGCAAGTCGACGACGTCCCGGAACCAAGCGAGAAGCCTGACATGATCACCTCGGACGACGTCACAGGGGCGATGGAAGAGTCGCAGACTCAGTTGGAGCCAGCTGCGGCTCCGCTTGAGGCGGTCCTCGACGACAAGCAAGTGGAGGCCACGGATGCTCATATCAGCAACGTCAAGCCTATGGAGCTCCTCAAAGAGGTGGAAGCGACTCAGAAGGAGCTGGTCGAAGCGCTAAAGGGACCAGAGGGCAAGAAGGACGGCGCGGAGGAGGCAGTTTCGGGCACTCAGCCGGTGCAGGACACAGGTGACGGTCAAATCGCCTCTGAGTCTACGGAAGAGGTGACACGTGAGGAGACAACGTCTAGCGCTCCGCCGAAGCCAGAGACGCAAGACAGCGAGATGAGCACTCTGCCTCCGGAGGGGAAGGTCCCGGAGGATGCCGGACCGCAGGCTCCATCCGAGCCAAAGGTTGAGATGACATCCTCCCTGACAAGCGTACCGGAAGACAACAAGGCGAACGAGAGCACCGTCCCCGCTTCGAACAGCCACCAAGCGGCTGACATCGACACAGTTACCGCCAAAGAGCCTGCCGGCCAGCCGTCTGCAGAAATCGCACCACAAGCCAAAGGCGGAGCAGTATCCGAGGAGAAACCCAGTGACGCAGAAGCTTCAATCCAGCTCGAAGTTCAGGCAGGTCCGCCCGAGGACAAGATCGCAGTCGCCGCTGATGATGCGGTCCGTAGCCAGTCTGAGACCGAGACAGAGGCTCAGCCAGCGGGAAAGGCTCAGCCTGCTCAACAGGCTGAAGCTCACATCGAAGTCCACGTCGCAAGCCAGGAAGGTCCCACAGTCGCCGCAGAGGTCACGGTTGTGGCGGCATCTACCCAAGAGCCTGCCGAGCAAGCCAAGGATGGCACTTCTATCAGCACGGATCACGACGCCAAGGCCATCGCAGAGCCTCCGCAAACCGAAGCAGCTGCTTCCTCCGCCACCGAGCAGATCAAAGTCGAGGCGGCAAAGACAACCGACGAGGAAACGGTCAAGGCATCGCAGAAGGTCAAAGCAGAGGAGATCATGACTCCGGTTCTCCAGCAGCAAGCCGCCGCCGAGACCATCGACGACACGAACAAAGCCAACCCTCAAGCAGGTGCCACTGCTGCCCAGGAGATGTCCCTCGAGGATCTCATCAACGAGGACGCCATCACGGCCTCGGTGAATCCCAGCCAGAACGCCGTCGAGGTCGAGGCTGCAGCCAAATGAAGCCTCGCCACAAGGTGGCCGCGCAGTCAAGGTCTCGCGCATAAGCCACGGGACGCAAAGGCGAACCTGCACCGCATGCCCTGTCAAAGCCCAAGTTGAAAGTAATGAAATGACGTTGCCCAACCACGCGGTGGCGCTTTGACGTGTGCAGCGAAAAAAGTTAGAAGTTGGGCCGCGTCGGGGTGTCAAATTGTGCATGCGCTTCCACGCGTGTGTTGGTCTCGCTTGCGTCCAATGGTTCAGATCGAAGCTTGAGTTTGGTTTAAGACAGGAGGTGAGGAAGGCTGTGGGTTGCAGGGGTGGATGACAACGTTGAGGTGGTCTCAGGGGCACGATGGCAGATGTGACGAAGTGAGAGCAACCGCTGGGTGTGGGCTAGGCCAGCGGCGTCCCGAGATGGTGGGCTGCGGGAAGCCTCGCACAAAATGAGCTGCAGGCACGGCGACCATGCGCACAATGGCAGCCCGCGTCCATACTTCTTCTTGTCACATCCTGCAGCACAAGAGCGGGCCGAGACATGTGTGAAAGGCTCTCTTCATCGGTTGATAAGCCCGTTCCAGAAGGTCACGAGCGTGAGGCTGAGATGTGGACACGGGATGGCGTAGCGAGGGGAAAAGATCCCGTGTCGGCAAGGCGCATTTTTTATCCGCTGCGAAGCTTCAGGGTCCAGGCAGAATCTCTCAACGTGGGCGACAGTTGCTGCTGCCGCTCCCTTTGCCGATTGCAGGCTCCTAGGTGGGCTAGAGTGTACCATCGCTTTGATCCAGAGCAGGCTTGCAATCACACGTCCACACCGTCGACGCTGGTAGCGGAACATATATTCGCTCGTGCTCGCCGCCATCGCGAACAGCCTTCGCGATCAGCCTTTGAAGCCTGCCTCGCTACCATCATCTTCGTCCTCGTTCCACGCTCGAAGCGCTGACCGTAGCGCAACGCGAACGTGCTGCTGATCATTGACACCAGTGTCGCATCACACCATCCGCACACAACACTCCCCCATCGACACCACCCCGCGCATCCTCACCATGTCGCCCACAACCTCCTCACCTCCTGCGCTCAGCATGCCCCTCACCACCTCGGTCCCACCACCTCCGGTTCAACCCCGAACACCCCGTGCCCCGATCCGCATCACCATCCTCTGCGACGGCACAGCCCAAGCGCGCGACTCGGTCAAAACTGCCCTCTCGACCACCAAGCATTCCTCCTCTTCCGAAGACCAGCCAACAGGCACGTTTTTCACCAACGTTGCGCTTCTAGCCAAATGCATCGCCTCGTCCTCCTCCTTCGAGTCCCCTTCGATGCCCCAGCTGGTATTCTACCAATCTGGTGTGGGGACGGGAACAGGCTGGCTGCAAAACCTGTTCGACCAAGGAACGGGCTTCGCTCTCGGCTCCAAGATCGAACAGGCTTACGGTTTCTTGGTGGACAACTATCAGCCTGGGGACGAGCTGTTCTTCTTCGGCTTCTCGCGTGGCGCTTACACAGCAAGGTGCATCACGGGCTTCATCAACTGGTGCGGAGTGCTGGGCAAGGTCGAAATGACCCATTTTGCGGAGATCTGGGCAGCCTATCAGAAGAGGGACCCGGACGATATTGATAGTGAAAGGGAGGCAGCAAAGGTGCTCTATGCCGCAACGCTCAGATGGCCCAGTGTGGAAAGCGAGACTTTGGCGACAAACATGTTCTTGTACGACCTGGAGCACGGGGATAAGTACAAACAGATGTCCGCTCACGACAAAGAGGCGTTGGCGCAAAGACGGAGGGAGGAGTGCGCCCGCCGAAGAAAAGGCATGACGGTCGTTCCTCCTCAGATCAAGGTGGTGGGAGTTTGGGATACCGTGTCTGCACTGGGACTGCCAGGCATGTTCCAGGACAACGTCATGATCGACTTTTTCGACTTCTACGATCCTGGTCTCGGCAGCAACGTTCAATTTGGCTTCCACGCCCTCTCGCTCGAAGAGGACCGAAAGGACTTCCTCCCTACGATGTGGTACCAACCCACCTCTTCTTCGAATCGGAGCCGCCAGCTGCTGAAGCAATGTTGGTTCCAAGGAGTACACACCGATGTTGGAGGAGGATATCAGTACCACGGACTGTCGGATCTCACGCTCATATGGATGGTATCCCAGCTGGTGGATCCCCACACCCTTCCGGATGGAAGTACGACCCTGCGCCCGTTGCTCAACATCGACCTGCCGCTGCTGGCGACCATTCTCGACCGGCGACGCGAGTGGGGGATGCAACCCTCTCACCGCTCCCGACCGACGGTCAACTACCAGCGTCCGCGAACCGTATGCGCCCGCCATCCGAGCACCATCTCCGACGTTGTCTGGGAGACCCTTGCCAAGACGGCAAAGACGCACGAGTCCATCCACCCGTCCGTCTATCGTGGCGGTCGAATCGACCCCGCCACCCATGTCGCGTTTGCCGATCTGCGCACGTACGACGCCGCCGGACTGGACAAGATGTGGGAGGACGCCAAGGACTGGCAGCGCACCCTCGGGCCAACGGAACGCCTGTTGTACTGGGACCGACGTGGGCCGTATCCGTGGATCCCGACGCAGGGCGATGTGTTGAACCCCACTCTCGCGCCACTGATGATTACGGGTGGGTGGAACATCCCTAGCATGACACGGGGGACGAATGCGCAGACGATTGTCGATGCTGCCACTGCGATGGGTGACGTGGATGATGCTCCTGCCACCCACGAAAGCGCTCCCACCAGCCCTGCGGGGCAAGGTGATGTGGACGATCAACCCGCTGACGGATGGGAGCAGACGACCGACAGCAGCACCACCAAGATCCCCACGCCTCCTCTCCCCATCGCCGCGCTCCCCACCGCCACTCTAGCAGTACCATCCACCCACCCACCCGAACAAGTCTACCCCCTGATCCCGTCCAAAGAGCTCGGCGAAAACCCGGTCGATCCCACCGCCCACCCGCACCTCCGCACGCTTTGGCAGGGCGTGTATCATGCATTGTCGACACCCAACGCCCTCGTCGCCGACGTGTGCAATCTCGGGCTCGTCACGAGGGCCAATTTGAACCAGACTGCGGCGCAGGGGTTGTGGTGGTCGATTGGGGATAAGGTCGCGGGGTACAAGGACGAGGTGAAGGTTCAGGCGCTCACGGCGGGGCTCGGAAAGATGAGGGCGAAGGGCAAAGGTACCAAGGTAAAGGGGTTCAGGAACAAGGGGAGTGGAGGAGAGGGTGCGAAGCAAGGGGAAGAGGAGAGCGTCGGGAAGATCGGTGAATGATGGGGGAGCTCAGTGGAAAGGTTAGCACACTTCGGAAGTCACGCACAGTCAAGTCGAGTTCACACGGGTCAGTTTCGGGCAATGCATTCACTTTGGACATCTCACACCTCAGCCTTCTTGGCTTCGTGGATGCGTCGGGGCTGAGCTCGCGCGACGGGTTTGCGGTCCAACAGCCCAAGTTTGTGCTCAAGGCAGATCAGTTCGCGGCCTCACGCATTGAATTGCATCGAGTGAGAGGCCTGCTACGATACAAGTGACGGTTCACAGGTCCCGATCGACCAGATCGTCATCGTCGGCCTCGTCTCGGTCCAGCCTGTGCTGATGGTCGGCGTGGAGCTTCGCAGATTCGTGCTCATCCGCCTCTTCCTCTTCATCTTCCTGCTCAACCTCCTCGTCCTCGCCATCGCTCAACTCGAAATCCTCGCTGTGCACGCTGGCCACGTCCACCTCGTCCTGGTTCTCATCCTCATCCTCGTCTTCCGAGACTTCCTCTTCCTCGCTCTCCGCTTCCTCCTCTTCCTCCTCCTCCCCATCCTCATCATCAAACGAGATGAAATCCTTCTGCTGCGTGAACGCTTTCGCCTTCCTCCTCTTTGCCCGCCTGCTCTCTCCCATATCGGCAAAGTTGACCTGCTCGTCATCCTCCTCTCCATCATCCTCATCGGGCAACAACTGATCATCATCCAGCTCAGTCTGCATGAGCGGTCTCTTTCGTTTTCCCCTCGTCTCTTCTTCATCGGACGGCTCAGCCGCAGCCGCATCGTCCCGCATGAACAGCTCCCCATCCTGCATCCCTCCCTCTTCCATGGCAGGCTGCGCTCGCAAAACATGCACCAACTTACACCCTTTCCTCTCGCACTTGCCCTTCTCCACGAAGTCCGGGCATTCGTACGTATGTCTCTCCTGACACCCTTTGCCTCTCTCGCACCAGCCGTACTCGCTGAATTCCCTACAGATCTTCGTTTGCGCTCCGTCCGGCAGCTCAGTGTGGGTGTACAGACACTCGTCGCCGTTCCTGCACCTGCCCAAACGGAGGAAATGCACGCAGTGCGGCACGCGTTCCGGCCTCACACCGTGCGATAGTGGACACGTACCTTTGGGCAAACTACATCCTGCGGGACGCAACACCTTGGGACACAGCGCGATCTTGCCCGAGTCGTGCAGATACGGACAAGACAGGCCGCGCTTGCACGACCCGGTGCGGGTGAAAAACGTGCACAGCGTACGGGCTTTCTTGACATCCAACGTCTTCGAACCTTTGGTGCCCGCATTGCGTGTGGCCTGAATGGCGGAGATTTGACCAACCATCGTGTTGAGGCGCCCCATCTTGGCGGACGCCTCGCGTTGGGTCTTGCGTTTGGCCAGGAGCGCCGAGGAGATGAGGTTGCCCCGCTTGGTGCGGATGTACGATTGGCCGTTGATGGACGTTTTCAGCGGCACAGCCTCCGGTGCTGCAGATGAGGTCGGCGTATCGGAAGGAGGTTGGATGGGTTTCTTGACCAGCTTAGTGCCTGAGGGGTCGAACTCAAAGACGACGCCGTCGATGACGACTTCGCCCATATTGTCGCCACGGCGGACGGATGATTTGGCACCCTTGGGCTTGAGCGGCTGCTTGCTCGAGCTGGATTTGGCTTCCGCTTTGGCTTTGCGTGTGGCTTCCATCGCTGCGAGGCGGGCCGGTTCGGTGCGTTGGAAGGTTGAGGTGCTGACCAGGCTCATGTTGTGTGTCGACTTGCGTTTGATCCAGCCGTCGGACGGGACTGCTGCGGATGCGGTTGTTGACGGTATTGAAGCGGTGGTAGCTGAGCTTGATGATGAGGCTTCAGCTGTGCTGGCCTTATCGGTCGAAGTGCTGGTCGATGTTGTGGCAGTGCCTGTCACTGCAGCCTTGTTGCTCGAGTCGTTGAGTATCAAAGTGCGGTTTCGAGGCGGACCAGCTGCCGCGCCTCGACCTCGCCCCCTGCCAACAGCTGCTCCTGGATGATATCCACCTCGAGCGCCGCGATATGACGACGGGCCTGCTGTCGGGTAATGCCCGCGACCTCTTGAAGAGTATCCACCTCCGTACGCCTGGTAGGTTGGCTGGTGGAAGCCCTGCTGCTTGTGCGTCTGAATGGCTCCCGAGAGCTTGGCAATCTCGGCCTTGAGCTGCTCCTCCTCGCTTGTGGACGCCATCGTGGGTCCTCGATCCTCTGTCGGAGCAGTGTGATGATGGAGCGCGGGAAGAGCGTGTGTCGTGAGGAAGGCTGAGTTTTGAGCAGAACCAACACCAAAAAGAACAACTGCAAAAGGCCGAATTCCGCGCTTTGGCCCCTCCACACACGCGACTCAGCCATCGTGGAAGCATCTGCCGTCCTCGTCTTGCAGCTAGGCCTCAAGACTTTCATGGCTCGAGTGAGCTGCAGAGTCTAGCATCTGACTTGCCACAGCTTTCGTTTGTGTGTTTGTAGCAGCTTGCACGCTACCAGTGTGTTCGATTGCCTCCGATGATGTGAGTAGCATCGTTGGAAGAGGCGTCCAAAATTAAGGTCCGAAAAAATGTGTCCAGAAATCAAGGCGGCAAAAGAGAAGGCTGGAGACTGCATGAGTCGAACACGCGACCTTTCGCAAATTAGACAAAGTGCTAAGCGAACGCTCTACCAACTGAGCTAAACCCCCGTCGATGTGGTCAAAGCGGGATATTGTCATTATAGATACGAATACGGTTGCCATAATATATACACAAAAGCTAGTATCAGCTCTTGCTCAGCCTGCTTGTTGTTCGATGGACGGCTTCATCATTCCAGGAAGGGTGCGACGCTTGATACGAGTAGCACGGCGACTTGACCGGAAGCGTTGCCATGAATGCAGCCGTGCATCTGGTTATCAGCATTAACCACGCGGTCAGCCATTTTGATCGTACCGATACTGTCGACGTCTGTGATTGGTCACAAGGCGAAAGGGGCTCCGCAGTCAGGGGGCGAGGGCTGGACGAGGCGAGCACTGTTCGGGGTGGCTTGTGAGACGGCAAAGTCGGCGGTTTCGCCGAGATAGCAGCTGCGATGCAGAGGCACTCTGCAGATCAGGGCTTGATTGGAAAGAAGGGGGCGCATCTTGGCGGTGCATGGGGTGTGCTCGGGGGCTCGTCCGATGCCGCCGACTGGAGCGGAGAGAATTTCGAAGTCCTATCCGCCTAACTGCATTGCCGCGTCTGCGCTCTTTCCATCGCTGCAACCAGCCTTCTCAGCACCGAATCGTCACGGGTCGTTCCTGATGGAAGCACAAAGGATGTGGGAACGCCCTACAAGCTCGGTGGGGATCGAACACAGATGAAAGGCGGCACTTCTCCCTGGCGTGGGAAGAGGCTAAGCGGAACAAGCGAGGAGACGAGCGCCGGGTTTTCTGTTTGGTTGGCTCCTCTCCGCACTTCATCACACGGCGGACAACCCGAACCTCGCTTGTGTTTTTCTAAAACAAGTATGTGGGTCGTCGGATTTGATTTTGTCGGCTTCGCTTCGCGTAATCGCTCTAAGTTAGCCTCTTGTTCCTTGGGCTCGCTTGTTTGCCTCTCGCTTCTCTACGAAGACTGAGCTTGCAGCGTATGTATGCAAGGGCAGTTCCGCCTGCTCGTTTCACTGCTCGTTTCATATCGGAGCCACGGCCGCCGGACACCGAAAGACTAAATCGCAGTGAGGAACCCTGGAACTGCCAACCCTCTGGGGCTTGACCTGCTCGCCCAACCCCGTGACAGCGCCTTGCTTCATCACCAACTCATCCCGCCGCTGCCGTCGCAACACATATCCTCTACCTTTCCCCTTCAACCTTGTGGCGCCTCATCTCACGCGCACGCCCGGTACCCTCGGATTCCTCGTTGCAACGCCTCTTACCCTCAGACGACCTCCGAGACCCCCCGACTTGGCAAGCCACGACGCCCTACCCGCCCCTCCCTTACCCTCAAGGTCGCACAACCTATCCGATCGGTCCGACGTCGATTCCACCCGCTCTGCACCCCGCTCTACTCGGAATCGCATTTTGCCTTATCGACCTCATCTGCGTACGACCACCTCACATGACAGCCACTCCTCCCTCGACAACCTTATAAGCACCAGCCTGTCCTTCCTTCATATACTCGAGCTACTCTCTCTCCGTCATCTTTCGTCCAACGACACTCAACAGCTGGATCGTCATCATTCCTTCTCCTCGGCCATTCCACTCCTTCACTCAACCACGCAACACAATCTCCCGATTGACTACTCACCATGGCGGATGAAAAGCATTTCGACGCTGCTTCCAGCAGCTCCTCGGACCCCAACAACGCCGCTCTCAGCAGCCAAGGCGGCTCGCACTTCTACCCGACCACCATCGCCGAGGTCGCACCCGTCGAGCGCTCGTCCAACCCAGTCAAGCGCATCTACAGCAAGCCCGTCATTCAGGTCGCCCTCGTCGGAATGGTCTGCTTCCTCTGTCCCGGCCTCTTCAATGCCATTTCGGTTCGTATCTCGAGGAGGGGTCGAACAGCCCAGGACAATGGCAAGATGATGATGCCCAAGATCGATTACTGACTATTCTTTCCCATATTGTGATCTTGCAGGGTATCGGAGGCGGTGGCCAAGTCAATTCAGATGCTTCCAACAAAGCTGCAGTCGCTCTCTACTCGACCTTCTCTGTCGTCTCGTTCTTCGCCGGTACCATCCACAACAAGCTTGGATCGCGTCTCACCCTTGGCCTCGGCGCTACTGGATACTGTCTCTACATTGGATCCTTCCTCTCGTACAACATCAACCAGAACCAAGGCTTCGTCATCGCTGCAGGTGCCATCCTCGGCGTCTGCGCTTCGCTTCTCTGGACTGCCCAAGGTGCACTCATGCTCGCATACCCAACGGAATCGCAGAAAGGTACCTTCATCAGCGTCTTCTGGATCATCTTCAACTTTGGCGCGGTCCTCGGCTCGGCGATCCAGCTCGGCCTCACGTACAACTCTACCGCCAACTCGGTGTCCAACAGCACCTACGCTGCCTTTGTCGTTCTGACAGGTCTCGGCGCCTTTGTCGCGGCCATGTTGACGGATCCTGCCAAGATGGTGCGCGACGATGGCACGCGCATCATCGTCCCTGCACAGACTACCTGGGTTAAGGAGCTTCAGGGACTCTTCATCCTTCTCAAGTCTGACCCGTGGGTCGTGCTCCTGTTTCCCATGTTCCTCGCTTCCAACTGGTTCTACACTTGGCAGTTCAACGACTACAACGGTGTGCTGTTCACGCTTCGGACTCGCTCGCTCAACAACCTGCTCTATTGGCTCAGTCAGATGGTTGGCAGTTTGATCATTGGTCAGGTGCTGGACAACAAGCGCATGTCGCGACGATCGCGCGCTTGGCTTGGCTGGTCCATCGTTTTCCTCATCATGTGGGCTGTCTGGGGTGGTTCGTACGATGTGCAGAAGACCTATACCCGTGCTACGGTGCTCGACGAGACGACGCGCATCGATTTCAGCGACCGAAGCAAGTACGTCGGCTACTGCTTCCTCTACATCTTCTCCGGCGTGCTGGATGCGGTTTGGCAGAACTTGGCCTACTGGCTCATCGGCGCGTGCTCGAACGATCTCTCTAAGCTCGGCTATCTGGCTGGGTTCTACAAGTCGATCCAATCGGCTGGCGCTGCAGGCGCGTTTGCGATGGACAACGATAAGCATCCTTTCATGACCAACCTGGCGGTCACTTGGGGCTTGTGCGTCGCAGGCATGCTCTTTGTGATTCCGGTCATCGCGCTGCGAGTCAAGGAACATACCGATCCACTGCAGGAGGTGACTGTGCCCGGTCGAGCAGAGGAGATCGCCAAGGTGGATCACCTGGTCGACGCTGCTCAAGAGAAGCACGCTTGATATCGATTGCAGCCGTCATTCTCCCCTGTAACCCTTGATTCTGTACCAATACATACCCTGTGACTTGCGAGCAGATGCTTGTGTGACCCGTGAAAATGGCCGATTGGTTCGCCACTGCGACGTGTGCGAGCGTGATCAGTCGAAAGATCGGAGGCTCGGTGGGACCTCTTAGCGCTCAGCTAATCTCAGCCAACAACCACATCCTCACCAGCGCAGTCGAAAATCGTTCATGAGCTACATTCCAGAAACCGATACTCTTACAACTCACTTTCCCCCCTCTCCGTCCTTCGGTGGCACGGTACTGCTCGCCATCGTCTCGACGCTCTCGACAGTAGTGCTGAGACTCGTACTCGAGCTCAGCTGGTCTCCGTTCTCGCCCTTGCCGACCTTCTGCATAAAGTTCGCCACTCTGGCCAGGTCCACGTCGGGCCCATCGCTCTCCATCGCCGTGAGGAGCTCGTCGAGCATGCCCTCGACTTTGTCCTGGGGGATGTTGGCGCAGATCGCTACGACTTGTTGGCATTGCGACTCTTTTTTGGCGGATGAATCGTCCATCGTGGCGATTTGGGTGGTGAATGCGTCGCAGGTGGAACGGGTGTGGGCGAGGAGGAAGCGAAGACGGATGAGCTGTTCCTGTTCGACAAGCGTCGGTGTTGAGGTGACGCCGAGAAGGTTGAGGTCCGACTCGATGGTGTGAGGGGAGAGGATGTCGTCGATGAGCGATTCGGTGGTGAGGACTGGCTTGACGTCTTCCGCGCCATCGACGTCCATTGCGTCCCCTGGCGCAGCAGCGGCTGCCTCCGCAACGAGCTCGTCCACCTTGACTGCTCCGTCAGCCTCGTCCAGCCCAAGCTGAGCAACGATGGCACGACGCAGGTTCTGCACCCGCTGACGAGCCTCGTCTTTCTCAGCAAGCTTGGCCTGGGCAGCAGAGACCGTCTTGCGACGCGAGGCGAGATCCCGCGTAGCCGCCTGAAGATGACTTTGGACCGTCGAGATGGCATCTTGCTTCTCCTTGATCTCGCGCTCGAACGTCGACTGGAGATCGTCGAGCGTCGAGCTGAGCTGGTCGCGCACGTCGGAGCTCTTCATCACGGGCACTTGAGCAGGTCGCGTCAAGGCCGAGATAATATCCGAAGGATTCTGCGAGGCGAGGTCGGACGCTGTCAGTGGCGGCAGGGACGAAACAGTGCTGGCACCAGCAACGGAAGCACCGTCCTGCTGCGACTGCGACGAAGCATCGCCGCTCGACTCGATGCCCCAATCCGAGGGTCGGATGCCGAGCGCATTTGCCAGATCCTTGCGAGCACCGACGTCGAGAAGCATGCGCACCATGCTGGCGTTGCCAAGGCGTGCCACAATGCCCAGTGCCGTCTCGCCGTCTTCGTCCTGCGCATCGATAAGGCCCTTGTATTTGGAGCTTTTCTCGGCACCAATGTGCTCGAGCACGCAGGCGAGGTAGTATCTCGCCGAGGCAGCGCGTCCTTTGAGTGCAGCGACGAGCGCGATGTGGTGCAAGACGGTGCGCTTCTTGAAGTCACGCGTGTTGAGCGACGGTGCGAGAAGATCGAGTAGCACGGGGAAGGAGGAGGCGTCGTACGAATTGGTGACGAGCACAGAGCGGTGAAGAGCGGTCTCACCTGCGTGGTTGCCAGCGTGAACGTTGGCGCCGCCCTGCCAAGGAGGGCGGGCGACGAGAGTGCGAACAAGTTGCAGACGGCAGAGAGCGGAGGCCCAGTGCAGAGCAGTGTGTCCATGGTCGTCGGTGACCAGATCGACAGTGGCCTTGGGTCCATCGGAGCCACTGGCGCCGAGACCGCCCAGGCTCGCCTTTTCCCTCAAGTCAGCAAGCAAGTTGTCGAGCTTGGCAACGTAGGCATCATCGCCCTCGTCTGCGAGCGAAGCGCCGGCTGCCGCCTTTGATGCGGCAGCGGCACCAGGAGACGCCGATGTAGGCGCAGCAGCTTCGCCGGCGCTCTGAAGCACGTCGTCATCGGCGAACAGACTGACAAGGCGATCGCGCATACGCTTTTCGCCTTCGTCGTAGGGCTTGGGAGGCAGAGCGCGGTCGGCGTAGCGAGGCACAGTACCATCTCGACCGGCAGCGTCGGGGGGACCGACGGCCATACGGTGGCCACGAGGCGCCGAAGCTGCCCGCAACGACCCACCAGCAGGACCAAGGGCGTTGAGATCCTTGACGGGCGAGGGGCCCAGCAAGAGACCCGAAGACTGGGTCTGCTGTTGCGGGCTCGCCAATCGCATCCGTTTGGAAGCAGCAGCGCCTTCTTGATCGTTTTCAACGGCTCGCTTGTCGCCAGCAGCAGAGGCGGACGCAGCAATAGGAGGCGTAGCAATGCCATTGTCTGCAACCGCCGATGAGGGCAGTGGCACACCCTGCGGTGTATAGCCATAGACGTTGTAGCTGCGAAGTGCTTCTTGTTCTGCCAGACTCGAGCCAGGAGGGATAGCGTGAGGCCCTGGCGGTGCCACACCGACATCATTGGCAAAAGTGCCGTTGCCGAGAAGACCGCTGGCGCCAGGCGGCATGAAGAGGGCCGGCGACATTTCGCGCTGTTGGGCATCCTTAGGCGGTCGCAAGGAGAGGAAACGAGGTTGCTGGCTGGGGCCTCCGAGATTGGAAGGAGCGGGCGAGAAGTTTTTCGACGGCGTCGAGCCTCTTCCATCGTTGATGGCGGAAGCAGACGAGTTGCGACCGGAGTTGGCGGGCTTCTTGCGCTGATAGAGCTTGGGGATCTGATCGGCGGTGGCGGGGTCAAACTCGAGGATCGGCTGGAGGAGATGTGAGACGTTGTACTCGGCTGCGACCTCTTGAGCTCGCTGCAAAGGGATCCAAGTGCCTTGGAACTTTCCGTATCCTCCCTGGATCTTCTCGTGTTCGCCTGTGAGGATGCTCTTTTCGAGGATCTTGGTTCGACGGGTCTTTTCGATACCTGCGATTTTGAGGATCTGGGTGGCATTGAGCCAGCCATCACCGCGTCGTCGCATGACGGCAATACCGCGGACGGTGATCTCATAGACGGGAACGTTTGAGTAGGTGGCGAGGTAGACAGTAGGGACGTTGCCGACGGGGTTTTGCAAGGCGGCATTAGCCTGAGCCGGGGTCATGGTCTTGAGAATGGCAGGGGTCAAAGGGCCGGCTTGGGCGGGGGTGGAAGCGCCGTTGGTAGCGGCAGCCGAGTGACCCATGACTCTCTGGAGGTTCTCTGAGGCGGCGGAAGCGCCCGAGGGAGCGATGTGAGACATGGTGGGATGATGATTGAGCGACGCTTGGTCTGCAGGAAGCAAGCCGGCACGCTGCAGGGCGGAAGTGGTGAAGCTGTGGTTGGAGTTGGGCTGGGCAGATCGCTTGAGAGGATCGAGGAGCGAGGCGTACTGAGATGATACGCTATCGACAAGCGAGCTTGCAGCAACCTCCTGCACGGGTCGGAGGGGGTTGGCTGTGGTGGAGCTGGCTTCGTGGGCGTGTGTGTGAGAAGCAGAGGGATCCAAGGTGGCCGAGGGGTTCAGAGGCATGTGTGTAGAGAGAGCGCAGGACGCCGCGTGCAGAGACGATGAGCTGGTTGCGACAAGATCCTTGTGCAGGTCCGAGCTTCGATGCAAGCTACCCGTAGAAGCAGGACGGATGCGTTGACGTAGGATGAGAGCACTTCGAGTGGTCCCGTCGAACTAGAAGCTGGTCCGATGCGATGACCTTGTCGTTCCTTCCGAGATCGTAAGGAGCGTGATTACGATGTAGTGCTCGTGACTGAACGGACGTGGCCTTGGATGAACAAGGGAGAGTAGCGATGACGGCGGACAGTGTGATGGGTGATCCGAGTAGAGCGATGAGAAGGAATGCTGAGCTGCTCTGGCTCTCGACTAGCCCGACCGAGAAAAGTGTTGGATTTGGGCCATTTGGGCAAAGATGCACCAACGAGGCGAGGCAAGCGCGTCTCGGTTTGAGCTGTCGCCTCTGCTGCTGCTGCTGCCGTGCCAAGGTCAGCCTCCTTCTGCCCTATCCAGCCTGGACTTTTCAGACTCCACAAGCTCAACGCGAGAAAGCGACTGGCTGCTGCATTTTTGAAATCTGCCGTTGGACGCTCATCCGTTCAGCCGTTTACGCCAGCTCATCCTGTCTCCACAGCGCTTTTTAGCACAGTGTCTAAGAGCGTCCGATCTCAAGCTCCTCTTTTGCCTCGAGCGGAAGCAGACATGCTCAAGAAAGGGGAGCGATTGGATGGCTCACTGAGCATGTGCAAAATTTGTGTTACTCGCACGCGGCGCGCGCTCCCTTTCTTCCCGTTGCTGGCGGCCGAAATCGGTTAAAGTGGGATCGCGCCAGTAAACGCGTCGCGCGCCTCTTGACCGGCAGGCTCGAAATCCAACCCTAGCCGGCTCGACGGATCAGCAGATCAGAAACAGCTCAGGCTGGTTCCTGTCTCTAGGCTCGTCTATCTCGCTCAAAGTCACGCAAGCTAAGGACTGACCGGAACATCTCACAGAGGCTCATTGCACTTTGCGCGTCGCGCACTATGCCCATCACCCCGATTTCATCGGCCTCGGTCGCCTCCCATACCATCTGCATGTTCGTCTCACACTGGTGCATTGATGCTATGATACCATTGAATTGCAATGCACAACACGTCCAGCACTTCCCCCTGCTCAGTACCCACCGTAGCCGCCGCCGTATCCGTTACCAGGATACCCCTGCTGCTGTTGTTGCTGTTGGCCGAAACCCATGCCTGTGAACTGGGGCATGACACCGCCGGGCTGGAAGCCTGTCGGCTGAGGTCGCAACGCGTCGTACTTGTCGCTCGTTTGCGGCGCTGCATTGGGATCCTTGGCGAATGCTCCCGTCTTCATCTGCTGGAAGATGTTGCTCGCGTTGAACTTGTCCTTCTCGTCCTGCGCCGCTTGCTGTTGCTGCACCTGCTGCTGCGATCCCATGCCAAAGCCGGTTTGTTGGGCCATCATCTGCTGCGGGTTCATCCCGAAACCCGTCTGCTGCGGTTGCATACCGTTGAAGCCGGTCTGTTGCGCGTTAAGCTGACCGTTGAAGGACGAGCCATTCATACCGTAGCCACCGTTGCCAAAGCCGGTCTGCTGCGGTTGCATCGACATTCCGCCCATCTGCCCCATTCCACCCATGCCGTTGTAGCCCGTCATCTGAGGTTGCATTCCCTGCATTCCCTGCATACCTTGCATGCCCCATCCGGTCTGCTGAGCTTGCATGCCCGTCATCTGCATCCCCATCATGCCCGTCTTGTTGGTCGGCACGAATTGGCCTGTGCCCTGCGTGGGGACAAGTGGCTGCAACAGTCCCTGGTTCGCAGGCACGGGTGCGAAGGGTCCGCGAGGCGCGTTGGGGTTGTACGCTTGCGACTGGCCCAGGAAAGACGAGCCAGGCGAAGGGCTCGCTCCGGGCCGTGGGCTGACGCCAGCCGACGGAGGCCTCATCGCGGCGAGCTTGTCGAACAGCGCCGAGTTAGGGTCTGCGGGCGGCGCAGGGGACGGTGCAGGCGAAGCAGCAGCAGCTGCAGGTGCGGGAGGTGGGGTCGGTGCAGGCGGTGCTACCGTCACAGAAGGTGCAGGAGATGCCACCGTCGGTCTCGCGGGCGTCGCTGGCTTGGTGCTAGGAGGTCGTGGCGTCCAGGCTTCATCGTCGAAACCGTTCGCCAGCGACGAACCAGTCCGCTTGGGAGCAGCAGGACTGACGGTTTCAGCACGAGCAGGAGGCGTTGCAGTGCGGGCGAGCGACTCGGAAGCGGCAACCAGCGAAGCGGCATCGACGTTGCTTCCGCTGGTGCTCTTTGGCGTGGGACGGCCACGGCGAGTGTTGTTCTTCAGAGTGCCATCAGCACCTGAGAAGAGCTGAGGCGGCGCAGGGCTGGCTGTTTCGCCACGTCGAGCCGAGCCCTCCTGCTCTTGCAGCTTGCGTGCCAGCTCCTCGTCCGCCTTGATCTGTCTTTCGAGGTCGGCCGCCGTGTTGGCATTGGCACGGCCCGATGGTCGTGACGACGAAGACGAATGCGACTTGTCCCGGCGGTACTTTTTGTCAATAAACTTGGTAACGCGGATAATGTCGCCTTCGCGCAGACCAATGCTGCGCAGTGTCGCGGGATCCAAGTCGGCGAGAACCGTCTCGTCGATCTTGTCACGCTCGAAGGAGCTTGCGTAGCGGGTGCATTCGTCGACATCGACACCTGCAGCGAGGAAGAACTCGAACCAGTCGACGTTGCGCTTGGGTCCGGAGCGTGCCTGGTCGCGACGTCGCTGTTCTCGTTCCTTCTCCTTGCGTCGTTCTCGCTCCCGTTCCCGCTCCTCTCGCGACATGCCTGACGTGGAAGAGGGCTGGGATCGGCTCGACTGACGCTCGCGCTCCTGCTGACGCTCTCGTCGTCGTGCGGTAGAAGCGGCAATCTCCTCGTCGGTCGGATTGAGCTTCTTGCCTGTAATGTCTTCGAGGAAGGCGATGTCACCTTCCGACATCTTTTCGATGGCGACCTCGATGACGACGCCATTCATCTTGTGCAATCGAATCTTGCCCTGGTTGAAGCCGAGGAACTCAGCCTCCACCTTGAAAGTACCTGTGCGATCCGTCCACATACGGGTGTTGTTGGGCGAAGGCTTGGAACGGCCACCGCCGTCCTTGGGACGCTCGGGTGCGCTGCGTCCTTGAGGAATGGAGACGCTCTTGGCGGCACGGCTGACCTCGGTGGTGCTGGGTCGCTGAGTGAGCTTGGGAGGCGCAGGCGCGGGCTGTGCCTTGAGCGCATCTCGTCGCGTCCTCTCCTGCTCCTCCCTCTCTCGGCGATCCTCAGCGTCCCTCTGTCGGCGAGCGGCTGACTCGGCAGCTTCGCGCTGTCGTTCGGCCTCAGCGACGGCAGCAGCTTCTTCTTCTTCCTGACCAAGTCGGTCTTCCTCTTGCTGAGCGGCCAGCGCCGCACCACCAGCTGAAGAAGCGTCTGTGGCTTCAACATAGCTAGCGGGCACGACACCTTCTTGACCGGCGTCGTTGCGGACTTTCCACCAGTCGTCGTTCTCTTTTTCGAGGATGATAAGGTGTTCGTTCTCGGTGACGGTAAGCTCATCATCCCCTTGAGCCTCAAAGTCGTACATGGCGATACCGTGCTCTTCCTCGGCTTCTGGTTCCGGTGCCGAGGCAGCAGTGCTAGACCCCTGCTGTGACTGGAACGAGACGGTCTTGCGCACAGGCGGTGGCAGAGTAGCGCTGCTGCCGGCAGTGCGTGAGGGCGGTGGAAGCGTGGCAGCGCCGGCAATGGGCGGCGGCGGCGGAGGCAGAGGAATGGAGGCGGATGTTGCGGGTGCAGCAGGAGCAGGGGGAGCGGCAGGCGTGGCACGAGCGGCGGCAGGGGAGGGCGGAGCTGCCGCTGCAGTCAGAGCGTTGGCTTTGCTTGCCTCGATCTTCTTAACAATGTCGTTGCCGGCATCCTTGGACCCGGTGTGAAAGTCGAGGTTGCTTTCCGAGAGACCAGCGTCGGGCGAGAGTTCGAGATGCAGCGTCTTGCCCTTCTCGAGGGAATAGCTGGCAATGTGCAATACGCTGATCTTCTGAACGGGCGTCTTGTCGCTCTCGGACGCGAAGAAGAGAGAGGCGTTGCCAATGCCGAGTGTTCCCTTCTTCTTCTTCTTCTTGCCATCCAAGGCCGAGACGGGCCACATCTTGATCTCGTCGCCCTTGCCGAGAGAAGCCGTCTGTGGAAGTTGGATCTGTGGGATAGCAGCACCAGCAGCGCCTGAGACGTCTGCATCGTCGTCGTCGTCGTCCTCTTCCTCAGCGGCTGCGTATTCATCTTCCACAACAGGGGCAGCACCCGTGTCTACCGCTTCCGCTTCGTCGACATAGTTGGCGGGCACGTAGCCGAGTCGTCCTTCGCCGCCACTGAGTGGATCGTTGCCCTGCTTCTTGACGAGAAGCCAGACTCCGTCTGACTCGTAGACGCGGAGCAGCTCGTCTTCCGCCATAGACAGCTCGTCCTCGGTCTGGGCCTCATAGTCATAGAGCGCACGGCTCAGACGGAGAGGCTCGGCTTCCTCGACGTAGTTTGCAGGCACGAGACCGACGGCGCTCTCATCCGAGTCATCCTCGATGGGCGTGCCATTCTCATCAAGCCGACGAAGCTTGGCTTTCCACCACTCGGGATCGTCGGCCTCGAGAATGTAGAGGTAGTCGTCTTCAGTGAGGTTGAGCTCGTCTTCGGCCTGGGCTACGTAGTCGTACAGCGCCTTGCCGAGCGCTACGTAGGCCATGACGGGCTAGAATCAAGCAGCTGCGACCGAGTGTGATCTGATGCTATTAGTGATGCTGCAAAGACCAAGCGTGTTTGTGGGCGCGTATGTCGCAGCGGAGGTGTTAATGCTGTGCGTTAAGCAGGTTCTGTTTGGATGCAGGTTGAGCGACAGGTGGAGATGTTTGAAAGGAGACGGGACACTTGTGATGAGGAAGAAGTCAAGAAACGGTGACCCTTAGGAAGCGTTGGTGGAGCTCGGCTGCGGAGGTACGGTCTCGAAGGCCAAGAATGGATGGACCAAGCGAGCAGTGCCTCAGAGAAGACAAGCCATCATCCATCACACGCACGCCTACTCTCGCAACTTTGATTGTGGAGCGTGCGAGGCGGTCTTAGGAATTTGGCTCGAAATCGCCCACACGAGGCCGCTGAGCCTTTTCGATCTCAGAAAGGGCGACAAGGATCGAGCTTGCACGCCGGCCAACACGCACAATGACCCAATTCAGACAAAGACCCTGGCCCGACCCTGGATTCGCTTCCAGCAAAGGGCTTTCTTCTCGTCAGTCTGCGTGGAGTGAGAGCCATGGGGCTTATGTCTAGGTGGGCGTGTACTTGGGACTGTGCGTCCGCTGATCCAGCCAGAATGATATGCAAGAATGGCTCTGTCAGTTCGGAGCTGGTTCGCAATCGAGAGGTGAGCGGGAGTGCGGGCCGAGGTCGCCTTCACGGCCGGCAATAACGACTTTTGGTTAAAGATGTTAGACTTCAGCACGCGGATGGAAGCGGAAAATTGCTCACGAAATTCGAGCCTGTTTTCAGCTCGAATCGTTGAAATCGGGCCTGCCTTGAAGCTTCGGGTCCGTTTGACCGTCCGAGAGAAGATTCAGCTCGTCACCAACAGCCAAATCCAAGCGCAGCGCCAACACCTCAATCACATCGTCGTTGCTCCTCGTCACCGTCTCCACACCATCCTCTTCTAGAACTTCACCGTCTTCGAGAACATCTGTCACCGTTCGTATCAGCAATCATTCGGCCCTCCATGCTTCAGCGATCACCAACACCTCCGCTGCCTCAGCAAACGTAAAACACTGCATTCCCGGACCAACACGTACTGACCATCGATTCAGCCTCCTCTCGACCTACCATATCGCTGCCCTTCTTTCGTCCCACAGATGCCCGTCGGATCGATCCCTGCTATCACCGGAAAGTTGCGCAAGCGACTCATCCTCGACCTCACCGTCGCCCTCGGCGGTGGCACCGTCCTTGGTTATGGCTACTGGTGCGTTCCATCAACCGCAGCTCCGTCTGCAGACATAGCATCGACGGGGTTCGAAGACCCGGGAGTCACACGTGTACTGACCAGTTGATCACTCCTCTTGCAATCATTGCCTTGCATGCTCACAGGTACGGCGTTCACATCCCCTCCGTTTCGCGCCGTGACGCCTTCTACGCCAAGCTCCAGTCCGAGCGCACCGAGTAATCTTCTCAATTGTCACCTCGTATCTCCATCGTGACATAGCTCTCAATGCAACTCGCTTAAAGACTCTCTCGAACCAAAATCACATCCGCTTGCATTTGCGCTGGACCGAGTCTGCTCTCGTACGCAGTTTTGACGGAAGACGGGATACGTTGTTTGCGATTGCGAGTTGGGTATCAGTGATGAAGGCGAGATGGACACATGTACAAGGAAGGCGAGGGGACCTGAAAGCAAGGGAGCCGAGGTGTTGGCAGGATGCTGATGCGCGGTGAACCATGATCATTCCTGGGCGAAATCCTCGTCGACAAACCGTCTCACGCCTGCTCAGCAGCAAGCTCAGCCGTGAGAGCAGCGATCCTGGCGCTCTGTTCCGCTTTCCTTTCCGCTTTCCTTCTCTTCCTCTCCGCCTTCTCCGCATCATCCTGAGCCGTGCCCTTCTCCGCTGCCTGATCTGCCGTTCTTGCCTTTGTCTTCTTCTTCGCCGCCTGTTCCGCGCGCGCCTTCTCCATCGCCTCTCGCATGTCCTCTTCCTCCTCCCTGGCGGGGTTGATGGTCACCACGCTGCCTGTTGCTTCTTGTTTGCCCTTGAGCAGTCCTGCGGCGTTGAAAGGCTTGCTGCAGACGGGACATGGCGTCTCCTCCTCTGACGCAGAAATGGTCGATTTGAGCCCGGTCGCGCTCATGACGCACCCACAACCCACGATGTAGACAAACCGCTGCTTGCCATCCATCTGCTTGCTCGATAAGGGGCACATGAAGGGGTAGACGGAGTGCTCGTCGCTCGCCGCCGTGGTCGGTGATGCAGGTCGGTAAAGTGTGTTGGGTGTCAGGGTGAGATCTGTGATGTCCCGCAGACCGCGAATGTGCGCAATGGGATCGAGCTTCGAGGATGAAGCCTCGGAATGGCGGAGAAGGAGGTGTTGAACGATGGCATCTTTGTTGTATAGCCGACCGAGCGGGTCGGATGCTACAGGGGGCGACAGAGGCTGCCGGGATAGAGAGCAGATCGTCCAGAGCGATTGACGCAGCAGTTCGGGGTCGACTTTTTCGAGCGAGGCTTTGGTGCGGACGAGCTCGTCCCGCTTGGCGATGGAGCCGCCGTCGTTGCCCTGTATTGCAGAGGACGAGAAAGCAAGAAGGGCAGTGGTCAGCATCAAGAGCGAGATGTGGGGAGGAGCTGCTTTCACTTACCATCGTCGCAAAGCTTAGATTGAAGTGCTTCTACACAGAGCACGCTCTGATCCTGTCAGGCTTTTCGAGGAAGGTACGCTATGTACGCAAGCAGCGACAGTGTCGAGGATGAGGAAGGCAAGTTGGCATCAAGGGTTCAAGTGGGGGGAGCAGCAGGAGGGGCTTCCAAAATTGGGCTGACACGTGACTTGGCGCACGAGAGTCGTGAGGGTGGAGAATCGCTTCTTCTCGACATCGGCATTTCGCTCCATCTTTGCATCCTTTATCCTCCATCCTCTACCTTCACGGCTTTGCGGTCCGCACATCACACCGCCTGCATCGTCCACATTCTGTTCAGCTCGGAGCACAGCACATCCAGTCGACGCTAGGGATCCGTCGGCTGCTTGCTCTGCGACGATCTATCCCGGCACGGTCGGCTCGATCGTTTTCTGTTATTCTGCGGGCACGGCGTCAGGCGGACGACTCAGCATTACAGCAGGACCACGAGCAGAGTACGTCGGGGATAAGAAGATACACGCGCACATAGCAGCTCACGGTAGTGCATGCACGCTAGCTAGCAGTCGCGTTGGCATCTCTCAGCTGCGTCTTGCGAAGCATCACTAGTCAGCTTTGATCGAGTGATTCGACTCTTTCTCGAACGAGCAGTCCCTTCACACATCACCTATACCCGTTCGATAGCAGCCCTCGGTAGCCTTGACGTTCGCCGAAAATGTTCTTCCTCAAGAACCTCACGCACAAGACGGAGCTGCACCCTTCCTACTTCGGCCCGTCCATGGTGGAGTTCCTGAACCAGAAGCTTCGCGACGATGTTGAGGGCACATGCACGGGCAAGCATGGCTACATCATCAAAGTGATCGGTATGGTGGACGTCGGTCAAGGGCGTGTCATCCCCGGTTCCGGTCTGGCCGAATTCAACTCGACCTACCAAGCCGTCGTCCTGAAACCTTTCAAGGGCGAAGTGATGGATGCCAAGATCACCAACGTCAACAAGATGGGCTTCTTCGCCGAGGTCGGTCCCCTGAACATTTTCGTCAGCAGCCACTTGATACCCATCGAGTACAGGTTTCAACCGGAAAGCAACCCTCCGGAGTTCGTCAGCGCTAGCGATAGGTTGGTGAAAGGCAGGAAGGTCAGGATCAAGATCGTCGGCACCAGGGTCGACGCAAATGAGATTTTTGCAATCGGCACGATGAAGGAGGACTACCTCGGGCCGTTCGACTAGCGCAGAGCTGTTGGATGTGCTCGCTCAAAACTGTATCATGATCATCTTTTCAGGCAAAACAAGTCATCATAGGCACACACCGCGAGGGTTTCGGCTTGTGTTGTCAAGGTCGTTGCATGCGCACAAGCGTTCATGAGCGGGTATCGGTGCCAATCAGCTCGACGAACACCCATCGGCTCGACTTGGGTTTCGCTTGCTCTCGCGTCTGATGCGGGCCCAGCGCGAACGAGACCCACCCCGTCTCGCCCGTGCTCGGCCTAAAGGAGTGCTCGGTCTGGTTTTTGGCCAGGGTTCGTTTGGAGCGCTTCTTGTTTTTGCGTTTTGCGACACGCTGCTCGCCCATGTCCAGAGACGAGTCGCTGTCTGCATCTTCGTCTTCAGAGGAAGAAGACGCATCGGTCATCGACTCGTCCTGGGTCGCAAGCTCTGTCGTCGGCTTTGCTTTTGGTTTGTTGCCAGGCAGCTCCTGTGCGCCGTAGCGAGAGCTAAATGGGACCTTGTATCGCCATGTCAGAGGCGCGTGTGGGTAGCCTGAACATGACAGCGTCGCCCACGGCGCATTTTCCGCCCCGGACTTGGCAGAGGCCTGGCCCAGCACGAATCCATCCACCTCTGACGCAATCTGCGAGATGAACAGCGGGCTGAGCAGCAAAGGCTGCGCAGCAGACCCAGACCAGCTCAGCTTGACAATTCGACCTGGTCGCGAGGGAGAAGGTGGGCTGTAGACGCACGTGGCATCTGGTCTCGCGTACGTGCGGAGAGGAGTTGCACCAAGAGAAGCGAGACCTACCCATTCCACTGCTTCTTGGAGTCCATCTTGGAATGCGCCCCACGTTGTCGTTGACGGGACATTTGGGAGCTCGAGTTCGGGAAAGTGTCGCTCCTGCTCGCGCCATGAGTTCGCCAAAGCATGCTTTGACGGATCATCCAGCGTCGGAATCCACACTGAGTCCGTGACGACAGGAGCAGCAGCTGCTAGCTTCATGCCCCGAACATCTTCCGGACGCACAAGGTGCTCCGGAAAGTGGATCTCGTTGATTGAGCTTGCTGCCGATTTCGAAGAGCCTGATTTGGCTATCTCCTCCGCTGTGGCTCTGCTGGGCGACCAGAGGAAGAGCATGTCCCATGTTGCATGCTCGCTGCTGATGGGTCCACTGGGCTTCATCCCGGACGAAGCATGCGTCTGTGCTATCGTCTGGTCCGTGACCAATGCCTGTGCTCGTGATCGGTCCCATGCTCGAAGTCGATCAAGGGCCTGTTGGTAGCCCTTCTTGCCTGGGACGAACGAGGGTGACAACAGTGGCAGCTCGACGATGAAGCGCGAGTCTGGACCGCTCGTCCGGTCCGCAGCGCGACCAGATGATAAGCGGGAGAAGTGACTCGCTCTGCCCGTCAGTCCGAGGGTCTGATATGTATCCTTGCATAGTGAGAGGGCCAGAGTTCCTTGACCGTCGACGCAGACCGTGTCCTCGAGATCTGGAGCCAAGCCAGCGACACCGCTTTGATCGCTGAGCGCTATCAACGATCCCGTCTTGAGGTACGCCGTGACAAAAACAGGATCAAGGAGGAGGCTGAGCGGGATACGAGCCCTGTATGAGCGATGAGATGAAGCGAGCTCCTCGAGGGTGTCAATGAGAGAGCGGACTGCAGCAGGAAGCTCCGTAGTGCTGTCAATTGCTGCATCGTTGCCTTCTGTGGTCAGGGGCAGGATGAGCTCAAGCGAGCGATTGAATGGATGCGCATCCACTAGCTGATTGAGACGCCGCAGTCGGGATGGACCAGCCTCTGTTGCCTCCGCAGTTGCTCCGCTGGCTCCCGCGTGTGATGCTGTGCTGCTTGTTGCATGGTCGGCCGGTAACACGTTGACGATCCACCTAGAAGGCCCGAGCTTACGAGCTTTATCAGAGCGAGCCGAGCTGCGTTTTCGCTTGTGCGTGCTCTTGGGAGCAAGCATATCGAAGCAGTTCGCAATCGTCGACTCAGCCCGGATCGCCTCTTCCGATGTGCTGGTGTGATGGAAGAGAGGCAAGACTGCCCTCGGTGATTGACAAGAAGAAAGCTTTGAAAGGGTCTTGTGGAGGAACAAACCTAAAAAAATCGGCAACTTTGGATGCATGTGACTGGCCGAAAGAAGCTTCGCGCTGCACTCTAACGCGACGGACAAAGACCAACACTCTTTCTCTTCGGCACATCTGTCAAAGACCTCATCAAGCCGTCCCTTCGCAAGCCACTCTCTTCTCTATAATCACACAGAACAATGTCGCTTTCGCGGTAGAACAAGCTCAGGAGCTTGCTGCCGCTGCGACCAGCTCGCCTAGTCATTGTTGTGACTGTATAGAGGAAGTAGCACGGTTCATCCCACCTCTTTTCGACTCAGCCAAGATCGAACCCATAAGTTAGCGGATCACCCGCTTACAAGCTCGGCCTCCTCACAAGGCTTTCCGCAACCCACACAAGACCATATATAGAGGCCAGTCTCCGCTGTTCTCCAATTTCGCCTCCAACATTCACCTTCGCCTTTCGCCCCATCAGCCCCATCCTTCCGCACTGTCCGCTGCGAACAAGCAAGAGGCCAACGTATCTTGTAGCTTACCAGCTACGCCCGAACCAAGTACTCCACCATGGGCTGTTCAATCTGCTTGGACGAGTTCGATCAGGCGGATGGTGAAGGCAAGAGGGCTTGCGCTCTTCGCTGCGGCCATATCTTCCACCATGACTGTCTCCAGACGTGGTTCTACGGTGCCGCAGCAGCTTCCGCGCACCGGCCCGATGTACAACACAAGCGATGTCCTCTTTGTGCGTGCCCTGCCATGCCCGATGCTATCTTCAAGCTCTATCCCTCGGACGGCGACGACCTCGACACGTACCTCTCGGGTCGGCATCAGTGGGAGTGGGCCGGACTCGATGATGATCACACCGAAGAGGATCGCAAGTGGCACAAGAAGCTGCTCGAAGACCTCGTCGACTTCAACAGCGCCGTTCAACGATATGTCATGGCAACCCACGGCGTCGACTGCGACAGAATGGTCAGGTCCGGCGTCAAGATCCGCAAGCTTGTGGTCGACCTCACCAAGGATCGGGGACCCGACCTCGAAGACTCGCTCATGAGGTCCCTCGCCTCCCTCGAACAAGCAGCCAACGCGTTCCGTGGAAAGTTCCACGACCTCGAACGCAAATGCATCAAGAACAGGGTGCTCGAAGTCGATCTGGTCAGGAAGCAGGAAGCAGCCAGAACGGAGCAGGAACGGCTCGACACCTCTGCACGTGAAGCACGAGCAAAGAAGTTCGAGATCGATCGAAAGATGCGCGCAGCAAACGAGCGCATGGATGCCGCCGTCGCGTTGGAGAGGAAGCTCGAAGACAAGGGCAACGAACTTGCAGCACAGCAGAGAAGCCTCTTTCAACAAGGACAAGAGCTTCTAGGTCAAAAACGCAACATGGAGCTGCAGACTTCACTCAAGATCACCAACATGCAGAGCCAGAACAATTCCGCCTTGACTGCGATGCGAAGAGAGGTAGATGCAGCCACCAAAAAGGCTGCAGACGCGGAAGAGGCGAGGAAGGCGGCGCACAGCAAGAGCTGTCACCTCGCCGAGCAGATGGAAAAGATGAAGCAGCTTCTCAAGAGTCGCAAGAAAGACGCAGGACCGAGCCTGAGAACAGCTTCTACCGAGGAATTGGAGGCGAAGGAACGCAGGATTCGGGCCCTAGAGCTACAGATCAAAAGCAAGGACGACCTATTGAAGAAGGCAGGACTTTCGGCGACACCTCAACGTCGCGCCGCCGGGTCCTCGAGCCGCTTGTCCTCGGCTACGTTCGTCGACCTCACACGCTCTAGCAGCCCTTTCGACCAGGACACGGACAGCTTCCCCACAACGCCACTCGACGGCGTCAACCTAGCCTCTCGTGCATCGACTCCGGCTTACGGCGTGCCCGAGTCTTCCCCGACGATCCAACGCAAAGACAAGGGCAAGAAGCGGGTCCGCGTGAGCCTCTCGGTCGAACCAGAGAGACTCGATGACACCTCGGACGACGAATACTTCCCGATGCCCGGCTTGGTGATGCCCAAAAAGGTACGTCAGGATACCAGCAAGGCCAACTCGCCGCACGACCAACCCGAGGCTCGTCGGGGTAGGGATGAAGCAAAGACCCCTGAGCCGACCAGCAAGCCGTCGTCAACCTTCGCGAGCACAAAATCTCCCCTAGTACCCCGTGTGGCGCCACAAGCCTCGGCCTCGACGTCGGACATCACGGTCAACATCGCCGCCAAGAGCCCTTCGCACAAGGACGGCAAACCGGGCAAGAAACGCAAGCGAACTCCAACCCCATCGACAACCAGCGTGATAGATATGGACATGGCTGCCGGTAGCAGCAGCATCGACATGATTGCCCGCGAAACCAGCGCCGGAGCCATGCTTCCTTTTTTGGCGAGTGCTAGCGGCAGCAAGCAGAAGACAATGAAGGACAAGAAGCACCTTACAAACTACGACTGGATCAAAGACCCCAAAGGTAAAAAGTATGGTCCTAAGCATCGTCCGAAAGCGTCATGACGCCCTGGTCCATTCTGCGTTCCACACTCCGTCAACTTTGTCTCAGCATTCTGTCCGCACCATGATACCTCTTCGCACTGGCGTTCGCATCGCATTTCGTTTTCCGTCTTTGATTCGGGCCCGTGTTGTCTTGACGAGCAAGTGAGCGCTAACACCACCTGTTTGACTTTGCCTTTGCGTCGTCAGACCTGAGCCGAGCACGAACTGGGAGACTCCGACGAACGGCGGCGGCTATCAGGCCGAGGTTCTGACCGAAGAGGAAAGGAGACAGCGAGCGTGCGATGAGTGGCTGAAGGAAGCCGCGCTAGTCTGCGATACCGTGTCCCCGCAAGGGAAGTTCGAAGAGGCGATCCAAGCTCGGTACGCAAGCTCAGCAGAAATTGCTTGCGGTCACACCTGATCGGTGTTGATGATGCATTTCATGGGAGAAGCCCTACAAAGGTCTCAACTCGTACCGCTCCGCCTCCTCCGCATCGAAAACGACCTTCCTCCTGCCCGTCTCCTCATCCGTTCCATTCCCTACCAAACTATACCCCACGCCTCTTCCCATCTCCCTCTTAATGGCCAACTGCTCGCTCCAGACGACCATAACCCCCGCATGAACCATCATGGTTAACCACCACTTCAGCCCCCGTGGCAGTCGGCCGACGTACCAGGTGCAAACGACCAAATTGACGAGGTGAAACGTCAATGCGTGGTCGAGCATGTGGGTTGGTCTCCTGACGAGGTAGACAAGCGTAAAGATGTCTGGGGGGATGGTGAGGAGCCAGGCGAGGATGAGGGTCCAACTGCGCGAGGTGTCTCGGGTGTGATCCCATTCCCAGTGTTCGAGTGCCTCTTCGACGTTTCTACCCCCTGCTGCGTCGTCGTCGGGGGTGGGGACGACGGTTCCGTTCTTAAAATGCTTGAACCGCAGTACGTGGTCGTGATCGAGGACGCGATCCTGTGCATTTGTCGATGTGGGGATGAGGGGTTTGTCGAGCCAGACGTTGTCCAAATTCCATTCCACGAGCACTGCCGGATCGATCGTTACCTCCGGAATGTCGGAAGGAATACCGTCGTCTGTCCAGCCACTCTCACCGGATGACGCGGGCGCAGACCAATCGTACGTCGGTCGTCCAGCGATTTGACGCCAATCGAATACCATCCCCACCTGCGTCGGTCCGCCTTCGAACATGAGCGATGAGGTGTCTGCGAAGATCGCCAGGAACGGCGGAAGGAGTGTGGCGAGGAGAAGATAGTGGATCGTTTGCAGGGAGATGATCTGAAGCACGATGCGTAGGGCGTCCCAGCCTTGCAGTGGCATGGAGAAGGCTTCTTTCATTGTGGCGCTTGTGTGGGTGGAGCGAAAAGATCAGATATAGAGGCGGCGCTGAAGTCGTTGAAGATGGTCCGACGAGGTGAAGAGAGCGCTTGTGAGCGTAGTGCCGAAGCGAAGACGGGGCTGGTGATGAAGGCGTATCGAACGACGTCCAGCAAGACCGTCTTATGTAGGCCCAAATTGCGCTCGAAAGGCGGAAACACCCACTCAATATGGATGGCACCTACGCCATGCAGTTCGCCACAAGCGCCTGCTGTGCGCCGTCTGTGCGGTGTGGGTGGTAGAGGTGTTGGAATGGAGGCAAGAAGCCAAACTGCGTTCGCGCCTCGAGTGTTGGTCTTTCTGCTGCGCCTCCACCGTCCCTGTGCGCGACTCCCGAATTTCCGCTCTCCAAACCCTTGGCCATCCTTTCTCAAAACGTCTCAGCCTGCGATCCGCAGTCTCAAGCACAATCCGACACAGGACGCAAAGCAACAGATAGGATGGGAGAAGGGACAGATACGATTGTTATACAAGTGATACAAAGAGCGAGGTGAACGAGTGAGGTGGCGTGGCTGAGACGCAAGGAAAGTGTGATGTGTGCTGGTGGTACAAGAGGCTACTGCTCGTCGTCCATCGCAGGTGCGGACGGAGCCGAGGGCGCCTCTCCGACGGAGGGGGCGCTGGCGGTCTGCGTAGCTTGAGCCCTCCTCTGTTCGTACACGGGAAGGTGCTCAGCATCAGTTGCCGTGTTGAGCGGAGGGGCAGAGGCCAGTTCCCTGCCTTCGTAGAGCGGAACAGCCAATCCGTCCGGACGTGAGGCCACGAGCTGCGCAAGATGTTCTTCGTGCTCGGCTTCGCGCTGCTTCTCGCTCTTGCGCTGCGACATGGGTGCAGCCGGCGAGTCGGTCGATCTGCGAGCTTGCAACGATGGCCGACCGGAGGGCGGCGATGAGGGTGCTTCAACGCCGCGCGGGCGAGTGGCACGGTAGGGCTGGTCGAAGGGCGAGAAGGCAGGCTCGACAGGTGTTGGCGGCGCAGGGAGCAGAGACGAGGTCGCTGGCTGCTTGGCTTTGCCTTTGCTTACTCGCTCGCTTTCGACCGGTTCAGAAACATCCACGTCTGCAGGTGAAATCTCGAACCCGTCCCGATCAACCTCCAGGTCAGGCGCGGAGGGGCCAGCGACACCAGCAGCTAGTCCAGCGACATTGGATGATCCGCCAGCAGCAGACTCTTCCGCGGCCCCGTACGCGGGAGCTGACACCTCGGCACCAGGCGCGGAAGGCATGCTCGCAGCGGCAGACAGAGCACCCAGCACCGCCTTGTCGTCCGTTGCGATATGTGCGGCGACGGGACCACGGGGCTCGTCGTACCTCTCGCTCGACGCGGCGGACGCTTCTTGCGAGAGAGCGGCACCGATCACCTCGGGCGACACGGTCGAGTCGCGCTCCTCCGGTGGCGGGATACCGTGCTTGGCATCCCCGCGTGCAATCGCAGCAGCCACCGCGGCACCATCGTAGCCTGGCTCACGAGCGCCGGAGCCAGATGAAATGTAGGCGGGTGGCATGTATCGCATCTCGTTGTGGTGCGTCTCGGCCGCATCAGCGGCATGGAAGTCGCTGTCGTCCAGCAAGACGCGTCGAGGCGAAGTGGTGCTGCCTTCAGATCCGGGCTCGGCGTTTGAAGCTGAGCCACTCGCGTGAGAGGTGAGCACGGGTCGCAGCAAATCGTCGGGATGCGGTGGTGGTGGAGGTGAACTTCGACGACGGTTGTGCGCAGAAGATTCTGTCGAGGTACCACCGGCGCCGTCGCTGCCATTGCGAGCATGGTTCGTGGTGCCGTCTGCACCGCTATCGGTGCGGGACACTTCGACTCCGTCGCTGTCGTAGGTGACCTCGACCGACTCTTGGTTGTCGCGAGGATCGCCCAGTGCGACACGACGAGCCGAATGGCCCGATCGGATGGAAGCGCTGTCGCTAACGCCGCGCATGGTGTCGTTGCTGTCCCGCAGATTGCCCCTGGTCCAGCGCGAGACGAGGTGGCGCTTGCGTCGAACGGCACTCGAGGAGCCGGACGAAGGAATGGACGGGTTTGCGTCGTCCTTCTCGGACCGCTTCCTGCCCAAGCGGAATCGTCGCTTGAACTTGCCCCCGCCGCTGCCGCCACCACCCTCCTGCCCATCATCGTCCTTCTCTGTGGGTTCCGAATATCGTCCCATGTTCATTCGCTCTTCTATGCGCGCGAGCGCCTCTTCATCGTCGAGACCTTCGAGCTCGGCGTCGAATTTCCTCTCACGAAGGAACACGGCAGCGCCGATAAAGAGCACGATGAATATGGCAAGGAAGACCGAGGTGATGATGATGGCCTTCGACTGGAACCAGACGCTGCGTTCGGGTCTGTTCCAGGAAGAGGCGATGCTGGAGGGATAGGTGGACGGTAACGAGTAGCGGTGGCCGCTGTGGGTGACGAAGTTGTACGACTTGGAGGAGCCGGACGCAGCGTCTGTATTGCGCTCGAACTGCTGTCCAAGCTTGGAGGCGTCGTGTTCTACAAAAAGAGAAGAGTCTGCATCTATCTGGCGGGAATACTGGCGATGCAAGGCTGGATCGTGCAATCGCTGCGGAAGATGATCATCAATATCATCTAAAGATGGAAGGATGTCGTCCTGATGGTTCGATATCGTGGCCTGCCGCGACGATGCAGGGTACGCCGGTTGGCGAGACAGCTTTGGTGATAGCAGACCCCTTTTGAGACTGAAGTCGGATGCAGATCCCTGACTGGCGATGAAGCTGGATTGATAGTCGACATCACGGGGCGAGACGCTGTCGGCGGAGCTGGACATGAGTGTTGCGCGTACAGGTGCAATCATGGCGGGAGAGGTGACGAGAATAGACGAGACGAGGATGGTGGCTTGGGCCGCAAAAGTGGCAAGCAGTGCTGATCGTCGACGACGTCGGGACGTGAACGACGACTTGCGTATTGGATGTGGACGACCAATGCCGCCTGAGGCTGAGCCTGGTCGAGAAAAATCTCGACGCATGGCAGGAGAAGACCTAGGGGTCAAAGCCGCGAAACGGGTCGTGGTTGGTGGTGTGCCTAGAGCAAAGGGTGGACAGGATACATGGGTGGCTAGATGATGGTGCAGACTGAAGAATCTGAGTTGCGGGCACGGCGATGCAATTGAGGGGGGATGAGGCGGCGTGAGAACCAGGAGTGCTGGGCTTTGTTCGGAGATCAGATTGCCGGGCTCGGCGTTGGAACTGCTGCGGTTGACGGTATAGCGAGGTTGTGAAATGAAGAACAAGCACGCTGGTGGGATGAGGTGCGAGGTGGCGACGAATGGTCGTGAGATCACCGAAGCGATTGTTGTCAAGCAACGAAGGCACGCCAGATCAGGAACGCGTGGCGGGTCAGCTCAGCAAGCCAAGCAATCTGATTGGTGTTGAAGACACGAATGACGAACAAGCTGAGTGCAGCAGTCGAATGCGTAGTGATAAGTGTCGAAGAGGACGATAGACGATAAATACTTTGTGTATGTCGAGCTGAGTCTGCAGGGACAGGGGTACGATGTGGTGGATCGACGGAGGACGTATTGCGTCAACAGCCAAGGTTTAGTACGTGGATGGTGATGACGATGCGCGCGGGTTGTCGCGAATGAAAGATGTCGGGAGACGGGGAAGATGCGACGAGATGAAGAGACGGATGTGATGATGTTTGGGTGAGGATGACGACGAAGAGAAACGAGCTGCAAAGAAGGGAACGAGGAGGACGACGAGGTGCGGGCGGGCGGGAGAGTGAGTGTGAGACGATATTGCACATAAGGCTGCGAGGAGCAGAGCGAGCCGAACCAAGTGGCACAGCAGAGCACAGTGCGGAGCAGCAGGAGCAGATTTGGCCGAGGAAGCAAGCTTGCGGGCGGGCGGCAAGCCGAACTGGAAAGTGCGGGCGGCGGCGGCAGCAGCAGCAGGCGAACAGCAAGCAGCCCACAGCCCACAGCACACAAAGCTGCTGCTAGTGTCAGGTGCAGGCGAGGCGAGTCGAGGCGAGGCACACCCAAACGCAATTTCCGCTGTGGGGGTGGGACAGAGGCGTGACAGTGTAGCACAAACTGAGTGGCAATTGCAGAGTCCCAAATCCAAAGAATGGGCAGCAGAGCAGTCAATGGAATTCGGCGAGCAGCCCTTCGAGTTGAATGGGCATCGAATTCCAGACTGGTCTAGAGCCCAGACTTGTTTTTCGGTTGTCCCAAGTCACAAGTGCCGCGGCCAGGCTGCAGTGAATTGAATATGGGAGGCGTGAATTAAATTTCAGGCTCGATTCAAGGAACCGGTCAATTCAAACCCTCCTTATGTAAAAGTGGGTGAGGATTGCCGAGTTGAAATTGGCCCACTTCATTGTTCCAGACCAGAAGAGCATGCGTGTCGATTGCTTTGCCGTGCAGTCGGCTCTGGCTAAGTTTGCCGCCGGTGTCGGACACGGTTGCACCGAGCATACAATACCGTCAGCGTGAGCGATAGCGAGCTCTTGAGTGAGCGGTCGCAGTTTGACAGATCAGAAAGACGTTGCTCGTCTGGCACAAGAGCCTTGTGAGGCTGCAAAGGGTCCAGGAGATCAATTGGTACTTTGTACCACGCTTCCTTCGTCGCAAAAGGACCCTGGCGCATTTCGCTTCGTCGTAAGGTTGTCGCTTGTCGGCTTTGGCGACCACGTACCCTCCCTCGCTTGTCACATCGTGGGCCAGCACATCGGCATCATCCGCGGCAAGGCCTGATCCGCTGAAAGCGTTTAGGCTGTCCTCGCCGACATGCACCGAACATTGAAAGGCAGAGATAGGCTCGACCGACGCAGGCTCGCCTATGAGACCACCGCAGCTTCAATATCGTGCCAATCACAATCTCTTTAGCTTTTGGGAGACGGAGAGCTGCTTACGGCTCAGCGCTATCGCATTGACCCGCCACTAAGAGGCCATACCACAGCACGGTCACGGTCACGGTCGTGGTCGTGGCCGAGCTCAAAGAAAGCTGTACAATTCAAAATTCAGTCGTTCCCGGCGGCATGACGAGCTCTAGGCGACGAAGAAAAACATTCCATGCTTCCCGTGTCTCCGCTTTGAACGGCCGCGGCCCCTCATTCTTCCGACGTCGTCCCTTCTGCTGCTTTACTCAGTACCCTCCGGACACAAACGCTCCGACACACCCTGCTGACATGGATCGAGATTCTCTTTGTGGACGGACCGCACCTTCGACAACTCTCGCAGGTGACCAACCTGACTTTTCTGTCGAACCAAGTTTTTCGGCACGGAGTAAAACATGAAGCAGCTGGATACATGTATCATATGTTGCTCTGTCTTTACATCTGCGGCCATAGAACCTTGAAAGCACCGCATCCCGTCCGATCTGCGAAGTTAAGCAAGGTATCGCCTAGTCAGTACTGCGGTGGGGGACCACGCGGGAATCCTAGGTGCTGCAGTTCTTTTTTGCTGTCCTCTTAGTAAAGATTGTTAAGACGCAGCCCCGTTCAGCAGTGTGTCAGCTGGCCCTCGCTGTGAGAAGCTGAGATGCAGACTCAGATCGCACCCTTGCGTGGACCCTTTTTTGGTCGTGTTGCACTTGGCGCGCATCTTGAACCGGGACCCGCTCCGGGTCTTGCTGCGACTCTTTTCGCCAGATGGCTTGACGAGCTTCCATCTTGACTTGAGCCATCCGACGGCTGACCCCACCACTCTTCAGTCACTCTTCGGCATCTCCGCTCATCACATCATCAGCCGTGCGAATTTGACGATGAAGGTCGCAATCATCGGAGCTGGGCCGAGTGCCCTAGTCACCGCCAAGACCATGCTCGAAGCGGCCGATTCCGATCCCAACTTCAAGCCAGAGATCACCATCTTTGAAGCTGAATCAGACATAGGTGGCACCTTCCGATATCGCTCCTACTCGAATGCCACACTCGTCTCGTCCAAACAGCTCACCTCGTTCTCCGACTTTCGCCTTCCCCTCGAGCACAAGGACCATCTCACCCTCGACGAATACGTCCAATACCTAGAGGACTATACTACACACTTCGATCTGAGGCAACGATGCAATTTCCGCATGAGGACAAAGGTCATCAAGTCGGTCAAGGTCGAAGGCGGTCATCTCTTGCGGTACCGCTCGCTGGATGCTGACCACAAAGACGCGGCGGATCGCTCGGAGCTCTTCTCTCACCTGTGTGTCTGCTCGGGTCTTCACGTCACACCCGCGATCCCAAGCATTCCGGGCCTGCCTCCTATCATCGAAGGAGATCAGGTCGTCACGGAGCCCATGGGCTCAAAGGAAACCGTTGCATCTCGCATCCTAGAGCCCATCCACCACGCATCAAACGCATCCGAAATCGTCACACTCCACTCGTCTCAATTCAAGGACCGCTCGCTGTATCGTGGCAAGCGCGTCATGATCATGGGTACAGGCGAGACCGGCATGGACATGGCCTACGAGGCGGTGAAGGCAGGTGCAAAAGAGGTCGTCCTCTGCACAAGATCGGGCTTCCTCCTCTTTCCAGCGGTTCTCGCCGATTTCGTCGTCTTCGGCAACGTCTTTGACGGCAACCTTCCCATCGATGGTCTCATCACCAACCTCTTCGAGACAGCCTACGTCCACCCTTGGGTTGCGGCTGCCCATCTGCGCTGGTTCGTCTCGGACTTTGTCATCAAGCGCCTTCTCTGGGCTCTGACCGGCACGCAGGCTGGGTGCAGTCAGTGGGTCGGCGAGTTGGAACCACATCGGTTGGGACGCGCCTACACTTTCCTCAACAAGAGCAGCAGAGCCATGCCATATATCAATCGCGGCTGGAAGAATCGTTCGCCTTTCTTGGAACGCATCACTCGCTACCTCGACCCACCGACGGTCAAGCCCGAAGAGGTGTCTGTCGACCTGGCTCCGAACCCCGCTCGCGTTCACGAGGATGGCATCGTCGAGTTCGTCCGCAATGGCCGCAAGGAGGATCTTCGCATGCGGAACCGCATCGTCAAGCCGGACGTCGTCGTCTACGCCACGGGCTACACTCAGCAGTTCGACTTTCTCTCCAAAGAGTATCCGGTTCCTGCCACTGTTCGTTGCAGAGACGTGTTCGACCCCGAAGACCCATCGGTGGCCTTCATTGGCTTCGTGCGACCCGGTGTCGGCGCCATCCCTCCCATCGCAGAGATGCAAGCACAGCTCTGGACGCTCATCCTCCGCGACCAGATCCCAGCACCGCTTTCGACACCTCACTACTACCTCCTCGTCAAAGAAAACGCAAGGATCAAGTACGGCGTCGACTACTCCTCCTACGTCTCGACCCTCGCGCGCGACATGGGCACCGCTCCGCCCCTTGGCCAGCTCTGGTGGGAACACGGTCTCAAAGTGACCCTCATCTACTGCTTTGGTGCTGCCTTCCCCACCTTCTACCGCCTGTTGGGCCCATATCGACACCCGGATGCCAGGCGCATCGTCGAGACCGAGATCTACGACACGATCCAACGTCGCGGTGTTGTCGGCAACCTCATGATGGGGTTGATCCCGATGATCTTTTACGCTTGGATCAACCTCGTCGCTCTCGTCCTGGAGAAAGTTTGGAACGTCGTGAATGCCGTCACGCGACCATTTTCACCACGTCGAAGCAAGGGAATGGCGCAGCAGTACGGGACAAACAAAGCACGTCGGTTCCAGAGCGATTTTGAACCCCTCGCCACCCCGGTAGCAGCTGTACCGATTGCACAGAAAGGCAAGGCGGGGCACCAACAACAGGCCGGCAAGGGTAGGATGCTTCGTCTGTTCGCGCTCTTTGCTGCCGTCCTAGCGGTGGTCAGCCCGGGGGTCGAGGCCAACACCGAGATTCGAAACTTCGGTCCGGTCCTCTGTCGTGCGGACGAATACGGTCATCTGGCGGCCAGGGCTGCGGATCAGCTCTCGGCGAATTGGTGAGTTGTCGCGCTTCGTCCATGTAGACCAGTGTTTGCGATCACAGTCGTTGCTACTGGAATACATCGTTTTCTTTCAATGTGTGGCACGACTGTGGTCGCTTGTACATTGTGAGGAGAGCTTTGATTGACAAGACCTTCTTTGATTCGCACAGGCCGATCTTGCGTCCGACCTCCAAGCCGTCCCTATTCACCGTCCATCCAACCGCTTCGTCCACCCTACTCGATTCCAAAAGCGGCGCCTGGCTTGTGCTCGATCTTGCCAGTTCCTCCTTCACGCTCCCCACCCCTCGGCAGGCGGGGATGTACGCCGACCTTAACCCGCGCGATCGCTACGTCCGCCAGTGGATCGATTCGATCGCGTGGTACTTCGCCAAGCGCTTCACGCTTCGTGCTTCGGTAGCGGCACATCTGGCGCTGGATGTGGAGCTGGACGTGGTTGGACCTGAAGAGGTGTTGAGGATGGGAGGGGTCGAGTGGCGAGCGGAACTGGTGGACACCGTGAAAGTAGACCGGGAGAGGGGGGGAAAGACGCAGGTGCCGAATCACGCAGTGGTGACGTCGATCGTGCCGAAGGAGACGGGCGCACCGAACAAGAAGGACAGGGTGGTGTTCGAGCAGCCGGACAGAGTTGAGGTGCCAGCGGAGATCCTCGCAAATGACACGATCAGGATGACGAAGGACCCAAGCGATGTGCCCCGCTTCCCGTGTCCCAAGTTGTACCTGCATCTGGTGGTGAGGAAGATCGGGGTTGCGATTCCACCAGCAGATGTGGAGAGGGAGGATTCTCCGTTGTTCTGGCTCGCGGAGAAGGTCTTTGGTTCGTTAGCAACCGATTCGAAGACGGGGGACGGAGAAGGGGAAAGGACGGCACCGATTCATCTCACACTCGAGAGACTGTACCTGGGTGCTGTACCGGCAACGGCATTGAGCATGGCGCTGCCGATGGCGATGATGGTCGTAGTTGGATGGTGGGGTGTCCGGCCGCTGCTGGATGGGATGCTGCCAAAGATGGGCAAGGGAGGAAAGGACGAGTAGCCGTGATCTCTTCACACGCTCGACAAGCAGAAGCGATATTGGGAACATGGGTATGCGTGTATTCCAAAACGAGCCACAAAACTAGCAGTAAACAACGATGTTCAAGCTCTACTCTCCCTCTTCAACCCTTCAACGCCTTCTTGGCGTTCTTAAAGCTCAAATGGGCCAACGCATTATACAAGTTGAACAACCTCGCAGCCTCCTTGTCCTCCTCGAACGGATACTTTGCCCCAATAGCAACTGCGGCCGCATAACCACTGACAATGGCGATCTCCTGCATATTGACCAGCGTCCAGCCACCACAGTAGTTGGTGTGGTTGGCGTTGTTGATCAGCCACAGCCAGGGGACCACGTAGGCATAGTGCGTCCAACGATGCGATTGTTGCTTCCACCACTTCTCGAGGATGATCTTGTCCTTGGAAATTTCGTCCTTGGTCCATTTGTCCGAGAGTTCCTTGTTGAGGAAGATGGTTTGGAAGACGTGATCTTCGACGGGGGGATCTTTGAGGTCTTTGGGATCGGTAGAGGGGAGTTGGGAGAGCTCTTTCTCCTGAGAATCGCCCTGTTTGCCATGGGGACCCTGGCGCTCGCGTGGAGGCGCAGACTCGGGCGACCTCGCCCCGTGCTCCCTCGGTCCCGTCGGACCAGAGCCCGAGAATTGCGGTTGATAGTTGGTCAGATCAAACGACATCTCGATCAACGCCGGATCGTCCTCGTACATCTTGATCAGGTACAGCGGCTTCCAGTTCTTCTCGGCAAACTCAAACTTCTCCTTCGTCTCCTTGTCGTCCCGGTTCTTGGCATTGTACTTGGCGTCGTAGGTCATCTGGTAGTGCTTGCACATGTAGTCGTAGTCGTTGTGCGTGGTGGTAATGTCCCAACGGTAGACGATGGAGCCGAGGATCTTGCGCTCCTTCCAGGTGGCCGACTTACCGAGGATCTTGAGCGACGTGTCTGCGTCACAGGCGAGAATGAGCTCGTCGAACACCTCGGTGCGTTCGTCCTCATCGCCGGTGGTGAGAGGCTTGCCGTCCTTGTCGACGCGACGGGAGGTGACAAGAATGTTGCCGCCCTGCTTGCGGGCGAGGGCGGTGTTGCGTTGGATCGAGGTGACTTCGCGACTCGTCTCGATGCGAATGTTGCCGTTCTTGGTCACCTCGTCTTCCCAGGCTGCGTAGACACGCGCGAGCTCCGGGAACGCCATCATCGTTGGCACGCTAGCCAACAGACTGTCTTCCGAGAATTCGAACAGTCGCATGCTAGGGTCCAGGAAGACTCGCTCCAAGATGGCAGACGAGATGTGCTTCGTATCGTTGCCCGTGCCGAAGAAGAGCGCGACCAAGGGGTACACCATTCGCTCACCGAACTCGTCCGAGAAGCCGAACATTTTCAACATCTTGTGCACGGGGATGACGGCGAACAACACCTCGAAGCGCTTGATCGTCTTGAGTGTCGTACCGAATTTCTTGATGTCCTTGGCATACTTCTCGACGAGCTCGGAGGGGAAGACGTTGGACCAGAACGACTCTTTGCCTTTTCCGAACGAAATCTGCATGCCCACCTCCTGAGCCTTGAACCCGAGCACATGCTCAAAGACCTTGAAGGTGTTGTAGAACACAGGGGAGGCACCTTGGACACCGTCGTTGATGTACTGCGACTTGTACTTGGCTGGGTCGGGGAGCTGATAGGAGGTCGCCGAGCCACCGAGCGTGCACTGCTTGTCGTAGAGGGTTACGTCGAACTCGTTGGGCGAGGCGGAGAAGGCGTGGCACGCAGACATGCCAGAGGCACCGGCGCCGACGACGATGACTCGCTTCTTGCCTTTGCTGGCATGGCTGCCGTTGCCGTTTGCGCTCGACATAGTGGGATGATACTGAATTGTGATGGTGGGAGAGCAAGAACGAAGCTTCCCTTTCACAGCAATATAGAGGAGAGGTAGGGATCCCGAACGTTAGTCATCTCAATGAGAAGCAGCAGGCTGAGCGACATGTGTTTGCAAGCATCACATCGGTAACGGGAAGCAGGACCCTGACGAAAGCCCTGAGAGCTGGCTCCGATTCGATTCCCGCTACGAAGAGCGGTTGGCTAAGGGCATGACGCTGCAGAGCGAAGATTAGCAAAGCGCATGGCTGCTGGCTGCAAGGACGTCATAGCCGCCAAATTTGCCGATGCGGTTGACACCTGCTCCCGCATGAAGTTTCGATTTTGGCCTCCACTCGCCCAAGGCACAATCGGGCTTAGGACAACGCAGATCGGTTCGATAGGGCCATCCGACACGGCGCGTCCTGCTCGACTTCTCACGCTGCGCCGTTGAACCCTGGCTGCGAAGAAGCGGAAGACCAACACTTTTTAGAGTTGCGCTTCGAGCATCGTCTTCCTCTCTGAGATCACATTGAAACTCTTCACAAGTCACAACCTGCTAGGCTTCCTTCCAGCCACTTCATCCCGCGACTCACACGATAAGCTTTCCCACGCCCACTTCCGCGCTTCGGCCAGGTCCCGCTCAAGTCATACCGCAACTCAGCCAGACCCTCGACTCAACAGCTAGGCTCATCGGCACGCCCTTCTCACAGCCTTACTCAGCGCAAACGCCTCGTCGGAGCACCCTACGGACGTCTCGATCCCGCCCATCAGCTTCGCTCACCGAGACTGCTCGGCGCAAACGTTTGCTCAGCACTTGCACCGTGCACGAGCCTTCGCCGGCGCAGCCATTGGTCATCGACTTCCCCGCGCAGCACTCGTGTATGAGTACTCGGCCACTTTGTGGCTAGTCGGCTCCTCTCCCCTCCTCTCTCCATACAACACTATCGGCTGCTCTCTTCGATCCTCTCGCTCACATCTCCTTCCCGCTCCATCAAAGCAGCCTTGTCTCTCGAAGTTGCGCAACCATTCAAGCAAGGTCAGCTCGACACAGCTCTCGCAGCTCTCGCAACTATCGCAGCAAGCTCTCTCCGCTCGTCATCGAACGAGCCATCCGCGCTGAAACCAGGTCGGTCAGTCTCCTGATTCGAGTGGATCGGTATGTCGCCATCTGCGACTGGTCCGTCGGCCTCATCGTCAAGGACGACTCAGTCAATCATCAGAGACGAGGAGATGCGAGATGTCGGTGATCGCAATGGTCAATCCAGCCAGCCCGTCACCTTCGCGAGCCCAGAAATTAAGGCCCTTTCCAGGCTTCGCTCTGACCCGCGCTTTCTTCAGCGCGTGCGTTCCGCCGACGTGGGTCAGGCATTCCAGCTCAAGCTGGCGTCCGACGACGATAAGCCCCAGTGGTTCCCAGAGTACGAAGTGCTACGTTTGGTCGAATTCTTTTCGTGCTGGGTCATGGAGTGGGAGACCGGCATGGACGGGCTTGCCATACAAAATCCGGAACCAAAGGATCTCGGCGATGTGATTCCTCCTTGGGATTTTATCTGGACCGATAATTATCTTTGCGATCCATCCGTAGCACCGGTCTCCCAGATCCCTGCGGAGCCGAAGGTCAACGGCTACGAGATCACTGACGAGCTGTGCGCCATGGCTGGTTGCGATTGCGAAGACGACGTATGTGATCCGCGCAATTGCGCATGCCTGCGTCGGGCTGCTGACTGCTATCCGTACCAAGGCGGACATTATCAGAGGATGTTTGCCTCTTCCGACGACACAAAGAATGCTTCGGACGATGAAGATTTAGGGGCGGCACGCCGCGACTTTGTCTACCTCAAGGACGGCAGCATCGACAAGAACGTCCTCCTCGGCACGCCCATCTTCGAGTGCAACAAATCGTGCTCTTGCTCCTCCTCTTGCCGAAATCGAGTCGTACAGAAGGGCAAAAAGGCTCGTCTCGCCTTCGTCAAGACGAAAGAGAAAGGCTGGGGCATCAAGGCACTTGATATCATTCCAGAGCGAACCTTCGTGGGCGCCTATGGCGGCGAGCTTCTCAATGACACGGAAGCAGAGAGACGCGCCGGAGTCTACGACCAAAAGCTCGGCACCACGTACCTGCAAAATGTCGACAGTCACATTATCAAGGTCCACCTCACCCGTCAGATCATCGAGAAGGACCTCGCCGAGAAAGGAGAGCTCAACGACTACCGTGGTAACAATGCCAACAAGCTCAAGCTGGTAGACCTCGTCACCAAGGCCGCCGATGCCATCGAGATCTACGAAGATTATTGGAATTTCCTCGAGGCTGGGCACCCCGTCAAAGACAATCTATATGATGCTGAAGTCCGTGTCAGGGACAAATTGCCCCCTGGTCCAGAGGATGGACGCATTTTCGCACGCGCCAAGAACGATGCGTACCAATGGGCTCTCGACAAAGCTCGACGCACACGCAAAAAGCACTCTCAAAAGAATCCCGAAGTCAAGATGGACGATCCCTACCATCCTGATCGAGATTTCGACCACCCTGCCTGGATTTTCCTCAAGCTCGGCACAACGGAGCAGAACGACCTTCGAAGGATGGCCGTGGAGCGATCCAACATGGAGGATGAGCGCATGGTGACGGTCGACTCTGCGCTCTGGGGCAACCACACGCGCTTCTTCAACCACTCTTGCGATCCCAACATTTGTCACGTCCCGGTCTACACCGATAACGCCTCGCTTATGCGACCCCTCTTGGCCTTCTTCACGCTTCGGGAGATTGCACCGGGCGAAGAGCTCTGCTTCAGCTATGCCGGTGACATGGGCTCGAATGAAGTCGACGTTGCCATCGCCGCTTCGGCGCCACAGAGCCCTGCCAAAGGTCGTGCGAGGGCCAAGCCAACCATGATCCACCCGCCCTCGACCCGACCTGGTGCCGAGACCGAAGCTGCGATCACGGCGACCGAGGCCGACGGTGCAGCCGCTGCGATCAATCCGGCAAAGGAAAGATTCCTGAACATCAAATGCAAGTGCGGCGCTGCGAACTGCACCGGTCGCGTGTTCTAAAGCCGAGCGTCTCGTCCGTTCCCGTCCTCCGGCGCCCAACTAGCATACTCGTCCTTGCTTCAGCATCATGCGATTCACACGCTGCACCGGAGTCTTTCGTGCATGTTCTCTCAATGTCACGATCCATCATCCTGCCACAAACGACAGAGCAGAGGGTTTGGGAATTGAGCGTGGACCTCCAAATTCGGGTCCCACCAAATGAATTGATTGATGCTGATGCTGATGCTAGATTTGCTGCTGCTGCGCCTGCTGTGCCTGATGATGAGCCACAACGCGCACGAGCAGCGAGTTGAGTCGGGCGATGCTGACGATTTGGGTGCCCTGCAGCGTCTTGTCGCCATCTCCCGCGCCCGTCCTCCCTCCGCTCACGCTCGACTCTCCAATACTGGCAGTCTCTGCGGACGCACCGCCCATCGGGGGCAAAGGCGAGAGTGGAGAATGCGGGCTGCTGGCCGAGCGCGCCGAGTTGCTCCTCGCCATGCCGCTGGCGTTGGCCACGCCCAGCCTCGTCACCGCCGTCGAGGGCGGGTAGAGCGAGAGCGAAGCGGAGCCTTTGGTATGCGACCGTGTCTCGCCCGCACTAGCGTTACTCGTGTTTGCCGACGACGTGGAAGGCGGAATGAGCAGCTCCCTCTCATGCCTGCCAACGCCAGACGGCGCATAGTAGTGGCGCGACGTCGACGCCGCACGATCCAGCATCGCTGGTGCGCGCAACGAAGCACTCGCAGGCACTGCACCCCGACCCACCGTCATCGCCCGCGTCAATCCCGTCTGCTGCCCACCCTCTTCCGTCGCCACAAGTGTGTCTCGTAGCACCTGCAGACTCGCCATCTCCGTCGCCCTCCCCACTGGACCCCGCATCGCTTTTTGCTTGATACACGCCTCCACCTGGCCCCGGATCGCCTGAACCCAGCTCTCCGCCTTGTCCCCGCTCTCGAAGCTAAACATGAACCGTTCTTCGCTCCCACCCGCCCAGGAGGCGGGGGAAGAAAGCGTAAAGCTGTGCTTCATAAACGCGCGCTCAACGGTGACATTGAAGCTCCGCGGCAGCGGCGAATCGCTCGTGTCCGCAACATCGACCTCCGTTCCCCCGTAGAAGCGGGCATTTCGACCCGCGCGAACGAACACCACCTGCTTTGGCCCGAGCGTCTTGGTCCACATGGTGAAACTCGCCTCGTTCGACCCCGCAAAGGTCAGGATGGGCGGCTCGAACGTCATATCCTGCGCATAGAGGCGGATGGCCAGATCGGGGTCCGGAGCGGGGATCACGAGCGTTACGGGCTCGGCGGGTTGCGCGTACGTCAGACGTGTAGGGAGTTTGCCATCTTTGACGCGGATGGCGAAGCGCGGCTCGAACCGGTCCAACGCCTGCACGAGCGGTTCCGAGCGGATGGACAGGTAGATGCGGCTGAGTGTACGGTCCGATAGGACTTCGTGTGGGTCGTGTTGGCGGAAGACGCTGACAAAATCGGCCTTGGATAGCTCCGGGCATGGCGCGCTGAACAGACCAGGTGTGTCGACCGTTGCAGGACGCGGGAAATTCGGCGCCGTCTCCGAGGCAGGACCAGCGGGCGAGTCGGTGTGCAGCGCATCGTTGAGCGCCATGATCGCAAACACCAGGTCGGACGCAATCTGGGCGGTGAAGGTGGGCTTGATCATCGAGGCATTGTGCTGCGTCCAGCTCTGCGCAAAGTGCATCAGCAGCGCCTCGAACGCGTCGAGGTCGGTGGGGAAGCGCAGGTCGAGCAGCAGGGTGCGCAGCGCAGACTCGATGGACACGCCGACGTGGCGATGCTGCGAGACGTACGCCTTGAGGATCTCTCGTCGCGATGGGTGGGTGAGGTACTGCGTCAGATCGTGTCGGTCGAGTTCTGGAGTCTGGTACAGAAGCTGCGCGATGGATGCAGGCGTGGGTTCCAAGCCCGTCTTGGCGACGAGTGCCCGCACGGCGGCATCCGGATGCTTGCTAAAGTGCGAGACGAAGCCCCAAAGGACTGGGTTCTGGGCGCGAGTCTTGGCTGACGACGTGCGTGTGTTGCTCGTGACGCTGACCTTTAGTCGATGCAGCTCGAGGATGTTCTTGACGCTAAACTTCCATGACAGCGAAGGCAGGACCGCCGCCTGCTTCATCTTGCCCAACGTCTGGCCGATTTCGGCGCCAGGAGCGGCGACGGGCTTTGCGATGACTAGAATGTCGCTGAACAGAAAAAGGTATCGATCTTTGATGGTTGTCGCGCTGATGACCTGGAAGACGGGGTCGGATGCGAGCAGTTTGCGCGGTGGATCTCGCATATCCTCTGGTGTTGCTCCGGGGACTGTCTGACTCGGGCCAGCGATTGACAGCATGCGGCTGTAGCGGTGGATCATGGCTTCCGTGCTTGGAGCCAGCAATCTTGTCGCGTTCTCAGGGTAATGAGAGGACGACGATGAGCTGTCGGGATCCGCTGTGACGTCGTAGAGTTCAGTCCGATTCCGACCACTAGCCATGGATGAGATGGATGCATTGCGTTGCAGGTCGGCTTGTGCGGCCGCCTTGTCCGTCCACTGTCTGCCGGGCAATCGATGCTCGAATGTGGCGTCATGGTCCCGCTCGCGCTGAGTCAATTCATTGGACGCACCAAGGTGTGAAACGTCGACGGTGGCGAGAGGCTGTGTAGCAGTTGCAGCGGGGCCTGGCGTCGCATCCGTCAGAATGGGTGCCGAAATGAAAGTGGCTTCGGTCGGTAGCTTTGGCGATTCCTCTCTTTTTGCACGACGAGCCCAGAAGCTCGACCCATCCTTTTCCTTGGCGGATGAAGGCGTCCTTCGCAGAGTCGACGCCTTGCGGCGTATCGATGAGAACAGGCCCAGCTGCTTGCCGTTGGCCTCCTGGTCGCCCTTCGAAGCGGCAGCTGCCAATGGCGAGTCCGGGTTGTCCGAGTGGCCCGACTTTGGCGGTACTGGTGGACCCGTGGGTGCCGGAGAAGCAAGCGCTGGCGCAACGGTCATGTGACTGAACCCATCCTGACTCTGCACCGGGCTCGCAAGGGCCAGCCCGGGAAACGGATGCAGCTTCTCGTTTGCAGCCAGGGCTGAGAGATCTGCCGATGGACGCTGTGAGTGGCTGATCGAATAGACCGACATGTGCTCCGTGAAGCGGCTACCGCTCGTGTTACTGCGCTCGAGCTTCGGGGCTGACGGCATGGCGATTGTACGTGACGCCGACGTGCTTCCGGGAGATGTTTCGTTTGAGCCTGCAAGATGATTTGTGCGAGCCAGCTTTCCAAGCTCGTCCGCGATGCGATCGACCTTGCGGAGGTAGTCGTCGTTCACCTCTCCGTCAGCATCGTTCAGGTCAGTAATTGAGAGTTTGCTGCTGGTGTTAGACGACGAAACGTATTGGCGAGCTGCGGGGACCAGCAGATTGCCGCCGCGATATACGCCTATTGGAGCGGAATCCTGAGAATCTTGGTCCAGGTCGTCGCCGTACTTGGCTACAAAGCTGGAACCGAGCATTTCTTGAGCCCGTGAAGAAGGGTTTGCGTGCAAGCTCGTAACGTTGAGAATCTCGAAGTCCGACAACCGCCCGTTGGTTGTGGTCGTGCCCACTGACTGTCGACTGCGCTGATCTGCTTCCGTCATCGCCTCATCCTCAGATACCTCCATCAAAGGCGAGCCAATGGCAGGCCCGGCTTGAAAGTGCCTTCCCTCTTCGAATGACCTCTGACGGGCGTCTCCTTCGCGACGGCTCTCCGAACTTTCCCTCCCGAACTGAAGGGTCCCGCTGCTAGCGATCGACGTTGGCCAGTCGCCCCTGGTCTTGCGGGCATCGGCCAGACCGCGCGTGGAATGGCTCTGATCTCCGCTTGGCGAGTCCGGCGACATTGTGTGTGCTGACGACATCAACGAATTAGAGAGACGCAGTGGCAAGTTGAACCCGCCAGGGCTTGCGCCCATCCAAGGCGTTCTGCGCGTCTCGCCGAATTCGGTCTCGGTGCTGGGAGAAGGGTCGATTGGCACACTGGCTACGCTACGATGGAAGAGACGTTGAGGCGGTGTCGTGGGGAAATCCGCAGCGTCGTGTGAAAGCTGTACATGCTTGGGACTAGCATCTTTCGACGAGAATCCAGCATTTTGCGCGACCGCAGCATCGACGCGACGGCTGCTGTCCGGCTCGACCGAAGCAGGGTAGTGAGGCGTATCGCCAGCCTTCGAAGTTTGATCTCTCTCAGGTAGGCCAACCTCGTCATCGTCGGCTTCGTCGCTACCGTCCTCTTCGTCATCGGCGCCTGTAGCAGGTGAGTAGAGCTGATAGAAGGCGTCGTCCTCCATGGACTCTTGATCTGTGTAGGATCCAGGACTGGAGAGAAGGTCTTGGGATGCTGGCTGCTGCACGTTGAGTCGAGACAGGGACTGCCGTAGTTCCGAGACGCGCTCGGACTCGCCGTGTCCGGATGCCTGGGTCGGTGGACATCCAGTGTGTTCCTCGACTAGCACCCGCGGCTGCACTAGATCTGCCTGCTCCGGATCCGCTCCTGCTGCGTCCAATCCGAGACCAACGAGGCCTGCCCGACGCCTCCTCCAAGAATCACTACTGAGGTCGACGTGAACACCATCGTCCTCGGAATGATAGCCACCCTGTGTCGAGGAAGCCTGCATCGTCACGTCGCCGTCATCTTCGTTCACCAGATACCTGCCCATTGCCCTGTCAAGAGAGCTCTGCGCCGCGTCGGTGTCGATGGAAGTGGACGGGACCGACGGCGAGGCTTCGAGCGCAAAGCTGTCCTCGTTACTGAGACGCGCCATGGCGCTTTCACGGTTCCGTTCTTGGATATGACGAGCCGTGGCATTGGTAGCGATGCTGTGTGCATAATGCGACGCAAGGGACGCATCCGAGGACGAGGCTTTCAGGCCTGCTGATGTCACGTCTAGCTGTGGCGTATCTGGAGAGGCAGCAGCAAAGGTCTGAGCGGTCATTCCTGCTGCGCTTGCCGGGCTGAGAGCTTGACGGAACGTCGGAGCAGGTGTTGGTGAAGCGAGCGCATCCAGACGCGAAATAGGCGGTGGGATCGGAGACGATGGCGGTCGAATGACGACACCTACGGGACTGATGCTCTCGTCGACGGCGGGAGAGTTGGTGATGACTTGTGGCAATCGCAGGCGAGCGCCTGGTGCGGGTGCGATGGTCGCCAGACCTGAACCCTGAGTCTGATCCGAGGCTGGCTGAGCTGCTGATGTGGCAGTGCCTCGGCCTCTGGTGCTGAGCTTGCGCATCATCTCTGTCCTCGCAATTTGGCGTTGCGACTGTTGACGCGATAGGCTCGACGCTGCTTCTGCGATGGAAGCGGGCGGTGAATCGGCCTCTTGGACAGTCTCTTCTGGTACGGGTACTTCGGTGGGTGTGGAGGAAGCCGGCTTGAGCATGCTCTGACGCTCAACACGCCGCTGATGAATGCGAGAGATGCGCTTGGATGCAGGACCGGGGACAGCGAGAAAGACGCCTTGGACGAAATCGGCCTTGTTCTGCGCTTCTGCCATGGCAGTGAGGCCGTTGATGGTACGGCTCCTTCGGAGCGAAGGTCGATTCTTGACCGACTGTCGCTTGAGCCTGGTTTCGTGTGCAGACTCGTCGTCGGACGCCATGTCGGTTGTGTCGTTGTCGGGGCCGGACATGCGAGTCGGCGACGGTGTCGCAGCGCCGCGACCGATCAGAGTGCCGTCAGGGGTGTGATCATAGAAGACGTCGGAGCCGCTGTTGCCGAGGAGCTTCTCGAGAGCGTAGGCACGTGCGGCCTGACTGGCAGCGCTGGTGCTAGCGCTTCTTTGCAGTCCTGCAGATTCTCGTTCGAGTAGGATGCGGGCTCGAAGCTGCTCCAAGGAGGGCAACGGAGAGCGATTGAAGGTGCGAGGGTTGGAACGGTCTTGCAGGAACATGGGAGATCGAGAGCGCTCGATGGAGTCGTTGGGTGATGGAGCCGTAAGCATGGCTTGTGGTGGCAGTGCTGAGGTGGAAGCGGCCGCGTTGTCGACAGGATAAGGATCAAGATGATGTGTGTCGCCCGATTGCGGATCTTTCGCAGACGTCCAATTGTGTCCTGGCCCGGTTTCTGGATAGCTCGTGGACGTTGGCTGTGACTGCTGACCAACATCGGTCGTCGAATGATTGAGAGACGTTGCAAAGCCACTGCTGGCTAAAGGCGGACTCGACTCGGTTGGAAAAGCTCCGGGGACGACAGGCGTTTCTGCTCTTGCCTTGGTCTCTCTTTGTGATGCTGCACGCCTGAGCATGGCAATGGCGTTGGTACGGGCCACCGAGCCCTGCCGGCTCAGCGCTGAACTAGCATCGACCATGTTTGAAGGCCCAGCTGCGGAGTGCCCTGAAGATGTCGAGGCTTGCATCATGGTATTCCCGATGATGGGTATCGAAGCTCCACAAAGGTCTGCTGACGTCGCCTCACCTTACGATGATCAAATGTAGCCGCTTCGCGACCTTTCTATCGCATCAGCAGCATAGTCGAAGGAGGAAGGATCGTGTGGATGACGGACGATGAGGAGCTGGTCGGATGTCGAGGCTGGATGCGTGCGCCGAGCCGCTGAGCGCTCCGACAATGCTAAGTCCAGAGGGATGCTGAAACGCAAGAGGTGGTTTCTTGTTCGGAACGGTCGAGAGAGTACCGCTTGAGCTGCAAGATGGAGATCGAATGAGGTTGAAAGATGTTGATCGGCGAGCTCGCAGACTGCTGACCGAAAAGAAGCTGATTGTGACTCCTGAGTATGGTTGGTAGATGCGTGCGCTTGAGCGAAAGAGGAGCGACGGGTATCGATGCAATTGTGTGTGTGCGTGCGTGCGAGAATGCAAGTGCTGCTACCGCTGCTGCTGGTAGAGAGACTGGTCAAGGATGCCAACCTTGTCGCTTCTTGCGCATGTGCTAGCTGTGAGGATGGTGTGTATGTGACTGTAGCAAGTAGGGACTGATATCTTTGAAAGGGTTTCCAGGAAAGTGCTTGCTCGCTTGTCCGTGCATTCGGCTGTGCGTGTGTCTGTCTCGGCGCTGAGCTCGAAATCTGACTTTTCCGCCTTTTCTTCCACAAATTCACAGCTCAGCAGGCACAAAGCCTTGAATTTGACGCGCCCGTTGAGTGCTGCGCCGCGGAACACCAACACCCACACAGAGAGAGCAACACAAGTCGAGCGGCAAAGCCGAACATCTTTCGGCACGGTTCCGAGGCTAGGCAGGGCTGTTCATTCATCCAATTCCCACGCTTGACCATAAGCGAAGCCATCTAATCAGTCAGCAACACAGGCGAAAGGTCAGTTGACCCTCGTCGGATCAGCGTTCCGATTGCGACGACCTTGACAGCGTCGGTACAAGCCGGCGGTAGGCGCGAGTAAGAATCATTTTTCGACCCTGATTTTCGGTGGTGTTTTTGCTCGCTCAATTTTTACCGCAACGCAATCTCCAAGTCTTGGGCATGTCAAACTTCGTCGAGAACATCGCCCGTTGACATCGTAGCAGGCTCTTCGTGCGGCTCAGGTTATGACGGTCATGATTTGGTCAGACACATTGGATATCAACAAGATGGGGCATATATTGGTGAAGAGAAAAGGATGGACAAGGGGCAGCACATGAAGATAGACAGCCGTTGACCTCGTGACTGGAGGGGCAAGGCGACTGCCAACCAAAAAGCCCTGCACCCAAGTCCACTGACCCTACATCTTCAAGAGAGAGTTTCATGACATCCATTAGCAAGTGCAGAGAGATGACCACCAGTTGCGACAGCGTCGGATCGCCATTTCCCGCTCGATCTCGATTGTTACTCGCCGCCTTCACCTCTCTACCACAAGTGATGAAGAGCGAGCAACAGGATTAAAAGCAGAAACGACGGAAGGACGCCGCCGAATGGCGCAGTTGAGGGAGGAGGAAGGTATTGCGGAACCGCGGGTATATACGAACGCAGACATCGGTATCAAGGTTTCAAGACTCGATCCTCAGCTTCCTAGCCGAGGGCGAGTCCCTTTTCACCATGTTGGGTTGGGATATTTAGCCAATGCGGCCCTGCTCGTAAGCAGGGTTGACGGGCTGTGCTGGCTGCGAGATCTCGGCGCCGCTGATCGCAGGCGCAGCCTTGGCCGTCAACGACTCGTCGTGAGCAGCAGCCGTGGTGCCGGGCGCGTTGATGGCAGTGGCACCCGTGCCGGCAACGATAGCACCGGGGGCGTGGGTGCCGTTCTGAGTCGAGTAGGCCGAGGCGGTCTGGCCGGGCTGGCCAGCGCCCTGGGCAGCAGCGTTCGATACGCTCTGCACACCAGCAGCAGCAGCACCAGCGCCAGCAAGGCCGGCAGCACCAGCAGCAGCACCGGCACCAGCAGCACCAGCAGCACCAGCACCGGCGCTGCTAGGCGAGGGGCCGAGGTTCTGGCTCTTGGCCGAAGCGGTGTTGCGAGGGTCCTTCTGGCCGGGCTGCACAATGGTAAAGGCAGGCGAGTACCACGCCTTGCTGGCGTTGGCGGGAGCGGCCTTGGCGGCAGCGTCCTTCTCGTCGATCTTCTGCACCCATCCATCGGGGTGGCCGAGGTTGGGAAGGATCGAGTTGCGCTTTGAGGTGGCGAGCTTGAAGGTACCATCGCTCGGCTTGCTCTCGTCCTTGTTCTTGGCGAAGGTGTCCTTGAAAGCGTCACCGACACCCTTGCCCTCGATCTGCTTGTTGCGCTCGATACGGTCGCGCAGCTCAATGAGCTGACGGTCGAGGTCCTCGAGACCGTTGCGAATGCCCTGCTCGGCGGCCTTGGAGATGGCCTTCTTGATAATACCGGTGGCGAGGGGTCGCAGCACCTTGATGAGCGTGTCGTGCTTGCTGTCGCGGATGGCAAACTTGAGCTTGTCCACCTTGGCGACCACCTGCTTGACGGTGAAGATGTGGCGAGCCTTCCTGCCGCGAGGAGCGTTCTCGGCCTCGAGGTGAACGGTCACAGTGAGACCCTTGCCACCCAAGAAGACGTCGGCGGTACCGCGCTCGTTGAGCTTGGGGAAGCCCATCTTCTTTTTGAAGAAGAAGTGGACATCGCGCATGTCGGTCTGGATCTGGTGGAGCGTGAGCTTGAACGAGTGCTGGTGCCTGTCACCGAGCTTGTCAAACTGCGAGAGCTGGAAGTGGTTGCGGATATCCATCTCGGTCTGCGAGGGGAGGATGTTGAGCAGGTCAATGGCGAGGTTCTCAATGACCAGGTCGACCTGCTTGTCGGTGTACTCGATACGGGGCAGGGGAACAAGGCCGACGTGGCTGAGCAGCTCGGGGAGGATGGGGTCGCGGATGTCGCTCCAGAGGTGAGGCTTGAAGGTGAGGCCACCCTCCGAGTTGAGGAAGAGGTCCTTGGTGATCTGCTGGACGTTGTCGCCGAGCTTGCGGTTAAGCGGGTCGGCGTTCATGGCCTTGGCAAAGTGGGTCACCTCGCGGAAAAGAGCGTCCTTGTGGGGAACGTACTTGCCCTGGTCGCGGCCTTCGGCAGCGACGAAGAACTTCTTGCCGGACTCGGTGAGCTGGCGCGCCTGGGTGTTGGCCTCATCCTTCATGATGAAACCGGGCTCCTGGAGACACTTGCGAACGTAGGTGTCGAGGCGGCTGAACCACTGCTTGAGCTCGGGGTCGTTGGCGACGTCGGTGTAGATCTGGTTGACGGCGTCGATGATGGGCTGGGTGGGAGCACCGTTGGCGAAGCGCTCGATCAGACGACGGAAAGTGGTCTCGGCGGTAGCAACATTGCCCTCGGAGCGAACGTTCTGGGCGCTCTGAGCCGACTGGTCAGCAATGTGGGTAGCGTGACCCTTGTACTGCTCAAAGAAGTTGAGGAAGTGGTCCATGGCGTCTTGGTAGTCCTTGTGACGCTGGCACTCGACGACGACCTTCTTGAGGCGGTAGTAGAACTGGTCGCGGCGCTCCTCGGGGAACTTCTCCTTGAGGTAGTTCTGAGCCTTCTCGGACTGCTCCTTGGCGAGGTCCTTGTGCTTCTGGGGGATCTTGTCGGCGAGCAGCTGGGCCTTCTGCTTGGCAACCTCAGCAACGGCAGCCTTGTTCTGCTCGTTGCTGGCGTTGGGGTCGACGGCGTTCTGGACGTCCTGGGCGTGGGAGGCACCCTCGGATTTGGCCTGCTCGGCGGTAGCCTGGGCGTCGCCCTTGGCCTCTTCCTTCTTCTTGAGCAGATCAGGAATGTCGTCGTGGAACTCGTTGTCCGGAGCGGGCTGGTCGACGCTGTTGAGCTTCTCCTCGTCGGGGCGGGCGGCCTCAGCGGCCTTGGCAGCACCGTCGGCGAACATGTCGCGGCCGATGAAGCCGAGGTCCTGGACGATCTTGCGGAGCTCGCCGTTGCGGAGGAAGAGGGTGACGAGGGTGCGCAGGGCCTCGGCGGCGGTCTCGCCATCCTTCTTGGCGTCGGCGCCCGTGATGGGAGCCTTGACGTTGACGTTGTTGGCGACATCGGCCTTGCGGGTAGCGTAGAGGAAGTTCTGGAACTCCTCCTCGCCGTTCTTGTTGACGACCACCTGGCGGGCGGTCTCGATGAGCTCGCGGATGTCCTGAATCAGCTTCTTTCCATCGGGGGAGAGCTTGCTGGTGTCGACGGGGCTATTAGCGAGCGTGTACTTGAGCGTGTCGTCGATCTGCGCGTTGTCGGGGTAGCGACCCTCGCGGAAAGCCTGGATGACGCCAAAGAAGCGCATCGAGCGGTCGACATCGGCCTGCTTCTGTTTCGAGTCAGTGGCCGAGACAACGGAGTTGCCGGCAGGGTTGTTGGAAACCTGGCTGACAGCCTTAGGAACGGTCGACATGGTGGCGAATGTAGACTACGTCGAGAGTTTGAAATAGAGAAAGATGAAGTTTGGGCGCGAGGCGAAGCAGAATCGGGTCGACAGACGATCGATCGAGATTATGCGTTGCGTGCAACGGAAGAGGAATTAGATCGCAGTGAACCAAGACAGGTGTGCGATGTGGGATGAAGGTGTTGGTGGTGGGATGGACAGATAGTGATAGGGTATCTGTGCAAACTGGTATCAACGGTATCTGGTATGTGTGGTAGTTGGAGAAGATCCACGACGAACGAGGATGGATTTCGCTTAGACCTATATACTCTAGGAAAGCCTCAGTCAGCCAAGGAGCGGACTGTGGACACTGACGGAGAGAGGCAGAGGCTGAACGGCAGCGAACTGCGTTGGCACGAGGCGCTATGACGAGCCGATCCAAGCTTGACCCTCGAAATGGCATCAACTTGCAGCACCATCCACGAGGGCTCCCAAAGCTCCTTTCGTTTCGGCACGAGCGCACAGACATTGGCTCATTGTCAGCCTTTGTCGGACAGGCCGCCAGGCTGGAAGGCTCCATGCAATGACAGTCATACACACAATGGTCCACACGGGAGAGGAGAAAGGGAAGGGCACTGGAACGGTGTCGTCGAAAACGGTGTGCGAATGCGTCATTCCACTTTTGCTTGGAAAGGGTGTAGGTTGAAAGTCTACCTGCGAAGCTTGGTCACACTGGCGGATATGTGGCGTAGTGAGGGCAGCGTCGGCGTCCGACCCGAGGCTTCGAAAATGAATGAGTTCAATTCTCGAAGCGGTGTGAAGTTGAGCGCTGGCAGAGCACAGTCTCGCTGACGAGCCAGATCGATTTTTGTATTTTTATTCGGATATTTGGCCAAAATGGGAAATCACAGCGCAGGGGGGCCCGAAAGAAGGGATGAAAATCGAGAAATGTGGAGGTATTCATCGGAAATTGAAAACGATGCTTGCAGAACGCAGTATGAACGGCCGTGCGCTTCAGCTGCAAGCAAGGGCGATCTTCATGTCCACGAGAGTCTCATCGCTGCCTCGCAGCACATCCGCTGCAAACATGGTGCAGTGCTTCTTGCATCTCTGGCGTGACTTCTCTGGAGGCTGCCACCGTTTTCGTTTCAGCAAGATCGACATGGCCTCGACTTCATCACATTTTGAGTGGTTGACTGCCACGGGCGACCCGACTTGACACTTCACTGGTCACCAGGCGAGTCGCGTCGGTCCGGGTTCAGCTGGCCAGAGGTGCGAATCGGCCGGTCATGATCACATCAGAAGACTAGCTCTTCACTCGCTCCAGGTTCGCTCTCAGCCCCCGGTGTGGACCCTTTGGCGACGAACGGCCCTTGCTTCGTCTATCACATCACTTCGCATGGACATTGGCTCGTCACATGGCAACCAGATCGCATGCTCCGACAAGTCGGCGCCACAGACGTGAAGTCACATATGGTCATCCTTGGCAATAGTCATCACGCCCACTCGGCCACGCCGAGGAAAAGATGAAGAACTGAGGTCTGGGCCAAGTTTCGCTGTCCATACCACATTTTAATTCGACTGAAGGGACTGCTTAGCAACGAGCACAAGCCGAGTTCAACATAATTTATAGAGAGGGTCCATTTGCCCAATTCTTCCCAAATCGCTGCTGCATGACGTACATGCGCGATGACGATGACAGCCCCGGCTGACAGCTGATCCCCTCTTGTTGCTTCTTCCAATTACCGCTCCTCGACAACGCGACGACGGTGCCTCACCCCTCTTCGACAGCCTTCTATTGTCCGGCCACCGGCCTTCGTCACGATGCAGCTACGTGGCCGGGGTCCCGCTCGTTGGGACCAAACAACGCCAGTCCGGGCTCGAGCTCGCTTGCTGGCTCATTAGGTTGCGCATGAATCAAACACACGGCGTCCGACTCGTGGAAGTCAACTCGACCCCAACCGAGGTGATCGTCGTGTCTCGTCCAAATGCCTGTCACGCTCGGCTTCTCAATCTCAGACTCCGACCTCCTCTCGGCGGGCTCGGCAAGCTGATCGACAGCCACGATTCGCACGATCCAGCCTTCCGTCGGTCATTTTCATCTCACCGCGGTGATCTATCGATTGATGTTCCGCCGTGCACGGGTGACACGTCTTGCTTCGACTCGTTGTGGTGCAACGGCCACAGCTATGCCGCAGACCAACTTCTGCGCGGATCCAGTGCGGACATCTCTCCGACGAACATTGAGAGCGAGCTCAACCGTAACACGTCTGCTTGGGTAGTCACGTTCGGTACCTTTCGTGGCCAAGCAGCGGCGAATCACTCGGCGCCAGTTGATTTCGCGAGCCACTTTTGCGAGTTGCTTGTGCTTTCAACCAAGCCATCGTGTCGATATTTTCGTCCTCTGCTAAGCGCCGAGCTTCTGTTGGTGTTATTTTTAGTATCCTTTTCGGTTCGACGCTCAGCTTGGCCTAAACAAAGCATCGACTGCCACGCTCGCCGGCAATGACCCAAAAATAGACGCTCAGATCCCAACCACACCCTTGCCCTAGGCGGCCGGATAGCACCCCTCGAACCCTGGATTCAACAATCTAGGCGCTGTTCGAGACCTTCAACGGACCAGCAGTGGCTCTCGACGCTCGTGAAAGGGAGTCCTTTGCCACACCTTGATGGGTCGACGCACCTGTTTGGTCGACCATCCGACAACACACGCTGACCAACCCCAGCAACGCAACACCCCACGCGGCAGATGAATCGTCCCACCCGATCACTTAATTCTGAGAAATGTTCGTATTGCTAGTCATACAAGATGAGTCGTCGGACATAGCGGCGAGGCTCGCCATGTCTTCCTTTTTGAGATCTGGCCCGCAGGCAGATCAGCGATCCAGTTCGTCCTCCTCGAAATCCGGTAGCATGGCAGCGTCTTCATCCGTCGACAGGTGTCTATATCCTCCGTAGGCGCCGCGTGACCGGTTCACCCTGTTGCTCAGGAAGGGTATCCTTTCGGACGCGACCTCGCGCAAGCGGGCGAATGCTGCACTCGCCACGCCCAGCACAAACCTTGGCACCGACGCCAGATTCTGTGCCAGCTCCGAGTCCGGTCCGTACAGCCTGTTGCTGTTGTCGGGCAGACGGATGCGACCCGTGCCGAGTCCGCCGCCACTCGACTGCTTCTTGGCCCACCAGTAGCCCACCAGTCCAGCCAAACCGAAGGGGCAGAGGATCACCGTCGCCCACCAGAAGAAGCCGTGACTCTTGAGGCTGTTGCTACACACGTGCTGTGTGCCGCGATCCGGTCGGGTGCCGCCTGTGCAGGACGAGTAGGGAATCTTGCGCACGTTGGTCCTCTCGTACCAGTATCCGTCGCTCTCCGCCGCCCAGCACTGACTCGCCTCGTCCGTCGACAGAGGCGACACGCCCGGGTACAAAACGCACTTGCCGCTGGCATCGCGGTAGTGGTTGAATTCGCACTCGAAGTCCGCCTCGGTGCAGGAACAGTTGCGGCTCACGGAGTGCGGCTGGACAATCTTCTCGCCCACGTAGCAGTCGGCTCGGCGTTTGCGACGGTAGTACGACGTTTGTCGACCAAAGAGACACTGCTCGGCGCGCTCCTCGCTCGGCGACCACAGCTCGAAATCGTCCACTTCGGGTCGCGCCACGTTGAGCACGCACTTGCGCGATTCGAGTCCGGAGAAGTCCAGATAGATGGCGACCGACTTGGTGGCCGCCCCGCTGGGCGTGCCGAGCAGGATAAAGCGTCGATGCGTATCCTCGGGCACGGTGAGGATCTGCGAGATGCGCATCTTGTCGCCAAATGAGTACGACTCCCAGGTCATGCCTTCGTTGAGCGAGTAGAGCACCGTATCCGTCGCCTGCTCGTCATTGACCAGCACAATGATGGAGCCCTGATCGCCGAATTCCCATTTGTGCGCATCCTTATGCACCTCTTCCCACGTGAAGCCGCCATCGCGCGTCAAGAATGTATCCGACTCGCGATACGGGGCCAGTTTGCGTCCAACATTGCCCACGCCCATCATCAGGCCGACCGCAGACGGGCTGCTGTACGTATCCCTAGGATCGTCGCGCTCGGTGAATCCGTGCAGGTGCAAGTCACATCCTACATGGTTGCATTCGTACGGCTGGCCGTACACGTCCCTGCTGGGAGGGACGATCGACTTCCACCGGCCTCCGTCGTTGTGCGTGATGCGAGTGACAAGGTCCTTGTGCCGCGAAACCGAGGCATCGTCGGGATTGCTGACGACGTTGACAATGGCTACGCCGTCCAAGCCAAGCATCTTTTCAAAGTCGACGAATCCCTTCTCGTTGCGGTTGACAAAGTCGAGCGACTGTGCGTAGAAGGTGCCGTTCGAGTTGCTCTTCAGCAGCGTACCCCACTCGGATCCCGCATCGCCGTGCGTGGTGAAGTGCAAGAATATGGCGTCCGTCACCGAGTCCAGCACCGTATACGCCTTGGTGCCGAGCTCCATGCCAGGCGGGAAGTGGATCTCGGCAAAGTCGCGCCCATTCAGCGACACCTGCAGCTTGAGGGTGGGACTCGAAGTCGTTGCAATGTACTCGGCCACGATCAGATACTGCTCGAAGACGGCGAATCCGACGATTGCATCGAAGATGCGTGTGCGTTTGTGGTAGAAATCGTCTCCGCGGATCAGCTGGAGTTTGTTGGCAGCGGTAAAGTCGCGCTGGTTGCCCCGCTTGTCCTGGTAGCTCTCGCAGAAGATGGTGCGCGCATCCATCTTGAGCTTCTTGTCGCGCGCCCACGAGCAGGTGCGCACGTACGAGTCGATCTTCTCCCATTTGGCGCCGTTGGTGTCCGAAAACCACGCTTCGGCATGGCAGTCCTTGCCGGTGGAAAAGGTGCAGTCGCGACTGCCCGTCCAGATGAGATAGTCGGACTTGTCAGGGTGGAAGTCGAGGACGCCGATGCCGAGTCCGTTGGCGGGGAGCGGCGCAGTGAACCAGTTCCAGTTGGCACCTTGGTCAGTTGTATAGTAGACTCGCTGACCGGCAGTGACCAGGTATCCACGTTTCCCATCGTAGGCGTGCAGCGCCATGGTGAGGAACCTGTCGTCAGCATTCGTCGGTTCGCCGTCCACAGCCAGCTGTTTCCACGAGTAGCCATCGTTTAGAGAGTGGAAGACCGTGCCGTCCGCAAGCTGGAGAAGGACGCTTGATGACTCGGGGAAGTACACCTTGTCGACGACCATCGAGGGGAAGGTGATCGACTTGTGCAGCACCTGTCCGACCTCGGGCGCGTTCTTGCCGCTGCACGACTTGCGCGTCTTTTCGTCCTTGCGGACGCCTTTCGCGGGGTCGCACGTGTTGCCAGGCACCTTGCGGAATCCGGACGATCCCAAGTAGGTGTCATCTGGCTTAGTGCAGGCGCCTGCAGGGATATGCTCGTTGCCCGTCGCCACGCAGTTGCCCTTCGTGTCCCGGGTGAAGCCGAAGTCACATTCGTAGTCGGCATCGGTGCAAGGACACGGGTCCTCTTTGCCGACGGGATCGTTGAACTTGTCCATGATGAAACAGTCCGCATCCGGCTTTCGGCGCTTGTACCACTGCTTGTGGCCCATCAAACAGCTTCCCTCCTCCTTCGCCTGCACGTACCACTTCTCCATATCCCCTTCCCCGCACTTCTTCTTCTTCATCTCTGCGAAGTCCAAAAAGATCGCCACGTTGCGCTCTTTCCCGCTTGCCTCACCTCGCGACTGACTGCCAACCAGCAGGAACTTCAACGACGTGCTATCCGGAATCGTCGTCAGCACCTTGGCCCTCATCTTGACGCCCAGGTTTAGCTTCTTCCAGCTCTTGCCAAAGTCGGTCGAGTACGAGACGTGGTCCGTCACATCCTCGTCATCCACCATGACGAGCACATCGCCCTGGTCACCGAACTCGTACTTGTGCGCATCGCGGCTGACCATCTTCCACGTCCGCCCGGCGTCGGTGCTGAGGAACGTGTCGCACTCGTCGTAGTCCTTGAGCCCTTTGCCCACGGTGCCCACGCCCATGACAAATCCGGGCGCGATGGACGAGAAGAGCTTGCCGACATTGGTCTTGCCGGAAACGGACCACAGATGGAGGGCGCAGTTTTTCGTGTCGGCGGGGTCGCAGATGCTTTTGCCCTGGTCATCCGTCGCCGGTGGGGTCAACGTGTGCCACGTGCTGCCGTCATCGAAGGTGATGACCGAACGCACATCGCCTTCGCCTTCCGACATGACATTGGCGATGCCCACGCCGTCGATCTGGACCAAGTGCTCGAAGTCGACGAGCCCCTGCGGTGTTCGGCGGGTGCCACGCAGCGACTCGACGAATTGCGTGCCCGTGCTATCGCTCGTGAACAGCACGCCTGTGTTGTCGTAGACCGAATCCACCACGTCGACCATGATGCTATGCGAGGTGCTGTCCACCACGGTATACGCGTTCTCCCTGAGCTCGCTCCCATGCGGGAACTTGGCCTTCTCCCACTTGTCCCCGTCTCGCGTCACGAACAGCGCCATCTCGGTCCCGGCGTTGGTCGAGCTGCCCTGCGAATCCCTCAACGCCGTCACCAAGAACCTTTTGCTCGGACCCAACCCAGCAAACTGCTTCGCATTTCTCCCCATGTCCAACTCAACCATCTTGCGCGTCTTGAAAAAGTCGTCCGACTGAAACAGCCGTGTCGCGCCTCCATGGCCACCCGCAGCCCTTCTCTGCTCCTGCCCATCCTCCCATGCGATGCAAAAGATGCGCTGCATCGCCTCGGGCTTGGTCTCCATCTCCTTGCTCGACTTGGCCCAGTTGCAGTGCATCACGAACTCCAACAGCTTCGCCGGATTCGTCGCAAACGCATTTGTCGTATAGTACGTCTCGTCGTGGCAGATGCGCCCTCCCCAGGGAGTCCAGAGGGAGCATTTCTTGCCCGTAAAGATGATGTGGTCCCAGTGCTTTTCGTCGGCATGGAACTCCATCGGTGGGCCGGCGCGCGTGGCGGGCGGTTCGGGGGTGAGGAACTCCTGCCACGTCTTGCCGCGGTCTATCGAACGCCAGTGCGTGGTCTCGCGGGAGAGGATGAAGGCTTGCTTTTTGTCGTATGGATGTGGGACAAGCATGGCTGCTTTACCAGAGGAGGTCGAGATGGGCGACCACGATTTGCCCTCGTCCTCGGAACGGTAGACGATGCCCGCGGTGGCATCGTGGTAGAGCGCAACGGGGCTATCGTCAAAGTAGGCGATCTTGGAGGGGAGGTGGGCGAAGCGCGTTATTGTTACGCCTGGATCTGCTGCTGCGGATAGTGCGGGGAGGAGGAGGAGAGTTGAGAGGAGGGCTGCGAGGGTGAGGAGCAGCATCCGCCTTGTCCCGCCGCGGCGAGGAGCTGGACCAAGCATCGTGGGCCGATTGTCGCCTCTGCGGACCGAGCCTGGCTCCCCGCGAAGATCAAGGTACAGATCCGGCCAGCAGTGTGCCAGGTGAGGGATGAATGCCCTTTGCAAGCCGAGTCGGGCTCGGTCGTATCGGCTGCGCTACGAGTCAGAAACAATGTCCTCCAGTCGCTAGATGTCTGTCTGCCGTTCGAGGACCTTTGACAAGGCGATATGATAGGCGGGGCTCCTCCTTTGCTCGCTGATGATCGTGATGGTCGTTAAGCAGGCGAATTTGCCGTGTGCGGATGATGGATGCGACCAGAAAAGTGGTATCGAGGAACAACGACAATGATGAAAGCGTCAAGAACGGAAGCAACAAGGGGGCGCGTGCACAGCTTCGTCTCAAGGGTTCTGGTCTGAAACACGTCACTGGATTTTTCGCAAGCCTACGGCATGTTAGACCGTAGTCACCTGCAGCAGACAGCTCTACGATGAGAGAAGACCAGACCGTACTTCTGGTGATCTCGGACAGTGCTGCGCATGTTTGATGCCGTAGCATCAACCTGCTATCCCTTAACATGGTCTATGAGCCATGAAGCCTGCTTCAATTGTTCAAATTGGTACGTAAGATCAATGGCTGAGGTCGTGTGAAGTATCTCTCTGCTCGAACACGACGGGGCGCGCAAGTGGTTTGTATTGCGTTCGACGCTATCGACTGTCCTAAGGGCTTGTTGCTGAAAGACCAGCTCAGAGCGACGTCTGCCTCTGCTGCATCTGCTGTATGCCCACCGACGCATTCCCAAACTTGAACGGCGCCGGTCCGGATCTGGGCTGGAACGTGATCGGCTGGGGCGGCATCGAGTAGACAATGCCCAGCTCCTCGCATGCGGTCTTGATCCGACGCATGAGCTTGGTCCTCCGCGTCCATCTCGTGCCCCAGTCCTGGTAGTTTGTCTTCATCTGAAATGCGACCACTAGCTCGATAGCGTTCTGCTGGCTGATCGAGTCGAAGTTGAGGTCAAGCGGACCCGCAAAGTCGCGGTCGTTTTCCTTGGTAAACGACGACAGCTTGTGACGAAGCTGGTCGATCGTCTCGAGCGACGTCTCGAAGCTGACTTGGATCAGCGTTACGTCCCATTGCGGGCCGCTTCGCCGCGAGTTGTAGATGTACTTCTTCGTCGCCAGCATCGCGTTGGGCGCGACAATCTCGCTGTTGACCGTCGTCCGGAAGGTCGTGCTCAATAGCCCAAACTCCTTGACGAACATCCACTCCTCGTCAATGCAAACCAGGTCGCCCACGTCATATGGGTGAGTGGCAAAGATGAAGATCATGCTTTCGAAGATGTTCTTGGCGCTGTTGCCGAAGATGAACGAAAAGCCAACGACAAACGTCGAAAGGGGGGCGATGTTGGAGATGGCGGAACCGCTGCTGAAGATGAGCAGCCAGAGGAAGATGACGACAATGACACCAAGGAACATGAGCACGCCGTCGAGCTTGGAGATGGCCGACGACATGTCCTTGAGCGAGGTGACGAGGGAGCGACGTTCGCGGTAGATGCGCTGAACAGCTTCGCGCATCTCCTCCTTGCTGATGTCACCGTTGCGGTCGGCGTCAAAGACGTTGAAGGCCTCGCGCGCCTCTTCCTCGCTCTTGAAGTAGGGAACAAAGTCCTCGGCGACGAGCGTCGACTTGTTGTCCGCAAGATTGGTGAAGAGGAGCTTGGCGAGCTTGCGCGCCGAGCGCTGTGAGCCAGAGGAGCTGCCCTTGTAGAGCTTACTGTCCTTCATGGTGGCCATGGCGATGGCTTCGCTGATCTGGGAGGCGATGTTGGTCTTGCGTGCTTGCTTCTGGAGATCGCTCGGTGTCGGAGTGTGGGAGCCGTCGCGGCGATGCAGCGAAGGATGGTGGTGATGATGGTGGTGGTGATGATGATGATGTTGTTGTTGTTGTTGTTCTGGTTGTCCGGCGGATTGCTTTTCACTGGTTTCGGCTGCCGCACTTGCTTTGGCCTGTTGCGAGGTCGGAAAGTAGCCAAGAAGCCCGTCGCGTGACTGCTTGGCAGCGTGCAGTCCGTAGGCCTGCCTGTAGCCAGGCGAAGCGGGACGACTTCGTATCGGATTGAAGCGGCGCTTCTGCATGAGATACTTGGACTCGTGCAGCTTGTCGAGCGCTCTGAGCGCCTTCTGGTTCTGTTCGAGACGATCCTGGACGGCGGTCTTGTGGAAGTTGATGGCGATGAACTGCAGCACTACTTTCTCGACAAGCAAGATGATGCTGGTTGCGAAGAGTGCGCGGATGACCTTGAAGATGGTGCGCCAGTAGGCGGGACGAGAAGACGACGAGTACTGAATGGCAAGGACGCCGCCAAGACTGATCCAAGCCCAGGTGACACACAGAACGAGCTTGACGTACAGTGTGGTGGCCATGAACGCTTCGATGTATGATTTGACGATCTCAGGCGCCTTTCCGTAGACGGCAAGGACGAGACGAAGCGCCAAGGGCGGGATTAAGTCGACGACGAGGAAGGTGCCGCAGCTAGCCGCCCAGATGATGGCGATCCAGACGCTCCAGACGACGACCTGGGAACGAGCGGACGTGCCATTGTCGGTCGCAGTGACTACAATGAAAGGGACGAGACAAAGAGCGGTGCCGATGAGAGCCGCGAGAAAGATACGAACGGGTCGAGCGAGGCGAAGGCAGGCGAGGTAGACTCTGCGCCCACGTTTGGCACGTGTGATCTTGGCGCCTTTGCGAGTGCGCGCTTCGTCGTTCTCGTCGTCGTCTTCCCCGCTGGAAGTGTCCCAGTCGAAGTCCTCGGACTCGTCTGCAGAGCTAGCAACCGACATGGGGCGGCTTGTGCGGCCGCCGAGAGCATCTGCACTCGCGAAGGGAGCCTGAGGTGGTTCAAATGCATCGTGGTGGAGTGGAAGCCCAATCTTGGTGGGACGTTGCATGCGCTCGACCAAGGTGTCATGATTGGCGTTCCATCCATTCTTGGTAGCATTCGAGGAGTCGCCATTGCTTCCGCTTCCGCTGCCACTTGCGCTGGCATTGTCGTTCTGCGCGGTCGCGCGTCCGTTCTTGAGGTGGTCGTATGCACCCTGAGTGCGAGTATCCGCACCTTGCAAATCATCGTTGTCGTCGACCCGTTGATGGTGAAGGAAGTGCGCTGGCGATGGCCCACTGACAGAGTCAGCTTGAGCACTGTCGTTGGATCGCTGGGGACGATGGGACTGGAAGTTGGTCAACGGGATGTCGCCGACGTCCATGTTGTCGGCTGCTTTGTATGGAAGCGAAGTCATCGTGGCGGCCAGCTCGCAGTCCTTTCAAGCTTAAAAGCGGAGATGGTTGGTATAAGAGAGAAAGCGCGTCTATGCTCTAGACCAGCTAGAGCGAGCAGAGATGTTTGGCAGTGTCGGAGACGATCCACTTCTGATGACAGGTCGGACGTGCCGCAATGCAAAATCTCCTGACCAGGGGGGATGTCAAGGAGCTGTGATGACGAGACAAGCCGATCGGATGATCAAGACTGCTTCCAATCTCCGTCGGTCAGGCCGGTCAGGTGAATTGGCGACTCTGAGCTGTCGGAAGCGTGCCGAAGGAATGTCTAGTGTCGACGTCGCTCGATACGGAGCAGCCGAAGCAGCGATCGTGTCGTCAGTGAAGGTTGACGGGCGCCTGATTCTGGTCGACGAGCGGGTTCTGATCCTTGTCGACTTGAGCTTCGCTGCGGCTTGATGAGCATGTAATGGTGAGAGAGCAAGAAAGCTCCTTCTTGAACACGAATTAAACTCGGGTGGTAGGTGCAACGTGTGTAGTGCGTGGTCGATATGTCTGGAGCTGCAGCCAAGTTTTGACTTTCGGAAAGATCACACTTTTTAGGTTGGTGACCGAGCCGAGGAAGCAACAACACCTTTGCTGGCTGGCTGCGAAATTCTTTACGGTAGCGCAGCGCTTCATTCTGAAAGGGGCGTGAGCAATGGTCAAAATTGTGACTTTAGAGCGGGGTTCAAGCCCCAAGCCGCAGGGTCGATGAGGTGTTGTTCTTCGGAGCCTCGCTCGGCAAGCTCACTGAGCACGCTGATCCTTCTTGGCGAAGTCGAGGGTAGCATGGCTTGTTCTTCAACGCGACGTGGCATGCTTACACCTTCTCCTTCTAAGCACGTCGCTGTTTCAGGTGTCTGTCGTCACTGCTTGGACGGAAAGCGAACGCCGTTGTATCGTCTGCAGTCCTCGCGCCCGTCACTCATCAATAAGCGGCAGGGGGGTCTTCGCGGTTCCGACCTTCACTGCATCAGGTGCATATTCAGCCCCGCGCCGCCTTGATCGTTCACTTTGACGAATCAAAGCTCACTGTGTCCGAAACATCCCTTGGTTTCCTTTCGTCACAGGCGACCGTATGGTAGGTGCATGGCAGGCGCAGCGCGATGTGTGCAGCTTGATTTGCTGGCGAGGAAAAGAGGGGTCATCGGCGTCTTTGGTGTTGTTCTTCCCGCAGCAACCGTGCTTCTTGGCGGTGCACGCACGAGACTGCTTTTGAGAAGTCACCGGCAGCTTGGTCTCCAGCAAACACGGCCGAATGGTCATCTCTCGCTTGGTACAGGATGGTCTAACATTCCAGTTCTTTTCTTAGAGTTCGGTTCGGCATATGAAGTGAGGTTCGAGAGTGCCGTGCGCTGACGTGCTTGTCAAGGCAAGCCGAGGGCGGCGTTTGATCCTCTTGTCGGCAAGCATCTTGTATGGGGTCGCGGCCCCAACCGATCTGCCTGAAGCGAGGCCGAAGAGCGAGCAATGCTGCCTCTCGCTTGGATCACCGTCGGTCCAATGGTGTTCAATCATGCCGAAGAGCGTTGGAGGCAGCCAGTCAGGATGCGACCAAGTCGTGACTGGTTTCACCTGCCTGTCCGAGATGACGACGAGCCACGACGACGACCCACTACATCACATGGTCCGCAGCAAGCACTGCTATAGCCTCGCAAGATTTCAGGGAGACGAACTGGATTCGGGTTCCCGGTCGTGGACCACGATGTCGTTGAATCGACGAGCCGTCTCGGTGGGGCGCCGAGCAGGAATCAATAGAAATGAAGCATCGGGACTGCTTGCAAAAGTCGCAGAGCAAAAGGGGTTGTTGCGCCTTGGCAAAGCAGGCTTGGCGGAGCTTGGCGTGGGGTGATCAAGTCGATCGACTGGTCGGACGGGCGTTGTGCAAGGCGGTGCTGGCTGCCTCTGTTCAACAGGAATCTGGCAGGCATGAGCGGACAGATAGGCGCAGCGCAGGTCCCTGATTGGAGACGACGCGAAGGGATTCAGTTGAGCGAGTGAAGGGTCGTCCAGAATCGAAATCGACACGAGAGATATGAAGGATGAGCAAAGGCAAAACAATCAAGCGGCTCAGCAGCCGACCATGTGGGCGAGAGGGCGCAGTGGGTCAGCGAGAAAGAAAGGGGGAGAGGAAAAAAGGCTTGCCTCATGTGATTCGTTGCCGAGTCGGATTCCGAAGCGGCGTAGAGCAAAGCGCGCATATCTCCTGACCCTCCGAGCCAAACTGCACAAAAACACCCCAAAAATAGCTACTTTTTGCGCACCAAAACATGCAAACAGCTTGCCCGCTCCTTTGGCAGATGCCGTTCGAGGTTGTTCCGCGTCGACGAATCCCCTTTTCGCTCTTCTACGGCGAGCGGACCTTTCGTCCCTGACCCATCGTGTATCTTCTGCCCTTCCCGGGCATGCCAGAGCAGCTTGACTTGGTAGCTACACCCCGGTCAAACAGCACGTACCAGTTCATACTGCCGAACGAGTCGGAAGGTAGCTAATCAAAGGCACATGTCTAGATATGAATTCGAGATCCCAAGAAGCGTCTTCGGGATCTGAAATCAAAGTTGACCTGTATTCTGATCGACTTGACCGTCGTGATTACAAGTCTTACAGTACAGTACAGCAGCTCTCTTTGCGAGGCTAAGCTCTAGTGTCGCCTCGAGCGCACGACCCGACAAAGAGGTGGAAAGAGTCAGCAGCACAGGGACAGCCGTCCAATCTCAAATTCATTTCATGTGCCATGTTTCGGTTGGGCCGTGGTTGCGTCGGAACAAAAAAGGAACATCAAATATAACAAAAAGTAGAGTGGGTTGCGGGCCTCAGAAGCCCAGCCTTGGGGATATGAGCTGAGTCGAGCCAAAAATGCATTTCCGTAGTCTAGAGCTTTCTTTCTCCGCTCTATTGTTCAAATGCCACACCCTCTTTCCGCCTCTCACCTCGTACCGAGCCGCTCCGGTTTCTTTCATCCACACACCGTGCATACACGTTGACACCTTCGCTACGGTCACAACGGAGCGGAGCCTTTGCATCCTGCGCATCCACCATCACAACCACCTCTTCGTCCATCACATCCATCACATCATCACATCCTTCTCGGAAGTTCGCCGTTCAGCATCGGCTCATTCCGCTACGCCTTCGCCAGCGGCAGTGTGACTTCGCAACAATCCTGACAACAGCGTCTTCTCGATCCACGACCCACTGTCCCCAGCACAACGACGACCTTTTCACCCAGCTGCTACCGCCACTATTGCTTCCTTTTCATCACGGCAGTCGTTTCTCTTGCTCGGTCCATCCGCACATCTCAATTGCTCGTTTATCTCAACTTGGCACGCACTTTGATGTTCGACTCACTCGTTGTGAACTGTTGATTCCGACTTTGCTTCTTCTCGACCGCGCACACAAGACGTAAGACGACCCAGTACTCACTCTAACTGCCACGCGGATCCATACACACAAACGTCTTCTGGTTTAGAGTCACCCCGAGCATTCCAACATGGGTCGCAAGAAGATCAAAATTCAGCCTATTAAGGAGGATCGAAATCGATCCGTCACTTACCTCAAGCGCAAGGCGGGTCTCTTCAAGAAAGCGCACGAACTCGCCGTCTTGACCGACTCGCAGGTAGCTGTCATCGTCTTTGGTCACAATGGCAAGCTCGCCGAGTTTTGTTCCACCGACATCGACCTCCTGCTGTTGCGATACACAGAGTACGACGGCGTTGCAGAGAGGAAAGGTCCTCAAAACTACCTCAATAATGACAAGGACTCTGATGACGACGATGACGACAATGACGACAATGACAATGCCGGCGGTGAAGGTCTCTCCGACTTCGGCGGATCTGGCAGTAACAATGGCGGCGGGTCAGGATCTGGCAACGGTGGAAGCGGCAGGGGCAGCAGTTCAAAGACCAGCGGAGTCAAGCGCAAGGCAGAGCAACCTTCTCCGTCAAACAGCAGCACTCAATTCGATGGCTCGAATACTTACGCGGCGAACACCAGCATTGGTGCTGGATTCGGTGCAGGTGTTGGCACTGTAGGCATCTCGCCAACCGCAAAGCAAACCATCAATGCCGCCATCCGCCGAAAGAGCCAGCCTCAGTCCGCCAGCAATCTGGCAGTTCCCGGTCAAATGGCAGGTCAAAGCGCTTTCGATCCCCTTTCCTACGGTCAAAGCTTTGCCTCTGGTCCAAGCATAGAGCACGGCATGATGGGCACAGGCATGTCAAACATGGGCATGATGGCGGACTCAAATAGCAGCATGTCGGGACGGATCGCGACCAGTGGTCCCACCACGAGCTCGAATCGAGCCGAGACCATTGCCAACATGTCAATACCCATGCCGGACCAAGACCGACTCCCCATCTTCCTTTCGCCAGCGACGCCCGGCTTCGGCCTGACCCCCAACGGCACCGTCACTACGCCTGGTGGAAGACGCTTCAGCTTTTCCGATTTCCTCACGCGTGGCTCAGGCAGCTCCCTGACGCAGCGACCCGTCACCTCGAACTCGCTGATGGCCCCCAATCTCTTCCAGAACGACGCTTTTGATATGTCGACAACGCCTCCGCCTTCCTTTGGCTCGCTCACGCACAGCATGTCTCCACAGCCGTCTCACGATGCCTTGTCATCAGCTCCTTTCCGTCCCGGCGCACCTGTCGTGTCCCGACCCGCGTCAGCAGATGTACTGCGCTCTGCGGCCCCTACGTACAGCGAAGCCACGTATGCGCCGGCCTCGGGAGCTTCAATGGCGCCGAGCAACATGGTGACATCCGCAGCTAGCATCGATCGACCTTACGGCACTGCTGCCAGCCTCGATCTCTCCAGTACTTCCGGCCATCCCGCGCCGTCTGGCACAGATTACGGACATGGCACTTCGGCATCACCAACGCCACCTGCGGCGTCTTTCGACAGCAATGCGGCGAGGATGCACTCGAACGCGTTCGGTGTCAGTCCCTTTGTCGGCTCAGATCTTAAGAGCTCAGCCACGCCCTTTGGCGGTTCGCAAAGCTCAGCAACTCCTGAATTGGTCTCGCACGGCAAAAGTGTCACACCACGCGTAGGGATGGCTGCTTCCGCGTCGAGGTCGTCCATGTCGACCGACGAAGAAACGCCCCCGGTTGGCCCGGCCGAACATGCTCGCTTCGATGCAAATAGCAGCTTCAACCCACACGCAGCATGGCTCAATCTAGGCCAGGGAATCGAGCACAAAGCAGACCCGACGACGCAAGCGCAAGCGCCGCTTGTCCAGCCCGTGCCGATCAATCCCGCGCAGCCCTTGAGCTCCAAGCCCTTCGACCTCAAGATGCCAGCGCGGCGCGGGCAGTAGGAGCCTCCCGTAGCCGACAGACTTTTGCCACCATCACCCACGACTGTATTTCTACGTCATCTCAGCATCTTTTGCATCACTTTCGTCCTCGCTTTCCTCGAACGGCGCGTCGCACCATTCACGCTTATGCGGCAGCCGTTCACCAACCCCAATCTGGCCGCACCGTCAAGAGGCACGGTTCGGAGAAATCACCCATCTTCACAATGCACTTCTCTACCCTGTATTTGGCCTTGAGCCGACTAGATCTGCACGTGTAACACCACCAGGAATGGAAAGCTGTACTTGTTCGAAAAGTTGCCCGGGCACAGAGACGTACGAAAGTCGAAGGCTCGAAGTTCGGCCAACCCAGATGATCATGGAGGTCGATGACGGATGGCAGTGCGCATGTTTGGCGGTGCAACACGATATGCTGTCTCGAGGCTGCGTCGAGTGCTGCGGTCCTTTGACTGACGCTCATGGCCTGCAAACATGATGCATGACTCGAGACCATGAGGCTGGAAGTCAAGGATCTGGTTCTTGCTTGCAGGACGACCTTCTAAAGTCACAGCTCCTTCGCCCTTTTTTCTCACAGCGAACGAGAGCGTATCGCGTGAGAAGCGAGTCGATTGGCGGCTGCACAATTAGGCCGGATCGTCCGCACGCGCCATCCAGGCTGTCACTGCTGCTGACTACTTATGCTTTTGTCGTCGGCTCAGGGGCAATCTTGTTGCATCGTGACCAGGCCCAGCCCAGTCATTCGTCTGCTGCCTGCACAGTTGGCGTGACTTGCGGAAAGGCTTGCCGAGCAAGCTCCTCGCAGCAACACCAAATAAGCTCCGTTTTGGACCCTGAGACAAGACAAGAAACAAGCCACGCCCGGTTCCACACTCTCCACCCTTCTCTTTCTCACTTCAGCCTGTCACCAACATCATACACGCTGGCTTGCTCGCCACGTATCCTTTCGCCTTCAAGAGCCCAGCCGGCTCCGTCTTGTGAGCACTTACGGCCCAGCATGGCAGCTGCCGCTTTTTCAGATGGCGGTGCTTCCACCATGGTCGAGGTGTCGATAGATGGCAAGCCAGCCTCGATCGGATGCGATCACGAGTTTCTCTTTGTCGTTCGCGGCCATCACAAGCAGCAGCCAGCAGACTCCATCGCAGGCAGAGCCTATGTTCGTGTTCCGTTGATACTCGTACTCAATGCATCCTTCGTATCGGACTCGGACGGCGGCTCGCTTCTCGTACGTCTCTTATCGCCGCCTGTCCAAGCGCAGAAACAACAACAAGCCTCCGGCTTCTCTTTCTTCAAGAAGGCCAAACCTTTGCCTCAGTGCATGGAGCCCTTGTCGCAGCAAACTTTTGATGCGCTCACACCAGCGCAACGATCCGAGCGACTCCGAGAACAGCTCGAAGGACCCTGCTCCAGCCTGCGTCTTGTCAAGATCGAGGCACGAGTCGTCACTACAGCCAGCGCAGCGGACGTCGAAGCAAGAACGCAAGCATGGGCCCATCTGGTCATGAACCGAGCGTACGAGAAGGTCACGCCATATAGAAGAGTCAAGGTGCTGATCAATCCAGTCGGAGGACCGGGCAAAGCGCGACAGCTCTTTGAAAGCCGCGCTCGTCCCATCCTCGAGGCCGCAGGCTGCAAGCTTGACGTCACAATAACCACCCATCGCATGCACGGAGTAGAGATTGCGCGCGACCTCGACGTACACGAATTCGACGCAGTGGGCGTGGTCAGCGGGGACGGTCTCTTGCACGAGCTGCTCAACGGGTTTGCGAGGCGACCAGATGCAAGCGCGGCGCTCGCTTTGCCCCTGGCGCCCATTCCGGCTGGAAGCGGCAACGCCATGTCCATCAACCTTCTCGGCGCGCAGCAAGGCTTCAGTCTGGCACTGGCCTGTCTCAACATCATCAAGGGCCGCCCGATGAAGCTCGATCTGCTGACGATCACGCAGCCTGCTTCGGCGTTCCCGCCCGGTGTCCCCGTGCCCGGCAGACCCCTCGCGGGTACCGTGGGGAGACGCGCCGGCAAAGCGAAACGTGACTCATCCATCAACGGCACCCCCAACACAATTGCGCGCGGGTCGGAGGACGTCGCCAGGCTCATCGATGCCCCCTCCAAGCCTTTCGTCCAGTATTATTCGTTCCTGTCCCAAGCCATCGGCATCCTGGCTGATCTCGACTTGGGTACAGAGCATCTTCGCGCGCTCGGCGATACTCGCTTCGCTATTGGCTACGCGACCTCGGTCCTGCGCAATGCCAAGTGCGAAGTGGATGTCGACATCAAGCTCGGCCCGCGCGGCAGCAAGAACAGAGCAGAGATGCGCCAAAGGGTCCTTGACTTTCACCAAGGCAAGCAACCGTCATCGGTCGAGGAGAATGGCACGGCAGAAGGTAGCCATTCTCGTGAGGAGCAGCATGCTGCATCGCAGAATGGGCGCGCAGACTCCGAGCCTGCTTCTCCGTTACCGAGCCTGGTGCACGGCGATGTCACCGAACCGGTCACCTCGGATGCAAGCGCACCACCGCCTTTCGACATGCGTGATCCTTCCTGGCCCCATTCCTTCCTGTCGCAACCAGCCTCGGCCAAGCAGATCGGAGCCGCCCTCAACGGGACACAAGAGGACGGGCATGCCTCGCAGTCAGGCTGGATGCGCATTCAAGAACCCATCGCAAGCCTGTACGGCGGCAAGCTCCCCTTTGTCAGCCGCGATATGATGCAGTTTCCCTTTGCGCTGCCGAACGACGGCACCATCGACGTGGCTATGATCCTGCACGCCGGAGGTCGGGTCGCCAAGGTGCCGGAAAATGGATACGCGGAGAACGGCCAGATCGTCTACCAGAAGGCCATGACCTACCTCAAGGTCGAGGCGATCCGAGTGACGCCCAAGCGAAAGGAAGGGGATAAGAAGCTCAAAAATGGCGGGTTGATCAGCATCGACGGCGAAAAGGTCCCGTATGCCGCCTTTCAGGTCGAGGTCGCCCAGGGTCTGCAGTACTCGGTGCTATCGCTGTACGGTCGATTCTGTGTGCCTGTGGTGGTTCCCCCGGCGACGGCATGAAGCGAAACGTTGAGAGGACGGTCATCACCCGTTGCACAAATGACACCCATACTAGATTAGCAGTGCTACCCATACTGGTGTCGACCAAACTAGCCATACTGGCGTGCTTGACGAGCTCAGCTCCTTGGACATCCATTGCCTGCGATCATATCTGGAATAAGACTCGTTCTCACGGAAACATGTGTTGAACCCGAAGCCTCGGCAATAAGCTATGCTTCGATAATTAGTGAAGGCAGATGAAGCTCGCGTGACAGGATCCGGGGAATTCGTCATCCAGAAACGGCTGAGCTGCAGGGTCTTGCACTTCGAAGGACGTGCGCGCTATCCAGCGTCGGCTATGTATAAAGACCGACCCTTTCGTTCTCTTTCTTCCGCTCTTCTTGACACCACTCCTTCCAGGTTGACCATACCATCTACGAGCCGGTTTTCCAGTTTCGAAATGTCGTTGTCAGCCGCAGCCAAGCAGATTGTGGTGGTAGTCGGAGCGGGGCCGGGACTAGGCTTTAGCGTTGCCCGCAAGTTCGCTGAGCAAGGTCATCCGGTGGCGCTTCTCTCGCGTTCCAAGGATCGCCTGGAGTCGCTCGCGTCGCAGATCAACAGTCTTCCGGGCCAACATGGCAAAGCAGTAGCATATGCAGTCGACGTGCAAGACGAAGCGTCGGTCAACACCACGGTGGAGCAGATTCAAGAGCATTTTGGGAGCGGCAAGGCCGGGCCTCAACATCAAGATGCGGTGATCCACACGGGCGTCTTCAACCCCGGTGGAGGCTTTGCCATCGCTCCCTTCCTCGAGACCAAACCGAGTCAGCTGGACGACGCATACAAGACGCAGGTGTGAGTTCATTCCTTTTCTCGCCGAGTTCGAGTGTGGGACCCCGTCTTGTTGACACCTTTTTTTCTGTGGTGATAGCTACGGCGGCTTTGTATTCTCTCAAGCGATTCTGAAGGCCATCACTTCGAGCTCGAGTTCGCAGGACAAAGACGCGAAGACGCCGTTGGGCAACATCCTGCTCACGGGAGCCACGGCGTCGATCAAAGGCAGCGCCAAGTTCTCCGCCTTCGCAGCGGCCAAGTTCGGCCTGCGCGCCATCGGACAGAGCCTCGCTCGAGAATGGGGCCCCAAAGGCGTCCACGTGGCCCACTTTATCATTGACGGAATCATTGTGACCGACCGCACCGACTCGATGCTGGGCAAGGAGTATGCGGCTGAATCGCGCATGGACGCCGACGCCATCGCCCAGGTCTACCTCGATACCGCACGACAACCTCGCAGCGTGTGGGCGTTCGAGGTGGATCTGCGTCCCTCGGTGGAGAAGTGGTGAGAAGACATAGTGCCGTCGTGTGATCGCATGCAGACGCAGGCGACGCTTTGAACTTGTCTCTCCAGCGTCGGCACACATCAGAACCTTCGTGATCTACTCAGACAATACAAAGTTACTCGCACGCCCGCAGTGCCTGTGCAGAGAGACGGTTTTCACACTGGGCCTGACGGATTCAGTGATTGCCGTTCTGAACGAAAAAGCTGATCCACGTGGCAAAGCAGATCTCCTACATCATAAGGATGAGTGGCAAAGATGAAAATCATGCTCTCAAACATGATCTTGGCGCTGTTGCCGAAGATGAATGTGAAGCCGACGACAAACGTCAAAAGAGTGGCAAACATACTCGGGCACTTCAATCAGCCTGGCACTGCATCGGAAGGAACGTCTTTACACGCAAGGAGAGAGTATACAAAGAGGGTGCGCGATCAAGATCGAGGATATACATTTTCACCATTTCCACAGGTCTTCCTGATCATTCCGCATACTGGACGCTATCATCGGCATACTCCTGGCCGTCTGCTGCGCCTTCCTCCTGGTACTCGCCCTCGTACGCCTCGTCCTCGTCGATACCAGCCGTCTCGTACTGCTGATATTCCGCGATCAGGTCCATCAGGTTGCTCTCGGCCTCGGTGAACTCCATCTCGTCCATCCCCTCACCCGTGTACCAGTGCAAAAAGGCTTTCCTCCTAAACATGAGGCTAAATTGATCGTGCGTGCGCTTGAACAATTCCTGGATCGACGTGGTGTTGGCGATAAAGGTGGCGGACATCTTGAGCTGCGGTGGCGCAATGTCACACAGACTCGTGAGCACGTTGTTGGGGATCCACTCGACGAAGCCGGCTGGATTCTTCTCGCGGAGGTTGTACATCTCGTTTTCGACATCGCGCGCGTTGACCTTGCCACGGAAGATGGCGGCGACGGTGAGGTACTTTCCATGACGCGGATCGATGGCCGCCATGATGTTCTTGGGATCGTACCCCTGCGCGATGAGTTCGGACGTCTTGAGCGATTGATACGCCTTAGATCCGGGCGCGACCAGCGGCGCGAATCCGGTGGTGAAGAAGTGCAAACGCGGGAAGGGGACCAGGTTGACACCCATCTTGCGCAAATCCGAGTTGAGCTGACCAGGGAAACGAAGCGTGGTGGAGCAACCGGACATGGCATAGGAGATGATCGAGTTGAGATCGGCATAGGTGGGGTTCTTGGTGCGGAGCGTGCGCTGGCAAATGTCGTACAGCGCCTCGTTGTCCAGACAGAAGGTCATGTCCGAGTTCTCGACGAGCTGGTGGAAGGACAGGGTGGCATTGTACGGCTCTACGACGGTGTCGGAGACCTTGGGCGAGGGAAGGACGGACCAGGTTGCGAGCATTCGGTCGGGGAACTCCTCGCGCAGCTTGGTGAGCAAGTTGGTACCGAGACCGGATCCAGTACCTCCACCGAGCGAGTGGACGAGCTGGAAGCCTTGGAGCATGTCGGCCTTCTCTGCCTCTTTTCGCGCTACATCGAGCACCTGGTCGAGCAGCTCGGCGCCTTCGGTGTAGAATCCTTTGGAGAAGTTGTTACCAGCGCCGGATTCGCCATTGATGTAGTTGTCGGGTCGGAAGAGTTTGCCCAGTGGACCGGATCGGATGGTGTCCATAGTGCCCGGTTCCAAGTCGACCTGGATGGATCGTGGGACGAACTTGCCCTCCTGACCAGAGGGCTCAAAGAAGACGCCTACCCTGGCGAGTTGCTCCTCCTCATTATCGCCAATGTACCGACCAGTGCCATCGAGACCGTGTTCGTTGAGGATGCTTTGCCAGAAGGCGGACGAGATCTGGTTTCCCGCCTGACCAACGGCGAATGTGATGAGCTCGCGCATATTGTAGTAGTCGCGCGAAGAAGAATGTGAGTGATGGTGTTGATCCAAGCGCAAGTATCTAGGAATTCGAGGGTGTCTGTGTGTCGGTGTGTGTTTCTCCGCCTTTTCTTTGGGCGTGCGCAGATGGGCAAGCAAACGAACAGCGATCCCGATACGATACGCACCTCGTAGATCAACACACACCCGCAGGCAGAACACGCGTGTCTGTTCGTTTTGCAATTCAACAGAGCCTCGCCGCCTTGCGCCCCGTCCTCGTGCTTTTTCGCCCGGTACGCTTCGGTGTGTTGATCTCGAACGCGTCTCAATATTTTCCGGAGAGGCGACATGAGATGTCGGCATAACAATGCCCCATTTTCGAGCGGTAATCCTCTCGATTTCGAGCCCACCACAGGCGCCAGCCTGCTCACGACCATTCGTCCAAACTTCGCGATCGCTACGAGTAGCACGTTCTTTCCACGGCGAGTTGACCGTCGACGCGGCGGAAAGAGGGTACTTTTCAAACATGCAGCGCCATTCGACCGAACTCCCTGAGCAAGCTCCTCCGATCCCAATGCGCCTCGGCATTGAGTCTGCTCCACGTCTCGAACGCCTCTCTTTCCGACACTCCCGCCGGAAAGTGTGCTTCCCCAATCAAAGCTCCTCTGACACCATGCCTGAGGCTGAGAATCATCACTGCGCGCTTCCAGACCCTCGTTCTTGGATGCTGATACATGAAGGTCGAGTAGGCGACGTGACCCAATGGGTCGGCGGGGTCGCGGAGGAGCGTAAAACGGGAGCCACCTGAAGCGATGCGCAAACGAGCACGGTCTGAGCCGTCTGCCGTCCAGCCGATGACCGTGCTAAAGTAAGAGGAAGGAAGCGAGGCATGCCTTTCGATCTGGTGCGCGTACGTCTGGGCGTGCGCCATGCCTGCGATCTGTTCTGCGATGTCTGGGTTCACATCGAGGTCCAGGCCTGCGTCCGTCTCGACCGCCCGGGTGCACAACGACAGCATCAGAATAGAAGCGATAAAGAGCAAGATGGGTCTCATTGTGGACGCCGCGCTTAGACGCGTGGCCAGGTGCCTCAGGGGGGGTCGCCTTATATGGGGCTAGGAAATCGCGTCGCAAGTTCATGGAGAGGCTATAGGCCTTCATCCGTCTCCGTGCGCTCGTGACACAGGCTGGTCGGACATCGGACGTGGCCGAGGTCGAACCGTGAGACTACGTGATGCTGCCCATCCCGACCGGTCCGGGCGTGTGACCTAGTGATCGAAGCTGCCAAAGCGTGCCTTCAAGGTGAGACCGGCTCTGGCGCCGGCTCGATGGTGGAGATGAGGCCGGTTCCATCATGGGAACATATCACAGCCATCGATGCCTACCACGCCATCAGCCGCTCATTCAAGATGGACAGAAACGTGAAACGTGCGCTCCATGTCATTGCCCTGCAAAATGAAATGGCCGTGATACAGAGGCAAAGCATCTGACCTCCCGACGGAACAGCAGACTCAATAACAAGGTCGGCATGCAAGTACATGTGAGAACCGAAAACCAGAGGCTGTCCAGATGGCAGCACCAATCTCGACCAACAGCGTCGTCATGCATTCAGCTCGCATCGCTACCATTCCAAGATGCGCAGCGGCCCATACTCCCGCTGGAGCGAAATCCAACTCTCCCTGCCTTCCCCGGCAAGCCTCTCGACCAGATCGTGAAAATTTACTCTGTTGCCCTGCGTCGGTCCTGGCCTGACACGCAGTAGTCCGACAGGCACGACGGCTCCTCCCTGATGATGCACTCTTGCGAGCAGCAGCACGCGGCGGTTGTTCATACTCCTCGTTGTCGTTGCATACAGCGAATATCGCTCCTGCGCAATCAGCGCAAGGCGAACAAACCTCGCTTCCGGATGCTGCAGGTTCTGAACGAAGGAAATGTAGTGGAAGGGCTGAAAGATGTGGGTCTGCTCGATCGCTGCACGGGGTAAGTCAAAGGCCTCTTGGATTTGGGCAATGGACGTTTGCAGCCGATGCTGGGCGGAGCGGTAGGCCAGCTGGCCCGCTTGCGTCGCTTCTAAGAGGCGCAGGTCGCGTCGAGCGGCTTCGGCGACAGCTTCCTCGCGTCGTCCGTCGTACGGGCTATCAGGCCGTCGAGTAGAAGCCTGCAGCGCAGCTGCCAGCAAGAAAACGAGAAGGAAGATGAGAAGCGATTGTGGCTTGTTCATCCCTACAAGTAATTGAACACAAGGCCAATGCAGAACGAAGAAGATTGCAGTAGCACCCTCGATCCTTCTGTCTCGCCGCACTTCAGTGCCCCTGGCTCACGGTTTCCACTCGGATTTGAGTTGCGGAGACCCCCTATCGAAGGCGCGTCCCGTCATAATCCCACTCAAAGTCGATGGCTCCGCACAACGTAAAGCTTGTGCAAATCTGGCTCCCACTAGGTCCTTTCGTCTTCATTTGTCCTTGGCCAGGCGAAACTCTACTTCCACTTGAGAAGCGTCCGCCGAACGAGCTTGTTCTGAGATGAATTCGCATGGAATCGAGAGTCGGATGAGAAGCACCATGCATAATAGCGACATGCGCATCTCAAAGACGTACTGATCAGCGCCGAGCTTTGCCCTAGCGCGCGTTGTGTCTTCACGGCGCCTTCCCTGTGCGCAGCAGAAGATTCACCATGATACGGCGGGCATTAAGTCGCAAGATGGTTCAGTCTGAGCATCGCTGCGAGTTTGTAATGAAAACGGCAACCTTCATGGAACGGAATGGGACGACCGACAATGAACAGTCTGCATGCACTGAAAGATGTCAATGAGCGAAGAAAGCCGATGCGCGCCTGCAGTGACACAAACGGATCCGGCTTCATAAAGATCTCATCCTTTCTGTGCATCTTCTTCAACCACGCATCCATGTGAAGCTGCACAATCTCAGCTCACGGTCAAGATCGCAAGCATCAAAGTCCTTTGCCACCACGGTCCTGCTCGCCTTCCACTCACTGGTATGTGCTCAAACGCCACTGCCATCCTCGCTGGCACCTTGACGCTGGTAACGATCTGGCTGATCGTTCTTTACGACGAAAAATGCCAGTGCGTCTTCAAGAGGCGATAGACGGTAGCAAGCAACAGACGCTCACAATGCGCAAGGTCTTGTCCTCGAGCCTCATACTCGTCATCACCGCCCTTTCTCTCTGCAACGCCGCTTCGATCATGACCGCCTACTACCAGCCGGACTGCGTCGAAAAGATCAAGGCGAGCAACGTTCACCCTACTACTTGCTTCCAATTCCCTGCCCACACATCGTCCTGGATGACACAGACGCCGGGAAAGTATCGCAGGTGCGGATCGAACGACTGTCAAGACTGCAACGATGAGTCGATCCATATTGCTGGTCATTCGTGCATATGCAACGAGCCAAGTTGCTTGGGTCTGGACTACGACTTCAAGTCGATCCTCTACATTGGCTGACGACGCCCACAGGCATGGACGCAATGCGCTGGTCTCAAGCTTGTGGGACCAGTTCCACGAAGCAAGCAAGGTCTTGTCTCACCTTCGGTTCCTGCTCGCCGTCCTCAGACGATAGCTTTATATTTAGTCATCTTCATAGACATTGGCTAGACGACGTGATGTGGGACAATCAGAGTCAGACTGAACAGAATGCGAGGCGTGACAGTCGTGCTTGTGACTACTCGGCCGCAGTCAGCTCGCACGGCACACATTGTGCCTCGATTCACACTCGCGCTGTCTCCACAAGGTCGTGCATGAGCAGTCTCGCTTGCTCCGATGGCCGATGTAGGTCTGGCGCGTTCATGATCCGAATGACGCCGTACACCTTCATCATCGCCTGCATCCTCTCAGGCTGCGGATGTCGAAACATGCTGAAGACGACGGCCTTGGTGACACCATCCCTACCAGCGTAACGCCCGGTAGCGATCGGCCATCGGGCTCCAGGGACATCATCGATGGCCATGGCATACGTCCGCATGCCGTCCATGCCAAATAGGGGAACGAGCTGCTTTCTTTCAGGCTGCTCTTGAAGCTGAGCCACCGTGGCAGCTTTGAAAGGGTGCCTGTCGACCGAAGGGAAGTCCTTGAAGACCGAGACGGTAGCAGAGGGGTAGCCGAGACGGCGGAGGCGACTGGGCAGAATCTCGGCAGACCGCTCCAGGACTTGATTCGACAGATCCGTCACAACGGCGTCAAAGGCGGCGCTTGAGGCGTGCTCTGAAGGCCCGAGATCCTCGAGACTGTCAGAAGAACCGGGGGAATCGAGAGGGAGGTAGTCGCTGGTGTCCGTGATTCTCCCGTGCTGGTCCGAGACCAGCACATATGGTCCTTGACGGCGTGAGGAGCTGCCGACGCCAGAACGAACCAGCCCAGCCTGAAAGCAGATCAGCGACAGACATGCGCTGAGCAAGACAAAGAGGTGTTGATGGCGGATCAAAGTCATTGTTGGGTCTGGCTCGCTGCTGTGAGGGAGGAGGGAAGACGATGTCGGGGGTTCGAAGCTGTCTTATGTAGATCTCTCCGAGCTCCTTTGGATCAGAACAAGGCGCACGCTCAACTTCTTGAAGTGTGGTTCGGGCGGGCCCAATGAACTTGGCTTGATGGGACACAGGGACAGCCTTTCATACGACACAAAGCCACACTCTCACGCCTCTCACCGAGTGCCGAGAAAGAGGGTGGTCGAGAAGAGGAAACATTAAACGTTGAGATGACTATCGGCCGTCGATACCATGAAGTTACCAACAATAGCACACTAGCTCCTTGTGGGACTGAGTGCGTTCAAAGATGGAGCATCTCAGGCAGGGTGTGCATGATTTGACGCGCTTGCTCGCTGGGCTGATGGAGGCGAGCGGCATTCGTGATCCTGACAATTCCATAGGCCTGAATGCCCCTCGCGTGCGCCACGGCCGGGTTGGAGTCGTACACGCTGAAGAGAAACGCCTTCTGTACCCCCCTTTGGCCGGCGTACTCACCCAAGGCTCTGGGCCAAGCGCCCCTTGCAAGGGGTTGAATGGGCATCGCGTAGGTCTTGAGGCCATTCTGATTGAGCAGAGGGATGAATTGCTTTCTCGTCTGGTCGCTTCGCATCTGAGTCAAGAGGGCCTTCTCGTACTTTTGCAGCTCTCTAGGGTTTCCTTCGTGAACAGTCGCAGTGGAGCCTTCGAAGCCGAGCCTCTGAATGTAGCCGGGAAGGGTCTGAGTCCATTGAGCTAGGACAGGGCTCTCGTGCTGCGTGAAGAGCATGCCTTCGGGCAATCGTGGTGCAATGGGGACCTGAGGAACTCGCTCGGGCGGAGGAATGGCACCGCGGTAACGACCCTGCCTCGACGTGCCTGCAGCATTGCGACCTGACGGTCGGTTGCGACGAGTGGAGCTTCCGCCGCCCGCCAGCACAAAGTTCGCCTGCAAGCAGAGAAGCACGAGGCTGAGAGCAGCAAGAGAGCAAAGACGGTGGAGAGCGGGCATGATTTCGTCGGAAGTGAGGCTTCAGTATGAGGAGTGGATGCCGTTTCGTCTCTCATGCCACTCTCGATCAGGTCGTGCTTATATGCTTGATCAGACTGTGCACACACGTCTGGCGAGCGTCGGACATCTGCATGTATAACTTGCTGATGCGGTCCAGGACCAACCTAGAACGAGGGCGCTTGTGCAAATTACGCAGCATCACAACTCGCTCATCGAGCAAAAAGAGAAGGTCACTTACCCTTTGAGGGAGAAAAGTGAGGCAGGGGTGCAACGCCGAAACAGTGTCACTGAGGTGAGACGCTCATGGAGTATGCAATGCAGAAAGGGGCCAAGGTCGAGGCATTGTTGGTCAAGCGAGCACCCTGATACGGAGACGTGGTCCGGTCAGAGCGGCAACCGTATCGCATCTCCTTGCAGCCCTGTCCCATGTCGACAGATTTCAGACCGATTCTCATGCGAAGCCATCGTCTTGCAAATGGACAGTCCGTGGGACTATAACAGCCGTTGACGTCTAGCTTTAGCAACGTCAAAAGGAGCTGTGAGCAACCAAACAGCCATGTCGTCACACAGCGTTCTGAAGGTCAGCACGACAACGAAGTCGGCGCCACCCTCGTTGCGTGGAGCGGAGTTCGAAATCTGACAGGACGAATTCCGCACAACTCGACGTGGCAGCAAACAACCGGGCCATCTTCGGGGTCGAGCCGCGCGAAAGGCTCAATAACGTTGTGCGCTACGTACCGCTAAGGGCTCTGCTCGCCATTGATAATCTCGCGCGGTGCATTCAGTCACAGGCAAAGATCAGATTGAAGGGCAATGCGATTACAAGTCTCTCAATGCCGTTACGTAGTCCAACACCTGATTGAGACTCAGCATGCGACCTTCTCTCAGCGCCGCCTCCTGGGTCCTTGCCCTCTCCACTAGCACCTGCCTTACCTCATCGCCCCCTGTGACTGTCACGAAGCCATGCGAGAACCACCTGATGGGCAAAGTGCTGGTGGGCCTGTGAGCGGTGATGAGTGCCCAAGTGTCGTCCACAACGGGCATGGCGAGCAGCATGCCCGGTCGACCACCCGCTGAACGGCCGAGGTACAGCAGGCGGCGTTCTGGGGCGACAAGGTGAGTACGAAGCTCATCCGCAGTCAACGGGTTCGGCTGTAGATTGTCCACTTGGACGTGCGGGAGGGCAAGGGTCGAATGGATGTGTGTGCGCAGACGACGCGCGTAGGGTTCGCGGTGGAGGAGAGTCTGGAAACGGACGATGAAGGGTCGTTCCGATGAGGTACTGGAGGGCGCTGCGTCGTCTGCTGCCAGGACGCCAGCCAGCAGAAGTGACACGGTCGGGAGGAAAGAAAACAGATGCATTATGGCTGACGATACAAGGCTGAATGCTAACGGGTAGATGGACAGAGCTTTTATACCTCTTGTCTCCGCGGCCTAGCTGACAGGGAGGAGCTGCAGCGTGAGGAAATGATGCCGCTCGTCATGTAGCTCGCACGTCATCAGGGCTGATGTCGTGGAAATCGAAGTTCAGTGGCTACGATGGACATGGTGGGGCTTCACATCCCTCACAAGGCGTGAGAAAAGCGCTGAGACTGAGCTTCACAGACTCAAGCCACACCGTATCTCTTTGAGCGACATGACTTTGCCACCCTCTCTCCCTCGCGTTTCTGTCAAAGAACCTTCACAGCGTCAAACACCTCATGGGCATTCCCCGCCTGCCCGCCAGTGAGCAGTGTCCTCCCAGACAGCCTCCCCGGCCGCTCCAGCTCGCCCTTCTCCATCCCTTGTACACCGCTCGCCTTAACCACCCCGTTGAGCATTACCACTGCCGGCCCTCCCCCATTCCCCTTTCTCACGTGCATCAGCGCAAAGTACCTCTGTCCGACCCCCTCTCCGGCGTGATCGAGTGCGAAGGCGAAGCGCATCACGAGCCGACCGTGAAACGTCACGCTAGAGAGCTGGATGAAGCGGTTGCTGCTGCCAGCATGACGGATCTGGGACTCGAGCTGAGCGGGAGTAACGATCTGACGATGGGCGGGAGTGAGATGCGCAAGAGGACGGGAATAGGTCGTTCGCAAATGTCGTAGCAGCGCCGTCTGCGGAGATGCATCCGGCCAGTGAAAGATGTAGAACGGCTGAGTGGCCGGCGAGAGGTAGGATGGGTAGACTGGAGGCGAAGGTGGTGGTGGTGGCGAAGGTCGAGGGAAAATTGGAACGATGCGCGCGCTACGACGAGGCAAGGATACAGACGGGTGCGGCAGCAAGAGCAGGATGAGGAGTGAGGGAAGAAGCGTCGCTAGCATCGTCATTGTTCGTACAAAGGGGACCTGATGAGCTACAGTACGAACAGGGATGATGTTTGCCAGAGCTTAATAAGCGGAAGGGGAGAGGGGGAAGGGGCTGGAAGTTGGGGCAAGCGATCCGCTGGTCACGGTGACTCACTGAATATGGACAACATTTGACTGAGACCGATACCACGTAGCATAGATGCGAGACCGCCATGGGCTTGTTTGTTGCGACCCGCCGGTTAAGGCTGGGCCAACGGAAATTCATTCGACAGATTGGTGGCGACCGACCAAGCGAATGGTCAATGATATCAACGACCCGCTTTTCAAGCTCTACATCAAGTAAGATGGGAATGGCAATTTCATGAGCAAGGTAATACAGCGCCCACATCACCCTCATTACGAACGCCGTCTGGTGTATCGTAGCTACAGCAAATAAGGAAGGGTGCTCATGAGCTCGTGTACACTTGTAACAGTGCCGTGGCCGATCGCGTACTCCTCTCCGTGTTGGGCCATGAGACGTTCTACATCGCCCACATTTTCGACGCTTGCAAAGCCCCTTACGTGGACCTGGGGAGCGATTCGGCCGGGAACGACCGAGACGAAGGCGAAGATCTTGTAGTTGGGCGAATCGTAGCGGGTGCGAACGGGAAAGGCGGCGGTGAAGCCGTGGTGGCCCTGCTCGCCGAATCGGGGGCCACCAAGCACAACGAGGCGACGCGTCATCGCATCTGCACGCAGAGCTCGGATGAGTTCGGTGTCGGAAAGGACGGGATGGGCAAGAGGCGTCACCCTGGCCCCATGAAAGCGCGTTTTACCGATCCCTCCATCGGACAGAATCGCCTGTAGCGTCGATGGGAACTGGGTACGACCCATGTACGTTCCGTGTGAAGGAACGATCTGCAGCGGATAGGTGTAGGGGACAACTGCCGAGACAAGCGCGAACAGTACCGCTACGAGGAGCGTGACGATAGCCCAAGGACGAAGAGAATGAAGACGCATTTCGATAAGTGCTGGCTTGAGTGTGCGGAGTTAAGGCTTGTAGGCGATAGGACTCAAATCTGTCCGTTCGAATGGATCCTTATATATTCTCTGGTCCAGTTGTGCCCCTGGCGACCTTAGCGGCTGTCGCTCACAGAGGTCCGTACAGGATCGGCTCGCAAGCTCGTCAACAGCAGCTTGGTGGATCGACGCTATTGTTCCACAACTACAATTAGAAGTGACTGCGACCCACTATTACCAAAGTCGATGTCCGAGACCAAGTAGGTGCCCCACATCCCACAGGCTCAACCTCGAGCTCGAGGTTGAGTCGGCAAGCGGACCACAGCTCAATCTCCGCTAGCAGAGCAGCACCGCTCTGGTCGCCATCGGCGTCGATGTTGCAACCTCCCACATCGTTTGCAGCCAGTCAAACGTCGTCGATACACATGTGGGGTCCCATTCGCTTACCGAGCAGCGATTTGCCAGTCCCTCAACAACCTCATTATTGTACTACGATCGTGCCGTTGTGAAGGTCCGATATCCCACACTTGATCGTGTGGTATGCCAACTCACGTGTGCAAGGCATCCTGCGCTAATGCTGAGCAAGAGCACGCCCTCTCCGATCAGTGCAAGATGACGTTCCACCATCAAGCTGTGTCGTCAAGGCTCGTCTTCACCAAAACTCGAACGAGGCACAAAAATTGTTGCAGCCAAAATCCGTCCATTAAATCCAACCCACATCCAGGCTTAAGCGGAAGAAAATGTAGCTCGCCAGCGTCGAAGAGCACACCCTCTGTCATTCCACTAGCTCCTTCCTCTTTCTCCAACCCTCCTGAGAAGGAAGAACAAAGAGCGAAAGAGTGAGCGAACCCGGTGTGCTCCCATGAGAAGTGTACGATGGAGCTGCCTCTGAGGAGGTAAATCTTGCCTGGTTGTGCGATAGGTGGTGGGCAGCCAAAGTGGGGTTTGAGCTTGTGGCTTCCGTTCACATCGCTGATCAGGCGTCGTCGTGGGGAAGGGGCAAAGTCAGTCAGGTCACTCAGAGGAACGCAAATCCAAAACATCTATCATTGGCGTACGAGGGGACTGTCCATCTTTACTTCTTCCCCGCAGCGCCAACAGGCAGTGCGAAAGCCCTCTTCCTCCTCTTTCCGCCCTCAAACCCTTTGACTCCGGGCAAATCCCTACCCAGCGCATCGGGCTTCTTCACCTCGTAGATGCGCACGATCCAGTTCTCGCTCGTAAACGCCTCATCGAGGTACTCCAACTCGGGACTCTTGCTGGGCCCATTCGTCTGTCGCACCCGATCCGTCCCTGGTCGACCACCAAACAGATCGTTGAACCGATAGTAGCTCATCTTGTACAACAGACTCTCGCGCATCGTCTTAGTCGCACCATCGTCCACCTTGTACTCCCCACGCGGGGTGAAGTAGTCCGCCTCGCGCACTTCGTCCGGCCACACCCCCTGCGCAATGCGGATCATCCACAGGTACTTGTTGATGTCATCCCCACTGAAGCCGAGTAGACCACCAAAGATGATCAGCACATAGTCCACATCGTGCTTGCGCAGGATCGGGTAGGACTTTTCTTCGTTCGAACACATGGCTTTGCCCACCGTGGCAATGTGCGTGTTGTTCCACGTGTTGTTGTCGACCAGCGTGGGACGATCGGCCATACCGGAAATCTGGTAGCCGTAATCCCACCACGACATGACCTTGGCGTCCGAGGCCGTGTTTTGACGCAACCAGTAGTAGGCTTCGCGGAAATCGTCGATGATGTGCTGCGACCCGTCCGCGTTGCGCGAAGCGAGAACGACCGAGGGCGAAGAGTAGGCCGTGGAGGTGACGAACGTGCAGTGCAGCACAAAGACGAGCAGCAGCAGCAAAGAGTAGATGGTGACAAAGAAGCGAGAGTCGAGACCAAAGATGCCGAATTTGGAGCTGCTGAAGGTTGCGGCGCCAAAGACGGGCGATGCGGGTCGAACGATCTCTGCGTCAGACGAAGATGATGGTTCGGGCGTGGCCTCGGCGGCCTTACGAGCAGCAGAGCGGGTCGATCGGGCGACGGCTTCCTTGTCGGGGTCAGCAGCACCGTTCTCGTTGGCGGGGGTCGGCTCCTTGGGGTCGAGGTACGTCTGCAGCAGCGTGCTCATCGCGATGGCCGCACTGACGCACACCACCGGCGTCAGCGTCAACATCAGACGCACCATGACACCAGCAAAATAGCTCGCCATGACCGCGTAGATGATGACAAAGACATGCTCGTCCCTCAGCTCCTTGAAGAGCAAGAAGACGCCGACCGGGAAGAGGAAGATGAGCATCTCGAGGTCGAAGAAGAACGCCGGCCAGGCGGGAGGCTGGTGTTCCGAGACCGAGGCGATGATGGGGATGTGCTTCTTGGCGTAGGCGGTGTCCCAGAGCGAGTAGAAGCGACCGGTGAAAGGTGCAACGTATCCTGCGTAGGTCAGTGCGACGAGGGCACCGAAGGCGAGAGCAGCGACGAGGATGACGAATCCGACGAGCAAAAGCTTGAATTGCTTGCTGGGCACGTGCGATCGGACGAGCTCGACGAATGCGACGAGCTGTAGCAGACCAAAGACGCCGAGGGCAGCCATGTGCTCGCTGGTGCGCACGGGCTGGAAGCCGACAAATGGCACCTGCATGGATGCGAGAGTGCCGAGTGCGTAGAAGCTCGAGTAGGAGACGTAGAGGCGCGAGCTGAACCGGCCCATCAGGAGCAGGACGAGGGCATGAAGGGGGATCATGTTGGTGATAAAAACATATCCACCCCATGCTGCGACCATGTAGAAGTAGAAGAGCGCAGTAGCGACACCCCAGAGCGCCGAGCCGTCTTTGAGCGCCTTGATCCACAGGTAGAAAGTCATCATGAGCAAGAAGATGGCGATGGCTTCGTTGTCGTACGATCCAGCGACAGACCTCGAGATGTATCCTGGAGCAATACCGATGAAAGCAGCTGCAAGTAGGCCAGCTGCACCATCCTTCATCGCTGCGGTAAACATGTAAGTGGCCCAAGCTGTCAATCCTGAGAAGGCAGGAGCGAGAAGGACACAAATGTTGCGAATGTCGACGGGAATGTTGAGCGAGTGGAAGAGGTTGTGAATGGCACCTGATGTGACCATGAGACCGGGATAGGCGGTGCCGCCAGCGGCTCGTCCTAGCGGGTACCATGCTGTCGCATCGAACCAGTTCCAAAATCGGTAGAAACCATCGGTGGTCAACACCTTGGTGGCGCGGAAGTTGAACCAAGGGTCAAACTCGTGAATGATACTCTCGTGCCGGACTACTGCAAAGAGACGTGATGAGACGGCTGCTCCTGCGATGAGGAAGATGATGATGAGACGCAGTAGCGAGAGCACATTCTTGTTGGACTCCGGGGAAAGCGTGGGTAGACGGTAGGCGGCGCGTGTGTTGGCGGCAGTAGCGCCTCTTGACGAGGAGCCTGCCGACATAGTTGTGTGTAGTGACGCTACAGCGACGACACAGTCCAGGTCGTGCGTGTAGACTTAGAGAGTCGAGAGGGCGTTGGTGTTGGTGATGGTGGTTTCGAGAGAGCGAGAAGCGCCAGGCTGGCTGCTCAGAAGCTGTCCGTGCGCGCGGCGCTTCTTCTGCCCATTCCTTCTCGCTTTCTTCCACGTCCCAAGCGCGAATCTACCTCTGCCGAGATGGATGCCGCCCGAGAAATTTTTGGTCCGGACACTGCTCGAATCGAGTCGCGGCATAACAAATTTTGATTTTCGCAAGCATTCGACCATGCTCGCTATGCTTGTTTCTCACACACCGTCATTCAGGTCAAGCAGCACAGCATTTCGCTCTCAAGCAGGCATGGCAGAGGTTGTGACGATTCCTGCATTTCTTGAATCGACTATAAGGCCCACTCTTCAGCAGCCTCCTTGTCCGAGATGAAAGGTCGGCCGATGGCGTTGGCGGTCCCTTCGCACATGGGACAGCTTCCAGCAATCAGCGCATCGAGCTGATCACGCAGCTGCTGAATCCTCTCTTGATCCTCGATGCTCCTCGCTGAGCCGATCGTGTTCTTGTCCTCTCCATACTCTGCGCTCGCGCTGTTCGCGTCAGCGTCCGTGGCGATGAGAGCAGCAGCTCGTCGCTGCGCCGCGGTGCGTGAGCCAGCAACCAGATCCGACGTCGGGTTCGAAAAGGGATCCAACGGCGCCAGCACTCGGCGTCCACCGGCAACGCTGACACTGACACCAGCCGAGATGGCGCTGATCACTGCGTCCGGCACCACCAGCTCGCGAAGCTTGTCAAGACCCACGGCGGCTGTCACGTTGCCCAGACCTCTCGCACTCGCTTGCAGTCCGACGAGTCCGGCCTGTCTCGCACCTTGGGCTGCGCTGACCATCGCTTTCGATCCGTCCTTGAGGAAGCCCATGTTTGCGAGCGCCGAATTTGGCAGCGCAGGTACAAGTCCACTGGTGAGCGCCGAGATTTGCTGCTGCAGCTCGAGCAGTTTGCGCAGGCTGCGCGTCGACATGGTCTTGGTCCCCTCGCCAATAAGGCAGTCGGCGTGGAAGCCGTGTCTGCACGGGAAGATATAGAACTGTCGCTGCACCAGCGTCTGCATGCAGTGATGGCACCTTTGATCCGGATCGATGGTCACAAATCGCTCGCTGAGCCTAGCGATGTCCTGCTGGATGGCTGCGGCCGACCGTGATGCCTCGTCCATTTCGTCTTTCAGCTCTTCAATGTGCGCAGCGTAGCCTTCCAACGCTTCGCAGATGTCGTCTTTGCAGTCGTCAATAACAGCAAAGTCTGGGAAGAAGGGCAGCACGTCTTCGATCGAAATGAGATCGGTGCGACGCAGGAACGCCATGGCGGATTTCATGTCGGCTGAGGTGCGCACGACTTCCTTGGCGACCCGGAGCCAGAGCTTCTTTCGCAGATCGCGATCCATCGATTCGGCCATGTCGGCACAGCTGCATGCCAGCTCGATCTCACCTTCTCGAATGGCGAGCTCCACAGCCGACTCGTAAAGTCCCATCTTGGCGTAGATGCGTACACACGCCTCCATCTGTCGCTGAGATAGGCAAGTGCGCAGAGCGTAATCGAGATCGAAGTACGGATGCCCGGTCATCGGGTTTGGCTTGGCTTCGTCGATGAATCGCAGCAGCTCCTCCTTGAGCTCATCCCGTTTCGGGTAGCGTGATGATCGACGTGCAAGCAGGGTGAGCAGAAGGTTGTGGATGGCAGTGTCCTTGCTTCCGTTCTTCCCAGCGATGATGCCTGCAAGATACTTGACCGCCTGGTCCGTCTCGCCAAGGTCCAAGTCAGGCTTGTGCTGTAGTAGCGCCGGGATCAGTTTGCGAGCGTCGAGACTACGCTGACGCGACCAGCAGTCGACCGTCTGAGCCGGAGCGTGACGCATGAGAACTGGTGCAAAGCTGTAGTACAGCTCGAGCGAATCTTGCTTGTTGATGGCGTCGATGGCTTTGGTCCATTGCTGTGTTTGGACGTGATGGCGTACGATGCGATCATGGTCGCCCACAACGGAAGCAAAGTGCAGATAGACGTCCGATCGACCGTGCTTCTTGATGAGGTCGAATGTCGTCTGCGGATCCAGCAGGGAGCGATACGTTGCCAGGAATTGATGCAGCTCCTCGGTGATCAGCGTGATCTCGAGGCGGTAGTTGTCGACGTCCTGACTTGCAGCTTCGGCAGCGGCGACATCTTCGAGCTGGTTGATTTTGCTGAGATAGATCTCGACGAGCCAGGTGGCCAGCATGATGCGCTGAGCCACGTCGACTGTCTTGTCGAGACGCTCGAGGCGCATCACGAGGTAGTAGCGCAACGCGTCGCGCTGCTCAACATCGGTGAAGCGCAGAACGATTTCTTCGAAGGCGCGCATGAACGTCTGAGCATAGCACTGGGCTGCCTGGATGTATTTGCCCTCGGCAAAGTATCGGTCGCCTTGGAACGATAGGACGGTGCCTCGTTGGATGCCTGGCTTGGCGTACTTGAGGGCCATGTCGAAAGATCCACGGTCGAGATGGACGCGCCAAACATGGCGGTCCTCGTCGCGGAGGACGAGCTCGAAAATGCTGGCGTCGGTGTAGATCCAGTAGGTCCTCTTCGCGGCATCCACTGCTGTGCCGATAACACGCTCGTTGGCCTTGAGTGGGAGTGCTTCCTCAAAGATGACCTGATCGTCGAGTGAGCTGATGGCCATGACGCGGTCTTGGTAGAGCAGGACAAAGTGAAACTCGGTCAAGGCGATGCTGAGCGGGATCTTGGTGATGGGTGCGGAACCGAAACCATTCGAAGCCGTGCTCATGCGACTGCGGCGTTTGTTTGGGCTGCCACTACCTTCATCTTCGATTGCGACTGCTGGGTAGGGTAGGAGGTTGGCAGATTCGATGACGCTGTCGCCTGCTGTTGCATCCGGCGGATAGGAAAGCAGGCCATGGTAGACGCCTGGGCCTGTGAGCCAGGCAAGCGCTGAAATGTGTTTGGACGACGCTGATGTGTACGCATGCAGCTCCGAGTAAGGCAAGTCGCCTGGCAATTCTGATTTGAGGTTGGGTGAAGAATCGCCTCGATAGGGCAAGAATAGCTTGTCGTAAAGAGAGCTCGAGTCCGACTCGTCCTTACTCGCTTTTGCTAGGACTCCGACGTATTCGTAGACGCGTGTACTTGTCGTTGCAATGACGACGGCTCTGCGCAGCTCGCTGGATGCCGGTGTCGGAGGGTTGGATGTCGATGTCGGACTGGGGCGAGGAAAGACTTCTGCCGCTAGACCGGTGACGGGCTGACGCTCAGGCAGCGAAGTCATGAGCCGCACGACACGGTCGACGTCCCCCCTTTCAGCCCCATTGCCTGCTGTTCGACGTGCAATTTTGTCAAAGATGTCACCATCATCCGGATCGGTGCCGACAGGAGCGGTGATGACAGCTTCGTAGATGTCGCCGGATCTTGTGCCTAGCAAAATCTCACGCGTGCTTGAGAGCGCCGGAGTGCCGTTGGCTGCACGTTTACGCGCTGCCGACGCATTTGAGCTTGCGTTGCCGGCTAGACTGGCTCTGTTCCACGCTACGCTCTCGATGATGTGACCCTTGAGCTTGGGCAGAAGTCGCGCTTTCCTCCACCCGCTGGCCCAGTAGTAGTTGTCGCCATTCCGCATAGCGAGCAGCAGATGAAGGCCAGAGGGATCGGCAAACATCTTGTAAGGGCCCACTGTACTCGGGTCTGGTGGTGGAGCATTGCGTGCTGAGCGCGGTGTTGGCGGGATGGGCACATCGGCCTCTTGGGTGCGTTCTGGATCGTCGAGGTTGATACGAACGAGCTTGGGTGGAGCTGTAGGAAACGGATTGGCGGCCTGAGATGGATTTGGGTATGCGTAGAGACACATGGTCAAGATGTTGGAAGAAACGGTCATCAATGCCAGTGGTGCTGAGAATGCATACTGGACCCTGCCGAGCTGGAAGATGGGGTCGGAGTGTGAGGAGGGTCCGGCATCGGAGGAGATGAAGCCAGTCTCGAGTGCGGCTATTGGATCGAGCATCGAGGAGACAAAGCCGTCATGGCCACTGTCGTCGCCTTCGATGCCACGAGTGCCGTAGTCATCGCCCTCAAAGCCATCATTGATCGAGTCAAAGGTTGTGTCGAAGCGCGAACCGTTGACGTATTGGCCATTGGCAAGGTTGTTGCTGATCCGCCTGTGATTTTGCGGAGTGCTGTGAGAAGAGGAGCTCTGCACAAAGTCATCGAACATGTTGTCGTTGCTGATTGGAACTCATCAAGAGTGGGTTCTATATCGTGTCGACGCTGATGCGAGAGATGCAAGGTGGATAACGGCAACGATTCCGAGGTTGAGTCGTGACGAGCAGCCAAGCCTTGATACGTCAGCCCGGCAGTGACAGCGCGTGCGAGAAATTGTGACGGCAGCGAGGAGACGGTGACTGATGTGACTGCCCAGAAGGTGAGCTATGCTGATTGATGGTGGTGCAGTTAGGTCGGATGTTGCGAAGTCGTTGGTGATGGCCCATCCGCACCACACCGCACAGCGCCTTCGCTTGGAAAGCGCGACCCTGAATTTGTAGTCTCGCATCGCCGATTTGGCTGCAGCTTGAGCACGCGCTGCTGCTCGAGTGGAGGAAAATCGCCCAAAAAAGCCAAGAAAACAAGAATGAAGCGGGCCGAAGCGCAATGACGATGTAGGCGAGGAATCAAGCGCTTGGAAGGAGAAAAGGCATCCGAATCATCGGTTCTCTTCGTCCTGATCCACCACCACCCCTCTCCTTTCTCGATCGATTCAAGCCGAGATGCTCGATACCATCGAGCCGCAGCGCTACATTCCCTTGTTCGGCTTCAGCGGCCTTGGGTTCCAGCTGCAAAATGTGCTGCATCAGAGCCACTTCAAGGCCTCTTCCTCCCTCCTCTCCTCAGGCAGCAGCGCGACCTCGAGCTCGCCCAACCCATCCACTGGCCTTGCAACTCCCACGCTCTCTTCATCGAATGCTTCCGATTCGACATCCGAGCTGCTAGACATCGATCAGGGCCCTGAGCGTTACGCCGCCTATTTCATGCGTCTCAAAACTGTCATCATCGCCTCTTCCAGATACGTAGCTTACACCTCGGATATCGGAGAAGCCTTCCGTCCGTTGACGAAGCCCGCCGTCGTCAAGGCGGCCTACGGCATCTCGTGGACCTACATCCTCGGCGACGTCTTTTACGCCGGCTACAAGGCTGCCAAGCAGTACGAAGCGCTTGCGTCCACCACCTTCACCTCCTCCTCCGGACCCTTGCAAGAACTTGAGACCGAAGCGGCTCGCTATGCCGACAAAGCTCTCTCGTCCGTCAAACAGAACCTGCCGCTCGAAAAGCTCCTTGATCACAAGACCCTCTCCACCCTCTCGCCCACCGAAAAGGTCGAGCTGCGCAAGCGTCACACGCAACGTCTGGCCGAAGCGGGGCAGCACGCCGGTGTGGACCCGAACCAGATCTCGGAAGTCACGCATGTCGGATTGACCATGGCCAGGCAGGCCGTGTTCCAAAGCATCGCATCTATGGCCCTCCCTGCGTTTACGATCCACAGCATCGTCCGCTACTCCGCCCCTCTCTTCGCCAAGGCCAAGAGCCAGCGCATTCGTGCGGCCGGACCAACTGTCGCGGGACTCATGTTCGTTCCCGCCCTGCCATTCCTCTTTGACGAACCGGTAGAGCACGTCATTGATTTTGCGTTCGATTGGATTCAGGAGCGGATCGGCGGCGGACCCAGGGCCGCGCATAAGGTGGTGGAGGCGGCAAAGGAGAAGATGCTCTGATATAGGTTGCAATTGTATAGAGAACGATTTGTTGCCGGACCAGCGTGTGTGTGCTCGAAAAAGCGCAGACCTCGATGAGAGCTGCCTTTGACGGGCGCTCGCGTGGGCGAGAAATTCCGACGTCTTCCCCGCATCCGTGGATTTTGGCATTTTGAAGGTTTCACAAAGTCGAAAGCTTGGACCGACTCGGACCTGAGCTCATTCATCCTGTTCACCACCTACCACCACCCACCACCATCAGCTCACAGCGGCGGCATCTGAGAAGCGTCTCGAAGCAGCTCGTGGCCATGATGGTCGCTCGTACGGCTGCGGTCGACCCCCGCCGCCGAGGCAGCAGCGTGCTCTGGACCTCCGTACTGTGCCTCCTCGCCCTATTCTCATCAATAGCCCTAGCAGCATCACCACCAGCAGTCTACGAAACAGACGAGTACATTCGCATTCAGCCCGAACTCTCTGCTGCCACCGCCAAGCTCTCTAATCGCACTGTGCTCGCCTACATCACGCCGTGGAATCCGCGTGGGGCGGAACTAGTCGACGAGTACGTGGACAAGATCGACCTGGTCTCTCCAGTATGGTATACGATCCTCATCTCTCGCGACTCGCTCTCGCGCTCGACTCAAAATGGGGCGGATGCAACCTACGTTCTGTCTGGTGGTCCGCCTTCGAAGACCGAAGAATCGTGGTTGCACCGCAAGCAGCGGCAGGGGATCAAATTCACCCCGCGCTTCTACCTCGACGGATGGCAGCAGAAGGACTACGCAGACCTCCTCTCCAACTCCGACAACTGGCAACGTCTCGCCGATGTGATCACGGGTGAAGCGTCCAAGATGGGGTACGACGGCGTAGTCTTCGAATCGGCAGCTAGCCATCTATTGTTCGAACCCATCCGAACCCTCCACTCGGCACTACAGGGGAAGTTGCTCACCGTCGTCCTTCCCCCCTTGCGGACCACCTACTCGATGGGAGGCAGGGTGGATAGGACACAGGAAAGTCAAAATCGAATGATCGTACAGTCCATACCCCAACTTGCCGCCGTGGTGGACTTCTTCAGCATCATGACCTACGACATGTCCTCGGCAGCGGGGAGGGTGAGCGATGTAGAAGGGAAGGATTTTCCCACCGACAGCCCTTTGCGTGGGGCCAAGAGGGGGAGTTTGCGCCAACCAGGACCGAATAGCAGCCCGAAGTGGATCGAGGAGAACATTCGGCTCATCGAGGAAGCGACGAGGGCGGCGGCGAGAGCGAGGATTAAGACGGCCCAAGCAAAGCGGGCAGCGCAACAGGCAGCTGAGGCCGAAGCGAAGCTCGAATCCGATGGAGAAGTAGAGCAGCTTAGGGATCCATCCAACCCTTTCCTCTACGACGATTTCGGGGGGCAGGAGGAGCTCAACGAAGAAGCCGAACGACAACCCACGGAGCAGATCACGTTGGCGACTTTGGAAGAGCAGGACGACCTGGCATCAATACGAGGCAAGCTGCTGATGGGCATGCCCATGTACGGCTACCGCTATCCGATCTTCTGGATTGACAAGTCCACAGGGCAAGGCATCCCCGTTCCCCCGCCCACCAACGCGTTCGAGGGCAAAGAGCTGGCTAAACGAAGCGACCCTTCCCTCGACACTGCGCTGCTCCCCTTCCTCCGTGGACCAGGCGAGGCGGTGACCATGGACACAATCGTCTCGATCCTCAGCGACAACGATGGTGCCATCATCGACAGTAGGAGCGACGATGCCGAGGGTTGGTTCGATTACACCGAGACGGTGACGAGAGAGTCGGTGAAAGGGAGAGAGGCGCACGGGGTCAAACCGGGAGACGAGATCTATTGGAGGATGTATATTCCGTTGCCCAGCACGACGAAGCAGAGTTTAGCGGCGCTCGAGGAAAACGACGAGACAAGGCCAGGCGTGTCCTTGTGGGAGTTGGGGCAGGCTAGCTCGCTGCTGCTGCATGCTCTGTAGACTAGGGTCGATGATGAAGCGGTGCGCTGCATATATGCGATCTTCGCTCGGGTTCAGTCTTGTGCGCGAGCGCTGTGGGTCGCGTGTGAGTCGGCTTCAGCGCTGCAAGATGATACGAGGAAAAAAGTCTGAGAATGGCACGAAGGTGAAGACAGAGTGTACAGCAGGGTGAGACGGGATGAGAAGGAGCACAGCGGTACTATGGCAAAGGGGGACAGTGTGATGCGAATGTAGGAAGCTGCTCATGCGAGCAATTGCCTAAAGTAGGGGTGAACGAGACTGCGCTTTGCTGATGTCCTTCCTGCAGGATCGTAGACGAGCATTCCTTCGAGCAGATCGAGTCCTGCTTCGTCCAAACCCTTGACGGCGTCGCGCAGGGGTCTGCCGGACCACTTGGGGAAGCTGTCCTTGTAGTCTGGCAGCTGCTGTACGCCGGGCCAGATGTCGTCCGTGGGCGTGCCCAGCGTGCGGAAGATCTTGAAGATCTCATCGATCTCCGAGTCTCCTGGGAAGAGAGGGTGTCGCATGGCCATCTCGGCAAAGATGCAGCCGACGGACCACATGTCGATGGCGGTGCTGTAGTGACGCGAACCGAGCAGCACTTCGGGAGCTCGGTACCAGAGCGTGACGACCTCGTGTGTGTAGGTGCGGAGAGGGATACCGAAGGCTCGGGCAAGACCGAAATCGGCGAGCTTGAGGTTGCCCTCCTTGTCGATGAGCAGGTTTTGGGGCTTCAAGTCGCGATGCAGAATGCGGTGGGCGTGGCAGTAGTAGAGACCACGGATGAGCTGGTAGGTGAACTTGCGAACGATCTCGGGACCCATACCATCGCCACCGCGGTTCCGTGATACGTTGTCCATGTATTTGCGCAGATCCATGTCGAGGAATTCGAAGACGAGGTAGAGCTTGCTTTCCTGGTGAACAATGTCAAAGAGGCGGACGATGTTATCGTCGCGGAGCTCCTTGAGTAGCGAGATCTCGCGAATAGCTGTTGAAGGAACGCCCTCATCTTCGGCTTCGAGACGGATCTTTTTGAGCGCGACGATACGACCGTTGGCGCCTGGCGTGAGGTCCTTGGCCTTGTATACGACACCGTATGTGCCTTCGCCGATCTTTTCGATTCTCTGGTAGTTGTCCATGCTGTGCGGTGATGCTGGTGCGCGCGTTTCTGCTTGCTGGGATGAGAGTGGAAGAGCGCGCGGTTGATCGTTGTGACCCAATGGAGATGCTCAAGGCAGCGTTACTGTTCTAGCTGCTGCGCAGTGTGACCTAATGGAAAAGTGCGCTGAAGGGGTCGGCTTGCTTCCGTCTGCAAGCTGTGCTGAAAGGTTGCGTGTCCGATGAGCTGGTGGTCTACGTGACTTGTCCAAGTGAGCTTGATGTGATGGTAGAGAAGGGTTGGCAACAAGAGAGCATAAATCTGCGTGACTTCTGAATGTGTTGGTTTGCAGCTTTTCATTCAGGACTGGCAGACGGGCTGTCTGTCTGTCTGTCTGTCGGCGTGACTGGATTGGAGCGCGACTCGAGGTCGAGCTGACTCTTAAAAAAGTGTTGTTCTCACGACTCGGCGAACAGCAACGGCCAGCAAGGACGCAGCTGACGCGCCTACTCTCCTCTTTCGCGCCAATTGCAGACAGCAGCAGCAAACACAGCAGCGAGCGCGAATTTCCCAGACTCGAAACCAACACCTCAAATCTCGCTCTCACGACTCGGGCTCTTCAGAGGAACCTTTCAGGACAACCTGTTCCGTCACAGAGCAGCCATCTGCGCGTTGTGCGGTCCCTTGTCACCTCTGGGGATCAGAGAAACGCGCTAGGATCATCTGGCACACCCTTCAGGTCTGCGAAGCTGCTTCGGGTGACTCGGAGGAGAAAGATCACTCAAAGCGGTCGCTGATCACCGTCTCTGAGCACTTGAGCCCTTGCAACAAGCGATGATGAGAACAGCGCACGCTTCAACTGAATGTGGTATGATGAATGAGGTCCAATCCAAGTCGAAGACCGGCAGCAGCTGCCTCTCTGCACGTCGGTCTGGCTCTTGTCCCCGCGCCACGCCGAGGCTTGCTGATTCGGAAACGACCCGATTTCGTGGGTACTTCGACGCGCCACGATCGGGTGGGCATCCGTCGAGGCTGGACTGAGCCTTCCGTTCCAGCTTTGGTCGGTCCTTCCGAGTGTCAACCACACTCGGAGCGAGAAGAGCACGTCTACGCTCAGCTGTTGCCCTCACGCTGTGCTTTGGGTGTTTTCTGCCACACATTGCCGTGGACAGCTTGAATCTGCCGATTCAATGGTGGTCGGCAGGCTGAGCCAGAGCGGATATCGAATATTTGGATTGCCGGCGGGGCCTCAACGCAGACTGTGATTCTGGATTTGCTCTGCGCTGCTGTGTGGACTCTTTCGAAAGGGTCCTTTCTTCCTCACCTCGCCTCTCTCCTCGAGGAAGCGCTCGGACCCACCGCGGATCACGCCCTTCCGTCTGCTCTTCAGTCCACGTCATCTGTCAAAGCCCTCATCCACTTCATCTCGCTTCAGTCTCCTCACCACCATCAACTCGCACAGCTCATGTTGAGCGGACTCCCTTTGCGACTCTTCGCTCCCCAAAGGCTCTCAACTCCGCTCTCTAGATCTTCGCTGGCTCCCTTGTCCTCTACCTCACTAGCATACACTCGACGCAGCTTAGCGCACACCACCGTCAAAATGTCTTCGCAGAATGCTCCTGGCTGGACTACTCAGCCCAATCCGTACCCACAGGCTCGTCGCGACGACAAGGCGTCCCTCACCTACAAGTCGGCCGCCAAGGGCTCCGTGTCTGTCCCAGAACCCTACATCTGGCTCGAGCAGCCTCCCTCTCAGTCGCAAGAGACCAAGGACTGGGTGCATGCTCAGGCTGAGGTCACCAAGAAATACATCGACGGCTGTCAACCCGATCTGGACATTCTCAAGTCTCGCATCGAAAAGAACTTTGACTTTGCCCGCTTTTCCTGTCCTTCGCTCAAGGGCGACGGCAATTACTATTACAGCTTCAACTCGGGTCTCTCTCCGCAGTCGCTTATCTACACTGCCAGCAAGCAGCAAGTGGACGCAAATGCAGGCAAGAACGAGCGAGACCCTATCGGAGACATCTTTTTCGACTCCAACCTGCTCAGTGCAGATGGCACCGTAGCACTCAGCTTCACCACTTTCTCGCACTCGGGCAAACACATGGCCTACGGTATCAGCAAGAGCGGCAGTGACTGGACCGAGATCTTTGTCCGCGAGACGGCAAAGCCTTTCAAGCTGGATGACAAGCACTACAACGCAAATGGCACTATCAAGCTGTCCAAGGACGAGCTTGCCAAGTACGTCGATGCTACCGGTGGCAAGGACCGCCTCGAGGACAAGCTCGAGAACGTCAAGTTCTCGGGCGCTGCTTTCACCCACGACGACAAGGGTCTCTTCTACCAGACCTACCCTTCCGCTTCCGTTTCCGACAAGGGTACCGAGACAGACGCCAACAAAGACGCTCAGCTCTGGTATCACCGCATCGGTACGTCTCAGCCTGAAGACGTGCTTGTCGTTAGCAAGGATCTCAAGGTGCCCGAGTCGATGTGGTCTACCAACGTCACGCACGATGGCAACTTCCTCATGCTGTACAACAGCAAGGACACCGACACCAAAGAGCGCGTCTACGTGCTGCCTTTGCAGGACCAGGGCCTGGCAGCCGCCGGCCAGCTCAAGTGGATCCCACTCGCCCTCTCGTTCAAGTACGTGCTCAACTACGTGACCAACAAGGGCAACCGCTTCTACTTTATGACCAACAAGGACGCTCCCAACTACCGCCTCGTCTCGGTCGACATCGATCCCGCCAAAGCTCAGCAGACAAATAACGTGTGGGAGCTTACCGGCGAGGACGCTCCGCTCACGGATGTGATCGCCGAGGAGAAGGACGCCCTGCTTTCATCTGTCCAGGTGATCGACCAAAACAAGCTGCTGGTCGTCTACTCGCGCGATGTCAAGAGCGAACTGTACCAGTACGAGCTCGAGTCGGGCAAGCAAGTCGAGAGGCTGCTGCCAGACCTTGTTGGGACCATCGAGCAGATCGCAGCACGACACAGCGACGACCATGCCTTTGTCAAGTTTGGCTCCTTCGTCAACCCCGGCCAGGTCGTGCGACTGGACTGGGAGGCCAACTCTGCGCCCAGCGCGACCAAGGCCAAGCAGACCGCCTACTACGATACGCAGGTGGAGGGCATCAAGGCAGAGGACTTTGTCTCAGAGCAAGTGTTCATCACTTCCAAGGACGGCACTCGCGTACCTATGTTCGTGACCCATCCCAAAACGGCGCAGAAAGACGGCACCTCGCCCGCCATCCTCTACTTCTACGGTGGCTTCAACATCCCCATCACACCCGTCTTTTCGCCCTCGATGATGTCGTGGATCTCCGCGTACAACGGTGTTCTTGCGTTCGTCAACTGCCGCGGTGGTGGCGAGTACGGTGACAAGTGGCACGAAGCAGGCACGCTTCTGAATAAGCAAAATGTCTTCGACGACGCGCTCTCTGCAGCTAGGTACCTGCACGAGAGCGGCTACGCGGCCAAGGGCAAGATCATCCTCTCTGGCGGTTCCAACGGCGGACTCGGTGTCGCAGCGTGCATCAACCAGCAACTCCCCGAACACGGTATCGGCGCGGGCATCGCCGACGTCGGCGTCATGGACATGCTCAAGTTCCACACGTGGACCATCGGCAAGGCGTGGTGCGCCGACTACGGCAACCCCTCGGAGGACCCAGAGATCTTTGATTACGTCTATAAGTACTCGCCGCTGCACAATGTCGACCCGAACAAGGTGTACCCGACGACGGTGCTGGCCTGCGCGGACCACGACGACAGAGTCGTGCCAGCCCACTCGTTCAAGCTGATGGCCGAGATGCAACACAAGTTGGCGAACAACCCAAACCCACTGCTGTTGAGGGTCGAGATCGATGCGGGTCACGGAGCGGGCAAGAGCACGCAGAAGAGGATCCAGGAGGCGGCAGAGAAGTACGCGATCGTGGGTAGGGCGTTGGGGCTCAAGATTCGCGAAGACGGGAGCAGTAGCCGGCTGTAGGGGCCATTCACCTTTGTAACACTACCGTGAAGGCAACAAATAGTATCCAAGACGTCAATGCGAGCTCTCCTTGAATGTGCCTTGGGTGGGAAGTGTGTCGAAGAAGCGTATCACGGGAGCGTGACGATACGACACGTGAGACGCGTCTGTTTTGTCGTGTCGCGTAAATTACCCCTCCTCTGCGCTGGTGGGACTTTTGTGCGGGGCAAGGGCGGGAAACCTTTTTTTTTTCGTTGTCTCAGGAAGGACCCTTCAAGCGCACGAGCCACAGCCACCCACACAAAGCTTCCAAGATTCCATCCGCGCCTTCTCTTCATTTAGGTCCCCACACTTGCTTCCCTTTCATCCACATCTTTGTGTCACACCCTCATCGCCGCTCTCCCCTTATCGAGCTGGTCCATCTTTTCACCACATCCATCGAGATCGTTATACCCAAAGAAGGCACCCGTATCCTCCCCTCTCCTCATCTAATTCACGATGGTGCGCCACGATATCGCCGTCGAGACGGTCGGCGACGACTACGAAGCGCAACGTCAGGCGAACATCAAAGCGAATCTCGAGCTCATGATGTCGCTCGGTCTCTATCAAGGCTCCACCCTGCTCAAACCCAAACCGACCCCGTCGCCGCCCAAGCCCAAGTCGAAGCCTGCCCCGAAACCCGCTTCGCCCGGGTCGGACGACGAGGGCCCCATTTCGCGACCGCGCCGAATCACACGCTCCGTCTCTCGGGTTCTCGACCCGCCTCGTCGCAAGTCGCGGGGTATGAAGCGTGCCCTTAGCGACGAAGGCTACATTTCCCGCAAACATACGCGCGCGGACGAAGCGTACGATTCGGATACATTCGTTGTCTCGGACGACGACGACGATTCGTCCTACCGCACGCATCTCCGTCGCACCTCCAGTGGTCCACTCAACCCTTCTCGCGCCTACCGTCCGGAACATACGCTGCAACGCCACGCCGACCGACTAGGAAAGCGTGTGTACGATCCAAAGACGTTCGGCGCCATCCCCGGCGTTCCGGTCGGCACATGGTGGGGCAAGCGCATGGAGTGCTCCACTGCCGCTGTACACGCTCCTACTGTCGCCGGCATCAGCGGAAACGAAGAAGTCGGTTGCTGGAGCATCTGCCTGTCCGGTGGATACGAGGACGACATTGATCTCGGAACCACCTTCACCTACACGGGCTCGGGCGGTCGAGATCTAAAAGGTACCAAGGACAACCCGAAGAACCTGCGCACCGCACCACAGAGCAGCGATCAGAGGTGGGAGGGAAAGAACGCAAGTCTCAAGCGCAGTGTCCAAACGGGGAAACCGGTGCGCGTGGTACGCGGCTACAAGGGCGGGAATCAATTCTGTCCCGCGGAAGGCTACGTGTATTGTGGGTTGTACAGGGTGGAGAGGGCGTGGATGGAGAGGGGGGCGAGCGGGTTCAAGGTGTGCCGGTTCGAGTTTCGCAGGTTGCCTGGACAAGATGCATTGCCTACGTTCGATCATGACGAAGAGGAGTTGAGTGAGCACGAGACGGAGGTGACACCACCCACCGGCGTATCATCGCAAATCTTCACGGTGGACCTGACTCAGTCGCCCTCACCCGCCCCCTCGGCGGCGTCCACCCGCAGCACAGCTTCGCGCACCTCAAACCCAATCCTCGTCAGCCAGGATAGCGAGTTCGACCGCGCCAGCTACATCATCGTCTCCGACACCGAGGACGAGGCGGACGAGGTGGAGGAGACACTCCTGCAGCTGGAACTGCCGGGCGCGTCGCCGACGGAACGAGTCGTTCGGTCGAGCAGGCGCAAAAGCCGGGTTGTCAGGTACACGCGTTGAGGTGGAACCAGGTGGTCACGGTCTAGTTGGTTCGAGAGATATGCAGATACCCCTTGTTATATGGTGTTCAGTCAACATGAGTGTGAGCGGATAAGTGAGCATTGCGAGTGAGGTCCGCGATGAGAAAGGCGCGCATTAGGGGTCGGCTTTCGCAGGCGCACTCTCTGGCTCAAGGGCTTGGGCTGGAGTAGTGCCGTCGGCGCCGATGGCGTCGGATGCAGAGGTGGGCGGTGGTACGGTCTCCTCCTTTGCGAGTGGCGCCTCAGTCTGAGATGCAGCGCCGTTGGGTTGCGCGGCCTGGGCGAACCCTGTCGCTTTGGCAGACACAGCCGGCTCTGCCGGAGCTGCAGCGGTTGTGGTTGATGGCGTCTCCTCAACCGCTTTAGACGGAGCCTCGCCTTCAGCAGGGGCGGCAGCCGTGTCCTTCGTCGTATCCGCATCCGCAGGCTTGGCCTCCTCCTCTCGCACCGCGTCTACCGTTTGAGTCGGCACGTTCTGCCCATCGGTCTCCTGTGTG